AGGTAACGATAAAAGGTCAAAAATATAATGTTGAATTTATAGTTTTAGCCAATTTATACGCGATAATAATATTAAAATAACATAATATATGTGTTATAACATGCTAATTATCAAAATATAATTACTATTTTAAAAATAATTCTTTATAGTGCACTTCAGCTATTGTAATACACAGTCCACAGGCCATTTTACTCATAAGTAATAACGTTTCTATGGTAGGTTGCTATGTTAAACCAGTCGTTCGAATATTACAATGTAGAAAAAAAATTGATAATATTGATAAAAGTTAAAATTTAACTATTTCGATTATTCATCTTATATTCTGAGTGTAGCGAAGAATGTATTGGTTTTACAAAGATGTTTATTTTTTTAAACTGTGTACAAAAATTCTACCAAAAATCTTGCTCGGAAGTATACGACGAAGACTTCTTTCTGAGAGGAAATTTTCTTGAAATGGTACTTTAGGGAAGTCATTTTTTGATTTTCTCGACAAAAGAGAAAAAATAAAAAAAACGGGAAATTTACGAAAATAATGCTTTTATTATTTGTTCAATTTTGTTATTTTTGGTTCATTGAACATCGATATTATAAAGCACTTTATAGATTGAGTACGAACATTTTACAAAATTGAGCCATTAATATTAAGGAAAAGTGGACCATTTTAAAGTTTGCATTTTTATATTATTGACCGACCGACCTAAAAGGACGCACAACCGCCACAATCGCCGCAACAGTGAGTTCGCGTTTCTTAACACTGCGGTTCCAAAATTTGTTCGCGATTTTTATAGTCTCTGATGTAACTAACCCGACTTTGTTTTATTTATATAAGACTAGCTGACCCAACGAACTTCGTACCGTCTAACAGTCAATGAATGTAGTAATATATTTTAGCTACACTTAATTTATGATTTTAATTAACGTGATAAAATGAATAAAAAAATGTATTAAGTTCAATAGTTCATTAAGGTAATAAATATAAAGAAAATACAAATTTAATAAAACTACAAAAATCAAGTATTTCAATAGCGAGTTGGCAAGACATTTCCTTTAGTGAATCTATATATTTTGCTGTATGGGTTGGGTTAGGTTAGGTAAATACTTGATTTTTGTAGTTTAATTAATTTTTATTTAAAAAAAATTAACATCTTTTTAAAACTATAAGCTTCTTCGCTCCATTTAGAATCTGAAAGTAGGAGCTGAAACGCATTATATGTGACGCGACCATGCGTAATCAAACACTACCTACATAAACTGGATTATTTCTATGATAATTTTTGAATAGTTACTTATCTTCAATAACATCTTCATGGATTGTTTGGGTTTAGTATCATAATAATAATATGGTGTAATAATACGTGAAAATATAAAATGTCGGCATCGTGAATGTGGCGTTACATTAAATATTTTATGCTCAATTGTACTGTACCGGTCATTAAGTAGGTATTTAGGTACTTATAAGAAATACAGGTACTCTGTTTCGAAAATTGTTAGAGTCCACAAATGGAAATTTGATAGTAGATCCATTATAATAGTTGTACTATCAAGGGAATATTTCAGAAGGAATAACAGATCATGATGATAAGGGATTTGATTTAAAGACTAAAATAATAATTTATTGAGCATTAATTTTATAATTCTGTAGAATTTCTGTTGTACATATTTTAAATTAGTAATGTGAGGATTGTATTAGTTTAAAAATTAAGTTTATTTTTTTTTCTGTGAACAACTTTTCTACCAGAGAACGCGCTCCGATTTTTAAGTATAGCACCTTTTCTGAAAAAAAAATCTGACTGGGAAGGTACTTTATGGAATCCATTTTTAGATTTTCTCAAGAGTTTTTCCAGCAATATGAAAAACCAGGGGAAAATATTGGCAAACCCCGAAAAACATACGAAAAACAGGAAAATCGGTACAAATACTATTAAAGATAATATATATTGCCTATTAAATAATTTTAACATAATATGACATACAGGCTGTCCCACGAAGATATACTCCTTGAATATCTCCGGGGATAATAAGGATAATTAAATTCTGATTTTTATATTTCAAATTTATGAGGACTACAAATATTAGATTCCGAGCGCAGCATTGGAGCTATTGGTTTTACAATTTTTTTCTTTGTTCTTTGAACTACTCTGTGGACATGTTTTTCTTAGTAAATTTGCTCCGATTTTTATGTGTAGCAACTATTACAAAAACGCAAGTTGTCTAGATGGTACATCTAGATGGTCTAGATGGTAGAGGTCATTTTTTGATTTTTGACGCCATTTTTTAAATAAAAGCACTTAAGTGGGAAAAAACGTAGGAAAACGTACAATTTCACGATTTCATTATTTTATAAAAACACAGACGACGTTTTCTACCAGAAAAAATTATTTATTCTAAAATCACAAGTTACCTTTATTTTGCTTTTTTTATTTACTTTATAACTAGTCTCTTTAGGATTATTCTTAGAGCCAAAATCGCTTCTCAAGTTCCTCGAGAGAGATCAGGAGAGAGAGCTCTCCTGAATTCAAATTGATCTTCGATAGTTATTCCGGAAAAGCAATTCCAATTTATAAGTTATTCTGCTTATCTCTAAAGACGGAATATTCCCTTCAGATTGGAAGTCGTTGTTTATAACTCTTAAATGTAAAAGTGACGACTGATATAATATATCAAATCATCAGCCGAACTCTATACTCAGTTATATTTCAAAATTATTTGAGAAGCTTATAGAACATAAATATTCTGATTATTTTTACAAATATTTTCATCTATAATCAACATGTTTTTCGAAAGTGAAAATCAATCGATATCAGTTTTATAGTATTTTACACAAATAATATAGATAATGTTTCTAACCGTAGCCAAGTAGGTACCATATATACAGATATAAAGAAGGCTTTTGACTCTATGGACTACAATATTTTATAAAAAAAATTGAATACCTATGGCCTATACGGGAAATTTCTTCAATGATTGTCCTCATTTTTCTATTATGATTTTTCCGAGATGTCAAAATTAAACAAACTGTCTCTACCCATAAATCCCATAAAAACCCATCTTTTATAGTGTACCATAAAGTGGACATTTACCACCACTTTTATTTTTAGTATTTATAAATAACATAAACATGGTCTTTTGGATTCTAAGCAGAGCTTATATCCATTCGGTCTTTTTTTTTTTATTTATTATATATTAATTAATAAAAATGTTAGTTGTTAAAAAACAATGTAAACTCCGATGATATTGTGTCCAAAACCTCTCATGAATTACCAACAGAATTAATACTATCAAATAGTTATGTTGACACGCAACTACTCGTAAATTTATTTGAAATTAAATTTAGATATTTGTTTATAAATTAATTTTTAAAAAGTTTTAAAAGTTGCCTATACACATTCCCTTAGACATAGTGACAGCGTAATCATAAAGTTTTATTGTAAAAAAAATTATTATAGATTCAAAAGTTTTATAGTAATTAAATAATACCTCTATAATGATTAATGTGAAGTACCTACATAATTTTTTTTATACTACTCTATAGTTTAATCTGGATAAATTACTGTAATAAATTATATTTTTATCGTATAAAATATTATGCCCCATAGTATTTAAATTAATATAATGTTTTAAATTAATGATATACTAATTAAACCAGCATTTTTGGGTCATTTAATTAACAGTATAAAAAAAAATGTGTAAGTATAATACATACTATTGCATGTTGGTTTCCTTGAATTTTTTTTAATTAAGTTAATGCAAGTTAAACGCACTTCCAGTCATTATTTCTATATGATATCAATTCGTATTTTGTCGTGACAACATTAATTTGTATACTCATAGTTTATTCTTTTGGACGACTAGACCATTATGGTAGTCATTAATTCTTCTTCCAGATGGGAACAGGTATTTCAAATGTTTTTCAAGATGATTGTGAACATGATCACCACAGATTTGATCACCGAAGGTAGGTAATCTGTAATATAAATAATTCGAAATCCAAAAATAAGAAATAATACTTTATTCAAAGAGGCGACCAATAATACGATGATCGACCTATTCAACAGTAGTTGTACCAAGATGGATGATTGTTATTTTTCAACAGAAATGTTCTGCGATTTAACAATAAATAAGTGTCAATGTACCAGGTAATTTTGAAAATAATACTACCTATCTATAAAACTATAAACTATAAGAAGAGAACGGGTAAAAAATTGTAAGATGTCTAATTTAAAAATAGATAAATCCGTAGTGGAATTTATTTTTATGTTTATCAGAAAAAAATCAATATTATATCGTTACCCTGCCCATCATTAATTTTAAATAACTTTGTCAAGTTTTTCATCATGTACTCTTCATATAGTTATAGTTATTATAATTAATAACTATTAATTATAATACATTAGCATTTACAAAATGATTAGAAATTTTTATCTATCATTTTATTAATCTCAACAGATTTTACAATTTTAATGAAACTAATAAATTGTGTGAATTTAATATCACACGATATCTAAACATCAAGAACGGAGAGAATAATGAACATTATATGAGTACAAATAAACCCAGTAAGCATATTATATTTTTTTCCAGTCTCTCTTAAAAACCAGTACACTAAAATCAAAAAAATAATACAATATAAAGAAACATTTTATACATTGGCAATGTTAAATTCCTTACAATTTTAAAATTAAAGTACCTACTAATATTACTACTATTATTATTAGGCAAGTTTGTAATTATTCAGAGTTATATGTATAGAAAGCAACAGTTAACATTTTTGCAGAAATTGCTTATTAGAAACAAACTCTAATTTCCAAGATCATTAAAATATTTACATTTATTGTAATTTTAATTTACAACTTGTCAAAACCAACATCATTATTATTGAACAATGCCATGTATGTAATGTTCATAATTAACTGGCCTTGATGTAATAGGTATATTAAAACTTGTCTATTCTATAAAAAATATAAATATGTAATTATTTATTTTACTTTGATTTTATCATGTACTTATATACTAGTAAATACTAAACTGGTAGATTATCACTGCTAACTATATAAATATCATTGGACTTTTTCTTGATTCATTTAAATATTTTTTTGTATAATAAGGGTATATATTGTACAAAAATACTCTAATATTATGCTATACACCTATAATTTTTTTTACCCATACAGTTTCAATGTAATACATTTTAATATTAGTTAAATATACACAGTAATATACATAGAATACTCATAAATATTGCTTTTTGACAATTTTCATTCGGTTTCTATATATCACTTCTTAATATTGTATTATAATATTACTTAAGGTTAGTAAATCTACACTTTTTAATGCAGTTATATAATGTATTTTTTTCAGATGTATCACTAACTGTTGATCATGGAATTTCACTGAATTGGCGTATAAAAAGTGTATTAATTCTAGGATTTCTATCTTTCATATTATTAACAATATACGCCTGTCGTCCAAGAAAGGACAGAAATAATTTGATTAGATTATTAGCCAAGGAAAAGGAAACTGCGTGTAAAATGAATATTATGTCAACTGGAGTAATATTACACGAATAAAATAATTTAATTTGTTGAAATCTTATCAACATTAAAAATTAAAAATTAGAAAAAAAAAATAGTTTACAAATTGGTATAAGTCTTATTGTAAGGAATATTATAAAACTCCAATGATTAAAAAAATATTAAATTTTCTCCATGTAATTAAAATTAATTATTGTTATAAAATAATGAAATGTGTAAGTCGTTGTTTTTGTACTCAATTCTTTTTTTCTTGTATATCATCGATTTCATCCCCATTCTGATTGGGTACATCTGGCTTCTTTTCATCTGCAGTGCCCTCTACCTGCTTTGACTTACTGAGTCTAAATTTTGATCGTTCTAATCTTTTTCGCTGATTTTTTGTTAACTTGTTTGTCGATTCTCTTGGCTGGGCATTGGGACAATCAGCTATAAGGTGATCTGACGCCTTGCAACTGTGGCAGCGTTTAGGCATTGGCCCCAACGTGCATTTGGCAGCTATATGATTGGCGAAATCTCCACAGTTATAACATCTGTGAAAAATAATTAGAAATAGATAAATCATGCACGTATTATCAGTAAGTTTAACAGTAAATTTACCTCAGTATTTTTGCCGGATAAACTTTTTTTGAGCCTTTACAAAATTGACCCCCTGGACCAGTAACTAGAGTAGCTTCTAAGCCCTTGTCCGATTCGTGACATGAAAATTCAACAAGCTCGTTTTCTCTAAGGGATCGAAACCCGTCTTTTTTGATGACTCTCTACGAAAAAAAAAAAAAAAAAGACATTAGTTAAACTATTTAGCTAATGAATACCACGTAGTTGTTTTTTTATATTACCTGATGAACAAAAATGTCTTTACCGCCATCATCCGGAGTGACAAATCCAAAACCTTTTTTCGAATTAAACCATTTGCAAATACCTCTACGAATACCTTCAGGTAATTCTTCAGTTTTGGATACAAATGATCCTAACTTTATTATATCGATATCAGTCGACGATTGGCTATCATTTCCATTATTACTTGGTTTTGTATTAGTTCCAATGGACAAATCTTTCAGGTGGCTAATTTTAGAAGTAGGATCTTCCACGTCTTCAATGTGATCTAAAAAAATTAAAATATTTTCTTAGTGTTTTTACATTTAATGTTACCAAATATTATATATTTTAGTACTAAATAATATTGTATTTACTAATATTTATTTTACAATGAAAATCCGTGCATTATCAATATAAAAGTTATAATTTATTTTATACCTAAACAAAATTATTTTATAATACACAGTTTATACATTCTAAATACTAAATATTTTATCAGGTTTAAAATAATAGTAAAATACGGATGGTTACGTTTTGCGTAGGTACTATATGCGTGGATTTCAGATATCGGTTGATATGATTTGCAGGTTAAAGAAAAGCTGGGCAACATCGAACGTAGGTGGGCTACTGTTGTAGATGAGAAGTTGGGAAGATAGTAGAGGGGAAATTTAATGTATATTTATAAGTATCTATAAATCAGTTAATAGTATCAATTTATCAACAATATGTCATATTAAGGTAAAATAATTACAAAGGCATTATATATTTTCTTTAAAAATATTTGTTTAATTTTGTACCTATTTTCTCGGTTTTTCTACGTTTTTCCAGTGTTTTATCATGATTCCAGTGTTTTTTAACACTATTTTAAATTTTTTACCTATACTCCTTATACCTGAAATAAGTATTTACTTTGAATTTTTAAATAGCAACCTCCCTATTTCAATCACAGATTCAAAAAATAGAATATTTTTATAGAAATTTTCCTAGGAAATAATAACTAATCAAAATATTATTATTATATAGTATTGTCTGAAATATTTTTACAATTGTAATTACTCGTAATTACGAGTTCCTACGCTAGGGTTAAATAAAACGTGTGATACAAATACAGCAAGAGTTTATTATGATACTCAAGCCAGTTAAAATGTTTATTTAGTTTTTGTTCAATTGAAACTTTTTTTATTTTTTTTTAAGAGGGATTGCTTACAATCTAAAATTAATAGGTAATAAAAATTATTCATATAAATCCTAGACATTTTTTAATGAGACGTATTGTCTGCAAGAGATATTTCCATTAGAGATATTTTTTACTGGAGATATTCTTAACTGGAGATATTTTGTCATAGATATTATGACCAGAGATATTTTGACTTGGAATCAAATTTTGATAAAATACTAATATTAGATTTACCATTCATGGGTTACAACAGTTTAAAATCTAAACCGGATTAATATAAAAGAGTTAGAAATTTATCATTTTAAAATAAGTAGACAATTTATTACATTAAAATTAATTAATTAAATAACTTAAATAAATTTAATTAAAATGTATTAACAAAAAATTGTTTTTAATTTTATCAAAATCGAATTATATACTTATTTTGTACATTATATTTATTACTTTTTTTTTTAATTTTTAATTTTTACATTGCATATAACACATGCATCCTCGAATAATTAAAATCAAATAGCAATGATTATTATGAATGATGGGTATGCAAAAATGTTAATTCTCAATATCGTTATGAAATAATATTGTATTGCTATATATCAAGCCATTGAAATAATTAAAAATATCAAATATTTTACAAAATGTCAGATAACAAAATTATTGAAAAAAATGTTCGTGATTTTTATATAGTAGCTCTCTGTTATTCTTGAATTACTGAATTAAAAACAGTTTTATAGAATAAAAAAAAAAGCTGATACTGGGGACGGATGCAGCCACTGTTGTAGACGGGAAGTTGAGAAGGTAGAATACATAACGTTATTTCATTTATATCCGTAAGCAACGATAAACGATTTCTGACGAAAGACGATTCCGAACGTAGTTCGGTAATTTTTTTTGAATTTTCGTTAGAATTTGATTTCAAAATGTTTATTGAAAAACAAAAATATGATCTCTTATCGTTTTATAAATAGAGTCATATTTGTGCTAGAAAACGTATTTATTTAAAATAACGAAATCGTGAAATATTCTTATTTTTTTTCCCAGTTAATCGTTTTTTTTTTAAATGCCGTTTCAAAAATCAAAAAATAACCTATGTATTTACCAAGTAGATAAAATTTATTTTTAGAAAAGGTGCTACACTTGTATATTAGAGCAAGTTTTCTAAAAGTGGTCTACAGTATAAAAAAGTATCATTGGAAAAAAAGTCATCCGATGATTTTGGAAATTTTATCACATCTAGTTAAGTCCAACATAAGTATGATTACCAAGTTTCAAGTCTCTACGTGTATTTATAACAGAATTAAATCCAAAAAACTTCCAATTAATATTCCTTAAAAGCTCAAAAGTAGCTCGAAGTTTTGGCGATAATATCGTAAGAAAGTAAATCCAAAAGGCAAAAAAAACCCATCATGGGTACCACCCTTGACTACCGGTTTCGTCACCACTAAGCATAATATGTATGTATTTATAATATTTAATATTATACAAATGTATCTACTTAAAAAATTATATTTTATTGCTATATTGTTACGTGTACTTATTAAAATATATGCACCGAAGATGCCTGATGCGACTGATACGGTGGACTGCAAACACGGTTTCTAAATAGGTAATTTTTAACACAGAAAAAAAAAAATACAAATTTCGTCGTGAAAGAAATGCACATTGTATCCATATAGGTATATTTTTTAACTTATATCAGAAGATTTTTTTAATATACATTATTGTTTCAACAAATATTTTTTTCTTTTTAATTTTAAAACGAATAAAAAACCGAAAACATTTTGTTACTTCTGCATTAATAGGCAATAGGTTTAAGTATTATATTATTATAATCAAACTCCTACAAAATGTCATACTATAAAATAATCTGACATAGTGCATAATTTATAAATTATAGACCGGTCGAGACAATACTATAGCAAATAGCTATGTACACTAAAACTGCAGTATTTAAGCGAAATTTTGAATGAAATAACTCGTAGCTAAGTAGTGTTATATAAATTATTAGAAAATGAGAAGTGAACATTCTATAAAAACCGAACCCATCGTTTTATATAATCTAAGTAATATTGTACATTGTATTATTTCATTGTATATTAGTTGTTCGTAAAAATAAAAAATATAGGTAGAATTAATTATTGACGATTAATTAACTTACTAATTCTTAGTATTTTGTTATCTCGAACATACAAATATGTATACAATGTTTTTTTTTATTATATTATTATACAGTTTGTATTGAATCAATTGTATACGTTAATGACACAATAATATTACAATATTGAAAACTATACCGGATGTAAAATTATCATCCCGTTTTAAATTTTAATCTGTAGTTTAATATGCATACAATATAGTATTTACAATTTTTTTTTTTTTTGATATAATATATACCTTACATAGTTGAGGGGGCTCGTTATGGGTATCAAATATATTACTGTAATACAAGTACTCCTTTGAAGCGCTTTTCGGAAGAAAAATCGGGAGATGGAGTCGTATTATGGCTGATTTAAGCAAATATATTTTTAAAAAATGAATTTTAAGTAAAGAATATTTAGTAATAATTAGGCATACAGGTTTATATATCTATAACGAATATAGGTATACATTGTCCTAAAAGAATAGGGATAGTCCTAGTGATATTATGATAGGTATAGAATGATACGGTAAGGTTAGGTTATGTTAGGTGAGGTCAGATTATGAATAAGTATCAATGAACATTATTTTATCTTTAACGCATAATTGCGGTATTTTTTTCAATTATATATTAATACGATTATTATTACTGGTGCTGTTGCAGTAACAAAAAATAATAGTAAAACAAAAGGAGTATTTATATTATTTTATAATAACGATTTTTTTTTTTTGTTTTTTCTGCTGATCAATATTATTGATCTTTGGCACTTCTGTATAATATAATAAATTATAATATTATACATGTATTGAAAAAACCTAAAGGTGGGACGAGACACCCAACGCCCTCCTCAAATACGTCACTATTTTAATATTGTGTTATAATATAGTATGTACTCGTATATCTGCGCAGTATCAAAAATTGTTTTTCATTCAGAAACAGTGAAAATATTAAAAAATACTATCCTCGCCGTACTATCATCGTTATATTATTATTATTATTATTCGGGTTTACATTGAAACGATAACTGTGTTATATACTTATATTATAAATACTCGAATGTGCTCAGATCCGGTTACTGTAACAATATGGAAGATAGGCGCCAAGTATTCCCGGGAGGAGAACAGTGATTTCATTTAGTTAATGTTCACATGAATGTGTGTGTGTGTGTGTGTGTGTATTGTGTGTTTTTTATCGACATTTTTACATAATCATACACAAATATTACATCACTATAAAACATAAATAGGACTATAATAAAAATATTATGACGTACGACAAGCAAGTATAAGAAATACTTGCCGTTGCGTTAAAATAGTTCAATTATATTATATCTACTTACATTGTTATATAGGTTAGAAATTAAATTTGTGGTATTTTTTTCTCATTTAATAATTCCAAGTTTCAAGGCCACGACCTCCATGGAATTCTAATTCATGAATGGATTTACATTTTGGAAAGTTTTGAAAATAACAAAATAGGTACGCTCGCGTAAACTGCCGACAGTTTAAATATAATTTAGACTAGAAAATATTATTAGGCACCTAAGTTTTTGCTAAATAACATTGAATAATATAAACTTTACACGTCAACAGGTCTTCTTAATGTATTATTAGTACTTATAAAAACTACAATAGTGCATATACGCTTCATATACTCGTTATAATAAAAAAGGTGAGATAATGGGGATGGGTTGTAGATGGGAAGTTGGGAAGATAGGATACAGACAGTAATTTAATATATATCTGTAAGCAACGATAAACCATCACTAACGAAAAAACGATTATGAGCGGAGTTCAATTAATAGCTTTATCAACAATATATATGCCATATTATAGTAAAATAATTAAATTGGCTCTACATGTTTTTTTTAATAATATTCGTTAATGGAAGAACCGATTTCCCTGGTTTTCCTACGTTTTTCCCAGTTTTTCACATTTACTGAGAAAACTCCGGAGAAAATCGGAAAGAAAAAATAACCTCTCTAAAGTACCTTTTCAGTGAAATTTCCTTTTAGAAAAATTGCTGGTAAAAAAGTTGTCCACAGAAAAATAAAATTAACATTTTTGTGAAACCATAAGCTTCTTCACTCCAATCAGAATCTAAAAATAAAAAATAACCATTTCTCCGAGCTACTGTACGGTTTTACTAACAATAATATTATATTAATTATTAAAATTTAAAATCATTCCATAGATTTATATATTAGGTTATATATTGATCATTTTTTTGAAACTAATATTTATCTACTCGTGTATAATGAAATTCGTTATACCAACAGTCTAGTTAACGTGTAAGTATATATCAGTACTAATATACTATATTGTAAAGAATGTACCAAACAAAACGTTTAATAAAATATTTTATTTTTCTCGATTAATTAACCATTGATATTAAGAGTAGTGGTCTTTCCATCAATTTTTTTGAGAGTATTATATCAACTTGTATCTTTTATAAGGTATTTTTTACATACTTCTAGTTAGAAGTATAACTATAAGAGGTGACGTGGAAAATTAAGTTTCTTAGAACGTAAATTATTGCAATGTTTTGGTTGAAATTATAAAGTTTAAACACAGATCGCAAAGTCAAATATTTATTGCATTTATTTATAACAGTTATTTAAAATTACTAGCTTTTTGTTTAACAATATTTTAAAAAAATTGACATGCATCGCTCAAAAAACTATTATTTTCTTTTAACTTTATCATCTATGTTGTCTCTGTTTTATAAACGCACGACATTCCAATTTTGTAATCAGCAAAACCGATTTAATAATAATAATTATTAATTAAAGTTAGATAACCAAGTCTAAATACTTTTATTTTAAGCAGCGTTTATCAACAATATTTTCTATGTTAATGTGTATGAAATATGTATCATTCAATATATATTAAAAATGAATAAGCTAGTTAGGCTCTGTTCAAATTTTTTTTTACCACAAAGTACGGCATTAAATGAACCTCATGTTACATTCTGAAGTATTTCTGTTTGGTCCAACAATTTTATCCACAGAGTACTCACCGAATAAAAATCACGTATAAAACTCTCAAAATTAAAATATCTATAAATTGCTCAACAATTTCACCACGTAAAAAAAGGCAAATATAAGTTTTCTGTCCAAAATTTTAATAAGTCTCTATGAATATTTTTAACTGAATTACAACAAAAAACTAAATTGAAATTAATAAAAGCATTATTTTCGTAAATTTGTTCGTTTTTCTTACGTTTTATCCTGGGTTTTCCTAATATTATGAAAACTGCTTAGAAAATCAAAAAATGAAATTCCTAAAGTACCATCTAGTCGATATAACAATATTTTTTTTCGAAAAAAGGTGCTACAGTTACATATTTAACCAAGATTTCTGGTAGAAACTTTTGTCACAGAATAAAAAAAAAAAAACATCATACAATAGGTAAATCCAATACGTACCTACATTTTTCACTACGATCTGAGCCTAAAATTTAAATTAAATTAATCATTTCCAATTTTAATTCTAAAAATATATTATTATATTATATCTTTGCAAATTGATTGTTCCCACATAGTCTTTCATTGTTCTATATCACCCTTGAGTGAATATTTAAAAATTTAAAAAATAACTTTATTTTATTGTTTTTGAAAAATTTTAAGATAGCCATTCTGTAGAATTTATTTTTCTGAAAATTTTAATGTATTACACATTTACATCCGATGAATAGTTTCTATGTATAGATAACAGCCGTTTTAAATTCTACTAATCCGTGTGAAAACCAATGTTATCTAGAGAATAACCTAACCATGTTACGCAATAACATCGGTTTTCACACGGAGTAGTGCTATGTATATAATAGTTATATATTTCGGATAGATCTTTGTGGGACAGCCTGTATATTATATTATTTTAAATGAAAAAAAAAATAAACACAGGTGATTATTGGGTATAGATTATTGTTTCAATTAAAAATACTATAACACTTGTTTGGTTGTTTTTTATTCTTCAGAAAAAATTTTAGGGAAAATAAATAAAACATTTTTAAAAATGGGTATTAATCAGATGAAAAAAAAAAAACAGGTAATTAAAAAAATAATCAAATAGATATTCAAATCATATGGTTTTCGTATATTATTGCTTATTGTCATTAAAAATTCTGCAATATTTTTTCAATTTTTATTTATTTGCTCGCATGGCATATAATGAATCTCCTATCAAATTTGCAAGCATTTTTATTAAGTCTAACATTTTTATCTACACAGTTCCTAAAAAATAATAATTACGTAAAAAGCGGGCTTTTATTTAAAAAATGACGTTGAAAATCAAAAAATTTTTAAAGTACTATTTACACAATTTAAGCTTTCAGAAAAATTATTATACGTAAAATTCGGAATAAGTTTAATAGGAAAAAACTTATCTACAGACTAGAACAAAGAAGAAAAAAAAAACATCATTGTGTTATTAATAGCTCCCTCGCTACGCTCAAAATCTAAAATAATAAAAGAACTATTATTATTTCCATTCTTTCTAGGTATTTTTTTATTTTTCCAAGTTAATAAAAAACTGCAAAGAAAATAAAAAAACGACTTTTTTAATCACTAAAAAGATTAAAAATTCTCTTGTCGTTTTTCTAGTAATAATTATGTAATAATTAATCTAATAAAGTAATAATTATGGTAGAAAACAAGCTGTAAAAATGTAAAATAATGAAATCGTTGCGCCATAAATTTATTAGTTTTCATTTTTCGATTTTTCTCAATTATTAAAAAAACTATCAGAAAAATCAAAAATAAAAAAAAGGGCTGATTCTGGGGACGGGAGCGGCCACTGTTGTAGGTGAGAAGTTGGGAAGGTAGGATACATAAGGTTATTTCATTTTTATCAGTAAGCAACGATAAACCATTGCTAACGAAAGACGATTCCGAGCGCAGTTCGATAACATAAGGTTTGAAGTGCCTTATTTTTTTTTTAACCTAACCTTCCAATGTTTTTTTCGATTATTATAGAAAATAATTCGAAAGTCAAAAAAAACGAACTGCATCATTAAAAACAAGATTAATAATTCAATAAAAAAGATCTCTTGTCGTGTTTCAATTGGAAGCCATCTTTGTGCTAGAAAACGTGGTAGGTATTGATTTAAAATAATGAAATCATGAAGAAATCGTATTTTTTTCCCGGTTAATCGTTTTTATTTTATCAATATAAGTATTATTACCAAGTTTCAAGTCTCTACGTGGATTAATAACCGAATTAAAGTAAAAAAACTACCAAAATATTAAAATTTCCTAAAAACTCAAAAGTGGCTTAAAAGTTTTGGCGATAATACAGTAAGAAAGTAAATCAAAAAAGCAAAAAAAGGTGTCTTGTGATTTTTCGATTAAATCATTTTTTCTGGTAAAAGACGTCGTCCGTATTTTTATAAAATAATAAAATCGTACGTTTCCCTACGTTTTATCCCACACTTAAGTGCTTTTATTTTTAAAAAAATGATCTCTCTAAAGTACAATCTAGACAACTCGAGATTTCAGAAAAGGTTCTACACTTATACATCGGAGCAAAAATTAAAAACAATAGAAACTAAGTACAACATATGTAACTTACCTTGTGTTCAATTTTCAAGCATTTCTGGAATTCTCTTCAGTCAAATAATTTTAATAACAGAAAGCTACCAAATATAAATAAATATAAAAAACGAAAATATTAAATACCAATAAATAGCTTAAAAATATTTAGAAACTTTGAAAATTTGACTACGTCTACAAAAGGCCAACAAAAATATTTTTAAAACTACAGATCCCTACAATAATATTGATAATCAAATAACAACAAAAAACTCTAATAAACCTAACTAATTCACCAACTAGACAAAATTTCCTTTCAGAAAAGGTACTATACTCATCTATACATCAAACCAATATTTCTGGTATAAAATTTTTTTACAGATACAAAAAAAAAAACACACAATAGTAAAACCAATCGCTAAACTCCGAATCTAATAATAAAAACATTTTTTCGTAAATTTTCCCTTTCTTTTTAAATTTGTTCATTTTTTCCTAAATAATATGAAAACCACTTGAAAAATCAAAAAACGGATTACAAATTAAAAATGCAACAATAAAGGTATCTTGTTATTTCTCTACTAGAGCAATATTCCTGATAAAAAAACAAGCCGTAAACATTTAAAATAAAGGAACGTGATTCCGTAAATTTATCAGTTTTCATTTTTCGTATATAAATGACAAGTACATCAATATTTTTCAATTCACCTACAAATTCATTATTATTTTTAAAATAATTATTAATTCATTATTAATACCTTTTTATACTATTTTTTTACTTGGGGTTTTTGCCTCAATTCGTACAACATATGGTCTTTCTTATAATATTTTGATAAAAGATTAATTTTAATTCACTATTTTTATTGAAACTAACAACTCAAAATAGATTTTTAACGCGAATTTGCCATGTCGTACGTTTGTAAGACTGAGACAAATGCATGCATAAATAGTCCTTTTAATAAGTTAATATTTCATTTTCGTGTAAGTATAGAAAATGTGTACTAGTGTAACATTATTGTAAGATAATACCTATATCAAAAAAAAGGTATAGGTACCTATATTATCTCTCTTATACTCGTATATATTCATCGTGCAGTGTGCACAAAATAATACTGCTTTGATTGAATCAGATATACAATCGGTTTTTTTTTTTATAGAAATATAGCAATACACGGTGCATTTTGGTTTTGGCACATGGCGCTGCATATAAACCTAACCTATAAATGTGGATATACAATACACACGGACCATCTGCATTTCGACGACGTCCCGTTTACCTGCAGCTCACACGCGTTTCTGATTTTCTACCCTTATAATACAATATATATATATAAATATATATAGCGAGTGTGACGGATGGAACCTACCCTTAAATGCACAAGTAGGTAGGTAACAATAATATATAGGAAGGAGAAAAATATGTTTGAAAACGCCAGCTGCAACACCGCAACGACGCCGGTATTTCTTACACACACACGTAGCGCGTCGGTATATATTCAGTAGATATGCGATATGTGATCTTTTTGATATCTAAGCAACTATATTTATATTGACTATAACGTATATGTACAATCGAATACCTCGTGTTTTTTTCATTATTTTATTATCATATAATATTGTTACCTGCCTAAAATAAAAATCAGACGACTTTTACATGATTTAGTTTATTTTTTGCTATGCAGTATTTTAATATAACTATCTACGTATCTGGTATAAGTATTTTCAAACGAAAAACTAAAAAAATTGAAAATTCCCTTACAATTTTTTTAAATTATATGTACATTTATGTACGAGTATAATATAAGTAAATTTTTATTATATCTAATAAAAAAAAAATTCGTTATATTATAATAACGTATATAGATAAATAATTATGTAATTTGTTATCACCTATTATATATTATAATCTATTTTTTTTTAAAAAATGATCTACGTTTATAGAATTAAAATTAGAAAAAAGACGAATTAAAGAATTTTATGAAATACGAAACTAATTTTATTTCATATGATACGTTTTAAATAGTTTTAGCGTTATTTAGTGTTAATATTTTAATTATACTAATATGTAGTATGTTTATACACTATACAGGCTATCCCACGAAAATATACCCTTTGGATATATCCAGAGATAATAAAAATAATCAAATTCTGTTTTTATATTACGTCTTATATTTGAAAACCGATGTTATCTAGAGAATAATCTAACCGCATTACGCGATAACAACGGTTTTCACATGGACTAGTAGAATTTAAAACTGATGTTAGAAACTATTCATCGGTTATAAATGTATGATACATTACAGTTTTCATAAAAATAAACTACTGAATGGCGATCTTAAAATTTTACGAAAATAATAAAATAAAGTTATTTTTTTAAATTTGTTTACTAAAAAAAAAATGTAATTAAAATATAAGTTTTTAGTCCTCATCCCTTGGTAAATAGTAATAATTTTACCATAGCTGGTATATTGATGAAAACGGGTAAGTCACGAGAATTTTATTATAAAATACCTTCCTATGCTGTATCCATAGACTATTATAGTGAAGTTAATTAATTGTTAATATATTTATGAAAAATTTCATAACAATACCATTAATATCAATATGTCTGAATTTCTAAAAGCCGTCACAGTGATATTTACTATCTGTCTTTCTAACGGGTATTACACATATAGCGAAAATATGTTCACGCAACGAGAAGACCTTTAAAATATTGATTTAAAAAAAAAACACGTATTGTAAAATATATAGACAACATTCGTTTGTGTTTTTTCAAATATTAATTATTAAAATTTACAGATATTAAAAAAAAAATAAATAATGAAGATACGATTATTTTGTAACTTCGATATAATAGTATTGAATATTTAAAGAATTGTAAAACGAGCACGAATTCGTCTCTTAAATTCTTAATATCGTGTATTGTTCATTTATACATAGTGTTTTATGGTGACGATCAGGGATGATTTTTTTTAACATTTTTATATTCTACGTAAATACATTTGCGGATCGGCTTTAGAACGCTAGACATTAATGTATTAATTATTAATTATTTCTTACGGTGTATTTAGTATATTATGTAATATATTTGTATAATATAATACAGTGACGTAAATTGGTCTAAATTTCTGGTGGTGCAGAGAAATCTTTTAATTTATAACCTACCAATACTCCAACTTCCTTTGTAAATTACCACTTAATAAAGAATTTATTTTTCTGTAGGTATCAAATTTGTTTTTATGAAATTAATATATTATAAGTATTTAATTATTTTAATAGTAAAAACTTTATTAAGTATTATAACATTTGAAGAAAAATTATAGATAGGTACTTGTTTAATAAAAAATAGAAACTTTTAAAAATAGAAACTATAGGTATATACGTTTTTATATCGTGGAACGTTGTTATATTAGATGTAGCATACACTGTCGTTCGCTACGCTTCTTTTATTTTACTTAGCCCGTGCAACGACCGTTGCATTGGATAATTAAGAATAGTATAAATTTGCCTATTTTAGGCATTCTAAATTACACAGTAATACCTATACATATCAATGGCGTAGATAATATTTTTTTCTTGACTGGTTTAAAAATAGAACTCAAAAGTCAAAAGTTTATTATAAATATATTTAATGGGAAATTTATTATTGTTATTTATAATTAGCAAAGCTAAATAGGAATTAAAATAATATTAAAATTACAACAAAAATGTTAAATATTAATATTATAATACATAATCAACCTGACGTTTATTGTTTGCCGACTCTTGTTAAAGCCAAACTCTAAACTCAACAATTATATCACAAAAATATTCATGTTCAGTCTTTAATCAGTTTCTAGTTTTTCAATAATTTGATATTATATTAATATTTTAGATTCTGGGCCGATCGAAGAATGTATTAGTTTTACAATGTTTTTTTTTTTTTCTAGGAACAACTTTTCTACCAGATGATTTTTGATCCGATTTTCAATTGTTGCACTTTTTTTTTTTAAAGGAAATCTGAATGAGGAGGTACTTTAAAGAGGTTATTTTTTTGATTTTCTCAGGATTTTTCTTAATAAATTAAAAATCTTTGAAAAAATGTAGGAAAAATGAGTAAATATATGAAATTTATTATTTTCAAATCGTAAATATTACGGCCTTTCAAAACACGTATAACCGAATCCCGCTCAGAATCGGTTTTTGTTAGCAATGATTAATCTTTGCGTTCAGGTATACGTTAAATTTCCCTTCCAATTTCTCACCTAGAGCAGTGGCCCAACAATTGTGCGAAGTATGTCCGTTTGTTTTTAATCATAAATTTGTTTTGATACTGGGGAGTTTAAACCCCTTACCCACCCGTAAATACGAAATACAATATTATTTTATTAATATTATAGGTATACGTAAAACATTATGTAAATATATTATTGTTCTTACGGGAAATGCAGGAGAAATACTGTGAAATACTACTCACAATGAAGAATCATAATATTATGAAAAAAATTATAATAGCCAAACTCGAGATTTTTTTTTCAAAACAAACAAAACGTCTACCTAATAATCTATACATATAAAATCCAAATACCACTGACTGACTGATCGCTGTATCTCAAAAACTACGTAACGTACGGACTTGAAATTTGGAATATAGGTTCTTTTTATATTTTCACCGTGCAATAAGGAGGGATTTTCAAAAATGTTGCGTTTTAGTGGAATAATTAACGATTATAATTATTCACTGCCAATACGTATTGTGCGGCACGGCGGCCCGCGGGTTTCCAGCTACCTGCAACCTATCCTTTTTGTTCGTCGTCGTCATCGTCGTGTAGATAAGAATAATGATTCCGAGAATAAAATTGTTCCGAGAAGTTTATCGGCCCATCAACAAAATTATCTTTCTATTGATAATCTGACTGATCAAGATAATGCTATTGATATTCCAATTGAATTTTTGAATTCTTTGAATCCATCAGGACTTCCTCCGCATAAACTGGACGTGAAAATTGGGGCTCCAATAATACTTATGAGGAATTTAAATGCACCGAAATCATGCAATGGTACTAGATTACGGATAGTAACTATGCAGAGGAACGTGATTGAAGCTAAAATTCTTTCTGGCTCAGTCCAAGGTCAAGTTGTTTTCATTCCCAGGATACCAATGATTACTAATGAATACCCGTTCGAATTTAAACGAGTACAATTTCCTATAAAGCTTTGTTTTGCTATGTCTATCAATAAGGCACAGGGACAAACACTGAAGGTTGCAGGCCTTGACATCACGAATCCCTGTTTTACCCACGGATAATTTTATGTTGCTTGCTCCCGTGTCAGCTCGGCAAAAAATCTATATGTGTATGCGCCTCACCAAAGAACAAAAAATATTGTTTACAAAGAAGTATTATAACCTTAATAGAAATATGTATAGAGATAATATATAAATTAATAAATAAAAAAAGGTATAAGAAAATAGTAGTTTTTTCATCCTCATTTTTTTTTATATAAAATAGATGAATACCTCCCGGGCGAAGCCGGGTAAACCAGCTATATATATAGATATTAGATTATTATGTATATTATCGATAATTATGAATTTAAGACGGTAAATGGTAATATATGGCGTTATCTAATTTGTCACGAATTTGTTTCCGGGTAACGCCGGGTAATTCAGCTAGTATTATTATAATCACGACGCTGCATTTGTATACGACGGTGAGTGTTGAAAAACACCTGTATAAGTATATAATATTATTACCCTATAATTTTGACTATTTTTTTTCGAATAGTATAGTGTTTTATTATCGCATTATAATGTTATACTGTAAGCTTAGTAAATATAGGTACCGTAAACTAAATTTCATTATTTTTGTTAAATTATTTAATTACCTATATTATATTTTTTATTTTTATTATTTATAAGTTTGTCTGAATATATCAGGAGATTATAATGTTTATAATCGTAAACTATTTTAGTTTTTGTACTTTAAATTAAAAATGCACGATAATAGAATCACAACAATGGTAATATTATGGCATAATATGTGACCATATAGTACAGTATTAGAATAATAAGAGGGTGTTCATCGTTTCTATACAATAACAATCCCGTATAAAGAGGAGGTAGTTTAGGGGTTTACCCCCTCCCCCCGAGAATCCAAAAGCAGATATAGATTTATTATACAACACTAATTACAATAGTTCACGTACTAAAAATATTTTTAAACCCCAACCCCTAGAAATTGAACCTGAATATGTGCTTGTAAAATAATATGATAATAATATTGATACATTTCATATAAGGTATACGTGTGATAAGATAAAACCAGAGATAAAACTCATGTGTACAATCGCCGAATTTAATATCATTAGAACTTTAAACTTATCGTAAACAAAATAGCCTAAAAATAGCACAACTGCGTCGTTAAAAAAATATAAAATAAATAATATTCGTTCGAATATACTGCGGAATTAATACAGTTACCAGTTGGTATTCGTATTATAAGTACCTAATACTTTTAATATTCGATATACTGCGGCACAAGAGACGTTCATGTCATTAGGTATGCGTCGGACACCGATATAATGACAATAAAACTTGCGTTAGAAAGCTTACCTAATTAATAGTTACGACGATTATTTTCAAAATAAATATAAACTATACTCACCTAGCTTGTATAATAAATGTTTTTTAGCATTATTTTTAAAATTTCGGACAATTTATTCGGTGTGGACGACATTGTAATGTATTTTATACGATTTTAAACGTAATTCGTCATCGATAAGAGATTATATTATTGTTAGTATTCATGTATTATTATAATACGCAAATTAAAAAAAAAAAAAAAAAATGACTCACCGCCGTTCGGATAGATCTTTATCATTCGAATGTCCGTAATATTTTCACTCATGATTGGTGTCGTACAGCAGCTTCGCAATAATTTAAGTGTTTGGATCTAAGATAAAAAAAATACAAATACAAAAACCAAAATAAGTGTTAGAGTTTAATTATATGGACGTGTACTTAAAAACGACAAACGTATCGAAAACAACGCGACGCACTGAGATATAAACAGAGCGAGAGATAGTGAGAGCGCTGTTGAGTGAGAGAAAGAAAGAGAGAAAGAGGGAGAGAGAGAGGACGACACAGATATACCAAACACCTACCGAAATGTCAAATATGTAATATTGCAGTCGGGAAATATATCGTCTTATTTATTATATTCTCCGATGTGACGGTGTCTGGGTCACACAGTACAATAAACCGTCGACGCAAAAAGCCCGTGATATATTATAATGGGTTGGTATTATTTATGTACGACGCACATGAATATTTTCGATGGAACTCGCGATTTTCGTGCGTTTTGTGAAAAATATACCGTTAACACGTAACGATCAACAAATTTGCATATTATCGGGATGATGGAAAAAACTCGTCGGACATTTAGCGGGCGCACAGTCGTGGTCTAGTCGTCATCGTCGTCAGAGAGCGATTACCTGTAATAATAATAATATTCCAGTGATAGTACGCACCAGGCCCGGTGCACGTTTTCGTAGTCGTTCGGCGGGTTCCTCCGGCGGTGGTGGCGTCGGTGACGGCAGTGGAGGTGGTGGCGGTGTTAGTGGTCTTAACAAACGAAAAACGCGACCGACGTGCGTGTGCGGTGCGGTAACGGCGGCGGTCTCCTCGGGGTGGCGTGCGACGCGTAAATAGTGCGTGTATGCGCGCGCGCCGGGCCGCCGGACGGGGCACTTTTCCCGGCGTACGATCCGATCCCCCAACCAAAGAATGAACCTGCACGGCGCATGCGTCCGAACGTAAATCACTCCCATCCGAAGAGGGCCCCAGTCACGATATAGTGGCCGACTGGCTGACTGGCTGCCCTCGTGTGACTGTATTTTAGCACCATACAATAAAATATATTATTTTAATATATATAGTACCCATTGCGATGGTAGTACCGGGATGACGCTGTCACACCGGGGCTGGTCGACCCGGCTTTTGACGCGTCGTTACGGTGTCCCGTATCTACCCGCCCGTCCCGTCCCGTCTCGACGACGCCGGCCGCGGTGTGCGCACGATGTGCACGCGCGTTTGTGCGTCTCACCCGTGTTTTCTACGTCGTATATTATTATGTTGTACCGCGCATTTCGTTTCCCTTCCATTTTCAATGCGCCGTCACCGTGCCCGAGACATCGAGCAGCAACCCTCTTTACCGCGTGACTCGGTGGCGCGCACGCCGCCGGTAACCGGACGACGACGAGAAGTAGTAGTAGGAGACGCGTGTGTTTTTGCCACCGTCGACCCGAAGATACGACGCATGTTCGTGCAGCGAGATACTGCGTTTTTACAATAATAAACCATGACCCGCTCGTTTTCGAACCCCGTGAACGACGGTGTTGACGTCGGTCGGCATAGAGAAAGAGAAAAAAGGCTCCCTAATACACATACCACGCACGCACGCACACACGACGAACCACTACCATGTCAAATACTCGGGGTGGTAAAATAACCGTCGGAAAACCGTCGTTTACACACATACGCGCGCATATAGTATTTTGAATAATATACAGAGTGATTCTTTTATCACTATCAGATTTTGTCTATTATACGAAGAATTTGTGTGAATTTGAGATTTTTTTTTCAATGTCGAATCCTTTAACGACGATCGCATTTTTAAATCACGAAATTTTTTTTCAATTGATTCGAATTATACCTAACAGAATATATTAGTTCACGTACCTATATAGAAGAACTGTATTATATTATCCGTATAATGGTGCACGATAAAAATATAATTTAATATTTTTACTCCGGTAACCAAAGTAATAATAATCGCTCTAAATCTGATAAGGGATTATATATTGAGGGTGAATTGGTTTTATAGTATATTTTTTTTATACATTTCCCTGCGAATCGTAATACAAACGACTTGTGCGGCGTAAACGTGCCCATAAGAAATTTGTTGGTTGTAAAAAGAACGACCTTCCCTACATCAACATCATTCTCGGTTATAATATTTATTTTATACTTAAGTATTACGTATATATTATCTATAAGAACTGGAGTCATAAAACGTGTTTAATCCAACGAAATTATGCATTTAACGAAAACAAATACTCCAACTGTAATATTATAGCTTCACGCCATTTCGAGATTGTTACATCCACAAGTGTTACTGATATCGTATACCTAAATACGCGATAACCAATTAATACATATAAGTTAGTAAAACAACATGCATCTCCGTGTCTATAATTTTTAACACCTAGGTACTGTCATTTTTCTTCAATAAAATTCTGATATTAAATATTATAGTTGTAATTGGGTATATTAACTAGTTATCTTGCACAGCTTTACCTGTGTGCCAGTATTAAACAAAAAATAAAATAAAACCGTGTTTACCTGCGATTCCCCGTTTTCATCCCCCTCTTTGTCACTACAGTTGTTGCCCGTATATTTTTAAAAAGGCATTTTCTTGCCCGTGACAGTCTAATTAACTATAATATTTACTATTTCTTTATATTTATGTGTTACCAAAGTAACCCATAATTCAACAGAAAAAAAAAAATAAAAGTTTTGTTCCAAAAATACCAAAAACATATAATTTAGAAGTGTTATTTCCAAAAAAATGTTTGGCGATACCAGCTTAGGTTTTTTAAATTAGAACCTATATTTAAAAAAAATCCATAAATAGATGGAGTATTAGTTTAAATAAATGTTGGTGTTAACATTTTCAATTTCGGTGTACCAGTTGACGAGATATTCCACTTTTAAGTTTAGGTAGGAGGAGAGTAGTACAACAACAGTAATAAAACGCTGCGCACCGTGCCGCCACACATATGATACTCCATTGCCTTCCTCTTTTGCTTAAACATAAAAGTGGAATATTTCGTCAATTGGTTCACCGAAATCGAAAATGTTAACACCAAAATTTATTTTAACTAATACTCTAACCTATTCATGGAATTTTAATATAGATAGTTTTTCATTTGAAAAACCAATGTTGGTATCGCCACAGGATATTCCTTAAATGTAAAAAATCTAAGTACATATTTGAAAATATCGGCTTTAACTACATTAAGACGTTTCACGGAGTTAGTCCGAGAACCGAGCCCTGAGAANTCAAGATATGGAAAGATCCCCACTGCGACGAAAGGATATGTACACTTGGTTCTAAGCAGTGAAGATGAGCAAAAAACAAAACCTAACCTAACCTAACCTTTTTGTGGGTCATTAAATTTATTACGTAGTGGATATTCTACAAAATCGAAAACAACAAAAACATACTAAAAGTTTATAGTGAATTTATTTGTATATTTACTATTTAGTGATTTTGTAGTTTTAATAGCACGTTTCTAAATTTTAATATTTTGCGATGCATATTTGATGGTTCATGATAATATTGTTTAAAAATTCATTATTTTAGTTACCCGTAAATAAAAGTGTCAGTTCCAACAAATACGTGAAACAAAACTAATATATCTGTAAACAAAGATAAACCATTGCTAACGAAAAAACAATTCTAAGCGCAGTCCAGTTGATAGTGATGCTTTGTCAACAATATATATAATAAGTCATATAATGGTAAAATAATTAAATAGGCATTTGATATTTTCTATAATATTTGTTGTTATTTATTATTATTTTTATTTTATTGCCGAAAATTCGGAAAATTAAATAATCTGTGACAAATCTTAGGATAAGTTTCGTGTTGGAGTACGATACGAGTATATTTATCATTTAAAACCGATTTGGCCGTTTTATTGCTATATAACTACTAGTTCTTTTTAAAATTAAATTTTAAATTTTAACGAAAATACAATTGAATTGAACCGCTTGGAACGGACTCAGTTAGATTATGTAAATACGCAATCCAAACACAGGGTAATGTATTAAATAATATTTGTATCACCTCCGATTACATATTTTACAATTATTATTATAACCATATATAATATACTGAATAGCCATTGGTGCGAACAAATTTATTATATAATGCACTAACAGGTATATACAAAAAAAAAAAGAAAATAAACGAGAACGAGCACAAAATATTATAGGTATACAACATAAACAAAGGAGGAAACTTGTGTGGGAAGGAGTAAAGCACGTATTTTTTTTTTTTTGCAATGGGCGGAGCTTCGTATGGTTGGTTCCGCTCCGCGATGTCGGATAATATTTGCAACGCACGTTTCACACACACACCTGTACATATTATTTGCATAATCGCATGTATGCAAATTCATTGTATTCATACCCCTTTTTGTGCGCATGCGTTACACATATCTTTGGGTGACCGCAGGAAATTTATTAAGGAAGGGCATAATAAAATAAAACACTAAAAAGTACTTAAAATAAAATTATATTAATTAATTATTAAAATTATATTTGACATTTTTAAGTCCAGGGATGGGCAGATGTCCCGTCTTGCTCCCTTCCGGGTGCCTATGTATACACCTTTATATTATAACACGAGCCTTTCAAAATTCAATTGTGTTTTCTTCAAAATTAAAAATTTTATTTTAAAAAGAACTACCTATTACATAATGGTAAACTTAATTTTTTACCACTAAGTAAAATATTTTATAAATCTCGTGTGAAATATTCAAGCATTTCTGCTCGGCCAAAACAATTGTATCTATATAAAACAAATTAAAACTCTAAAAAAACTTAAAAATATCTATAATGTTTATAAATAGCTCAACGTTTGATTAAGTCTAGTAAAAGGCCAGTATAAGTATTCTGTAAACATTTTAGGGTTCAACATCCAATAATTCTTTTAACCTAATTACAATAAAAAAATAAAATCGAAAATCTGGAAAATCTGGCTGAAAAATTTAACATTAATGATTGATAAGGAAAAAAAACGAATATACTTCGCACGATGGGTGGACCACTGGTGTAGATTAGAAGTTAAGAGAAGTTGCGAGAGTAGGTATAGAGGGAAATTTAATGTGAATACCTATCGGTTATCAAAAATTAATCGTTGCTAACGAAAAACGATTCTGAGCGGAGCTAATCGTTAATGTTTTTTCGAGTTTTATATGTAATTTTTATTCGGTAGGTATTGTGTGATAAAATTGTTAGACTAAACAGAAATACGTGAAAATTCGACAGGAAGTGCATTTAAAATCTTACTTTGAGGTAAAAAAAAAAATTTGAGTTTAATGTAGTATTTATTTTTCATAATGAAATTTTTATATCAAATATTGACGAAAATCGTTCGAGTAAAAAATTATGTGGAATAAATATAATTTTTTTTTCTTTTGAATATAATACTATGTGTATTGCCGATTTAAGAACAATGGTGAAGTCAAAATATAAACATAGAAACGGACTGACTAAATTTCGAAATTAGAGCTTTTTAAATTTCTGATATTATTTAACTCTATGTTGTCATGTCTAAAGTATATTTTTGTAATAGCCGAATGGTTGTACATACTTATTATCATCATTAGGTTCGAGAGTTCAAACCCACGTTTTAAAACAAATGTTTTTGACCTTATTTTTTCCCTTTTACCTAAACAAGGAAAAAACAAATGCATTTTGGGTGTACCTAGAGTTCCAAACCGTCGTTTCCTCGGACTATTTTAATCGAAAGATACTGCAAACTTTTCTACCAGAAATCTTGTTCCGATGTATCGAGTTTAACTTTTTTTCCGAAAGGAAATTTTATCTTTATGGTAATTTAAGGAGATCATTTTTCGATTTTCCCTGGAGTTTTCCAAGAAAATGTGAAAAATCGGGAAAAAAATTAAAAACTGGGAAAAACGCAGAAAAAACAGAAAATCGCTATAATAATCAACAAATATTAAAGAAAATATCAAATGCCTATTTAATTATTTTACCATTATATGACTTATTATATATATTGTTGACAAAGCATCACTATCAACTGGACTGCGCTTAGAATTGTTTTTTCGTTAGCAATGGTTTATCTTTGTTTACAGATATATTAGTTTTGTTTCACGTATTTGTTGGAACTGACACTTTTATTTACGGGTAACTAAAATAATGAATTTTTAAACAATATTATCATGAACCATCAAATATGCATCGCAAAATATTAAAATTTAGAAACGTGCTATTAAAACTACAAAATCACTAAATAGTAAATATACAAATAAATTCACTATAAACTTTTAGTATGTTTTTGTTGTTTTCGATTTTGTAGAATATCCACTACGTAATAAATTTAATGACCCACAAAAAGGTTAGGTTAGGTTAGGTTTTGTTTTTTGCTCATCTTCACTGCTTAGAACCAAGTGTACATATCCTTTCGTCGCAGTGGGGATCTTTCCATATCTTGAGAACATCCTGCACTCAGAACGGATCCAGCTCGGTCAGGCCAGTCACCCCTTGAGTCACCGTGTTTCTCAGGGCTCGGTTCTCGGACTAACTCCGTGAAACGTCTTAATGTAGTTAAAGCCGATATTTTCAAATATGTACTTAGATTTTTTACATTTAAGGAATATCCTGTGGCGATACCAACATTGGTTTTTCAAATGAAAAACTATCTATATTAAAATTCCATGAATAGGTTAGAGTATTAGTTAAAATAAATTTTGGTGTTAACATTTTCGATTTCGGTGAACCAATTGACGAAATATTCCACTTTTATGTTTAAGCAAAAGAGGAAGGCAATGGAGTATCATATGTGTGGCGGCACGGTGCGCAGCGTTTTATTACTGTTGTTGTACTACTCTCCTCCTACCTAAACTTAAAAGTGGAATATCTCGTCAACTGGTACACCGAAATTGAAAATGTTAACACCAACATTTATTTAAACTAATACTCCATCTATTTATGGATTTTTTTTAAATATAGGTTCTAATTTAAAAAACCTAAGCTGGTATCGCCAAAGAATACCTACTCCTTAAATAGTGTGAAAAATCTAAGTATTCAAAAATATCGGCTTTAACTACAGATAAAAGTTCCATAAATTAGAATTTAAATACATGCAAAATTTAACCAAAAAAATGGGGTGAGCACACTTAGTGAATTGTATAACGTGTATAATATATTGCATAATTATTATTATTATAAATTATATTATATTATTATGGAATTGTAAGGGGACGTAGAAGGGAGATCCTAACTCCTATTTTTTTTATTTCTTGTATTATTTATTATTATTATTATAATTTAAATGTATTTCAAAGGAGTTAACTATAGTAATAAATAAATTATACGTAGGTACCTAATTATGATTTATCATTATTAATATTTTTGAACTCTGAAATAAAATTTTTATTCAGCAAAAAACACATAATAGTTGAAGAGATTAATAATTTAGAAACAATTTTATCTCAAAATTTAATCCACTTACAAATTTCACATTTTAAAAATCATATTTAACAAAAATTACAACATTATAAAAATGAAAAATGGCATAGGGTTATTGATTAAATTAATATTTTAGTAGCACAAAATACACAAAAAATATTTTAGATTTTATTAATAATAATAATAATTATATTCAAAACTTGACATATGATCCAACTATAATTTTCACTGAACAAATTAATAAACTGAAAAAAAATTCGAAAGAAATCATACTTAAAGTCCAAAAAAAAATATAAAATTTTGATTACAAAATAGAGGCTCTACATGCACTTACATCCATTCATAAAATTACATAAACAAGATATCCGATTCTTCCATTAATTAACTTTACAATTACTCCATCTTATAACCTTGATAAATGCTTAGACTCTCTCATAAAAGAAAAATTAAACATGAATACTGATATTTCTATAAAAAAAACACTTATGATATTATTGATAAAATAAATAAAATTATTATTGAGCCAGTTTACAAAATAATTTCTCTTGATGTAAAAAAATGATATATATCCATCACTAAACACGAAACCGTAAATTTTTTAAAAAATAAAATTTTATATAGCAATAAATTCAATACAAACGAAGTACAAGAAATTATTCAATCAATATATGTAATAATAATAAATAAATAATCAAAACTAATTCCAATATAATAATCAATTATATTCGCAAAAAGAAGGGTTAGTTATGGATGGAACTTTAAGTGCTCTTTTATCTGAAATTTACATGCAAAATTATGAAACCCATAATATTATTAACGATAAAATATACAGTCCATATATAAAAGCATAATAAAGATATATTGATGATATTTTAATTTTATTTAGAGGTTCGAATAGACATACTGAAAAATTAGTTAACTACTTAAACAAAATAAATAAAATTATTCAATTTACACTCGAAACACAAATAAATAAGAAATTTAATTTCTTAAATCTTACAGTTTCCATAAAAAAAAAACAATTTGATTTTAGTATTTACAGGAAACCTACATAATAGTTACCGATGCTATAATACCACATGATTATTCTTATTCATGATCACCCTTATTCTCAAAAAATATCATTTTTTTATTCAATATTCTATAGGCTTGAATGTATACCTTTAAATTAACATAATTATCAACAAGAGCTCAATATTATCTCTAATATAGCCCATAAAAATAATTTTTAATTAAATACTATTAAAAAAATTCATAAACGTATTAAAGAAAAAATGATACACAACTCATTAAGTAATGTTGTTAACTATTGTAATATAAAATAACTAAATAATATGTCTAACGAATTCGTTAAAATTCTGAACAATAATATAAATAATGTAAAAAACGATTTTAAGACTACTAATATTTAATTAAACATATAAACAATAGAATTAAAAACTTCACAAAAAATCTCCTTTCTTTTTAAAATACTGGTATATATAAACTACATTTTAGTTTATACTGTAATAAATCGTTTTTATGTAAGACAAATAGACATTTTAAAACAAGATATAAAGAACACATTTCTGAAATAAAATTTAAAAGATTGCCCCTAATTCAAATTTTCAAAATATTTTACTGATTTTGGGCTGTTTATAAGTATTTAATATCGTGTTTTATGTGTATTTTTATTTTATAGGTATCTGTTATTGAAATTATATGACTTAAGAGAAATGTTTCAACATTTAACACAAGGTACCTATACTATAAGTTGTACTCATAGTGGTTTAAAAACAGATTTTGCTAAAAATTGTTATAATTATGGCATTTAAAAATGTGTCTTAGCTAACTTTGCTCTGAATCATTTTTCGTTAGTTATGGTTTATCGTTGCATACACATATAAATTCAATAGCTTACCACTTACAACAGTAGTTGCACCCATTCCCATTCCCCAGAATCAGTTTTTTTTTTTTTTATTATTAAACCTAAAATTATCATTTTTTAATTTTAATTATTTATATTTATTTCTAAAACAATTAAAACAATGATAAGAAATTCACAAGTTAATAATTAGTCGAGTTTCGAGTTTTTTGGTTGAAAAACGTTCGATTATTTTATTTTCGGTCGAAATGCTCAGCGGAAATAATTTGTCTGTTTAAATACTTTCTGATAAATTCATGTTTGGCTTATTTGCGGTCGGTTGAAATATTTTCCGTTATTTTAAAGCTCTCTGGTGCGACCATAGGTAATAAAGATATGGATAAGCTATCCATAACTATCCATAGCTTATCACTGTTTCTAGAGGAATTGTTCCAATTTTCATAAAGTAACGCGCTTTATCTATAGACTATTATAGTGATGAATGATAAATCGCCTCAGTTTACCACCTCTCCGGGAACATTGACTCAAAATTGTTATAGGAGTTTCCCGTCCATTTCTTTATCATTTATGGGAGCGACCATAGGTGACAGCCGGCCAAGTATTGATATGGCTGCACTAGTACAAATATTCGAAAAACTAGTATGGTGCCGGTTGTAACACTGTGGTTAAGTGGAAAACACCAAATTAGTGATAACAAACTTTAAACCACAACAATATTGTATAATACAAAATGTACTGTTTAAAAGCAAAATAGCTATCGTTTTGTTAAGTTAGTTTAACTTTTTTATTTTTGGAATAATTATATCATAGTATAGAAACTATTGATTTTAAATGTATATATGTGTATATTAGTAAGCTTTTACATTATGGAAGTATGTAAGTATATCATTATTTAATTTAAAAAAATGAAATGGTTATATTTTAGTTTGGAATTTAATGATAGTAATGATGTTATTTTATAATAGAATATTGATATTAAATCAAACATGGAATCCATTTCAACTCCAGATGTATTAAATATTCCAAATGCCAATGACAATAACTATAAATATATAGATGGTGTATGTATTTATACAGATCCAAATTCTAAGAAGGAGTACACTTGGAATAAGGAGAAAAATAAATGGATTGAAAAGGGTTTTGAAAACTATGAATATGATGAAATTCATAAAACATATAAATATGTTAACAAAGAAACAAGTATATATGTCAAACAATATTTAATAGAGTTACCAATCACCCAATTTATTTTAAATGATATAATAAGTGTAATAGCTAGGGCCTGGAATTATATGCATCTGCATATTTTTATTTATTATATTAAAAAGTAGCTCAATAAGGCATTCATTTAAATCTTGGCTTAATAATACATTAAGCTAAGATTTGATTTTGCATATTTTTGAATTTTTAGAACATTTTTAATTATTATTATACAATTTTACCATCTTTAAAGAACTTTGAGCTTAAGTCAGCACTTGTTAAAAATGTTTAATTGAGCTTAAAATTTAGGAGACTTAATTTTAGGTGTAGTGAAACAAATTTCCAACTAACACTTCAAAATTTGACTAAAAATATTTAATACAAGTTCAATGAACAGTTCAAATATTAAAATTTTTTGTTCAATTTCATACATTTTAAACTAAATAAATTTAACATGAATACATTTTTTTGCATATTTAAATGATAATAAGAGTGCATATATAAATACATGCATGTTTCATACATTTTTAGTGCATTTAAATCTTGGCTCTTTTAATAACTTATTAGTACCTAATTTTATTTTTAAAAATCAGTGCTTATTATCAACTGGATGTCAAAACAAAATTGAATTATTTAGGTAAATATTTATTCAAATTGTCTTCAAAATACCAATTTAATGTGCTGGGTATCAATAGGTCTATAATTTTATCCTTTCCAAAAGTGAAAATTAACATTTTTTCAGATTTAAAAATGAAATATTAGTACAGCATGGATCAAATCATCAAAGAGAAAAAATTTACTAGATATAGTTATATAAGTTTAAAACTATCTATTAAAGATAAGAAAAAATAATAAGTATTAACTAGGAAATATCAGATAATTATTTAAACTTAAAAACTTTATTATCTTGTGGGATATATATTATTAATTTATTTAAGGGCCGAAGCCCAATTAAAATATAATACTCTATATGCAACCATCCTCAGAATCGATTTTAAAAAAAATCTTTACATCATTAAAAAAAAAACAGAAACTTGCAAAATCGAGGAGAAGCTGATTATGAACATAATAAGAATAAAATTGGAAACAGATATCCATCTTGAGAGACTCTAGATGTAGGTATAAACATATGAGACTTGGAGTCAAAAAGCTCAGCCCATTGAGGCCTATTTAGTAAATAGGATTGTATCTGGTCTAACAAAGGGTAGCCGAATCAAAGCACTGTTGGTACAGATTTTATTGATTAGGTGTCAATTTGGATACAGAAGTACTCATAAAAATATTAAAACAAATGTTACATATAAATTAATTTATTAAAATATTATAAATCAATATTTATAAATATTAGAATGATTATATAAACAAATATTACAGTATTTGGGTAGGGAACTTTTATTATTATTTTATATGGCTTAAATATAACATTCATAATATAAGATACAAATATAAAATAATATATAAGAGTTAAGTATAAAAGAGTAACAGGTTATATAGGTTGTATGATAATGGATATGTAATGGGCATAGGGGGGTATGTTCTGTGTGTAATCTTCACATTTGTAAGCCCAGGGAATTCAGCTATTGAACTGTCTCTGTTGTGGCTGTATGTAGTTCTTTCATAAATCCTTGTAATCGTTGAATAGTACACTCATCAATGATGCGTGTAGTAGTTTGCTTTTCATATCCGCATGTGGATCTTTGTGAGGGTCTCAGTTCTTATTTGTGAAGCATGTGTTCTGTTCTTCCAAAACCCGTTTGGAATCTGTTACAACCCAGTCCCTTCTCAAGAGGTCAGAGCTATGTACTTCTTCCATTGAGTTATCAATTAAAATTTAGTTTGTCAGGATTGCTGTTTTTCCATTCATTATTCGCATATGAATTGAATTTTCCGAGATTAATTTTTGGATGAGCCTCTAGGTGGGTTTCCTAAATTTAGTCTTATGTTAGAACCAATATTTATATCATTATGTATTCGGAGTAGATAAATAGCATTTAGTCTACTCTCATATTAGCAAGTTATATCGTTGTAAGTGGTGTTGTCTTAAATTACTCAATACGAGCAGCCGTTTCGTGGGAGTAGACTTAATCGTTCTTGTGATAATCCTTATGGTTGAATTAAGTTGAGTATCTACTATCCACTATATTTGTGTAGATACTTTGTAGCCATACAGGTGAGCAATAATAAAGGTTAGGTAACTAACAGGTTTATTTAGATATTGGAAAATGTACAAATTGTATGCATGTATAATAGCATTACTTATGAGTTATGACTAAAGCATTAAGCTAACTTAGTTCAAAATCTAATAACACATAATTAGTGAAAATAAGCTATTTGTCATTTAATATTTTTATTTAGCCTTATTTTAATTAATGCCAATGGTCATTTTTTCTTAAAAATAAACTAAATTTGGACATCCAGTTTATATTACATTGTATTATATATTGTTAGATAAAACAAACTATAGGCACCAATCAAGTAATAAATATTGTTTGACTTTATAATTATTATTTCAGATATTTCGTATATATGGGATCAGAATTTGAATAAATGGGAAGTTGAAATTAAGCCAATAAAGGAAACTATTAGTTTGATTGAAGAAAAAGATTTAAATGATGATTATGATGGTGAAGAATTTGATGATGACGATGAAAAAGTTACAAGATCTGTAAAGCGACAAGATATGAGTAAAGGAAAATATGGTCATGATGGAATAACTCAAACTTATACTGATCCAGCTGATGGTACAGTTTATATTTGGGATAGAGAGAAAAATGCATGGTTTCCAAAGGTATTATAAACTAGCTTAGACAGCTGGTCTGACATTAGTTTTAAATGTTATTAACTTTAATTTGATTTAAAACAGATTTTCAGCTCTAAGTATAAATTTGTGTTAATCTAACAGTTCTAATAATAATTGTAGTTTTATATAAAATATGTTGTCATACAATTTAATATTTTTATCATATTATATATCTCGAGTTCTAATAATATTGAAAAGCTACACATAAATTAATTTTTAAAATGTACATTTATTTGTAAACAAAATCACATTTGGTATTAACACAGTGAATTATTAAATTTATTTTAAACAAAACCTAATCTAACTTAACCTAGCTCTTTAAGCTAAAATATTGATGTTTTTGTTTATAATATTTTTAAACAGAATTTTGGAAATTTTTTTATATACCTTATTTTAACAAAATATATGTTTAGTATGTGTACATTTATATATATTTATTTAGTATTAAATATTACATAAATTAAATTTATTATGTATGTGACTACAGGATTAAAACAAGGTGATGCTTTGTCTCCAATTTTATTACATATAAAGCTAAAAAGTTTTTGAGAGACATAATAATAGATTAAAGAAGTGTCAGACTAAGAGAGACACACAGTGTTCTTTTAAAATATGTAGATGACATTATACTGATGACAGAAAATAAAGAGCAACTTAAAAACTAATCCAAAAAATTGATTTACTCCAGCCCACAAAAGAAGGAACGTGTTCGTACATGCAACTGACGATGTTGAACGTCTCGGGAGAACTATTTTCATTACTCAAACATTCCTGGTGGAAATTTGTTGCTGCTTATTTACCATTATACAGTTAGTAAGGTATTATTGGTGAAGATGTGCAAACTCTGAGGAGTTGTTTGAGACAGAGGTTCCTTTTTTCGTAAGTTGAGTATAGAATCAGCAAAACGCATAAAACTGGAGATAATTACTCAAAAACTGAATAAATGGTAATCCAGAGAGAAGCAACCCCAGGTAACAAAAGTAGATGGTTAAAAGTTAAGGCCATACATTTAAAAGAATACAACAGTTTAATTACTTATTGCTTATACAACAGAACGATATAAGTAGTGAGATAAAAACGAGAACTTAAGCTGATGATAAGTACTATTATGGAATGATGGAGCTGAGATTACTACAATCAAGAGCACTGTCAACAAATTTGAAAATTCAAATTATAAGATGCTTATCAAACCAGTTGTAACCTATGGGTTGTAAACATGGACACTACAGAAGGCAGACAAAAATTTAATAACTATATTCGAAAAAAAAGTGCTCAAAAAAATATATGGTTCATGTAAAGGCGTAAATACTGAACTTAAAGAGATGTATCAAAATATTGAGAAAGATATCACCAAGAAATGAATCATCTAAGTTACTGCTAAGGAAAGTCCTAGAAAACACACCTCAAGGAAATAACCATTAAATTGCCCAAGATTTGAGAAGACAGTAAAAAAAAATGTAGAAAAAATTAAACAACTTTGTTATCAATTTTTTCTTACTTACTTATTTGTGTGTATAATATTGATTTTATGAATAATTTTTATTATATACCTACTATAAATGATCAATTTTATTTAATATTTTGTTTTTAGATTGATGATGATTTTTTGGCGCATTATCAACTTAGTTATGGATTTAATTCAATTGAAAATACTTCTGAAAGTGGCAATAACACCAATATAAACAAAGTAAATTCAAAGATAGCTGAAATTCAAACTATAGTTAATCAATTTGAATGTGGTTCAATTATTCCTATTGAAAAAGCTGAACCGGAAAAAAAGAAACTCTCACAACCTTCTGAACCAAGTAAAAATAAGTTTACTATTATTGTACTAATTATTTAAATACCTAGTAAATGTTTGATGCACCAAATTATTTAATTGTTTAGATTGGTTTGAAATCGATGAAGAACATAACACAAAAGTATATGTTTCAAATCTGCCATTAGATATAACTGAACAAGAATTTATTGATCTTATGCAAAAGTGTGGACTTATTATGAAAGATATTGACAATGGACGAATGAAAATTAAACTCTACACTGAAAGAGGCACAGATATTCTTAAAGGAGATGCTCTATGCACATATATCAAGGTACGAGTATTAGGTATTTAATTCAATGTTATATATTAATACTGTAATTAACTATGTAATACAAAAAAATTCTAAGTCATAAAAAGTTTTATCAATAAATAATATAAGTATTATCATAATGTGTAAACAAATATTATTATGCAATTGGAAATCTTTGTTTCATAAGATATAATAATTAATTATTTTAATAATATTTCATTAAATTGAGTTATGATTTTAGATCTTACATCTTTAATATCTTAATATATAATTGAATAGTTAAGTATACAAATAAGTATGGTTAATTCACAACAAATAAATGTGGTTATTTTAATTTAAAATTTTAAATATCTTATTGAGGAAATTGTTCATTCACACTTTTTCATTTTCAATATTCTTTTACTTGAAAGTTGTATTCTTGCCACAGTAGATTTCAGGCACTTCCATTCTATATTATCTATATTGTGTTAGAGGAAATTTTTGAAGGCAATTATTTTGTCCAACAGGAAATATATTATAGTAATTGTTATTTAAGTTCCAAATAGTGTAATTGTTACATCTGTAACTAAATTTTAGCATTAAAGTTTTTAACACCCCCGCAATCAAATTTAAAGTGGTTAATATTTTCAACTGTATTTTATAAATATAAGTGTGAGTAAAGTATCAGTACCAATGAGATATATACATAATGTTCCATAAAGATATACCCATTGCAATATTTTCTGAGATAATAAAGATAATCAAATAACATTTTTTTTTATATATATTACTCATAGGGATAAAGACTTCAAATATGTATATTTTAATTAAATCTGTATGTTTTGGTAAAAATACTAAAAAAAAATATTATTTTATTTATAATTTTTGAAAAATTTGAAGATAGCCATATTATAGAGTTTATTTTTCTAAAAAAAACTTAAAATGTCAACATTTTTCAAAAATAATAAAATTAAATTTTTTTTAAATTTTTTTTTTACCAGAACATTCAAATATATTTTTATACAAGTATAAAACACATGTATACATTTTTCTAAAAAATACCTAATGAAGAAGTGATTATGCCTCTAAAACCCCCATTGTTTCTTGTTAACTAATTAACAGCTAAATCGAAGTTATTTATCACTGATACCTTTTTAGTTAAATTGATTGATTTTAAAATATAACTGTGTTAAACTGTGTTGTCTATACACTCTGGTTGAGCTTTTGATTCACAAATAAAGTATTTTTTTTGTAAACAGCTATGTGCAGTCCATTTGTAATCAATATTTGGATCAAGTGTTATGCACTGCCAATGATCATCTTGTTCATTATCAAAATGTGGTATTCTCTCAAATTTATTATACCGAATTTTACGACCTGATGCTGCCCATCTCCAATGATCATGATTCCAATCATAAATACCTCCTATCCATCTTTCTTTTGTTTCTAAAAAAAAAAAAACCAATGTATACACATTATTTTGTAATGAATAGGTAACAATTATATTTTTAAAATATTAGCTTAAAGACTTTTCGATAATAATAAATTTTAAATACTATTCAAATATTAATATACCTATTTGTATACAATCATAATCTACATTAGTTCACCATGTAATACCACATTATATCAATGCATAAAAACAAAATTATCAGCCTAATTTAAAAAATTATTAAATTTTTCAACAAAAGAAAATAAACAAATCTTTTTCTCCATCTCTTACATTCTGCTATTTGGAGTAAGCCATTGAGATAATCTAGTTGATAAATTTATCCACTGGCTGTTGATCTGACACAACCCTATTTATCATTTCTTAGAACAGGTAGAGGTGTAAAGGTACCGAGGGAGTACTCTGATTCCCAGGAATTAAAAGAAAAACTTATCATTGATTTAAATAAGAGATAGCTAAAATTGACTTATTGTATAAGCAATGTTTTTGTTAATTTATAAATTTTCATCTTTGAGAATTAATACTTATTATTTACACTAACAATTTATTATTTTTGATTAGTTTACACTAGCAGATTTAGATAATATGTATTTATGTGAAAAAAAAAACTAATCAAGTATATTATATAATATTTACCTAAATAAATTCATAATAGTGATTATATTAATATTAAAATGTATTATTATTCAGTATAACAAACTGATTTGTAGTAATTTAAAATAAACTAGATCATTTAAAATATTTAATTAATTTTAAATAAGTACACAATTCTTTTTTAAAAATTCAAAAAATATAACATAATTTATTAATATTCAATAGCAATTGTTTAATAAAAATAATAAATTACCATTTTTTCTGTATTTTAAAAATTTTCTTATATTATGATCATTCACTTCCTTTGGAAGCATAGCAAGTTTACTTCCTTTTGCTAAGTATTTACATTCAAAATAAGCCTCTTGCCAAGAAGATTTGTTTGTACTTAAATAATAGCAGTTATTTCCAAATTTTGAAAAACCATTTTGACAGTTATACACCAACTTTGATTCAGATTTATGATATGAAACTAAATTAAAAAATAAATTTATTAATATTTTAAAAATTAAATTGTATTACTTTTGTTTATACATACCAATAAAAATAATATATAGACAAAAAAATATTAATTTTACTAATTGATTATAATTCATTTTTGAAAAAAAAAATCTTAAAAGTACTTTGATCTTTGCTTGGTCAGTTACACTTTAATACTAAATATGTTACTGTTCAGACCTCAATATTATAGTTTTCTATTTATTATTCAACCTTCAGGCGAGTTCAGTTTATCCAGTCAATCATAAAATAGCATGCTAATTATTTCAATAGCTGTTAATATTAATATTATTATTATTATTTTTTTTTTTTTGACAAAATAAATTATCAAATAAACCAGTTTGTTAGTTTATTGGAACTTATAATTATTAAATTTTTGTCATAATTAGTAATGCTGTATTGAGTAATAGATTTAAAATAGGTAAAATTAATATTTTCTAAAAAGTATATTTTTAAAACAATTTTAAAATTACAATGTCTCTTCTAAATATGGCAATGTAGTTAATACAAATATAATAATATATATATATATATCAAGCATTTTAAAGAAGTTTAAACAAATTGCAATTATTTTTATATTTTAAAGATTTTATGTTTTTTTTTTCACATTCATAGAACACTTCATATGCTTCATATTTCTGAATATCTTTATAAAACATAAATAATAATTTTTTGTGAGTTTTATTAAATGGCAATTGATTCCAATGTTGAATTGTGAATCCAATCATTTTGATGCACAGAATTAATGTATTTATATATTGAATTTTAAAATAATACCTAATTATTATTAATATTGTATTAAAAAATATGTTTATTTATTTTTTAAATTATATTTTGGCTAAAATATAGATTTTTAATTTTTGTTGATCAGAGCATTAAATTAAATTTTTTTTATGACTTCTCTAAAGTCCTATCTGTTTATTTCTACTCAGTTATTGCCCCAAGCCTCAAAAAAATATTTGTTAAAGAAAAATTATATTTAAAATATCACTTTAAAAAACTATACTAGCTCTATTAAAAACCAAAAAGAACATAATACTATAATTTTATATAATTTAATGTATTTAATCTTATATATGTGTATATAGTTGCTTATTATATTTTAATTTATACTATATCTAAAACATAGCAAGTTGAATATAATTATACAAAACATAAAAATGGTAGAAAATTTAAGTAGGTTAATTTATTGTTTACTGCTATATAGGTAGTTATGATTTTTTATAACATTATAACATGACATTGAAAATAGCTGTTTAGTTGTTATACTTACTTTAAAGCTATAATTAATACTTCTTTCACCAATAATCAGAATATTATTAAATTTTAGAAAAATATAGTTAAACTGTTATTACTTTTTTAATAACTATTTAATAATTATTATGTTTTCAATTGATGACGTAGGTAATCTTTTTTTTTAGTAGAATATAAATTAAATGTTATATAAAACAATTATTTTGATATTAGATTTTTCTTATATTTTATATAAATTTAAAATAATTTTATTTGTAGTGTTGTAAAGTGTTTTTAAAATAATATGTTGATTTCCATAAATATATATTGTATTCGTGTTATGTATAGATAAAGCTATTTGTGATATTTATAAGATATTTTTCCCGAAGACACTCCTAAAAACGAACAATATAATTTCGAAGTTAACGCCCTTTCTAAAATAATTATTATCATTAAAACCCATATATTGTTCAGATGCATTCAACCAATTTACCACTCCTTAAAAGTTCCAATATAAGATGTTATTACATGTGTGCATTGTTATTTGAATATCATATTTAAAATCAAGGTGCAATACCAAATGTACAAATTATAAGTTCTGAGAGGACTAGAATTTGTTTGAATAAAATAATCTGAAACAATTTTAAGTACATTACATCATTACTAATATCTTAATGATTGAACACTAACTCTGAGATATAATTTCCATATATCTCTATTAGACACTGAGAAATTGAGTTAGGATTTTAAAAAATAAAAAATAACCATTTAAGTTATTATCATCATGTTCAACTAATATCACGGTAAACTATGATTTCGACATACATCATTTAACCTAACCGAAATAATATAGTTATATTTGTATTATTTAATGGTTACCTATAAATTAACTATGAAATATTATGGGGCTTGGATACACCCATAGAATGTCAAGGTCAAGTTTCTGTTTTTGTTTCCTTTAGGTTATAGGCATACTTATTTCTATCAATCATCCGCCAATATTCTCATGTAGTTATGAATATTAATTCAGACAATTCTAATGTGAATCATAAATTTGAAGTAGTGATGCTTTTATGACATCATAAACATTACCGATGACAAAATCATTAAATTAACCTTATAACTTTCAATTTTCAATGACACTACCAATGAAGATATTAGATGCTGTGAAAAACACAATATTGTTCAGCTGACAAATTAATGAAATTATGATTTTTTAGAAAGAATCTGTAGATCTAGCACTTAAGTTATTGGACGGTTACAAATTTCGAGAAAAGGAGATTTGTGTAGAAAAAGCAAAGTTTACAATGCGTGGAGAAAAATATGACCCATCATTGAAACCAAAAAAGAAAAAACGAAAGGACAAAGAAAAGATAAAAAAAATTCAAGAAAAGTAATTTTTATCACATAATTCAATGTCAAATAATTCACAATCACTATTTCTGAAGATTTAAAATGAATACCTATTTTTATCACTCACTGTATTTTTACACTAGACATATGTTTCATACCTATTTTTTAATTTTCAAATGAGATTTTACACATTTATTTATTATATTTATGCTATTTTATTCTATTTAAATTAATTTGTATTATTTATTATTATATATTTTTATCTTATTATGAAATTTAACTTTCTACCACCATCACAAGAATTGTGATTAAAAGAGAAAAAAAGTAACCATTTTAATTTATATGTAATTATATAATTATGTCTTTACAATAAAATTATTTAAAAAAAAATTTTAATTTGAGGCACAAAGAAAAGTAATTTTAAAATAAATTAGTAATAGTATCCATCCTGTTTAGTTTAAATTTAAATATATTTACTATCTAATTGAAATTAATAAGTTAATGTGCATCAAGATTTTAAATAAATTATCTCTTTGTAAAAAAAAATTTATTCAGTTTCTTCAGGAATGATTGCTTTGATGATAGCAATTTATTTGTTTTACATAATCTATGTACTAAATATTTTTCTAAGTTATAACTTTTTTGATTCTTATAAGGTTATTTGATTGGAGGCCCGATAAAATGAGAGGCGAACGAGGAAAACATGAAAGTGTTGTGATTGTTAAAAATTTATTTGAAAAAGAAACATTTGACAACGATGTGTCATTACTTTTAGAATATCAAAGGGATCTTAGAGAAGAATGTTCAAAATGTGGTGTTGTGAAAAAAGTTATAGTGTATGATGTAAGTATAATAATTTCTCATTTCTGTTTAGCAGTTTAAGCATTGGTCCAATGTATTCTAAAATAACAGATGACATAAAAAATGTTAATACAATTAGTACCATTATTTATCACATTATTTTATTTTATTTTACTGTTAAAATAAGTTATAGAAAAACTACTACCAAATTTTATACAAAATAAGAGCATTCTATAAATATTTTCTTTACCTTGTATATAATGAATATTTATTTATTTTTTTTTTTTTCAGAGACATCCTGAGGGTGTTGCTCAAATTAATTTCAAAGAACCCGATGCAGCTGATGCTGCTGTACAACTATTGAATAATCGGTGGTTTGGACAAAGAAAAATTATTGCTGAAACATGGGATGGAAAAACAAAATACAAGTCTGTATAAATTAAAATAACTAAAGATAATGACATAAATTGGTTGTTTATACATACTTTATATTTTTAATATTTAGAGTAATTGAAACACCCGAAGAAACTGAAGAAAGGTTAAAGAAATGGGAAGCTTATTTAGTAGCCACAGGTAGTACAGAAAAAAATGATGCTCATGAATCCGATAGTGATTCAGTAAAAACTAAAAGTGGTGGAGAAAGTGATGATGAAACACCATCAACAAATCAAACTTTAAATAATTAAAGTAATAGTTTTTATATAAATACTATTTGTTTTTAGATTATAAATGTATAACTTATATGGTTATTAGAAATAATAATGAGGTAAAAAAAAAATGAATTATAAAGCAGTAATAACATATTCTAAACGTTTATTAAATTGTATTATAAATTCAATGGCAAAAACACCTTTAAGTTGATCTTGGATAAACCAGTATGATTAACATTACTAATACAAATATCCATTTATACCTATACAACCAAAAAAAAAAAAAATGTATATTATTTTTAAACATTTTTTGAACAGTACAGATTATTCAAATATATTATAATTTTTTTTTTTAAAGTTTTTTGTTTAAATAATGCTGAGATAAAATTATGTAATTATATTTTTACTAAGCTTTACATACATTTTTAGTAACATTGTTGTGAGTTGTTTAATATATTATTTCCATATTAGTGTTTTTATTTATACTGTATTTAAACTATACATGTATAGTTTTATTTATTATTATTACCTATCATAAATAATAATTTCACAAATTCTGTTAATGGATTAGTTTCAAATGTTAAAGAAAACTCATCTCCAACAGCATTCCAATTAGTTGATGCCGGAGTGATACCCAAATACATTTTAAATGCATACTAGGTATAATGAAACACAATGATAAGTTATAAATATTTTAATAAATTGTAATTTAGTATAACTTTAATAGAGTTTCTCCTGTGAAAGACTTAGGTATTTGGCTTTCTACCAATTTATTGTTTAAATTACACTTAGTAACAATTTATAAAAAAAAGTGTTAAAAGTTTTATTTTAATTACACGCAATACAAAAGAATTCAACAATCCTTCTGGAACTAAAGTGCTTTATTGTTCATTAGTATGTTCCATTCTGGAATACTAGTCTGTTGTATGGAACCTATTCACTGGTATTTGGGTAAATAAACTTGAAAGTATTTAAAACTACTTTCTACAATTTTTAGTATCTAAATTAAAATTACCAATTAATGATTTTAGGTTTTAAGAGGGTTTTATTTATGCACAAATAACAATTAAAAAAACTAACTAGTTGTAGCTAGTCTGCAGATCTGGTAATTGTATTATGGTATACTTATCTATGGGTACATCCGGACCTAGCCAATTTTCTACGAAATTAACACAATATTAGAAGTCTCTCATTTAAATATTTATATTATTTTATTTAACCTACACAGAATAATATTTCTATCTACGCCGTTGTTAGCAATCTATATTCCTCTAGCACGAATTAAGATATACGACAGTATATTATATATCTTAATTCGTGTTCTCTAATACGTAAACGTATATCGTATATTCCATAAACATAGTAACTAAAACCTAAACTTTTTTTTTTTTGGTTTATTCCAGCTAATGATAAGAACCATTTATTTTATTAGTGATACATAAAACAATTAGATAACCGACTGCTAGACAGGCCTAGAAGACCTAGACAGGCATATATGAAACAAATCATGTTGGATATAGGAAGAGAGTCATATATAGAAGTAATGAGAGTCGTAATGAATAGAGAGGAATGGAAGAATATTTCATCGTTCAACCAATCTACGGATTGAAAAAAAAAAAAAACCGACTGCTATAGTCCATCATTGAACTATATAATAACTTATGGTTCAATGTAGTCTATACGTTTACGATTATGGTCGTTATTTAAGAGGTGAATGTTTACAAATTAAACTGATATGATAAGTGATAAGATTTTACTTTGTGTACAATATTTAAATCATAGACATTAAGATATCTTAATATATCTATGGGTAAAAGTAATACACCTAGATAATATTATCATTTATAGATAATATTATCTATAAACCTTGGATAATATCTTCATGTGTGATAATTGATAAATATTTGTAAATACTGGACTACCGCGTAAAATTTAACCAACGTTTTCAATTAAATCACATTATTAGCTTAGAGAAACACAATAATTTTATAAAAAATTATAATAATTATTATTGTTTCTATATTGAAAAATGAATGACTCTGACACCTATAAGTCGTATTTAAAGCGCACCGTATATGTAGGTGGGTTAGCTGAAGAAGTGGATGATAAAGTATTGAAATCTGCGTTCATTCCATTTGGTGATATTGTCGACGTTCAGGTAATGCACAATTTAATTTTAATTAAATGAATAGTGTAATTTATTATTATTATGAATTCAGATGCCACTAGATTATGAGTCAGAGAAACATCGTGGATTTGCATTTGTTGAATTTGAGCAACCAGATGATGCCCTCGATGCTATAGATAATATGAACGAATCTGAGATTTTTGGTCGTACTATCCGTGTCAATTTAGCCAAACCTCAAAAAATTAACAGGGGTTCAACTAGACCAGTATGGTCTGAAGATGACTGGCTTGTTCAGTATGCTGGTAAGACTCTTGAACCCAAAGATGACAAAAAAACGGAAGATGACAAAAATAAAGATGAAATGAAGAATCCTCAAGTTTATTTAGATATTAAAATTGGTAAAAAAGATGCAGGTCGAATTATTATAATGCTACGAGCTGATATTGTGCCACGCACAGCAGAAAATTTCCGTTGTTTATGTACACATGAAAAGGGTTTTGGGTTTCAAAACACGACATTTCACCGAATAATACCAAATTTTATGTGTCAAGGTGGTGATATAACTAATAACAATGGTACAGGTGGACTGTCAATATATGGAAAAAAGTTTGACGATGAAAATTTTGAACTAAAACATACAGGCCCAGGAGTTTTGTCCATGGCTAATTCTGGTCCAAATACAAATAGTTCACAATTTTTTCTTTGTACTGCTCGTACCGAATGGTTGGACAATAAGCATGTTGTATTTGGTCATATAATAAGTGGAATTGATGTTATGAAAAAAATAGAAAAATGTGGAACAAAAGCTGGCCTACCAACTGAAAAAGTAATAATTGGATCTTGTGGACAACTGGCTTAATGGATTTAATTTTGTATTATAGTAACTAATGCAATTTATCTTACAGCATGAATTGTTAATTATTTATATAAAATATAAATGTGTATGTACAAGATTTTTAGTTTTATTATAATACAAAATCGTGGTTTACCTCAGTTCAATAGTTAAGTGCATAGTTATAATCTTAATCTTAAATAAAAATAATTAGAAATTTGTATGTCACAATGAATTTACTATTTATTATTATTTTTACATAGTTTAAAAGGAATAAGCTTGTATGAATTAATGAGTTTTTTTTCATATAAAAAATTGTATTTAATATTAGATCAGATTATCCTACAAATAGGATTTGAATTTTTTGGCAAAACATATGTATAATATATATAAGTGTATGACAACAACAAACAAAGGTAATAATTTTTTTTAAAGAATTGAATTTCTTCAAATAATTATTAAAATACTATTATTATATTAATATATATATATATATAATATAGATTATAATTTATTATACAAATAAGAAAATAATACAATATATTTTTATTCTATATTAATAATAATTAAAAAAAAAAAAACAATAGGCAATGATAATTATTTTTACAGTTATTTTTAATAGAATTAACTTATTATTGAAAATAAAAATATAGTACATTTTGTATGAAATTAATATTATGAACTAAAAACTAATAACTTCCATAAAACTTATTTATATTAAATTAAAATGTAAAAGTAGTTTAATTGTTTAGAGTGAAAAAAGAAATCCATGATATTGTAAAGTGTCATTTAACTTAAAGAAGTAGTTCTTTTGTGTAAAATATTTTTTTTTTTTTTAGAAATTTCCCAATGCTTTTCAAAAATTATTTTGTCTTTTGTATTGATACAATTCTTGAGTTTTAACCTATAAAAATCAATGATAAACAAAATATCAAAATAAAAAATATGTATATATATATATGTTATTGTAAAAGTAAGAATACTAATGAAACCTAAGATTTACCAATTGATTTTGGTAAAACCTACTATACAAAATAGTTCATCAAACCATTAATGATTTTTGTTGTTCAGATTTTTAAAAATGATGTTTAGTAAATTTCAAGGTAAACATATAGTGTTGGTAAGTCTGAAATTTCAATATTTATTTTTTAAATAAAAAAACAAGGAGTAGTAAAATTGTATGATAATAAAATCAAAAATTAAAATTTTTACCAGCACTAGTTATTTATTCTAAAATTTACCAAATTTACTGTTTGTAAGTCTAAACAACAAAAATCAGAGGTATGATCAAACCATTGTATAATAGGTTTTAGTAAAATTAATCAATAAATGTCCAAAATCATACATTAATCTAAGCAGTTAGAAAATATTAATAAGTTTCATCAGAATTCTTACTTTTACTTTAATATACAGTGGTGGTCAAATGATTTGTCATGGGGGAGGGGGATAAGGATAATTACTATTTACACTCTTTTTTTTTATACTTTTAAAAATATACTATAATAGACAAAATTATTTTTTAACCATACTCTCAATTCACCCCATTTGTATGGGTGAAGATATTTTTACACATTTGGATTTTTCACAATATGTTATGGAGTTATCTTAAGGAGTATTCTGTGGTTATAACAACATTGATTTTTCAAATAAGAACCTACATATTTTTATAAAAATTAATGATTTTTTTCTAAATTTTGAAAAATTACTAACAAAATTTGAATGAAAAATATTTCCGAGTTATTCTGATTTAAATACTAAGGACAGTCTTACGGGGATTGGGTACCAACTATGTACAGATAATTTCTTGTTTTGAATTGTGTAGTTATTATTCTTTAGTATTTAAAGTAGAATAACTTAGTATTGTCACAAGATACTCATTAAATGTGAAAAATCTAAGTGTTCAAAAATATTGTCTTTTACTGCGCTTAAAAATTCCAAATATTCAGAATTTAAATTTATGCATAGTTTAACCATAAAAATAGGGTGAGTACTGAGCATGCTTAAAAAATCTATTTGTATAAGGTTATAAATATTTAAGAAAAATGACTTAATAGAGTGAATATGTCCCCCTTACATTCCCTGGTTAACCGCCACTGGTAACATGTACAAACATCAAACATAACATTTACCCAATGTCATTAACAATATTTGTATCGCATGTAGAAATCCAAAGAGATAATTTGTTAAATTGGCGCCTGTTATAAACAATACCACATATATTATTGTTGTATGGTTCATACATTCCACCAATCATACTCAGTAACTAAAAATATTAAAGTTTTATTATTTTGTTGAACATTATGATGCAAAAAAAAAAGTTACAATATCCATCCAGTACTGATCCAAAAATCCATTATCTTTAATCAACCACCGTCCACCCTTTTTATTTGTTTCATCTTCCCACACAGGTTTTATATCCGATTTAAACACAGAGTAATCACAGCCGATGTTTAACATACTTGGTATTTTAATATGATTAAATATGCTGTTAACAGAACACATAAATTAAACAGTTGAAATAACAAAATATAAGATACTAAATGTAAATACTTCTGTAATTGATAGTTGCAACTCACTTGAAATATCTTTCACTTTTAATTCAATAAATTATATTGTAACTGGTGTGTACAGATCTCCTAATAAAGTGAGTTTTATTTTTAAATAGTTTGTATGAATATCTAAATGTAATTTCAAATAATTATTGTCATATTATCGGAAGTGACTTAAATATTGAAATTTTTCTAGCAACTTATCTGTATCTAACCACTTAAATTATTTGAATGAATTTGGCTTTTATACATGTATTAATATATCTACTAAAGTACATAATAAATCAAATTCATGTATTGATCATTTGTTTCTGAAAGTTGTCGATGTTTGTTTAATTAATTCATATGTTGTAAACTTTAGTATTACTGATTATTTTGCTCCTATTATAACAATTTCTAACTTTGAAAAAGATTATGATATACCTAATTCACAAAACAAACCTTGTGATAAGACGTGTAAATTTTGAACATCTTAATATGTCAATTAGTACATGTTAGATTGATATTTGAGGTTAATTTCTGTAGACAGTGCAGTTAGCTTGTTTAGTAGTTATATGAAGAAAATTATTAAATGTTCTACAAACACTAACTAAACATATTAATAAAAATTCTAAATTAAAAAGATTAAAAAATTGGATTACAAATGGTCTTATAGTGTCAATTAGGCATATAGAGAAACTTCATCTAATTAAAAAGAAGTGTTCTTTTGATCATGATTTTATTTCATTTTGCAATAGGTACAAAAACTTGTTGGAATTATTGATAGAACAAACAAGAAATATATTCTACAATAATAAAATTAAAAATTTACATGGTGACACTAAAAAACATGGAAATTTATTAATGAAGCAATTCATGCAAATAAGCCTAAAAATCAAATTATTAATAAATAGTGTTTATAACAATAATGGTACTTTAATTACTGAATAATCAATATTTGCTGAAGTTTTTAATGATTTCTTTGAAAATGTAATAATATTCATAGTCAGATAAATTCTGAAACATATGATTAATTAAATTGGAATGAACTTAATCAAACTTCAAATATTGATGAGAAAAGCATGATCCATTTGAGTAAATGTTATGACCCCACTAACCATAACAGTTGTGTGATTATACAAAAAACAGCTAGTATAAAATATTTAGGCATTTTTATTGATGAACATTTGAAATGGACCAATCATTTAGATTACATTTCCTTACTTATTAGACATTTGCTTTTTAAATTTAAATCATTGAAATATATTTTAAACATTAACAATCTTAAAATGGTGTTATTTTCGTTAGCACAATCCATCCTTTCATATGCAATTGTTGTATGGGGTGGAACTAACAAAAATAATTTGCATAAATTAGAAGTTGTGGTAAATAATAAAATTATATTTAATAAAGATTGATTTTATTCAACTGTCCAATTATTTATTTATTTATTTATTTATTTATTTATTTATTATTATTAATACGGGTAGAGCCCAGAGTACAAAAAAGTTTTGTTCACGTTGGAACTGCTGTATGCAGGAAATATAATATCATGTTTAGTCAACTTAAATACTTGAATAAAAACAAATAATTATTACATACTATCCTTAGATCCTAGTAATATGTCCATATGATAATTTTTAATATTTTTGTTTGTTTTCTTTCTTTTCTGTTTTCTTTTACTGGTTTAGTTTACTACATATTAGTTAATGTTTATTTAATTATAAATGTATATATACATTTTGCCACAGTTTTAAATCTATGTATATATTATTATAAATTTGAACTCACTATCCCCTATCACAAGCATGTTTATTATGTTTATTTTGTCCTTGAAAAAAATAATGAACATACTGTTGTTATTAACAAATAAAGATTATTATTATTATTTATTAAATGAAGTAAATATAGTAAATAAATACATAAATAAAAAATGTATAAATATAAAATTAAAATAAATAACTGAATCAATGCGTCGCCTGAAGCATTATCATAAGTGTATTATATGACCAGTTCCGAATTAAAAATTCATCTTCAGGTATATCACAGTCAAAATGTAAAACGAGACTCAGTGAGTCAATTAGTGAATTTCAATTTAAACACTATTAAAAAAGTTCATAAATGTATTAATGAAAAAATAATACACACCTCACTAAATAATGTTGTTAACTATTGTAGTATGAAATGCCAAAATAATCACTTTTAAGACTAATAATAATTTAATCAAATATATAATCAATAGAGCAAAACACTTTACAAAAAATCTTCCTTCTTTTAAAAATACTGGTATAAATAAACTTAAATTTAACTTTAATAAATTGTATATATGTAAGACATAGACATTTTAAAATAAGATATAAAGAACACATTTCTGCAATAAAATTAAAAAAGACTGCCCCTAATTCAAATTTTGCTTAACATGTTTTAGAAAATAACCATAATATAAGTTTTTATATTAATACAGACTTAAAACTATTACATACTCAAAATAACGTTTACATTAATTCAATTTTAGAAGAATTACAAATACACAATAAAATAAAATAAAAATAATTTTAATAATATCTTATATCAATACATTTTAGATTATAAATAATAACCAAATAATTTAAATTTCTTAACATATCTATGCCTAATAATAACTTATTTTAAATAATCTCTCCTATTAAAATAAATTATTTCTATATTCTATGTAAAATAACCAATTTGTAAATTTGTTTTTCTTTGTATTCCTTAATTTAATTTTTTATACTCAGTGGCGTTTTACAATTTGACTGTGATATACCTGATGATAAATTTTTAATTCGAAACCAGTCGTATAATACACTTATCATAATACTCCAGGCCACCCATGGATTCATTTATTTATTTTATTTGTATACATAAATTTGTTATTTATTTATTTATTTACGAGTATTAACCATTTTAATTAAACATTATTAAACATTATTTTATTATTATTATTATTTAAAGTATACAGGAACGTATTTAAGAGGATCCAATAAAGGCATTGGTTCTAGATGTTAAATTTCAATCGGTCATTATAATCTTTCAAGACAAAGTAAAATAGCAATTTACAAAATACTAGTTTACTAGCAACCAATGAAACATTATACTTATCAACTATTTTATTAACATATAGTAAAATACTTATTTTATATACTGGGTATTCAAATACTAGTAGGTAAATACTAATAAATCAAGTGCTATAGTACCATATGCAGCTTTATGATTGGTCATTGTGAAGTACTGCAGTTTAATTTAATTTGTTTTTATCACTGTTCACAAGTTCACTACTGCTTGTATTGTTTCCAAATTTTTCAAAATTAGTGTTTTTCTAGTTTCAATATAAATAATCTTTAGATTTAATATACCATAATATTGGAAATTGTCCGTATAATTCAAGAAATTTAAAAATATCGTCACTGTTTCACTTTGCTGTAAAAATCACTTATTGTGCATTTGTTTGGTAATATATAAATAGAAATAATAAATAATTAAAAACTTAATGTTATTATATAAATTAATATTATTTGTCGTTAATACAAACCCATTTCTAGGGAAATACAAGCTACTAGGTTAAAATAAACAACTAGTTGTCCAGTTACATGATATTTTTTTTACCGTGCTAGTTTGTCAAAAAGTTAAAATGTTTCAATTTTACAAGTTAACTAATTTACTAACACACTCAATTAAAAGATGATTTTTTAACTAACTAGCTTACTCGTTACCAGTATATAGGAATAGTAAATTACACTTAAACAGTACGTATTAGAGCCCAAATGAAGTAGAGTGCAGTTTGAAATTCCATATGGTTGTAGAAAAAAAATGTGTTCATATGAAAGGGTGTTAAAAACTTAAATACTTATTTTTAAATGAGAATAATTTTTATATAATTATAAATAGTAAATGGGTAGTTCATAAAAAGAGTTCAATTATCATATTTTTAATAAATTATTATTATTTCTATTATTGGTTACACAAGTATATAATAAAAAAAAACCAGATACTGAAAATGGATGTGACACTGTTTTGAATGGGAAATTGGGAAGGTAAGATACAAAAAAGTATTTAATTTAAATATATACACAACAATAAACCATTTATAACAAAAAACTAATCTGAGTGAACCAAATTATTAACGCTTGAAAAATCAAAATGATCTCTTTGAGGCAACAACTAGAGCAAAAATTCATTCCAAAAAAAGTTTCTTTCTAGTTTTTGATTTGAGCAAGATTTCTGGTAGAAAAGTTGTTAAAACGCAGGAAAAAAAAACCACATATATATATCATAGTAACACCAATAGATTTTAGCTCCACTTATGATCTAAAAAAAAAAAAAACCATTACATTATTAACTTTGTACCAAAGAATCTATTTATATTTTTTTTCCAAAAATTGATTATTTTTAACCGATAATTTAACATAAATTTGTCAATAATATTTTTAAGTGTACCTACCGACAATTAAATATTTATTAAATTCATGTCCTTGTCTAATCACAATCACCCCACATTCTGCAGAACCATTTGAGAATAAATATGTGATCTGATTTTCCTACTGCTTTTCAGTCTTAATACTTTTAGATCATAGAGCAACCTACCTATCTAAAAATAATTGCTAGAGGGGTATAAATAGAAATTTTAACTTATAGGCTGAAATAAGTGGTTTTAATAATAAAAAAAATCTCTATAACATTTCTAAAAGTTTGACATATCTATTTTCCAAAGTTCAAAATTCTTCAAGTGTCATAGAAAAGTAGGTTAAAAATGAAAAAAAATCCAAAATCGTTAAATTATGTAAGTTAATTATCCAGTATACAACCCAATCACCATGAATACAGTCCTGATATAAATACTAATAACGAAACTATAATAATTTACATTTTTAATGCATTAATTTGAATACACCGTCGTATATTGTACCATGTTTAGCAGTTTTTTAAAATTTTGATTGTATACAAATATATAATAATATAAGAACTTATCTATTCATTTCTTTTTAGCGTATTATGTTCAGGGCCTTGATGATTTCAGCGTAAATATCATACGCTAGGTTATGTAATTCACTTACCTCCAAAATTTTTCAACGCTGTCAAACTCGCACAGCCCGTGCAAATTTTTCAACCAAATTGACAAGTTGACAGGCGGAGCGGCGGCGGGAACATCAACTCTCCAATACCACAGTTTCCAAGAATCGCTCAATAAATGAACGTTTCCTACCACACTATGTCTAACCAATTCCATATTTATATTTGCACGAATTCCCGGATACGCGTGTTCTCAAGACCACGGAGACAATAATTTATCAAATTAAAAATAATATACTTATAACGAAATATAGAAACGAGATGTTAATACACAAAAATACTATTTGAGAAGGGACAAAACTGAGTAAATTAATATTACGATCCCTACTTAGGTATTTAACAATACTGTTGATTCATTAAATTTTAAATATCACGTGGACCGTACGGTTTATGGTTATAAACTTTCCCATAAACATTGATAAAATCATGACTTGTTATTTTGGTAATTATAAAATAAACAACAACTGCATTTAGACGGAGAAACCAGATTTTATTGTTATACATAATGCAATGTTTAAAATATTGAAAAATCAAATATCAATATTAATGTAGATATTTTAAAAATATATTTATTTTATCATCGATGGTTTTTTGATAAGAAATTTTCTTTAAACTCTTCACTCGTTTTTCAACTTTACAACATAAAAGCATGTTTTGCAAATGTTCCATGTTTGTTTGCAGTGTCTTCATGGGCCTCGTACACCAACTTTTCATTTTGAATGCCCAAAACTTCTTTTATTTTCTTTCTGAAATAATGGTAAAAACAAATAACTCAAAAAATAATTGAAATTTAAAAAAAAAAAATGTATGTAGGTAATTTGTTTTTAGTATTCAAAACGACTATTTCGAATTGATAAATTAGATACCTATATGGAAAACAAAATTGACATTTAATTCAATACAGTTACTGATATTACAATGATAATGAAAATTAATGCATTTTACATTACCTAAACAAACATAATAATGAAAAAGAAGACGGACACAGGTAGATACTTCACACATGAGTGAACCATCGTTATAAGTAAGAAGTTGGAAAGTTAGAAGGGAAATGTATTACAAAAACGACTAACCATTGCTAACAAAAAAGAATTCTGAGAAGAGTTCAGTTAATAGTATTGCTTTATCAATAATATATATGTCATATTATGGTAAAATAATTACATATGCTTTATATATTTTATTTAATAATGCACCTACTTTCCAGTTTCTTTTTTTTTGGTTTTTCCCATTTATTATAAAAACAAGTCAAATTTCCTTTCAGCAAAAGTCAGTTAAAAATCAGAGCAAAATTGATTTTAAACAAGTTGTTCACAGAAAAAAAATCTAAATATTTTTTTTACTAACACTTACATTTCGTACATATTCCTGATTTTTTTTTCCATTTATTAAGAAAACTCTTAGGAAAATCAAAAAATGATCTTAAATAGCCACCCTATGAAAATTCCCTTTCAGAAAAAGTGCTTCACTTGATACTATGGAGTAAGATTTCTGGTAGAATTTTTGTACAAAATAAAAAAAATCATTGTAAAATCAATACATTCTTTGCTCTGTTCTAAAAAGATAATGTGGTATATTAAAAAGCCTAAATTTCTTTAATTAAAAGTTGAATGTTTATATATTTTATTTTGTATGGAAATATTAAATTAAAAAAAAAATCGGAACCATAAAACGTACTAAGAAAGTCTCGCTGTAAATTAATACATAATATATAATATTAAAAATAATAATGAATCCCATAAATAAAAAAAAAATATTTATTATACATATAATTTTAAGTAGCAGATAAGACGAATATATTGAAAGTACTCCATGGACCCAAAAGTATATGCAAAGAATATTAATATAGGTTTTTAAAATTATTTAATACAATTGTGTTCACCTAATTATAATAAATGTTTGTATTGACTAAGTTATTTTTATTTATTTTTTAATGTCCTAATACATTACAGGTTATGTCTAAAATACAGAACTATTAAACAAATTAATATGTTACAAATATATAGTTTTATATCAATGAAATACATAATATAATAATTTTCCTCATATTAATTTTATGAGTTATCAGCACCAAATTTTTTGATTTTTCTTGTATTTTTTTTTGTTGAGCAAGGATTATATTGGTTTTATAATGAAGTTTATTTTTTATTTATGAACTTCTCTACCATACATTTTGACCTGTAACACTTTTTCTGAAAGAAAATATTATTGGGGTGGTACTTGAAAGTGGTCATTTTTTGATTTGCCTAGGAATTCATAATAAATTTATTTATTTATTTATTTATATATATACGGAATAATATTCCAATTACAATAATAATACGTAGATTGAAAGAGTTACAAATGTACAATACAACATTAAGATTAATTACAGCTAAAAATAAGTAGAAGTGGTAAATACGTAATCAATATAAGATATGAATTTAAAAAGAAATAATTAATTAGCCTATTGGAAAGTAAAAAGTAGGTAAAAATACTCACATTAAAAGAATATATAAAGAATATAAATATAATAATATATAGAATATAAATATAAATGGAGAAAATCAGGAAAATGTATGAAATATATAACTTAAAATTGTAAATATTATAGCCTTTTTAAATATGTATAACTGAACTCCACTCAAAATTATTTCTTTTTTTAATAATTGAGAAAAAACAGAAAATATACATTAAAATGGTTTTTGGACTTTTGATTTTTTTTTTTTTGAAAACCACCAGAAGATGTAACATCATATCGACTGATATCACTCCTCCCAAGATTGTCTTAACTCTCTCTTAAAGAAACTTTTACTTTAACATCTAAAACCAATCATAGAAGAAAAACATCTTAAACCGGACCATCAGTTTGGATTCCACAACATTCGACAATTGATCAAGTTAATCTAACGTGGTAAGTAAAGCTTTTGAAGAAAAAGATTACTGCTGTGGAGTGTTCCTTGATGTAGCTCAGGCTTTTGACAAAGTCTGGCACAAGGGTTTCCTCATCAAATTGCTTGATCAACTGCCACATACCTGGTGGGCACTTTTTGAGTCATATTTAACTGACTGCTAATTCCAATCCATACATGAAGAAACAGTAACCAAATGGGAAGATATATTAGCTGGAGTATCTCAAGACCTATCCTGTACCTACTCTACATAGTTGATATACCAAACAATGACAACACAACGATAGCTATGTTTGTCAATGATACGACAATTTTTTCGACAAGTAAGAATCAACTAATTGCAACTGATAACTTCTAAGAATTAATTGACAACATATTTGCCTGGAAGAGATGTTGGACAATTAAGATAAATGGTGATAAATCAGTACACGTCAACTATACATTATGTAAAGCAGAAAAAAATCCTCTTAAATCATGTTGAATCAAACATAAATCTCTTAAAAAGATTTAACAAAATACTTTATAATGTACCACAGACTCCTATTTAAACTGGAAACACCATTAGAAAAAAATACAAATTACAAAAAAAAATTAGAAAGCTCTATTAGTTAGACCCACTCCAAGTTAACTATAGCAAACAAACATCTACTATAAGTAACTATCATAAAACCAATTTGGACCTATGGCATTCGAGTGTGCCAGTAAGTCTAATATTGATATACTACGTTGCTAAAACATCACTCTTTGGACCATCACTGTAGCCTACTGGTTTGAAAGAAACAATGCCATTCACCGTGATATGATGCTGCCTACAATAGCTGGTGAAATCCAAATTTGATCACAAAGACGAGACGAAATTAGATCACCATGTCAATCCATTGGTCATCCAATTATTAGAAAACTCTATGTGATAGCTAGTTCTCTAGGTAAACCTAAAATAAATTTGTTTTTCCCAGTACCAGCTTATTATTATTAATTTTTTTATTATGGTTTTTTGGTAAAATATGGGTAGGTTTAATTGACTAAACTAATAATAAAAATAAATAATAAACTATAATTGACTAATTGACTAAAACCTCATATAGTTATTTAATTAATATCTGTATGTACTAATAAACCATTGCCAACAAAAAACAATTCTAGACAAATTTCAGTTATACACATTTTATAATTTTGAATTGAATATTTTTTAAGGTTTTGTTTTGTACAATTTTAAAAAATAATATTTATCAAAATGACATCCCTACTCATAAATAATTAGCAACAATTTTATGTCAGTAGTTATCATAATGGTCCAATTCATCAATCAATTGACACAAGTAATGTTTAATTGTCTACTTAATTAAACCAATAAAAAGTAAAAGTAACAATCTCAATAAGACAATTTTTTAAATTTATTTAGTCATAGTGGGGCATATAATTAAATTAAGTAGATAATGTATTGTTTTTCATATTTTAGACTTTGTAATAATAAATTAAATCTCTAGGAAAAAAAATGTAGAGTAACTTTTTAGATTTTTAAATGCATAAGTATTCAGTGATATTTTAGAGCTACATGTCTTCTGTCCCAATAATCATAACTTAACCTAACTTTCTTTTCTATATTTTTTCTCAACTTACTTGTGTAATTTTTTTACAAATACTTAAGGGAACACTAAAGAAAAAAAAAAGGGGTATCAATAGTTCAAATGTAACCTTCACAGACATAAGACTGGTTTGAACAAAGAAGAATATTTAAAAAATCAAACCTTCACGACATGAAGGTCTGTAAGAGATAAAGTAGAAAATATACAAAAAAAAAAAATTCTGTTGCAATAATAAAACAAAGATATTTTCATATTTTAATTAAGAACATGACATAAATAAATGATTTAAAGTAAAGCCAACAAAATAAGCAATAAGACTTAAATTTTGTTTATTACATACCCAATTGTTATAATGTTATCTCCATTTTCTTTTGATGCATTGTTTGTCCATATTGCTATTTTAGTTCCTTTACTTCGTATATTAACTATAGCTCCATTAATTTCACAGCTATGCTCATAAACTTCACCAATTATACTCATTATCTAAAAGTCATTTTAGAATTTAAAATCAAATAATAGAAAATAAATAAAATTAGTTATTACTAAATTTTTCCAATAATCATCCACTTGTGGACTATTTTTTGCAGGTGGTAACTGTAACAACCAACGGCCACCAGTACTATTTTTGTCATCTTCCCACATAGGCTTGATGCCATTTTTAAAATAGTTATAATCACAATGTAAAGATAGTTGACTTGGAGGTTTAATGTGATTAAACAAACTAAAAATACATATTTAGAATTATTATTTCTATAAAACATAATTAAATTAAATTGAATGGGAATTTTCAAATATTAATATAAAGTAAAGCCAAGGGATTATGAGCAGGGCCAGATTGGAAAACACCAAAGCTCTGTACGATCATCTTTACGAGTCTTGAATTACTTTTTTTTTTTGCTTTTCACCTTCTAATACCAAGCATAGGTAAATCTTTACAATACAATTTTTCTTAGTTCATTCATTTTAGTTTATATTTTTCTAAATAATATGTAAAATTACTATCTAACTATGATTGTGATTAGACGCAAGGCCTTTAAGAGTGAGGGGGCTCTCTGCAAGTGCACAGCTTGCATCGTCCTCAAACAGGTTCTAATCAAAACTGACTGAATCATGACTGAAATAAATATAAGTTTTTCTAAAATAAATCATACACTCTATACGTTATGTGATAATTCTACAATCAGATATTCATTTATCAATTGAGTGTGTTGGGAAGTTATCATAATATGTTGTTATAAACTTTTTAAAACATGTTAATGTATAAGATAGTGATAACTGATGGATAGTCAAGGTTCTACTATATTTAATACACAGGTAATTTTTTTTTTCAAATTATGATTTTGTCTTAATTAAAATTTATTAATTATAGACATTAAGAAATAAATTGAAGTCTGGCTATTAGGGTAAAAAAATTAAAATAATGAAGAAAACCAAACACATTTATTTTTCGTGCATCCAGTCCAAATTTTTGATTTTCATACTTCCCGCCAAGAAACACCTGGTTTAAAAGCAAGAATTTGCAGAATTTGAAAAATGTTAACCATTCACCAGACCTGTCTAACTCTTGAGCAAAACCAAACTTGAAAATCTACCAAATTTTTAAATTTATTTTATTTTTCGTATGGCATAAAAAAATTTTACAAAGATTTTTAACATGTAACATAAAATATAAAATATCATTAAACATTTAAATAGAGTAAAACTACAATTAAAATGTTAAGATGCAGCAAATAATAATAAAAACACGGAAATAACAAAAATTGACTGCAGTATGATGATAAGGTAAGGATAGAGGAGCAAAAATATAAAAGTAGTTTTTTTAATAATTTGACTTTCTTTTTTTATTTTGAACTCAACAGTCAGAATTAAAGTATTGTTTTATATTAAATGAAATTTTTTAAATTCAATTTATTTAACTTACCACCAAAAATCTTCAACAGTATCAAAACTTGCAACTTCGTGAATATTTTCTTCCCAAACTTTACTCTTGTTTTCATAAAACCAAAGGGTCCATTTATTTTCCAATGGATGTTTAATAATTATTTCTTCTGCAGAAGGAGCAGCAGGTTCAGTATCAACTGGCTCTCCCTAATAATATCAAAAAATATTTGAAATATAATACAATCATGAAAAAAGTATTAAAACCAGAAAAGACCTAGACGATAAGATGTTTTACAAACCTCCCAGAAAATTATTGGTAAACTACAAATATAATTCTATGGTAGGTACTTATTAAAGAATGAGACTGCTAATAGTGTATACTATTGGAAATTAAAAAACAGTTGGATAAAATATACATTTTTGATTAACTTTTAATAAATAGTTACTTCGGCTGTCTCCCATATGGAAGTTTTTAATAATAGGTAATATAGAATAATACAAAAATTATAATACGAATAACTGATATAGTGTATTCAGTTTTGTTATTTTCTTAGTTTTTAGTAACATCCAAGCAGTAGAACAAAGCAAAAAACCTCATACATTCTAAAAAAAAAAAATTAAATGAGATTGAATACTAGAGTTTGAATTACCACTGTTTTTAAACTCAAAGACTCATTCTAATAAAATACCGCAAATCGGAGAGTAGTTTACGCGTATGAAAAATTAATCTTTAGACATTTAACATAAATCTTCCCAAACCTAACAGTATCATCTATTTTTTATTGAACTTTGAACTACTGTAAACATTAGATGATTTACTCCATTCCTGTATTCTGGTCGAAAAGCAAAGCTCCGAAAGAACTGTGATCAGCAAATATATTATTTAAAATACAATAGTGATTAAGTTATATATTATAGTTCACTTACCATTTTGAAGATTCGTTACTTTTGATTTAAAATACTATTATATTTTTCAATATTAAATTTCACGGTTTGATTATAGTAATAGCATTACAAATATGATGTGATGTTCATGAACAATATTGAGTGAGAAGGATAGCGACAGGGGTAATCATGGATGAAATATATCTGTATTTTTATCACGGTTTTATCTATAACCGTGATTTTTATTATGCCATGAAATTGATTATAGTCAAATCTCCGCATAAATACGAAAGTGCAATAGTATCACGTAAAAAAAATGTATACATTTTTAATAAAATATGCTTTATGGTTTATCGTGCTTACAGGTATACTATACATATTAAATTACCTATAACAGTGGTTGCACCCGTTCGCATTATCCTAGGACGTCTTTTTTTCCCTTAAACCAATTTCAATAATATGGGTCTATTTAACTATTTCTAAATCTTTGACAAAATATTTTTTAAAATCATCAATATATTGAATTATGTCTGTGTTAATTCTGTAATAGAACAGAATTAAACTTATGTACTTTTATTACTACAAATTGTAAACAAAATAAGTTTAAAAACTAGTAATAAATGGATTATTTTGGCTAAATTACTATTATTCTAATGCTTTCACGACGCCCATAGGGCATAGAAAGTATTAACTAGTTAATATGTCTATGATCTAAAAAGCCAGTGTAAAAAATTTGTTTCTAAAAATTGTATATTTGTTAATTGCTGTTTTTATGTTATAAATAAATGATGTCAGCATCTTTATACCCCCGACAAAGTTCTAACTGAATTGTTTCGAGGGTAGGCTGGTGAGTATTGACAATAAACATATTAATATATGGACTGATCGTAGAGAGGTTCGTGTACCAATATTGTTAGAAAGAGATGGCATACAACTTAAGACGGTCATAGAAGAACAAATCACATATGAAAAATACTTAATTTTTAACTTAAAATGGTTCTTCAGGGTACTATTAAAACCTGCAAAGAAAATTATTATATTATTTAAGTTATATTACATTATAATATTTATATTACTTTAATATTTTATATTATCATATTTCCAAATGTTGCGTATCATTCCATGATAGCTCATTTTTTTTCTTTTATGATTTTCTTAAACTATACTCTATCTTTTTCTTATGTATGTATAATTTCTTTGATCTCTTTCTAACAATGTTGGTCCCACAGAGATATAGACGGGGTGTGTAGAAGGCACAGTCCATTTATTAATTTGTCCATGGTATTACCGGTACCCACGAAAAAAAAATACATCTATGATAGTTATAGACCATTTACTGAGGATTATAAGGTCTATGATGATAGCGCCCATCTCCTCGTTGGCCCTATCATAAGTGTCGACTAGAGTGCTACTTATAGTTCCTTTCAATCGTGAATAACAATATAACATTACATTAAAAATTACATAATAATAAATATATTGAAAGGAATTATAGGTAGCGCTCTAGCCGACACTAATGATAAGGCCAACAGGAAGATTAGCGCTATAATAGCATTAGAATAGTAATTTAGCTAAAATAATACATTTATTATAGTTTTTTTATAATTTCCTTATTTAAACTTACTTTATTTATAATTTGTAGTAACACAATTACAGAATGTTTAATTCTGTAATAGAAATATATTGGTAATTTTAAAAGACATTTTGTCGAAGGTTCAGAAATAGTTAAATGCAACCATATTATTGAAATAGGTTCAAGATATTCTAGAATAATAGGGACGGGTGTAACCACTGTTATAGGTAATTTAATATGTACTTGTAAGCAACAATAAGCCATTGTTAACAAAAAAAGGATTCTAAGCTGAGTTCAGATGATAGTGATGCTTTGTCAATAATGTACATGTACATTTACATATACAGGTTAAATTATTAGTAAAATAATTAAATAGGCTTTATATATTTTCTTTAATATTTATTTAATGTTGTACCGATTTTTTCGTTTTTCATTTTTACTGGTTTTTCACATTTGCTGAGAAAATCGAAAAATGACCTCTTTAAAGTACCTCCCCAGTCAGATTTCTTTTTAGAAAAAATGCTTTCATTGTAAATCTGAGTAAAATTGCTGATAGAAATGTTGTCCACAAAAATCGTAATATTTTAGGCATGTACGTTTTCCCGTTTTTTACATTCCATGAGATACTTTTGAGATAATTGAAAAATGACCCAATTATCTCTCCACGCCGATTTTCTTTTAGAAAATATGCTACACTTAAAAATCAGAACAAGATTTCAGTTAGTAAAATAGCGCACATATAAAAAAAAAATAATAATAAAAAATAAACATCATTCTAAAACCATAAGCTTCTTCACTCCACTTACAATTTAAAATTATAATTATTAAAATTTTAAGACTGTTTGCAACCAGTAACCTTCACGGTAAACCTCACGAAGTAGGTAGGTAAATTTTATACACTATACCTTTTATATATTATGTAAATTTAATACAAGTTTGTATTTAATTTATACATTTTTATTTTTCATTTAGTTAGAATAATAATTATAGTTATCCATAATATCAACAAATAAAGCTATATTTATGATTATCACAAAGAAATTTAGAAGTCAGTACTCAGTATGCCTCAAACGTACATCTTCCCTGTTAGAGTAGTTCTAATAAATTCCATCAGATAGCGACTCTTTCTCTTTCAATCGCGAATAAAAGACAATAGTTAAAACCTATAAATTATAATATAATAAATATTAGTAGCAGTACAATTACAGTAGTCGAATAATCAATATTATATACAAATTTGGGAACCACTTGAGTTTCATCAAATATTGCTAGCGGAATATCCCAATATTATTTACTTAGATCATATACTATATGATCCAAGATTATTTCCCACGATGTTCCATATTTTCTACATCGTGTTATCACGATTAAAGATAATAGATATACAGATACATATGGATAGTTATATCATTAATCGTGCTTATTACAGAAGACTTTGGTTAAAGACACATATAGCTGTGAAAGTAGCATATATATTTACATGATATATAATATTCTTAAGACTCTATTTCTCTTTAGAAATTCGTTGGTAAAAACTGGTGTACCATGTTGATTACGATTTATCATACCGGTGTGCCAAAACGGATCAGTACAGTACACACCAAAAAGTAGAAAGATTGGTTAAGATGTTGATGTCGATTCGTACATACTGGTGTGTGATACCAATTTGGATATTATGGTACCGATTTTACAAGAAATTCGTTGACTTGTAGTTGGTACAAAATATCATTATTCCCTCTATAGTCTCTAGTTTTAAATTAATTATAAAAACAAACATAGAAAAAGAAAATAAGTGAAACCTGACAAGTCAGTCGGTTAGTGGTAGTAGTGCGATGCCGCCACAGAAAAATGATAAGGTTGTACGAATTTCAAAAGGAATAAGACAAACAAATAATAGAAAACGAATCGGTATAATTAACCATATCATCGATATGGTCCGAAATATTAGGATCAGTGTCAATTTTTTGCACACCTGTATGCCCCAAAAAATTTCTTTAATTTGCACCGGTTTGTATTTTACTTATCGGTTTGTACCAATGAATTCTAGTTCATGTTCCAAACTAAATTGTGATAAGAGAATAATACCGTGTTAACAGTTTGACCATATTTTAAGTAAAAAAAAAAAGTGGACTCACTGGATAAATGTAAACATACATTTCTCCAGTGTTTTGAAGTATCAAGTTGGAGCACGGCCTTAGTTGGAGTATCATTTATGGGCGTATGGCCGATGGCGTTTATGCGTATGCTGTCAGTAATCAGTTAACAGTTTATAGGTATTAAAGGTGCAAAAGTAAAAAATACCTATTAAATAATTTATTTAAAATTTAAGTTTTTTAAGAAATCTTTTGATTCTTATTTATTTAGTAATAACTTTTAGTGCTAGGCTAGTGTTAAATTAAAATGTAATGTTTTGAACACTTACTTTGAACATTGAACATGCAATAAGATGTAGATGTGCTAATTGGTAATTTATGTTAAATTATTGGTAACACATATATTAGTAAGTAATTAGTTATTATATATCAAACGGACTACAAAACATCCGTATATATTATGGACGAGGACGAAATTAGTAATGATGTTTCAGACAAGCGTAAAGTTGAAGATTATAGTATTAACCCTAAACCTAATCCAAAAAGAATTAAACTTGTTCGCCCTGTATTTTCACCCGTAACCAAACCTTCGATTTCCACAACACCTGATACCAATAAAATCGATGTGCAAACTACAGAAGTACCTAGGCCTAGTAATTTAACTGATCAAATTCATAATACAACTGATATTTCTCAAACCAATGTAAAATCAATTAATCAACAAGAAACTACTAAAATGCCCATTGACCTACAAGAACATATTAAAAAATCAGTAGCTGTGACTTTAGCACCTGAAGAACAAGTTGATAGTAGTTCTGATGCTTTAGATATACAAAATATATTTAGTGAAGAAACAAAAAAAGAATTAGAACATTTAAAAAGAAATATTTTTAAGATTGAAGATGATGGATCGTCTTCAGAAAATGATAGTCAACCAAAACGACCTCGATTGAAACGACCAACTTTTGTTAAAAAAATGTTTGATAAAACTAATGAAACAGCTAAATTGGATTTAACAAAGTCTGCTTATGAGGAAAATATAAACAAAATTGATACAGAAGATAAAATTGATAAAATTACAGAAAACAATGTTGAGAATATTAAAGTTAATGAGGTATATGAACATTCAAATAATCATATAATTGAGAAAAATTCTTTTACAGCAGAAAATATTAATAAAGTAGCAGAATATAAATCAGTCACATCTACAATTATTGATTCTGTTAAACAAAAATTAAATGATGAAACAAAAGAAAATCCTGCCAAAGTTGAGAAGTTGTATCAAGGTACTGATAAGGTGATTAAATTTGAACGTTGTGTTCTCGAAATTAAACATAATGATACCAAAATTGAAAAGGATAATACTGAAATTAAATATGATGGTGCTGAAATTAAACAGGACGGAACTGAAATTAAAAAAGATGATACTGGAATTAAACAGGATGATATTGAAATTAAACATAATGATTCTGAAATTGAGCAAAAGGCCGTTGAAGAAAATACAAATGTATTGTTTGAGAATAAACCCATTGATATAGACAAAACTAATCATACAGCTGAAGAACAAATCAATCAAAAACAAATATTAGTTGAAGAAAATATAGTTTTAAAAAAAGAGATTAATGAATGCAGTGGTCTAAAAATATTCACCCAAAGTAATTCTAAAGTAGTCTTGGAAGATTTCAATCTAAAACATTTTCTTGAATCAAAAGATGAAAAACTAATTTCAAGTACAACACATAAAGTTGAAAATGAAGGAATCAAAATTGCTATTAAAACTAATACTGAAGAATACACTGAAAATACTAATAACCAAAAAGCCAAAACTGAGACAGATAATATAGAAGACTTACAAGTAGATAAAACGATTGAAAATCTTAATGATAATGAAATGATTAATTTAAAAAATGAAAATCACAAATCTAACAGAAACATTAATGAAGATGAATATAAATGTTCTGATATGTCAACCAATAAAATAACAAATTTAGATACAAATCAAAAGTTAGATGAAAATGAATCTCAGATATTTAAGTCTGATATTTTAAAAGCAGCTCTTATGTCAAAAAAATCATCCGAATCGCTTGTAAATTCACCAGAAACAAATGATCAATCTGATACTAATGACCATTTATTAGAAACTAAGACAACTGAAATTCTACCAAAAATTGGCCAGGATGCTATTGTTAATAAAATAGAAGCAGAAATAAAACTAGCTACTAAAGATCAGCCAGCTAATAATAAGAAATCACAAAATAAAACTTTTAATAATGGGTCAGAAATAAATTATTCTAAAAGAGTATCTAGCCCTACTGATGCTAAAGAAATTGTAGCAGTTGATAATGTTGATGATCCTTTAAAATGGGGATCAGCTAAAATGAATGAAGTAGAAAAATTTTTAAATGATTCTAATGTAACCATTACTCCTATATGCAAATCTCAAGAGTCGCCTAAACTTGGTAAAATAACATTAAAATTACCAAAAGTTGGAAATCCAGAAATTAAATCTGAAACTACAGTTAGTCCTGATGTTAAATCTGAATTGATAAAAAAAATCACTAATAAACAAATTGCTATGGGTGACAGTCCTTTAAAAAGTGCTCTTTCTCTACCTTCGAAGTCTTTTAATGACTTTGCTACCATTAGACCTGCTCCTAAACCTAGTGCTGAACAAATTGCTTTATTAGAACAACAAATATTGAATACACCTAAAAAAAGAGGGAGACCTTCAAAAGTTTTAGCACAACAAAAACAGTTATTATTACAATATCAACAACAACAACAGCAACTTAAAGTTCAAGAAGGTAGTACAGAAGATGAACCAATATTTCATGTACCCCTATTCGATATGGAAGATATGAGTGGGGGAACAAGACTTTTTGAATCATTTGAAGCATCAACACCGAAAAAAGGGAAAAGTATCAGAGGAAAAGGTAGTCGTGGACGTAGAGGACGAGGAGGTTCTGTACGTGGTCGTGATGAGTCAGATAGTGATACAACATCTAGTAGTCGCCGCATTGATGATGAAGTAGAAACTTATGTTGAAGAAATGATGAATGCTCAAGATGAAGAAAACAAACAAGTAGCAAAGATAGAAGCTGAACGTCTTCGAAAAGAAGAAGAACGAGAAAAGAAATTGGAGGCAAGAAAGAAAAAATTAAAAGAACGTAATGATCTTTTAAAAGAGAAAAAATTGAAAAAAAAACAAAAAGCGGAAGAGAGGAGACTACAGTGGCATGAAAAGAAAAGACTTATGCAAGAGGAAAAGGCTAGAGCAGCTGAGATGAAGAAATCTCTTCCTCCACCACAAAATTTTGATGATGAAACTCGAATGAGTGCTGATTGTAATAATAGTCGGTCACAAACACCTGCAAGAAATTTTATAATTGGTATGTCTTTTAAAACATTTTTTAATGATATAATAATAATGTTAAAATTATTCTTAGGTGAAGAGGATTTATCGATTAGCGGTACCACAAATGATAGTATTAGATTGAAAAAAGGAAGAATGGAAGTTATTGATCTTGAAAGGTAATTTAAGTTAATGTTAAATTTGTATTATTTTTATAACTGCATGTTTGTTTCATTGTTTAATGTTAAATGCCTATGTATTTATTTTAGTAATAAAACATTAACTGTTGATCAAATTGCTGAATATCAATGGCCATTGGAAGGCGGGGAATTGTATATGATCCAAGAACAAATATCAAATTTTTTAGGTGTTAAATCATTTAAAAGAAAATACCCAGGATTAAAACGCCGTAATGTGGAGGCTGAAGAACGAACATTTCTTTGTGACAGTGGATTAGTTGCTGAATCATTGTGTGATCTTGGTATGCATATAAATTTTAACATATAATTTAAGTAATAAAATAATAAACTAAAAACAAAATTATTAAAATGGTTAATATTCGTAAATAAATTTATACATTTTTATTTATATATTTATTTATTATATATAAAATTTAAGTAATAATTTTAATGTGTTGATTAGGCTTAACAGTTCTATATAGTTCAGAAGTATTAGACATCATGTATACAGATTTTCCAGAAAAATATGAAGAATTAAGAGAATATATGAGGCTTAAACACACCAAAGAATTGTCAAATCGGCAAAGAGGTATAAATTAAATAATATAGTATTTAAAACAAACAGTTTAATTTTTATATATAAATGTATATTTTTTTTTTTTCTAAAGCATTAATGACAATTAGTTCAAATACAGATGGTTCAAAACTAGATTTACGTGATAGAGCAATGGAAGCTGTAGCTAATTGGAATTCCAATTTAAATAAGTCTCGGTTAGAGTCTCGTAAATGTTCAATGGATATGCAAACATTTATTGTTCATTATCCAAAAAATAAATGTAAAAAAATGACTGTTCCTAAATCTAAAATTGGTAGTTATCCATTGGCATTATTACCTGGACAATTCTGTGATTACTACGCCACGTAAGAGTTAAATGTAACTAAATTGCATATTGTTTTGAACTTCTCAAGTTACTTTGTAATTTTTAGATACTCTAGTGAAGATTTACGCTATTTGCCTGTCAACACTGTTATGTATGGACCTTTAAAATCCGTGGATAAAGACTTTCCTGTTTCATTAAGCAGTCAATCTGAATCAGAAGATAGTTCTTCTGATGACTCTAGGTAAATCTTATTGCACGGACTGTTTATCTTATTTAACATAACTAAATTTGTTGAACTGCATGATGAGTATGTAAATAATTAAGGTTTAAAGTTTACTATGGTGTAGGAGTAATTTCATTGACAAATATTTAATAAGAAAAGGGAAATTTACAAACTAACTTTTATGTCATGAAATGTTCATATTTAAAATTAATTAATAGTGATAGTGATGATTCAATCGATACTGACAACAAATTGGAAACAAATGATTCAGAATATGATCCAAGTGATAAAAAAGGAGCTGAATGCAAACTATGTTTGAACAACGCAGAAAAGAATAAAAAAGGAACAGTTGAACCTTTAATTAATTGTTCTAAATGTTTGACAATATGTAAGAAAAACATATTAATTTCAATTTAAATATAAATTATAGTACTAACATTATAATTATTTAATTATTAATATAAGATCATCCAACATGTTTGGATATGACATTGGAGATGATTCCCTACATAAAACGTTATAATTGGCAATGCAATGAATGTAAATCTTGTGCTCAATGCAAAGAAGTTGCTGATGAAGATAAAATGTTGTTCTGCGATCTTTGTGATAGAGGGTAAATTAAAATATTTTTTAAGGAATAATTATGAAAGTTATTTGTTGCTATATTTTTTGTTTAGGTATCATATTTATTGTGTGGGACTTCGTAGAGTACCAGAAGGTAGATGGCATTGTCAAGAATGTGCTATGTGTAGTTCATGTGGTGTTTCTGACCCTGGGCCAGGTGATTCTAAATGGTTTTATGAGGTAATAATCTAAACTTAACTATATTTTTGTTTCATTAAATTAGATTGTATGGAATTTTGTTTTTAATAAACTAAGATTTTATTCAGCTCTATTTCATATTAATTTCAGTTTAAGAAAATTGAAAAAACTGGATCAAAAGTATATTGCCGTACGCTATGTGCACCATGTTCCAGGTACATTATTTATTGAAAATTATTTTTTTTGTGTATATATAAATTATGTGTGTATATAATAAATATATATTATATACATATATTTGTGTATTTTATCAGTTTTATTGTGGAATAATACATATAAAATCATTAACACTTTTATATTTAATAAAAATTAAATTCATTTTAACATATTGGGGAATTCTGGTTTGTTGGCCAGGTTGTGGAAAAAAGGCCATTTCTGCCCTAATTGCATGCGTTGCTATCCTATCAAAAACGTCGAACGCATGACACAGTGTAACAGTTGCGATAGATACTTACACCCAGGTATATAACAACAGCTTTTATTGTCGTATGTTTTGTGATTTTTTAAATTTATTTTATGTGAGTTATGTATGATAACTGAAAATATTAACACATTGTTGGTCTGTATTAAATTATATAGCTAATACATATTAAATGAAGCACATTTCAACAACTTTAAATTCAAACGTGAGATCTTGAATACTAATTGATAATTTTTTTTATTAATTCATATTAATTATTTATTTTCAATTGTAATTATCACCTTTATTTCTCACTAATTTGATTCATATATTATGCATTTTTTTTCAATTTACATTGTTGATATACAATTAGTTATTCTCCTGTAATTTGTTAAAAGTTCACATACTTTTATAATTTGTGTGGTTTTTTTTAAAACTGTCATTAATTATAATTGGGTTTTTTAATTTACCAAATTTATATAAAATGGATTTATTAAATACTTAGTTAAACTAAAATAATATATTTAAATTAGAAAAATATATACTTATTTTAGAGCTAAATAATTTCTAAAATGTTTTTAATATCCTTTTATACACTCAATGTCGCTTATAAGACTTCTATTGGTACCAATACAAAGCAAATCTTATAACTGAATGAATCTTATAGGTGAAGTGGGAAAAAAAAACAAATAAAAATTTTAATTAATTAATAACTTTATTTTGCTACTTTTTCAAACATTGTAGAATACGTCACATTAAATTAGCGCTCATGTTAACAATAAAAAAAAGGACGGTCTAGTGTTGAAACTCAAATTATGACTGATCTTTGTACAATGATTGCAACAATAACTGTAGTCATTACGATAAATTTGAAATGTGATAAAATTTGTCTGATATAAATATGATGGTAAAATGGCACGATTAAAAGCTAGTAATAGGTAATAACAAACATTTATTTTTTGGTTTTATTAATAATGATTATTATCTATGATTTTTCTTATAAAATTTGAGTCTTATAACCAAATTTTTTCTAATGTATTTGGATACGTCCTGACCGTTTTAGGTCTAATGAGTAACGGAACGTTATATCCATGTGTCTTATAAACGGCGTCAACTGTAATTAAATTAACTAAATTTAAATTATATCCAATTCTTATTATTCTTATTAAATTAATGATCTTTTTGATTTGACAAAATTGTGAAAACTATTTGCATTTATTGCACGCCAAGTGCTAAAACATATTCAATTTGTTTAAAATTCAGTGAACCAGGGTAGTGTTTCACATTTAGTTTGATGCACTGTGTACATAAGATACACCACCAATTTTTTACGCTGCTTATCAATTGATCAATGAAATCATGGGCACACTAATATTCAATAATATTTTATACCTAATGATAGATAATGAGTATTTGGATGATTACAGTCACAATTTAAATAATAATTTTGAAGTTTTGATTATTCACAAACATTGAAATAACAAAATCAAATTATTTTTATACAATTTAAAAAAAAAAACTAGTATGTTAAATGCAAAACATGTATATTTCCTGTAGAATTTCATTGCAAAATTTTTTGTTATATCAAAACTATAAAATAATGAACTTTTGTTATTCTTTATATGATTTTTTATTTTTTATTTGTATTATTAATTTTTTATTCTTTGGATTTACTATAAATTAATATTGCAAATAATGCAAATTTAACAATAAAAAATTTAAATCAATAGTTAATATACTTTGATATCATCACTTACATACATACATACATGGCAATTATCTGCGCTGAATTCTAATGCATTGTTTTTAGTACACTTATCAGTTCTCACATACAAAGTTGATCTGACAAAAACTTTATGTTTGTAAATCATACATTTATGTAGTGGATTAATAGTTTCAAGACAAATAGATTTATGTTTGTTTGATAAATAGCAACCTAATTTACACGTAACAACATTATCTTAATCAAGTATTACATTAAGGCACATATTTTAAATATAAAACCAGTTGATAATTTTATTAAATTATTTTAATATTTGATTGTATCAGTGTGTGAGTAGTTATCAAATTTTAAAAGATGAACATGTTAAGATTTGTTTCATTTGGTTAGGTTGGTTAGGTCAAACAATTTTTTTCTTACTAAGTAGGGATGGGCACCTGACAGCTCACATGATATTTTTCAATGGTCCCTGTATATTAATGAGAATTTTAAAAAATAACCTCTCTAAAGTAAAACCCAGAGAGAGAACATTTCCTTCAGACAAAATGCTATATTTAATAATCGAAGTAAGCTTTCTGCTAGAAAAAGTGTTCGCATAAAAAAAATAAATATTATTTTAAAATATTGCTCCACTCAGAATCTAAAAATATAATATATTTTAATTCAACTAATACATACTTTTTGTACATTTTCCGTTTTTTTCCAATTTGCTGAGAAAATCAAAAAATGAACTCTCCATTATTTTCCCATTTCTTTCAGAAAAGATGATATACTTAAAAATCTGAGCAAGATTTGTGGTAGAAAAGTTATCCATAGAAAAAAAAAAAACATTGTAAAACCATAAGCTTCACTTCTTCTTCACTCCATTCAGAATATAAAAATAAATATAAATTGTAAATTGTAAATTTTATTGAATTTTATTTTTGCTTTCTATGTTCTCTGGTTTGCTAAATTTTAAAATTCTAAAAATCGGCCCTCCAGTATTTTTGAGTAGCCCATCCTTGCTATAATGTATAAATAATATAATAATTATACATTATAGCATAAGTTAAAGTCTTGTGATACATATTTCAGCTATATTTCGTCCAAACTATATTACATATAAAATTACCTAATCATCTAGTTACTTAAATATTTGAATATTAAATAGAGTAAAAGTAGTTTTAGTTTTGATAGTTTCTTAATTTTTAGTTATAAATAGGTGAAGAAACAAATTTAATGTATTTAGATTATATATATTTTAATTGAGAATAGATTATGTAGATTACAAGTTTACATTTCAAGTGTTTAACGGAATCAACAGTTTAAATTTTGCAGGGAAAAATGGTTAATTTATATTTTATAACAGGTATTCCTATAGTTCTCTGTATTTACATAAGTTATTATTTTACCAATTAAAATCTGAACTTAAATAAGAATTTGTATTGTTAGAATAAGGTTATATTTATCAGAATCAACAAATACCTGTAAATATAGTAACTATATTTATTTAACTTTATTCTTATTTAATTGTTTTTTTTTCCTCAGAGTGCATTAGTGAAAATATTTCAAATAGACAAGATGTAGCATGTACTATATGCGAAGAAAAAGCCGCTTCTAGATTACTTACCACAGTGCCCAGGTCCTTGATTAAAGTCTGAATAAATTAGTTGACAATTATTATTTAAATAACAATGATAATTTTTTTATTTATTTTATTATAAGTTATAACATAATTTTTAATCATACTTTTTATTATTAAATAACAATTTTATAAGTTTTATATAATTTTAATAATCTATTGACAACTGGGCTATTTAGTAAAAATGTAAGTGATTCAAATTAATATATGTATAATTATTTTTCAATGTATACCATTTGTCAATTGTCTGCTTTAATAAATCTGTATTATGTTATTCAACTATGAATAAATAATAAATATAACAATTATATTATAACAATATTTTTTAAACAATTGCATGTGTATAATGATTGGTTGGTACTAGTATTAGTATTGATGAATTTAAATTATTGTAATATAAATAATATAAACAATAGTTTCTACAATAATTGTAATATAAACAATAGTGTTTCTATTAGTGTATTATTAAATGGTAATCCGGAATATATTTTAAAATAGTGTATATGTAAAACTTTGAATTAACATTGTATTTATTACTTTATTCAGTATTCTTAACTGTACTTTGATTTATTTTTTTAAATATATTTTGGTCATTCATAATTTTAATACATTAAACTCATAAAATGAACTTATAAAATTTGTGAATTTTACATAAATGATAAGTGTGTGTTTTAGTAATTTCCTAAATCTATTCTTTAAAATAATAATATGTACTGTATTAGGTTATAAGTACATTATTCAAATATTATTTTGTAATAGTTATCAATTAAAATAAATTTGACCAATAATACCTCGTGCATTTTCATTAACTTTTAAATTGGCCATAGACTTATACTTCCCATACCTATATTACTTTAATTTTTCTTACTATTTTATTACCTTTATTAAATATATTGGTGGAGTTGTGTAATATATGCAACAAACATTTATTGTATTTAGTATTATTATTCCTATAATTAGTGTTACTTAAAAGAATATTTGAGTGCACTGATAGGAATGGTGTACTGTACAGCCCATTGCTTGGTGTGAAAAATTAGTGGTGGCCCAGTGTTAAACAATTTTTGAAAATAAAGCTCTATCTCAAATCTAATCAAGGGTAGACTATCTATATTGTATAAATATGGTATACAGGGTGATCAATATAATGTAAGATCCTAATTATTTTGGAAAGTATTAACTTTTTTCAGAATTTATTTTTTAGATAATTTAAGAAATAACTAGCTCTAAACTGTTACATTATAGTTATTTTAAAGGGTAAAATCATTGTCTGATTTTGATTTTTTAAATGGTGATCTATATTAAAATTCTGTAAATAGCTGCAGTATAAATTTAAATAAATTTTAGTGTTGAGATTTCTGATAATAATAATGTGTGTTAATAATGCATCACCACTCCCCAACCCAAACTTAAAAGTGGAATATCTCGTCAACGGATAGACGAAAATCAAAAATTTCAACACCAAAATGTATTTTAACTAATACGTCATCTATTTATGAAATTTTTAATATAGGTTGCCATTTAAAAATCAAAAGTAGGTAAGTGGTATTACCTACAAAAATAAGGATGACAAAAAAATAACATAAATATAAAATTGTAGAGCAGCTTGTTTCTAAAATGTTCTAGAAAATAAATTCTGGAAAAGGTTTTTCTTACTTAGTACTTAGTACTTTCCGAGATAATGAGTGTACCGACTTAAATGGATCACCTGGTATATGGAATACTATGTTGCTAATTATTCTGCCACATAAATGATGTATCACTACTCTCTCCTTGTTGAAAGTTAATATCTCTTCAATGGGTGTACAGAAATTAAAAATGTCAACACGAAAATTGATTTAAAATATTTATATTTATAATCACTATCTATTCATGGAATTTGTAATATAAGTTGTTATTTAAAAATCAAAAGTAGATAGTGGTTTCAACCTCTAAAATAAAAGTGACAAATAAAACAGTGATGTATCATTTTACAGCTATTTATTTTTTAAATGTTCTAAAAAACAAACACTGAAAAAAGTTAACACTTTCCATAATAAGTATTTTACGTTACGTTTATAACCCTGTAATTTTGTTTAAATCTAAATGTAACGATAATTAATCATTGCAAATAGAAAATGATTGTGAGTGGAATTTAGTTAAACACTTTTTGATAAATTTAAATAGACAATTGTATTAATTTGTAATTATAAATAGGTAGAAAAAAAACTGAAAATAGAACTTGAATTAACATGATTTTTTTCAAAATTGTAGCTATAAAAATGCTTATATATTTTTGAAAAAAATAATGTCATATTAGCTCTCGTTATTTTTTAAAATGATAACCTATAATAACAATTTATTTAATAAACGGAGTATCGGTTAAAAATATATGTTGTTGTTAAAATTTTTGATTTCCATCTTCTCATTGATGAAATATTCAATATTCCACTTGTTTTTTTAAATTGTTTAAAAAAGAAATTCTAATAAAAGTTAATACTTTCTAAGATATAAAAATCATATCTTTGTGGGCCATTCAGTATCTCTAATATATTAATATATTTTAATGTAACCATTTATAGATATATTTATTTATAATATATTAATTGATAATTTTGAATTAAATAGTATTAGATACATATATTTATTGCAAGATTCTGTAATTATAATGATAATAGTGTCAAATGAGCGTTAGCCGTAGTAAAATTGTTATGTTTTTAAAAAACTATTAACTGTTGTTAATTTTAAAAAAATGAGGTGAGTGACGTATATATTTGCAATACACACACTAGGGGGGAACTTAGAAGCCACCCATGCAAAGGTAGATGGACCCATTGAGATCAGATCTGCAATGGTGGTATAAGGAATGTCGCCAGAAGCGAGCAAGGATAGGTAGAGTTGGTAGAGGTGGCAGTAAATTATGGAAGCAGTGAAGGCCTTGATGGGCTGTATAATCAAATAAGAAGTCTTAATTTTTTTGTAGTAATTATAATAATAGCGTAACAAAATTAAAAACAAAAAAATACACCTGTGAATTCGCAGAAAAATAATACATTAATGTATATTATGATGAATAATATAATAAACATATGTATGTAGGTAATAATATTATAAATTATTAAAGGTAAAACATGAAAGATTCGTAGCTAAAAATACATTACAATTTTGTGATTAGATATTAGTATTTTGTTTTATATAAACCAATTTAAAAATTATGTAAATGTAGGTATACAATAATTATTGAATTATATATTATATATTATGACAATAATGAAGTATCTGACCCTGTCATAAGTTGACAAAACACCGTTTACGTATGTTAAATAAGCATTAGAATATATTTCGTTACTAACTCGTTTTATTTACTATATAAAAAAAAAATAAATAAATACATATTATAGAAGTAAGTACGACAAATAATTTTTCTAACTCTGATTTTGTGCATTTCAATTTTACGAATTAATGAAGTAGGTATATTTTACGTAAATGTTAGTAGATAGGTAGGTGCCTACCTACCTATATATACATAGGTGTAATAATATTAAATTAATATAATTTTTAGTACTTCTCAGTTCTGTCATTTAGCGTTCAACCCAATTATATGGCGTCAGAAAGCCCAAAAAACTCCATAATTACGATTTTGGTTTTTTTTTTAAACAAAATGTAAATAGGTAGCAAAATATTTATCATCGTTAAACATTATATTAGTGTACCTATATAATGTGTTAACAAGAGCTGCACTTTCGCGTAGATTCAGCAAAAGCTTTTTCGAAAAGCGGTGAACATTTCTCCCTGGGTGTTTCGTCTTTCAGTCCAAATGCACCCTGTGAAAAACAAGCACATAATTATTATTACCTGCAGTTCAATTTAATATTATACGATATACGGCATAACTAGCCATACATATCTATAGTCGTAAAAAAAAAAAATCTTTACCGAGTATTTAAAACGTTCTTTGATCATTTTAGCCAATGTTTGGAACGCTTCTTCCACATTGACGTCCAACTTACATGAAACTTCAAAAAATGGCATATCATAGCATTCTGCAATCTACATAATAATATATAAGTGAATATAGCTAGGTACCGTAGTTTACATAAAATTAAAACAACCAAATAAATTAAAAAATCGGGAATGTAGGATTTGCTAGAGTACCTACCTAAATTACTTAATTTATAATCTGTGTGTAACGATTAATAACGAATTCGGTTAAACGTGTTTTAAAACGACGTGAGTTTTATGATTTTCATTGCATTTTGAACTTAAAATGTTTAAAAAAAAAAAATTACTACTTAACGTTTAACTTTTATTTTTTTTTTAGCTTTTTTAGGAAGTAAAAACGTTGTCGACGTTTTGTAAAACAGTTTTGCAAAAACATGAAAACGACAAAAACGAAAACGTTGTCGGACATAAAAATGCTAAACGAATAAAAATGAATACGAAAAACGAAATTTGCCTATGTACTTTTACTTATTGCCATTTTCACCGGGCCATAACAATTGTATACACTAATAAACCAAGTCAAAATCAGACAATTTCACTTAGCTATAAATAGTTAAAAAAATGTTTAAAAAATATTATGCCTAGAAAAGGTTAATATAAGTATATACATATTCATTGGAAACTTATAAAAATAAAAAAAAATAGTACTATTATTCTCACTTTTTCTCCATCTGCTTTATCTACGGCTCTTAAGGACTCGTTATCACATTTATTGCCAGCCAAAACTTTGATAACATCCGGAGAAGCGTTCTGTATACCCAAGTGAACATAAAACGTCATATATAGAGTTAAATATCTTAAGATCATATAATTTATAAGTATTCAGTGTCGGATAATTTAAAAATATAAAATCATTATCGTATTACCTCTTGAATATTTTTCAACCAGTACGTTAAATGATCAAATGAATCCAAATTGGTGACGTCATAAACGAGTAATATGCCCATAGCGCCTCGATAATAAGCCGTAGTCAATGTTCGAAATCGTTCTTGTCCAGCAGTGTCCCTATAAAGTAAAACGCTTGTACATTTTAATTCTATATATTTCATATTAGTGTGTAAGTGTGTTATATATGTTATACAAATTCAAAATAAAATTGTTTTGGATACAAAGATATTAAATTTCAAACAAAATATTGAACATTTTCACTGATTGGAATGGCGGACTGTACAGCCTACTGCTCGGTGTGAAAAATTAATGGTGACCCAGTATCAAACAAGAGAGGTACTTTAGGGAGGTCGTTTTTTGGTTTTCTCAAAAGTTTTCCTATACAATTTGAAAAACCGAAAATAAACGGGAAAATGTAAGAAATATAGGTATTAGTTAAAATATATTAGGGTCTTCTTATTTTTTCCGTAAATAGTTTTTCTACTAGCAATTTTGCTCTAACTTTTAATGATAGCAATGTTTCTAAAAATATATTTAACTAAGGAGGTACTTTAAAGAGGTCGTTTTTCGATTTTATTAAGAGTTTTCTCATCAAGTTTGAAAAACCATGGGAAAACGGGAAAATCGGTGCATTAAATAAATATTATTAAAGATAATATTTAGTGCCTTTTTAATTATTTTACCATAATATGATATATGTATTGTGGTCAAAGTATCACTATCAACTAAACTCCGTTCAGAATCGTTTTTTCGTTAGCAATGGTTAATCGTTGCTTACAGGAATACTTTAAATTATCTATTACTGGCTGCACCCGTCCCCAATATCCTAGGACGTCTTTTTTTTTTTTTAAATACCTATAATGAAAAATCCAAGTTTATATTTTTTATATTCTTAATTTGAAAATATTTATACTTAATTTCATTTGAAATATAAATGTCGTAGGCCATATGGAAAATTAGTCTTTTTGCGAAAAGACCAGGTTCTTTGCAATGGGGTGGCCCGTTTGCGAACTACTTATTATTTTTTCAAACGGTCTACTGTTTTTCAGGCTTATTGTATATAGACTAACAGCAGTTAGGCCTTTTAGGAACTACAATAATTATTTTAATATAGTAATAACTAGTTTACTTATTTTATTTTAAGGGTATATTATTACTTTTACAAAAAAAAAAATCAATAGAATTATCATAACATGTCAACTGTCAACCGTATCTATTTGTTTTGCAAAAACAATTTTGATAACGAAATACAAACGAATTCGACTGGTTTCACGATAACGCAGAAGTGTACTAACGTCTGGTATGTACAGTATGCCGACAAAATTGTGTTCAGTGAAAAGTTATAATCTAATCTACTGATTAGTCATAATCTCATAGATTCCATCAAGTATCATATTATGTCGTAATTCCGTATCTAAATCTTTAAAATAGCCGGTTGTAATGAACTAATGTAGGTAAATTCCTAGAATTTGAAATGTATACGATTGATATGATTTCATAAATACGCCATTGATACAATTTATATGTTGGAAGTTATGTTTTGATATAACATATATAATATAATATTTATATATAATATATATATATATATTTAAATATAATATTTCAAAAGTAGATGGTGGACTATTTAGACACTCAAAATATAATTGGAAAAGTTGTAGACAAAAGAAATTTAAAACGAATAAACCACATGTAACAATAAGTAAATGTTTTACATATTTTCTTTTTTATTAGTAATGTAATATGAAACTAGTAGTACAATAGTCAAAAACTTTAAAATAATCTAAACTTCACTGATACTCGCCATTGTACAGTTTATAAAATAAATATAATACTATATAATAAGTACCATACTTATTTAGACTATTCAGTTTAGTGTTTACATGTGATTATAATTCTATTGATCTTTTTTTTGTAAAAATAATAAATTACCCTTTAAATAAAATAAGTAAAATAGTTATTACTATATTATAATTATTATAATTTTTAAAAGGCGTAACTGCTGTTAATATATATGCAATATGTCTGAAAAATAGTAGGCCGTTCGGAAAAATAATAAGTAGTTCGCAAACGGGCTACCCCATTGCAAAGAGCTTAGTCTTCAAAAGACTAATTTTCCATGTAATCTACGACATATACATATAATAGGATTTTACATAATGAGGTTTTAATATTATTGTTATAATGTACAGAAAATTATTAAAAGACGGACATTCATCGCATCATGGGTGAACCACTGTTATATGAATTTGGGAAGGTTAGATATAGAGGGGAATTTAATATTCATCTATATGTAACTATGCAATCTTTGGAAACGAAAAATGATTCTGAGCGTAGTTCAGTAATGTATATTTAAAAGGTCATATATTTACAATTTTTGTTAAAATTATGTATTAAAATTCTTACGAAAAAAATATTGCATCACACTCAACTTTTTCTTATTGACCACTAAGTACAACTTACAATGAACATCCTGTTAAATCTTTAAGCATTTCTGTTTGGTCTAAAAATTTTATCCATAAAGTAGAATATGGAATAAAAATTACGTAAAATTAAAATGTCTATAAATAGCACAAAATGGGCTCAAATGTTTTAAAAATTTGACCACGTCTAAAAAAGGCAAATATGAGGTTTCTGCCGAAATGTCTAGTCTCTACGAATATTTTTCACTGAATTACAACAAAAACAACATTTCAAATTATAATAATAAAAGCATTTTTTTGTAAATTATAATAATAAAAACATTATTTTTGTAAATTATTGTCCTATCTTTTCTACTTTTTTCCGGGTTTTTTACAATTATTATGAAAACCGCTTGATCAAATCAAAAAATGATTCAAAAATCCGACGAATTTCAGAAAAAGTATTTAAGTTGAAAATCAGAGCACAATGTCTGGTAGAATAGTTGTCCACAAATAAAAAAAAACCAAACCTAAACCAATACCTACAAGTTATGAAGTTCCACGTATTTTAAAAGTAACGGCCAACGGGTTCCATGGTTAGGTTAATTATATTAGGAAAGCAGCCAATATAAAAACATTGCGTTCCATTTGTTCGTATATAATATGGAATACTTTGTTTTTTTTTACTTCTTACCATATTTGTAATTTAACGGGCTTGTCATCTAACTGAATTATCTTTTGTTTGTAATCGACTCCTGAAATCCAAAATAAAAGTCGGTATATTATTATCGAATATTATAATGTTTTATTATTATTATAATCATATTATTGTTGCTCTATTATACGTCATAACATTTCTGAAAATTATACCATGTATAACAAGTTATTGTATTTGCATATAAATGTGTACAAAATATGTGAATTAATTATAGCGTCTGATTATTTTGCAGAGGCATGTTTTATACATAAAAAAAATAATAAGTTGTTAAAATAGGAAGGTATAGAAACGCTGTAAACAAAATATTGAGAATATAAATTCCTGAAAATAATAGGATGATGTAAGTACTGAAAAAAAGTTACGTAAAATAGGTAAGTACAACTGTATCTAATTAGTTCATAATATGAATTAGGTAATATATTATAGATAGGTAATATATTATATTACCTACCTATACTATTTAAATATTTACAAGTGCTCGAAATATATTATTATATTGGTCTGTTATCAAATGTTATTAAAAACTAAGTAACTACACCTACATTTGCATCACGTTGTTATATTTTTTAAAAGTTTGTTTAAACGCAGCTTAGATGTACGGCATTTTATAAAATGTCATATAATAATCTGACGTATTAAATTCTTGAATACATTTTTTGTCAGAATAATATCTTACAATAAGACGTAATATGGACACGTTAGGTTTTGTTTTTAAGTAACTTCACTTTTTGAATATAATGTCATTATTTTAGTTATTTTATGAAAAAAATGTAACTAATAGTAAGTAACTTGGTTGCTGTAATAATAATATGTAACTATTGTTATAAGTTTAAAGTAACTGATAAAGTGATAACAGTAACTTTTTATAACTTATAGTTTTCTAACTAGTTGGTGTTCACTGTCCAGCCTTGATGTTTGGGACAATATTTTTTCTCGTATACTAGTTACCCATATTATCAAATACGCGCCAAATGTCATTTTAATTACCTATTTTATAACAATGTAATATTACTAAGCATTAAATATTGTAAATAAATAACAATTTTTATCTGTCATATCCTTAATAAATGGATTATAATGCACAGATATGCACAGAGCTACAATAAAACTATTAAAAACCGTGATGATAAAAACACAACTGCACAAGTACGGATTTATTAAAATATTAGATAATAATTAAAATTAAGTTACATAACGCGTAAAATTAAAACAGTTTACATATTGCACTCAATGCTACAAGGCAAGTCCAAAATTACTTTTTGATAGTTTCGAGCAAAGGAATAAATACTAGTAATACTACCTACTATAAAGTAATTAATACAACAATGATGCAATTCTATCTAATAGATATCGAAAAAATAGTGATAAAGACTTGTCAGATTTAACCGAATTTCGGGCAAAAAAAAAAGTCGCATAGATATTTGTCTTTCTCCTGAACAATTTCGAATAAATTAGTAGACTAAATAAATAAAGTAGACTTGTCAATTGATAATAATAAATATACCTATAATATATACCTATATACCTAGATACGTGTTACGGTTTTTACAATACTGTAATACATAAGTATATAACTAAACCAGCTAAAACTACCAAAAATTTGATTTAAAAGAGATTTTAAATTTTAAATAGAACCTTCGAGGCTTTTAGTCATTATATTCAGGCACGTCCTTGAGAGGGTGGGGCGAGGGAGACGATCGCCCTCCCTATAAGCCGTGTGATATTCTTTTTTGTTATACAAAATATTCATAATTCTTAAGTACAAATGCAACTGGTTCCAAATGCCATAAAGATGATTCCGAATTTTGGAAATACTTTGATTGAAACAAGAATAAAACATTTCTCATTTAGAAATTTTAATAAATATTTTCTAAAAGGTGAGATAGAATTATGGAAAACTAAGTGGGAAAAATCAATTTGCAAATATATAATAAAATAATATATTTTTAGAATCAAAATGGGAATGATTAATTTAATTTAAATTTGTTTAAATTTTAGATTTTGAGTGTAGTGAAGAATTTACATATTGGATTTACAATGATGTTTTTTTTTTTTTTTTTTACTGTGAAAAAAAAATCTACCATAAATCTTGCTTCAATAAGTAAGTGTAGCACCTTTTTTGAAAGAAAATATTGTCATATTGATTAGATAGTACTTAAGGAAGGTCATTTTTTGATTTTCCACGCAGTTTTTATAATATCAAGAAAATCCAGAATAAAATGTAAAAAAAGGGAAAGTTTATGAAAAAAAAAAATTGTTGAGCAGAGGCTAACTGGCTTATCACTTAAATATTATCGAAATAAATATAATATAGAAAATATTGTTGATCAAACCACTTTGAAAAACGTTGCTTAAAACAAAAAGTATTTTGGACTTGGTTATCTAAATTTTATTAAATATTATTATTGTTGTTATTATTTTTGTTATTCATATTATCATTATTTTAATTTTTATTTATTTATTGTGAAAAAAATAAATTATTATCTTTCCATGATTACATACTGGGCCATGTATTTTCCTTAGTTTCTTTCTTTAAAATCTTAAGAGCTTTTTCTCGTCTCCTTTCGTAGTTGCTTAAGTGGTACCGGCATATGAAAGAACTGGTCTCCCATAGCTAATGTAAAAGTGCTCTTTTTTTTAATATTAGTTGAAGTAACCTTTTATTAATGATTGTCTTAAACTTCAGGATAACCTTAATTTCTGTATAAATTATTACATAATGTTATAAACTGTCCTGAGCTTCTTGAGCATTTGAATTTTAGATCAAACCAATTACATTCAAGAAATAAATTGTTATTTTATACTTCAAAAATTAACAAAAATCACATGTTATATACCCCGACAGATGTTCTATGTCCGTGAGAAATCAATTCATGAAAGAAATCATTTCATTTTAGATATATTCAATACCACTCTATTCAATTTGTCGAATATTTTATCCAAATAATACTATTTACTACTTTTGCATTGTTTCATTATGTTCTTAAGTTAGTAATATAACAGTTGATTTTGTATAATATATACAATACATAACTTAATCTGTACATTTTTATATTAATTTATTACTAATAGTTTATTATGACAATTTAAATGTTTAACTTAGTTTTATTATTTAATATTATTAAATCATTTTTTATAACATGTTCATACACTCGTACACTGTCAATTTTATTATTTTGAATTTGGAAATTAATTTACGTAAACTAAATTATTTTTATTTTAGATTCCGAATGGAGCGTTGAAGCTTATAGTTTTACAAAGATGTTTATATTTTTTTCTGCGATCAACTTTTCTACCAGCAATTTTGCTCTAACTTTTAATGATAGCAATGTTTCTAAAAGGAAATTTCACAATTAAGGTACTTTAGAAAAGTCATTTTTCGATTTTATCAGGAGTGTTTCCTCATCAAATTTGAAAAACCAGGAAAAACCATGGAAAAACTGGGAAAAGCGGGAAAATCTGTGTATTAAACAAATATTATTAAAGATGATATTTAATGCCTATTTAATTACTAATTAATTAAAGTTACTATTTGGTGGGGTAGTAAGCAACTTGAGTGAGTGCAACGTAAATTCCTAAATTTTATAAAATACCCCTTAAATTTAAATTACCCTACTCATGAATATATACTCCCACATACTCCATTTCTTTAATTTATGTTCTTGAGCTGACCGTCGGCAGTCTTATAATCTTACCTTTCTCTGTAAGCTCCTTACTGGTTCTATTGACTCACCTTTCTTCCTTGCACTAATTAATTTTTAGGCACTGTTAAATGCACTTACAATATTTTTACCTTTTTCACCCCACTTTGCATGAAAACTATCTAAAAAATGAGACTATCATATCAAATGATGAGGTTGGCCAATAAGGATCCGTCATTCCTTTCTTAATGTAATGATCTGAGCGACTAATATGCTATCTTGTAAATAATATTATATTTATAATTGGGCCTATCCTGTTTGTTTTAATAAATAAATAAATAATTATTTTCTAAACGTCGACAGTTGACACTCTTTAAATTATTACTGTAGGTGAAAATACCGTAGGTATTTACCAAATACTGTAGGTAAATATACAGGGTGATTTTTTTTATCATGAACCAGCAATTATCTCAGAGGATTTTAAGTGAATTTTATTTCTGTTTTTCTTAATCATTATGGAATCGTTTAAGCTTTGTTTTAAAACCATTTTTAATTTTTTACCCCTACTTTATGCACCTTAAATAAAAGCATACTTTTGATTTTCAAATTAGAAAACCCCACCACTTTTAACACATATTTAAACAGAGAATAATTTTTTAAAAACTTTGATGTGCATAACCATCAGATTTACCGTTTATGAGTTATAACAGTTTAAAGTTTAGACTGGAGAAGTAGAGAAGGGTCATAGATAGGCAATTTATTACCCTTTTCGTGTCCTAAAATTTCTGTTGGGAGAGGAAGAAAGTTTGAATCTTTAAATCCCCTCCCCCCGAAAAAAAAATCACTAAAGATGCAAAGATGTTTCTACTCTAAATAAAATAACAATGTATTATACATATTTGTGAACATTTAAAAGACATTCGTCTTCTTTATGTAAAAAAATATACAATATACATATAATGTATGTATTATATATTTTATAATGTATACATAAATATTTATGTTTAGTCAATGTTTTAGACGGTTGTTCAATCAAAAATGTTGATTTTCATGAAAATATTTGGCGTATCGAAATAATATTGTACATTATCATGTTTATATGCAGACAGTGTTTTACACTATATTATCCTTATGCTCATAATTCTCTCAATATTCATATTTTTAAAATTTTTTTTTTAATCGGGTTTTGTGCCAGGAGAACACATATGTAGAGAAAATTAAATTTTTTGTTTTTATACCTAAATTATTGAGAAAAATAACTTTTATTTTATCACTTTTCAAAATTTTTAAAATAGCCATTTTATAAAATATAATATTCTGAATATTTTAATGTAACGTACATTCATATACATATCCGATCAATAGAGTTTCATAGTAATAGTCGTTTTAATTTCTAGAAAATTGGCGTGAAAACAATTAATTTTCAATAAAGTAACACATTGCGCAAAATGAATCACAATCAGTGCGGCAAAGATGGACAAGTTAGTCATTTTTTTCAACTAGTTAAAGTTAAATTAGTTTTATATAAAATCTAACTAAGTTAGAATATAAGTTAGTTTTTACAATTTTCAAATCTCTTAGTTAGTTAGAAGTTAGTTTGATGAAAATAGTAACTTAAGTTAGAGTAGAAATTATAAGTTTTTTTTTTTTTTAGTTTAAAATATAAATTGAAAAATTGGTTCAAGTGTAAAATATTATGTAAATTAATTATTAAGTAAGTAACTAGTTTAAATTATTGGTGATGAATGAAAAATTAAATTGAAGTGATCAAATGTTTCAAATAGGTAGGTAATAACTTTCATTTTTTGGAAATTAATTGAAATATCAGTTATTAGAACATAGAAGTTTAACAAAATAAAACATATACAAAATGGTGTAACACTATATTTGTCTATATTGACATAATCATGATAATATAAATATAAACAAATAACCACTCATGATAGGATGAAATATAAATGTAAGGTAGATAATAATATATGCATAATTATTATTATGCATTATAGCATAATATTACCTATAATGTATATATTGGTTATATTATATAGTTTTATTATAAAAATAGGCCACAGACATAATATTATAATAGTCTATAGGTTATATTATGTCTATAATGCGTCGTGGTTATCGTGTATTACCAATTACTATAGACCTCTGAGATAAGAATATAATATAGAGTATATTCTTATCTATGTCAGTGCCATAGACATACAAAAACAATAAAATTAGAATATAGTCGACTGCTTAGATGATATCATGAATTAAGATACACAGGATACCGAACGAACATGTGATAAGTGAAGCTTGAACCTTCTTATTTTTTGGCAAGGCTATTAACACCATGTAGTGTACTATTTTTAAACTATGTCAATATTATTATAGAAAAGTCTAAAGCCATGATAGAATAGATATGAAATTTATTATACACCCTACTCCTCCAGTCTAAACTTTAAACTGGTTTTAGTTGATTCTTATACCAATTTTGTCCTAAAAGTGTCTTGCCGAAGTAAGAACTGGCTGGACTCAGGAAAACATTGATAAGACCTTTCCGTTCGGTATTTTATATATCTTAATTCGTGAATCATATTAGTATATGATCTAAGGCCGACTATAATTTGCTATCGAATAATATGACAAGAAAAATATTTTTATCAGAAAATTGAAAATACTCAATATCTTACAGAACATTTGGATTTTTGAAATAAAAAAAGACAAAAATAACTAAATTCTTTTTGTTTTTAACGAGTTAGATTAGAATATTTTCCACATTCAATTCAACTGGTTAAGTTAAAAAGTTATTATGAATAAAAACTAACTATGTAAATTAGAAAGTTACTTAAAAAGTAACTTTCTAATTAGTTAGTGTCTAGCAGCACGGTAATTTCTTATCTTCTATTGAATATTAATTGTTTTCACGCCAATTTTCTAGAAATTTAAATGGCTATCACTATAAGAAACTCTATTGATCGGATATTAATATACGTTATATTAAAATGCTTAGAATAAAATATTTTTTATAAAATTACTATTTTGAAAATTTTGAAAAGTGATAAATAAAAATTAATTTTTTTCAGTGATTAAGGGTTAGAAATGAAAATTGTATTTTTTCTCTACATATATGTCCTCGCACAAAACACAATTAGAAAAAAAAATGAACATTGACAGAGTCATTAGCATAAGGATAATACTTTATAGAACACCTGTATTAGGGAACAAGACCACGTCGCGTCGTTATGACGGTTTTCCATACGGAAAAAAGAGTTAGTTTAAGTAAGATTAGTAACTAAATTACGAGTCTGTCAAGTGCCTATAACCTATGAAGAGAAAAATAAAAGTGTAACCTACGACGTTAGGATGTCTGGATACCGTACACTATTTGACCAGCTGGTTACGGGGGCTGTTCGTTGTCGGTGATGAATTCAATAATATTATTATATAATTATGTACCATCACTCACCTATAGTTGATATGTATGTGTCGTAATACGTCTCGTCGCAGAACCTGTGCATCAGACACGTTTTGCCGACATTCGAGTCGCCCAGCACGAGCACCTTGTACGATTCGCCGGTGTTCATGTCGCGGCATAGCCTTTGAGACACACACTGATTGGCGGCGGAGTTGACGTGCGTGCGTACTCAGCGTAGCCGATCCTTCGTCCCTGTCAGACATCGCGATTGTCCGACGATTTCGATATCAACTACCGACATCGATACACGCTTATCGGAGAGAGGTGGTGTGCGTTCGATAGTCTCGTCGCCTCCCTTCGTTCGTACCATTACAAGGTTAGGTTAGGTTAGGGGAGAGGGTGACAGCCCGTGTATTACCGACCTCTATACGACGACACCCCCTCGGCCACCGTCGCAGACGCGATGACTCACCCGTCGAATATCGATTCGGTGGCAGTGACTCCACGACGAAAGTATATCCTTTTTTCTGTAGGGGTGTTTTTTTTGTTCTCGCGATTTTATCGTACACAATTATTTTTATGCAATTGGAGTCTAACGTCATTATATAATAACTTAATAAAATATAAATAAATTAAGTAACACATCGGCAAATATCAAATTATACTTTTACATTCATTACACCGCACACTCGTATTTCGTCTATACATGTAATACGCCAAAGTTCTTATATCTTAAAATCCATGTTTTTATTGCGTTTTGATTCAACAAACAGAGTATATAATAATATTGTATATTTACTTACATATTTATGTATACATATATATACATATATAATATAACATAATAACAAATATCCCGTTCCCCGCGTTTGCTTAGTGTTAATGTCATCACTCATCATGCTTTTCGATAATTTATTATTTGTATTATTAATGGTCACTTTGTTTTCTATACAGAGTGATACTTTTAAAATTAATCGAACATTAACGAAAATATTGAGTAGGTACATTTTAGTTTGATCGTAATATAACTAACACAGAATCACTTTTTATATTCTTATGATCTTATTATACTAAAAATGTATTAGATATTCAACCCTTATTCCACAAACCCCATGAGCACATTTATTGACTATAGTTTATTGCAGATTTTCAAATAACAACCTTACATAATATATTTAGAAGACAATTGATTCGAAATGAAAATACGAATATAATAGTATGGGCATTTTTATTTTCTAATAATATCGATATTCATCGGATATACCATTTACGGTTTATAACAGTTAAAAATTTAACCTAGAGATGTATATTATACATAGGGAAGGGTTGTATCTATGAGCATGGATATTACATTAGTTATCTTCTTTCCGATTTTTCACACTTAATTTATTGTACTCTACCACTTCGGTATGTACCAAACAAGTGTTATGTATTTTGAGAAAAAATAATCTCTTTTCAAAATTATGAGCAGTAACGCAGGTATTCAGGTATTTATTGAAAATCAAAAATTGATGCCTTTGACTTTATAGTTTTCCACCTACATGTATATTATGATGGTATACAGCATAAGGATGTCATGTTGAACACATTATAAATAATAATCGAATGACCGAACAAAAAAACGGAAATCAAATTTATTCGAAATTCATTCGTACATGTATCGCTGGTAACAATTAAATGATCCCTCTGTATACTTTATTTTTGTTTTTATAAATACGTGTCCACACTACGTAACTTGTTAGCAAATCATAGTATGCATTGTATATGTTATGTTACTATTAATTACTATTTACTACCATAACTCTTAAGTACACAATATACAATACTGGCATACTCGTAATTATTAATATAAAACTAATATGTAATATAATATTTTTGTTTTTCATCAAATATTACTCGTGTATGTGTGCTGCAGCATGCATATAGTGAGTAGTTTTTAAAGAGTCAAAACATAATAGGTATAAAAAACAGTCATATATTAGAAATTACTACTAGATATTTTAATAATTATAAACGTTAAATTTGGGCAGGAAAACTGAAAAGTGACGTTACAGTTTTAGATAAAATTATTGATTTAACACTATATCACGATGATTATCAGAAAAAATAGAGAAATATCAATTATAGTCACATTTAATATCAACTAAAGATATGTGTATGAAAAAAATACTTAATTCTTTAATAACGATGGAAATATGTTTTCGTTATAATATTTGTTTAATCAAACAATAAAATAAAAAGTTTTACGGGTTATTACATAATAATATTATTATTTATATGACCTTGTCCTTATGAATAAAATATGATTTGTTCGTATATTTTTATAGTAAAATAATTAAATTTGCTTTATATAGTTTTTTTAATAATATTTGTTTCATGTTGTACCGATTTTCCCAGTTTTCCTACGTTTTTCCTGTTTTTTCTCTGTTTTCTTCGATTTTTCAAATTTGATAATAAAACTCTTGAGAAAATCGAAAAATGACCTCTCTAGTATAAAGTCTAAAGTATCTCTCTGACGAAATTTCTTTTTAGAAACTCTGCTATCATTATAAGTTGGAGCAAAATTGCTAGTAGAAAAGTTGTGCACAGGAAAAAAAAAATCGTAATATTTTAGTAATATATTTCATACATATTCCCGTTTTTTAACGTGATTTAAATTTTTATTTAATCTGATAGTCTTGGAATTTAAAAACTAAAACTAATTTTTTTCATAACATTCCTACGATTTACCTATTAGTTTAATACATAAATTAAATATGCTTAAATTTTCATCTTGGTAGACACCTGATACCTGAAAACTATTTATTTGAAAAATACTGCTGTCAATTTGAATACTTTCATCCAACATTAAAAGTTTATGAGTAGGTATAATAATAAATAGGAAAAAATATTTCTGATAAATATTATTAAAATTTTACTTTTTAAATTTTCAAATTAATTCTTAAATTAAATCTAATTTTTAAATTATTCATTCATTCATTAAAAAGAACAAATTAATCAAAATTCAAAAGATAAGTGTGCCACTTACAATTAAGCTATATTATGCTCAGTAATGGCGGCAGAATTTTTACTTCAGATGGGCCAAGCTGAAGCTAACATTTTTTAGGGAAAGCCTACATTTCTCTTGGTACCTATGTATCAATCAATCGAGATTATTATGGTAAAATAATTGAATTTGTGTTTAAATTTGTACTGTTTTTCCTACGATTTCTCCTGTATTTCCTGTTCTCCCATTTTTTCCGGTTTTACACATTTGCTGAGAAAATTCCTGAAAAAACGAAAAATAACCTTCCTAGTCTGATTTCCATTCAGAAAAAGTGCTATTAATGTAAATTGGAGCGAAATTGCTGGTAGAAAAGTTGTTCACAAAAATTCAAAAGCTGTCCTAGGATAATGGGGACGGGTACAGCCATCGTTATAAATAATTTAAGGTATACCTGTAAGCAACGATAAACGAGTGCTTACTAAAAAACGATTCTGAGCGGAGTTCAGTTGTTAGTGATGCTTTGTCAATATTATATATTTGTTATTTTATAGCAAAATAATAAAATAGGCTTAATATATATTCTTTATTAATATTTGTTTAATGTTGTACTGATTTTCCCAGGTTTTATCCCAGTTTATTTTTTCTGGGAAAATTTTTGGAAAAATCGAAAAATGATCTCTTTAAACTACCTCCATACACCGATTTCCTTTCAGAATAAGTACTACACTTGAAAATCTGAACAAGTCTTTTGAAAGAAAAGTTGCATATAGATAAAAAAAAAAAATAATAATAAACATCTTAGTAAAACCATAAGCTTCTTTGCTCTACTCTATAATAATATTATAATATTAATACAATAATATAATAATATTTTAGATTCCAAGCGTAGCGAAAGAACTATTGATTTTACTAAGATGTTTATTTTTTATTTTTTTTTCTTCTAGTCTGTGGATACGTTTTTTCCTAGTGAACTTGCTCCGATTTTTACACGTAGCAAATTTTTAGGAAAATGTACAATTTCACGGTTTCATTATTTTATCGTCAAAACTTTTGAGCCACTTTTGACCTAAAGGAATTTTAATTTTTGGAATTTTTTTTGTTGTAATTCGGTTATAAATACACGTGGAGACTTGAAACTTGGTAATAATACTTATATTGGAGTTACCTAGACGTGGTAAAATTTTCATGATCATCGGATGATTTAAATTTTTTAACAAGCGTTTTGAAATCAAATTTAAATGAAAATCGCAAAAAAAAAATTGCAGCACTTCAAATTATGTATTATTGAATTGCGCTCGGAATCGTCTTTCGTCAAACAATGGTTTATCATTGCTTACAGATATAAATGATATAACCTTATGTATCCTATCTTCCCATCTTCTCTCCTGCAACATTGGCCCCTCCCATCCTCAGTATCAGCTCTTTTTTTTCAACTAATACCTACATTTTATACATTTTCTCGTTTTATCTCAGTTTTTTCCGGGTTTTCCAGTTTATTAGGAAAACTTCTGAAAAAATCGAAAAATTACCAGTTTAAATTGAAGAGTTTGGTGTAACAATCAGATAAATCCACTGTTTTCAAAAATGTACTTTTTCATTGATTATTGTGTAGGAAAAAATTGTCTACATTTAGGTGCAGCAACCATTTAAATTCGATAAATCAATGTATAGTTTTTGATGAAATTTGATTTATCTTGTTTTTGTTTTTGCCTAACCTAACCTAACCTCACTCCAAATTCGGGTACTATTAATATATTTAAAAGATGTTAAAACATTTTTTTCTACATTTTCATTGTTAAAATAAATTTATTTTTATTCATACTAAATAATTTTAAAAAGTGGATTTATCTGGTTGTTGCATCAAGCCCTTCAATTACTTTCTCAGTCAAATTTACGTAAGAAAAATGGGGAATTCGGTTCAATATTAAACAAAATTTATTGAAAAAAAATATAAAACGTCTATTTAATTATTCTACCATAATATGACATAGATATTGTTGACAAATTAAAAAATTCCGCTCAGAATCGTTTTTTCGTTAGCAATGTTTTCTCGTTGCTTACAGATATACATTCAATTTTCTTTCTACCGTCTTCCCAACTTTTCACCTACAACAGTGGCTGCACTCACGTGCGGAATATGTCCTTATTATTTATTTTTCTTGCAAAATTAGTCTTAATTCATATAATTTTTTTTTGAATTCATTTCTCATGACTAACAAAATGAGTAACCTAAAAACTAAATAAATAGATTTTAATCAATAACCTAACAGACTAAAATTTACAATTTTTGAAATCCAGAATTTGAGTATATTTTTTTAATGTTTTTATTTCTTTTAAATATTTTTTAAAAAGTGAGTTACGAAACTTTTTGAATAGGGGGCACTCTTTGCACAAAAATAATTTACTTTTTTACCAGAAATTTTGCCCCAATGTATCAAGTATAAAATATTTTCTAAAAAGAAATTTTGTGTAATTGGTGCATTGCCAAGTAGTTCTCATAATAATTGAGAAAACCAAAGAAAATCAGATTTAAAAATGAACAAATTTACGACATACAATTTCGCACGATGTTTTTTACCATAAATATTGCTCCATTAAAAAAACAATATGATACCTTTTTTTGTTGCATTTTTGATCTAGTTGTTAATTAAGTAATTTGTTTTATTATTTTCTTAGGGGTTTTCATAATAATTATGGAAAACCGGAAAAAAATTTTAAATGATAATATCGAAAGACCTATTTTGTTGAACTTTTTATCTAGTTCGTTAGTAGGAAAGTCTTTATTTGTTATAGTTAGTTTTTATTTAAATGAATCGAAAAATGAAAAAATGAACAGCCTATTTAATAATGAAAATTAACAAAATTTATATGTCAAATCTATGTATTAGGTATTTTTTATTGATAACAATTAAGATTATAATCTAATCGAGTGATTACTGATGTTAACCACCTGAACTAGGTTACATAAAGTTTATACATCGAGTGAAAGAGTGGTAAAATTTAACAAGCGGTTTAATCACGGTTATTTTCGGTTAATCACGATTAAATTATTTGTGAAATTGAGCCTTAGTAATTCGTATTAAGCTTAAATTAGTTACTCGACTGAGTTTTAGGAGGTTCCCTATGCGAACTTATGTTAATACCTTACCTCGTTTTAGCAAACAAGAAAGGTGTCATTCGTACTTAACTGATAGATTTTGTTTGTCATAACACCATTATTTTATTTTGATAATAATAATAATCAATCATTATTATGTATTTTTAGTGCATATAGATTGTTATTTTTCTTCAGATAAATTGAATTTCATTCAAATAAGTGATTTATTTATATTTTAACGATAATTTCAATTGCAGGATCTGTATATGACACGGTATAATATACGAGTATAAATGACATATGCTTAATTTTAATGTAAGTGAATGATTTAGAAAAAATTAATGGTTTTTGTTTATAAATAATTCCCATTTTCGTTTATGAATAACACTTATATATCTACTATTATTATATAACAACTACTATTATTAACAGTTATTAAACAAGTAATAACAAAATATCAATAATATAATTATGAAGATTCATAAAATGTTGGGAGCTATGAATAAATATCAAACAACTTTTCATATTTATAGTAATAGTAATATGACTATTTAAAATTGATAGTATCTATTAATATAGCGTTTTTTAAAATTTAATAACTAATAAAAAACAATATTTTTATTAAACCTAGAAGTGAATGGAACCATTATTTGCAATAGTAAAAAAAAAAACACATTGTCTTCTCCATTGAATCATTTGAATCGATAGCGACTCAATAAACATAATTATTGGCTGGTGTCTGGAATGTCAATCGTTCGTGCAATACCATATTATTCTCAACGTCGAATATCTTCGATATTATTAATTGTTAAATTATTTTGTTGTTTTCATATTTCCGCGTTGAGTGAATAACAATTATTTATTTAAAAACTTCCAAAGACGCTTTGTCAACATAAGTTGTTTTCGGAAATAATCCCCACTTGTTAGTCTAATCTCAATGCAAGACGTATAACTTGCGAAGCCTATAACAATAATATAATAATACAATTTTATAAAAACATCAATTGAATAGAGATAATGCGGCGTAACATTTTGTTTTGAATGTATATATAGGTACTTCACAAACGCATTTATTGATAGAAGGGTTACACAACGAATTATTAAAAAAGCGGCTACAAATGTTCTTATCAAAAATATGGAAAAACGACGAAAAATCTGATCGGCTAGCAAATCTTGGAAAATTAAAACTCAGAATCTTAGATTATTTAATTTTTTGAATCATTTAGTAAGTCCAATATTCTAATATCCACTTGACAGATAGTAACTGTTAAATTGAATAAGAACATTGTCAGTCGTGGACCACTGTACTGTAGTATAGCACTGTATAAATCGGAGATTGCGAAATTTTATTGGAGGGTCGCCTATAATTTAACAGATAATGAAAAAGTTGTGTATAGGTACTACGTATATTTCTCGTAAAAATTATTTTGTACCTTCGGTGACCGTGTCATGCTTCTCGATACAAAGCAGAAAACTGTCGTATATCATATCTTAATTATTGCGAAAAAAGTTCTAATGAATTATTTAAATTATTAAATAGCTTGGAGTTATATGGGTTATTGTTAATCGAATTTTATCAGTAATTTTATTTAATCTCACGTTTAGTGCATTACCGACTTTATTGCTTATTAGTGTAAATACTTTATTATTTAGTTAACAGTATCAATAACCGTCATATTTTGTGTATATACTTTTGTAATTTTGGTATGAGACGCTTTATCGAACTTCATAAATCCGAGAGTTAGGGATCAAAAAAATGTTTCCCACCACTGTATTATACGATACGTCGTTGTGTCTAATGTAAAGCCATTCTATTTATAACCGTGATCACAAATGGATACAAGATGTACTTATACAAATAATATAACTTATTAATAATCATTATTCAATTTTAAACTTGAAAATCTAATTTATTTTATTATAAAACTATAAAGCAGGGAAGCAACAATATAAAAAACCAAGTGCGGAATGATTGTCTTTATGTCATTCAGTCAGTTTTGGCCAACTATAGGTGTTAAAGTGCATCTACTTTTTTTTCTACTTGGGAATTTAGATTATCTCAGTGTATTTTCATTTGGGTTTGACAGAGACGTTACTGGAATAATATTACCTATAAGTAATAAATATAATTAAGTCGACCTTGACAGATATAGCGACAACGAATTTAAAATGATATACTGGCGAAATACATGATTTTTGGGCATCGACGATCTGTGAATACGACCGGAAACTCACAATGGTGGAGGGAGTAGAGTAAAAGCTTTACCCTCACCTGCCTTCGACAACGACTATAATAATAACATTATCATATTAATTATTATTATTACGATTTTATAGGTAATTAATAATTCTTTAGCAAGTCCAAAAAAAAAAAAAGCAAATCCGTCATTCATACGTATTACTTATATTATAGAGGTGGTACTTATATGTTTTCATTGAGAAGTCACAAGTGTTTCACGATCGTTTCCAATACGGTGCTGTTATTATACCCCTCCTAACGATCACATACACACACACACAAACTTGATAAACGGCGTTTGTTCAATCGTCGCCGCCGATTCTATTATCTGTACGACGGATTTTTATTGTTATTATTATTTTTTTATCTAAAGTCCCCAGTCTATTAGTCTTGGACAATTATATGCGTGACGACAGTCTACTACGTTATATACGGACGTAAATGAGTATTCCGCTGTACCCGTCGTAAACGAAAAATCCACTGGCCAAATTCGTAGAAAAAATCTAAACAGTAAAAATTTCGATTTACTGTAGATTATATTTATTTACTCGTAATATAAAATCGTGTACTTATCGTTTTTGCATTCAACTGAGTGCCTATCCGAACAACTAATAATATAAAATATCATAATAATATTTTTATTCTAAACATATTTTAATATTTTATTAATACGTCTATACGAAAACATATTATTATAAATATTACTGTTTATTTTAGTTATTTTTTTTTATTTCGCTTTTTTTTCGAACGTTCGTTTTGGTTCATCTATATGCAGAAACTTGTATTTCAGATTTACCAAGTACCTGGAAGGTGGACGTAATGGGTAATATTATTTAATGTCAATATTCTAATATATAAATTATAGAAAAATTATTAGTGGTGAGTTGATATGAATTAATTCGGAATTTCCGATGTCCAATCAAATGTTTGAAATTGAAAACCGTCAGCATAGGCGTGAGCAGTGCACACCGAGTCTGCAAGGACCGCTGCATATAGTTTATTGCTTATTTAAAAATAGGGACCAAAATAGTTAAAGATAAATACCTTACTAAAACACAAATATTTAAGATTTTGAGTGGAGTGAAGAATATATTGATTTTACAATGATGTTTATCTGTGAACAACTTTTCTACTAGAAATTTTGTTCAGATTTTCAAGTGTAGTATTATTTTCTGAAAGTAAATCTTGGGGAGGTTATTTTTTGTTTTTCCCAGCTGTTTTCATAGTAAATAGGAAAAACCAGAAATACAATTATAGGTAAAAGGCAAATATTTACGGCGCACTGCAGCCTTATCGGTTTCATTGCTTTTATCATTTTTGTAGTTTATGTTTTCCATTATTAATATTGCTCTAATAGAAAAAAAAAGAAACTTTTTTTTGTTGTCTTTTTAATCTGGTTTTGGAGTAAATAATTCGTTATTTGATTTTCGAAGTAGTTTTCGTAATAATTGGAAAACCAAAAAATAAAAACGTAGAAAGAACGGGAAAATGTACGAAAATAACGCTTATATTATTTTAAATTTTATATTTTTGCTGTAATTCAGTAAAACATATTTTAAATGCTATGTAATTTTGACAAAAACTAATATTGGCTTTTTTTAAATGTGGTAAAATTTTAAAAACATTTGAGCTTTTTTAAGCTATTTATAGACATTTCAATTTTGAAAGATTTTACGTAATTTTTGTTTGGTAGTTACTCTGTGGATAAAATATTATTAGACTAAACAATAATGGTTGAACATAAGTTCATTGTAAGTCGTACTTAATAGAAAAAAACAAATTTAATTCAGTATAGTTTTCACTAATATTTAAATTGGCCTTTAGTAAACGATCGTAAACATTATGGCCTTTCAAAACATACATAACCGAACTCCGCTCAGAATCGTTTTTCGTTTGCAATGATTAATCGTTGCGTACAGATATAAATTAAATTCTCCTATATATTCTAATTTTCCAACTTCTCAACTAAAACAGTAGCCATATCCATCGTGCGAAGTATATCCGTTTTTTTATAATGTTTTTAAGATCAAATATCGTAAATAATACGGCCATCCATTATGTATAAACGAATTTTCCTTGGAATCGTAAATGTATTATAGTGATGATTGATGATGACCTTATTATATTCATATTATAATTTTAAAATGCAAATTGAATTAAAATTCATTATTTAATAGTATAGGGGCGTCATTTTAGATTTTCTGTGTTCCAAAATAAAATATCAGTCCAATATGTACAGATTTTACTATTTCAGGAATGGCGTAACTATAGGTACCTATTAGGACCTTTTTTGGACTAGTGATATGTATATTTGTTAAAAAATATCAATAAAAAAATGAATTATTTTTCTATATATGTGTTACCATAATATATATGTTTCTCAATTTCATTTAAAGAAACATTCACTTTCATTATTATAGGTACCTACTATAGTAATAATAGTAGTATTATAGGTATATATATATAATATATATATATATATATATATATATATAAATATATATATATAAATATATATACATATTAATACATTTAAAATACATACCTAGTCAACAAGTACAATGGACACAAAATACTGCAACAGTTTACAGTGACACTCAAACTATATTTGTTTTATGTGGGAGAATTTGAAGTTTGAAACCACCTAAAAAACTATAATCCATATAAATATATACTTTCCAACCCTTACAAGCTACTACCTTTAATATTTACACTTATTTTACCCGAATATTTCAAATCCTAATTACCAGGAACACCCACCTACCCAAAATAATTAAATATGCAATATATATTTCTTTAATAATATTTGTAATAATATTATACCTATTTTCTTTTTTTTCTTACTTTTTCCCGAATTGTCGAAGTTTTTCATCGGTTTTCCCGGGTATAATGACAACCGCTTGGAAAACCAAAAAATGACCCCCTTAAAGTACTATATTGATAAAATTTCCTTTCAGAAAATGTGCTACACTTAATATATTGGAGCAAAATTTTTGATAGAAAAGTTTGTACAACAAATCGAAGGGTGTTTTTTAGTTAAAATAGTCCGAGCGAACGATGGCTTACTAAGTCCCTAGGTACACCCAAAATAATTTTTTTTGAAACACGAGTTTGAACTAGTGATCTCTAGGATGACAGTAGGTATGTACTACCATTACACTAATATAACAAACAACAAATACATATATTGTGTAATGAACCATATAGTGATTTAACATAATATAATATAATATCCGTATTCCGCACATCAGAAATTAAAAAAAGCTATAATTTCGAAACAAAATCAGTCTGCTCAATTCTGATTTCACCATCGTTCTTAAATTTACAGTATACGAGTACATATCTATATTCAAAACAAAAAATTGGATTTGTTCCACATAATTTTTTACTCAAACAATTTTTGTCAAAATTTGATATTAAAATTTATTTATAAAACAAAAATACTACATTAAACTCAATTTTCTTTTCCACAAAGTATGACTTTCAAGCAATTTGACTGAGAAGATACTTTAGGGAGATAATTTTTCCCAAGAGTTTCCCTAGCAAATGTAAAAACCGGGAGAATCGGTTTAATATTAATAAATATGATTAAAGAAAATATGTAAAGCCTATTTAATTACTTTACTATGACATTTTATTATAATATATTGTTGACAAAGTATCACTATCAACTGGACTCCGCTCAGAATCGTTTTTTCGTTAGCAATGATTAATCGTTGTTTACAGCTATACATTAAATTACCTATAGCAATAAATGCACCCGTCCTCATTATCCTTGGATAGCTTTTGAATTTTTTAAAACACAGGTTAGATTAAATTATGTAAGTAAAAAAAAAATGTTTTTTCTGACAGGCAAAGTTGGGCAATTTAAATTAAATTAATGCATGATTAATGGGAAAATATTTATTTATGTTAAATATATAGGTAATATCAATGGACTCTCCCTCCAGAAAAAATTCCTAAAATCGCCACTGCCATAACCATCGTAACTACTCCGTAGTCCGTCGTCGTTTTAAACGCAATTGCTCATGCGATTCATTACTAGCATAGTAACATAATATATATTTTTATATTCAAATATATTAATGATAAAAAAAATCATCTATCCTCTTTGAAGTAAAGTCAAAGGGAACCTCCTCTATCATGCCATCTTGACTTGTACAAAGTTTAACTATTGTAAATTGAATATAAACTGCATATCGTTACATTAAAAAAAAGACTTATTTTCGTAAATTTCACTTGGAAAATCAAAAAATGACTTTTTTCGTGAGCATTCAGAATGTTACACAAAAGTCTCTTGTCATTTTTTGATGGAAGCACGATTTTTAATAGAAAACATAAGTTAAAATTATGTAAAATCATGAAATCGTTCCGCCGTAATTATTTGTCAGTTTATCTCTTTGTATTTTCTGAATTATTATAAAAACCGGTTGAAAAATTAGAAACAATTTCCGTTCAGAAAAGGTGTTAAACTTGATACATTGGAGCATGATTTCTGGTAGAAATTTTGTATACAGTTTAAAATAGACGGACATACTCGTACTTCATGTGGAGATTAGGGTCACTGTCAGGGGTGGATCTAGGATATTTTTATAGAGGGTATTCTGTATAGTCCATCCTGATTGTATGACCTTTTTTAGTTCTAAATAATGAATGTGCTTTATATATTCAAAAAATAATTATGAGTGGAAACTTTAAAAACACATATCTAAAACAAAGTCCGTTATTTTAAAAAAATAACCTTCTCTGTAATAATTATAAAAATAGTTGATACTGAGGATGCGAGTGACCATTTTTGTAGGTAAGAAGTTGGGAAGGTAGGATACATAATATTATTTCATTTATATTTGTAAGCAACGATAAACCATTGCTTGACGAAAGACGATTCTGAGCGTTAACACATAATTTGAAGTGCCGTAAATTTTTTTTTACGGTTTTCGTTTAAATTTGATTTCAAAACGCTTATTAAATAAGAAAAGTTTTCTGATAATTTTGGAAATTTTACCACGTATAGGTCAATCCAATATAAGTAATATTACCAAGTTTCATTCGTCTCTACGTGTATTTATAACCGAATCACTGTAAAAAAAACTTCCAAAAATTAAATTCCTTAAAAGCTCAAAAGTTTTGGCGATGATAACATAAGAAAGTAAATCAAAAAGACAACAAAAAAGGTGAATTATAATTTTTCGATTAAATCATTTTTTTGGTAGAAAACATCGTCTGTGTTTTTATAAAATAATGAAATCGTGAAATTTTACATTTGTCTAAGTTTTTTTTCCACTAAAGTGCTTTTATTTAAAAAGTGACCTCTTCAAAGTACTATCTAGACAACTTGAGCTTTCAGAAAAGTTGCTACACGTAAAAATCGGAGCAAGTTTACTAAAAAAAAAACGTGTCCCACATATTAGAATAAAAAAATAAAAAAAATAAACGTCTTAGTAAAATCAATAGCTCTTTCGCTCCGCTCGGAATCAAAAAATAAATGTTTAAACGAAAAATTAAAATTCTATCACATATTCATTATAATTGATGAACAAAAAATCAATACAAATTATTTGGTCATTTTGACTCAACTTCATCCTTCTCTTTTTTTCGCACAAATGTAGTTATAACTTAAACATAGTGGATTGTAGGTAATTTTTTAACATTTTTAAAGTTGATATAGATCTCTCCACTGTGGCTGTAGAAACCTAATCTAACCAATTAAAAAGTATTTTGATGTTGGGAAAAAATTCACTGTAGTGTTCTAATGCTTCAATTGCAATTTATGATATGTTTTAAATTTTGGTCCACGTATTTTCCACAAATTAATTTCTGCTTTCAATTCTTAATCCAAACTTTTAATATCTTCATAATAAAATTTGACAGATTCATAGGAATATGCTGGGCCTTCTAAAGAATACATGTGTGTATTTTTTATACGTATAGTATTTGTTTTAACATGATAGCTATAGCACCCTAACACCCCTCTCTGGATCCGCACTTTATTGTTATAGGCGAGAAGTTGGAAAGATAGGATATAGAGAAAAATTTAATCTGTATATCTGTATGCAACAATAAATCATTACTAACGAAAAACGATTCTAAGAGTTGTTATATATGCTTTGAAAGGTATTATATTTAGGTATTATTATTTAAGGATTATATTTAGGATATTTAATATTAAAATTGTTATAAAAAAATACAACCTTTAATGAACCTCCTGTTAAATTTTAAAGTATGACTGTTTGGTTCAATCAATTTTATATACTATGTACATACAAAATAAAAATTACGTACAATCTCGTAAAATTAAAATGTATATAAATTGCTCAAAAATGGCTAAAATGTTTTTCAAATATAAGTTTTTTATCCAAATTTCAAGCCTCTTCGATACTTTTTAACTGAATCATAACAAAATTGAAAATATAAAGTTCGTATATTTTCCCATTTTTCCTACGGTTTTCCCGGTTACTTTACAATTATCATGAAAACTTTTTGAAAAATCAAAACATTATTTAACCTAAAGTCCCACTCAGATAAAATTTCCTGTCAATAGATGTAATATACTTAAAATTCAGAGCAAGATTTCTGGTGGAAAAGTTATTCACGGATTAAAAATAAAAATCATTTCACTCAGAATCTAAAAATTATATATATATATATATATAAATCCCTCTCAAACAACAAATGCTCCAGTATATTTATTTAATAGTGATTTTTTTTTAATAGAAAATACTAAGTATTCAGCAGCCGTATTTGAATATTTCAGTTATTTTTATAATTATAAATAATTGTATACAATATATTTTGTGAGTATAACATTACATCCTTAATAGGTATAAAGATGATGTATGATATTATATAGGTATAAGTATTCCTTATCATTGTTTTAAGAACAGTTTTTAGGAGGATTTTTTATTTCATAAATTTCGTATAAATGTGATCTGGTATTACGTTTATTAAATAATTTGACAGTTTATTATTATTTTTTTTTTAACCAATTTAAATCAAAGATCTAACTTTAAAAATTGTTTACTGTGAATATGAGTGTTGAATAATTAATGAGGATTATAGTAGGTATATATAAAATGTATCCCTATAAATTATAAATGATATAGATATAGGTAGTAAGTACTTATAGACTATAGTAATACTTACAATTTTAAATACATTTTCACTCAATTTAATCAACTATTATTTTTTAATAATAAAACTATTCAAATTGTTTAGAGTCTAAACTCTAACAATCATTTGACTACTATATTTCACAATAATTTGAACGAATATGGTAATTAGGTAGGGGTAGAAAAGTTGTCCAAAAAAAAATCGCAATAATGTACTAATAAATTTCATACATTTTCCCGTTTTTTTCGTTTTTTCTCATATAACGAGAAAACTCTGGAGAAAATCAAAAAAATAACCTCTTCAATGTACCCGCCTAGTGAAATTTCCTTTTAGAAAAATTGCTATCATATAAAAAAATATGAGTAATCTATTATCGAAATTCAAAATGCATATATTTCAGCAAGTTACGAGGCAAGCCTGATGTATTGATAAGAAATTGACTTTTCTCTATGATCCGGCTTTTAAATTAAGTTCCAATTCCATGGTTGGGTAAAGAAGACAATTTGACGATTTATTCACGTTTCTTATTTGCTGCATCCCCTCCCAATGAAATTTTCTGGACTCTCCATTGATTGAAGATATAATAAAAATACTTGATAAAATCAGATTTTATTAAAATTTGAATAATCAGTAACCGATATTTATTATTATTTTTTTAAGTAAACTACTGAAAATTCAAAAAAATTAAGTCCAGTCAAACAAAAAAACAACATAATAATAACATTAAAAGTACCTACCTATATAATAATAATTTGAAAAAACTGCTATATAGGTACGTCATAGCTATTAGTTTATGCATATATAAAATATGTACTACCAGGTACGTAGCCAGTGGAGTTCATTGGGTCTGGATCACCTTCCCCCGAAATTATATTATAGTAGATCAAACGTATCATTCAATCTAATTATTTTTTCCGTATATAAAATATTATTATTATTATTAATAGTATACGATGTGCCTTATAGGAAATAATACATTGGTAATAGGAAAACTGAATTTTGATGTTGGCCACTAATGACTGAGCATCGTTTGTACGATTATAATTTGCATTAAATTATTTTCTATTGTTATTTAATTTATTACCATGGAAATCTTTATCATTTTATTTCGTGGAAAAATAATAAATGTTTAAACATATAATTATATGTGTAATTATAATACATTACTTTTTAATCGCTGTTTGTAAAAGATTAAATTATGAATTATAAATCATGTAAATAAATATATAAAGAGCACGTGTATGAGTTGTGATATAAGATAGATAGGTAAATAAAATTCAATTTTATCATATAAGTGTTCAATAAATGTTAGCTAATTACTTATAAAATATCACCTTTATGGCTTTATGAATGTACCAATGCACCAATAAATGTATACATTTAGGCAGAAGCTGAAGTACGTACTTTTTCGTACTGCATACTTTATTTCAAACCATACTACATCATAGGTATATAGGTGATGATGCCTCCTCCCGCAAAGGAATCATTTTAGCTTTTGATGTAAGGGTGGGAGGGAGTAATATTTTTGATTAGCGCTTCAAAATTACCGTTCGCAAATTAATCTTAATTTATATTTTCCTCTATGTATTATCAGGTATGGATGAATAGCTAATTTTGTTTTAAGATTGGATTCTAAATTAATATAGTATCCTACGTTCCTTAGACGTATTTTAGATTTTACAGGTAGGCTAAATAATTGGTAATTTAATTTTTTTTTATAAATTAACTCAAAAAAATTTTTATAAATAACTTATACTATCTATTTAACATGAATAAAATAAATATTAATTACACAGATGGTCAGTTTTGATTCTTTATTTACACACGAATTAAACATCGATAATAAAAGTACATTCTGTATTAGATTAAATTAAGATTCTAATTCAGAATTCTATACATTCTACTATTCTGTGCTTTCATCATCTTTGAAATAATTTATGATAGAAGTCAATGTTTTATGAGTCAACTTGTTGTTATTTAAAATTTTAATCAAGTTAAACTAACTTGTTTTTCTTAACGAGGTTTTTATACGTAGTTGAAGGAGGATTTTTGTTGGGACAAATAACATCATGATAAATAAAAATTCTTTGATTATGTATTTCGCTATTTTGAAAATACGAAAACGAATGCACAGTATGATATTCCACTATGGTATGCGCACTTCTTAATACATTGAGCAATTGAATTTTTTTAAATTTATTGTTATATTAATAAGATTATATAGCATACAATTTATAACAAATAATATTTTTATTAAATAGTAATTTCATGTGGTGAACAATAAGGTAATACTAAACATGTTTAGCTAAATGAACTTTATATTCTAATAATAATAATCGTAGCTCATAATATAAGGGTACTATAAATATGTAGGTTACGTGCCTCAATGGGTTTTCACCGAAGTCTCGTTGAGTGTAGAGTGGGCCATGCATTAAAGAGACCGTCGTTAAATAAAAATAAAAAATAGAAAATTACTTCATTGATTAGCTAAGGCTTCAGCTCACCCCCCCCCCCAAATCTGAAACCTTATTCTAGCCTTTGGGGATATGGGAGATGGACATCCTTCCAGAGCCAATTTTTTTAATAATTAAGTAGGTAATATTATAACTTTATTTAAGTTCTTGTGCCCTGTATAAGTATAATATTTCAAAATGCTTAAAATAAAAATTAATTGTAAGTTTAATTATTGTTATCTTATATCACGGAAATTGATGAAATTGAAATATTTATGGGCATGATAATCAACCAAACCCTTTTTTTGTTAAAAAGTCTCCAGTTTATTATTACTATAACAATCTATAGTTTAAATTTTAAGAGTAACATTTATTTTATATGACTTATAATTTGTTATTAGTCATTGAATGCGATTATAGTACAAAAAATACAAGTTAATATTATTCATTATTTTTTAAATAATAATGCAAAAGTTTTTCCATTTCTAGTGAGTAGCCTAGTCATATCATTATCACTATTCATTAGTAAAAATTCTAGGGTAGTAAAAAAACCTAAACTTAACGCTTTATATAAAGTTTATTTCATGTCATCAAAATATTGTAAATTTTTTTTTTTTAAATTTAGATAAAAACTGCACATTTTGTAGAGAACTGCTCATCAAGGGTTTTAAGGTATTATGTATTTTAGTATACTTATTGGCTTATTACATTACATTATATTTCATTCATACCGATCTTATTATTCAAAATTTGACCATTTATTTCAATTTCATTTATTTTTTTTCTGTAGTATCACAGAAGAAATGTTTAGAAAAAACATTTTCTTGCCATCATTACTTATACATAAAATTATAATAATTACTCATTGTAAATGTAAATTACAGATTATAGGCATGTGTTTTTAAAATTAGAGAAAAAAGAGATACGGACATACTTCGCACAATAGGTAGGCCACTATTGAAGGTGAGAAGTTGGGAGGTAGGATATATATAAGAGAATTTAATGTACTCGTGTATCTGAACGTGACAAGTAATATTTGCTAACGAAAATCGATTCTGAGTAGAGTTCTATTGTACCTAAATACTTTGAAAGGCCATTATATCAAAATTTGATAGATATTCCAATGCTCACAAAAAAAATCTCTATATTACACTCATTTTTTGGATTCTGAGTGGAGCGAAGAAGCTTACGGTTTGACAAAGATGGTTATTTTTTTTTAATCTTACTATAACATTAAAAAAAAAAAAAAAAACAAAATTTGAAACATTAAAAGCAATATTTTCATACATTTTTCCGATATTTCTAAGTTTTTTATGGTTTTCCCAATTATTATGAAAACTATTCGGAAAACTAAAATGCTACTTTCTTTATGTGCATTCGAAATTTGACAAAAAGGTTTATATCATTTTTTGATGGATTATTATTAGAAAACATAAATTATAAAAACATATAAAATCATGAAATCGTTACAGTGTAAATATTTATCCGTTTCTCCCTTCGTTAGGTTAGGTTAAGATTATTATGAAAATCACTTGTAAAATCAAAAATTTACCTCTTTTAAGTATCAACTAGATAAAAAATTTCCGTTCGGAAAAAGTGCTACACTAATCGATACATTGAAGCAAGATTTCTGGTAGAAATTTTGTACATTGTAGTATAATAATAAACGGACATACTCGTACTTCGCACGATGAGTAGGGTCACTGTTGCAGATGAGAATTTGGGAACGTAGGATATACAGGGAAATGTATAATGTATAGAGAGTCCTACAGTGTTATTCATCGGTTATAACTTATAACTATCAATATTCTTTTTTTTTTCAATTTTTTTTTTAATTGAATTTTGTGTGAGAGGGGCACATATTATAATTATTTTAAATTGAGCTAAAATCTCAATCATGTATCTAGTGTATCATGCAATAAATAAATAATTATTTACTGCATCCTCTAGCTCTCTTATAGTTAAAATTCTCGGCTAGCCTAGAATAAAATACGTACCTCGGTAAAAACTGTGTTTCAATACATTGAATATTGACAAATGCAATACTTACCTATTTATAATGAAAAATAAAAATAAATAAATTACCTAACCTAACATCCTTATTCCTTATCCTAAGTCGAAAGTATTTGAACGACTAAGTACGTGCGTGTCGTATTCGTAAGTATACAGATAATAATTTTCAAAATTAGAAATATATTAATAAAAGTCGTTAAACTTAATTAAACAATAGTTTTACCAGTGACACAATCAGAAGAGAGGGATCTCTCCATTATACCCTGCTGTGTACTAGTATTTGCCAACGTATAGAGATGCTTTATTCAATTCGGTAGATGTTTGGATCCCGACCCCCCACTGGCCCCACTGTTAAAAATTTCTTATTGATGTGCCACTGAATTTGTTTAAAGCAAGTTTTAAATCAGCTTTTTTAATTATATAATAACAATTCATCGACGATAGCATTATTATAAGAGAGCATTTTATTAGGATAATTTATTAGTGATAAAAACTAATTGCGTTCAATTGATAGTTCCATAGTTTATAATTAATATGTCATTGTTTATTCATACAAACTATGATTTATTTATATTGTTATAGGTTTAGATTTTTTGGACAATGGTTCAATTTTCGAGCATGCTATAACATGCGCAGGTAAACGCATCTCCGAACTAAATTGAGCAATTTAATCAACATAATAGTACTATTAATCGTTTGTATATAATATAGAATTTGGAAAATTTCACTATTTCTTACTGGCGCTATGCGGTCTCATTTATATGAATTGTGCCATATCTGTGAGCGTAATATCGTTTGTGTTACCGTCGGCACAGTGTGACTTCAGCTTGAGTTCCTCGGACAAGGGGCTTTTAAATGCCGTACCATTATTGGGTGATTGTATAAAATACACTATACACATAAGACGATAAAACACTAAAATGCAAACATTTTAAAATGATAATACATATTATTATGTTTTATAGGCATGCTCTTCGGGGCGTACTTTTGGGGATGCTTGGCCGATATGCATGGCAGGAAAAAAGCACTTATAGCGGCGTTATTGATGGATGGTTTGTCGAGTATAATTTCCAGTTTCTTAACTATCTTTTGGCCATTTTTATTCTGCCGTTTCTTCAGTGGTTTCGGGTGAGTACCTACGCAATCGATACCGGTATTATGTTTATTTAAACAAAAAATATATTATTTAAATTACTTATTTAAATTTAAATTTAAATTTAAACAAAAATGTTTAAAATGATATTGTTATTTTATTTTAAGGTCCTATATGTATATTTTTAAATTTATAAATAAATATCAAGCATTTAAAATTACGTCGTTGCTGACTATAATAATTGTAATACAAAATTGCATTATATGCATTATTCAATAACTCTTATTAGACCTGGTGCTCTATTTTCTAACCGTACGTAAGAAGCCTGAATGACCAAAAGTGCATAGAAATCGCCATTTTTACGTATACTCTATTTAGAATAAGAACACACCCGTTCACGCATGCAAACTAAAAATTCGAACGTAACTGGACCGTCGAATCCTTCACCGCCGAATTAATAATAGGCGGCTATACGAGACCATACCTTATTGTCGCATAGAGATAAAGTAGTACACATAGATATACTTCGTCATCGTCGTATGGTGATGGTGTCAGTAGTAGAGATACATGCGTAAACTCTGACATGTCTTTATCCGTCGCCGAGTGTGCTCTTATTTTGAATAGAGTATAGTACTAACCTGGGACTAGATATATTTTAAGTAAAAAAAAAAGCTTATTTTCGAGCTCTTATCAAGCAATACGTTTAAGTACCTTAGTAACCACACATTTCCATTACTATCTTTACTTTTGATTAAGTGAATAATAAAAATAAAATAAATACATTATGAAATAGAAGTAGATTGTTAACATTTCTTATCCGCTTATATTATATTATCGTGTAATCAAGTAATTATTAAGTACCTTTGCAATATTTGGGTATTCAAATAACGATAAAATTATGCAACAACGTTACTATAACAATAAAATATAAACCTCATATCAAGAGTCAAGTAAAAACTGTAACAACAAATAAAACTTTCAAGACCTGGTGTATAGACGATAAAGGTTTTAGGGGTTCAACAACCTTAAATAATACTACTTAAATACTACTTCAATAATACTCGCTTATTTAAGACAACGACAAAAATTAGTGATTTGCATATAGTATTTAAGCATAAAAAATGAACGATAAATTGTTACAAAAAAAATATACTTAACTATATATATATATATATATATATAATTAAGAGTATACTGTATTATCTTACTTTTTGTAGATTGTCCGGATACTTGGGCATTTGTTTTTCGTATTTAGGCGAATTCCAACCGAAAATCTATAGAGAAAAAGTGTTGTCATGGTTAGAAATGTTTTGGACAGTGGGTGTAATATTGCTGCCATGTAAGTTCTTGTCATTATAGACTATAGTTATAACACATATATATTATTAAAAAAATCTGATATAATATTACGATAATTTATAAATTCCTTACTTACTTTCGGATCATTTTTCACCAGTGGTAGCTTGGGGCATCATTCCATTAACAATCCGGTACACTTTTGGAACTCTACGTTATTCATCATGGAATCTGTTTTTGACGCTGTGCTCTTTGCCCAGCATTTTGTTGGCCCTATGGTTGACCAGGTTCCCGGAGAGTCCTAAATTCTTGTTGGAGTGCGGTGAATTTGATGAGGCGCTTGAGTGTCTGAAACGAATTTACACAGAGAACACGGGTGAACCCGGTGAAGCATATCCCGTACGTAGAGACAATTATAGTTCTATTTTTAATAGTTGCATTATTTTATTGAACCCGGCGATGTTTATACTATATAAACTTTCTAGGTAAGGAGTCTCATCGAGAACGAGGTTCGGTGCAGCGTGGTTAGCATACAGTCAAAACGTTCGCTACGCAGTATGAAGTCAGTCAAGACACCTAAAGACCTCAAAAACTTGCTGTACGAGATATGGTACCAGACCAAAGAAATGTTTAAACCGCCACACCTAAAGAACACGTTGCTAACGTGTCTCATACAGTTCGGGTTGACCTCTAGGTAAGCAACAAACCATTACTGGTGGTAACTAAGAATTTGATTAAATAAAAATGTTCCCGCATAATACTCCGAAAAGCCTCCCCATGAAACTTATTCAAGTATTAACACTGTCCCCACACGCCGCATCGTCTGGAAGATTTAATAAATGGTTGCAATAAAAGCGTTGATAAAAAAAAATTACATTGCATACAAAATATATTCGATAATTCCTGTGGACTGGAACAAGTTTTATTAGTTGTATCACTAAATTTATTACAATTTATCTGAAGAGAGTCATTTGGTTTACATAAGGAGATTAAAAAAAATAATTTGTCCAAACTATTTTGTATATTCTACGTTTTACTGAAATTCAGACTTTTTTTCTAATATTTTTTCGGCCAGTGGCTTTTTTTTTCTCAATTTAAAATAATTGTATGGGTGTATTTTATGTCAGTCTTGTAATATTTGTTTTTTTTTTTATAACAGGGAAACAAAAAGAGAAAAAAATAGTCAATTGACAATTTTTTTTCTAAAATCAAGATAAAGACCACCATATTAAATAATCATTTAAAATTTTTAAATACGAAAAATAAAATTAAAGAAAAAACACAATTAAAAAGACGTCCTAGGATAATGGAGTCGGGTGCAGCCACTGTAATAGATAATTTAATGTATATCTTTAAGCAATGATAAACCATTGCTAACTGAGCGCAGTTCAGTTGATAGTGATGTCTTCCACATTTGATGGGAAAACTCTTGGGAAAATTTAAAAAATGACCTCTTTAAATTACCATGGAGATAAAATTTCCTTTCAGAAAATAAGCTACACTTAAAAATCATAACAAGACTTTTGGTATAAAAGTTGCTCATCAAATCGAGGGGTATTTTTCGATTACAATAGTCCAAGCGAGCAATAGCTGGGTCTCTAGGTACACCTAAAATATATTGTTTTTTCTCTGTTTAGGTAAAAAGGAAAAAATAAATGCAAACAATTTTTTTCGAAACGTGGTTAGATTTAGTTTTCGTAAATTCGAGAACCCTAGTATGACAATAGGTATGTATAACAATTAGATGATGACAAATATTCTGTAAGAGAGGCAATATAGAGATATTTAACATAACATGTAATATCCACATAATATCAAAACTTCAAAAAGCTATAATTTTGAAACTTAGTCAGTCCGCTTAATTCTGACTTTACCATCCTTCTTAAATCGACAATATGCATATATTCAAAAAAAATTAAAAAATTGTAAAATTAAATAATTAATAGATTTATTGCACTTAACCTTCACATAATTTTTCATTCAAACGATTTTCGTCAAAATTTGATATTAAAATTCCCTTACAAAAAAAACCCAATTTTTTTTTACTACAAAGTAAGTCCCCTAATGAACCTCCTTTTAAATTTTCAAATATTTCTGTTAAGTTTAAAAAATTTATCACAGAGTACTTACCAAATACAAAATACGTACAAAAATCGCAAAATTAAAATATCTATAAATAGCTCAAAATTAGCTTAAAATGTTTGAAAATGTTATCATGTCTAGAAACGGCAAATACAATTTTTCTATCCGAATTTCAAGTCTTTACGGATATTTTAATTGAATTACCACAAATAATAAAAGCATTATTTTTATAACTTTCCTGTTTTTCTTACGTTTTAAACTGGTTTTTCCCAGTTACTATGAAAACTGCTTGGAAATCAAAAAATTACCTCATAAAAGTACTATCTGAACAACATTCCATTTCAGAAATAGTGCCGTGCGTATATATCTGAGCAAGATTTCTGGAGGAATTTTTGTACACAGTACACAGTATAAAAAAAAATACAAAAATAAACATCTTAGTAAAACCAATACATTCTTAGCCACACTCAGAATCTAAAAGTATTTTAGTTAAGTATATACCTAACTAAGTGTTAAGGGAATAAGGGAGTCATAAAATAACAGGTGATAAATATAACCTATTCTAACCTAACCTAATTTTATAAAAAAATTGAATGCTCCCTCCTCCCTGAAAATTTTTTCTGGCTACAGTATTGTATTCGTATATAGTACTTTATACAAACCAAATACATAATTTTATGTGATATGATTAGTTATAGTCTTATAGGATAAATTTTAAATATATTTTTATTTACGTATAAGATTAATAATATAATTTGTGTTAATTTTGGTGCAGTTACTACACGCTGATGATGTGGTTCCCGGAGTTGTTCAACAGGTTCGAAAAGTTCGAACGGCAACAGCCAGGCAAGGACGTGTCTGTGTGCCAAGTATCGTCGGTGTATATCGAACAGGACGGTGTACTCAACACGGTTGATTTATGCGGATCGGGAGTCGGCGAGACCGTGTACACACACACTCTGTGGATCGGCATAGCGTGCATACCTACGTCGTTGTGGATGCCTTTGTGCGTGCACCGTCTGGGCGCTAAGTTCTTTTTGGGTATGTTAAACTTCAAACTCCATTAGGTATACAGCAGCGACATACAAATATATACAGAGTTCGGCTCGTTGGCTAGTAACGGGAACGACGTATAACATTAATACCTATAGGTAAAAGTAAGTAGAGACGTTCTCTGATTTTTTTTATAGAGGGGTAGGGATATGCAAATGTATTAAAAAGTAAGCCGTGAGGCTAAGCTTCTACACCTACTTCTTATATAAAAACAACACACATTAAATTACAACGTATTATATTTTCAATTAAAATATTAAATTTATAAAATTATTTCAATTTTTCTTAATTTTTGAGCCAATACATCAAGAACTTCTTCAAGATCAACTCGGACTTCTCTAATAGAGAAATAAAAACGATTGATAACAATAACGAAAAAGTGGAAAAATATGTTATCACTTATATCATTGTTTGGTGGTATTATTACAGATTAAATGAAACCAGATTATGCAATCGAGTGGTTCTCGAAAATAAAAAAAATCCTATTTGATAGTTGTTATTATCGTGACGTGCAAGGGTGTCTATCTTTAATAATACAGGGAGGAAACACTATATTTTAAATAATATTTCCTAATCGCCAATGCTATTTTGATTTTTCAATTATATCGTCAACAACCGATATAATACCACTAGGTAGTGATAATAATGCTACCATATACTATAATATATGATCATACATTTTTCATTTATCCCATGTATTTTATATAAATTATAATATTTTATGTATGAATGTATAATATACACGGAAAAAACAGGGGAACATGTCCTCTCCTTGCTTCCCCCCCCTAATGGGCACCCAACGAGGTGTTATCACATTTGAATATCAATATATTATTACATTTACAGATAAAAGATCAGGATTCTCAACGTATAAAATTCGCTGTACTAGTAGCCATAGACATATTAATAAATGAGTCGTGCTTAGAGAAGGAAACGCCGAATCTATATTAAGTAAGAAATATAATGCTAGTTAGGGATAGTCATGATCAATTTACACTATAAAATTACTATTATTTATCAGTTTACCACGTCAATTTAATCTACCGGTATATAAACATAATAGATAACGGACGACCATTTACATGATATTATTAAAAGTGTGTCTAGGGCGGCCATTTATCAAGACGGTAATGTTTACATAATGTAAAATTGATAATGAATCATAAATTGAAACTACTTTATTTTATACGTTTTATATACTAATTAGTGATTACTGTTACTATACAAAAAATATTTATATATTTTTTTTTTAATTAATTAAAGTGATGTTTTAGCTTTGATGTAGATAAGCAGGTATTGTTTTCTCAGTGAAGTGTTTTTATTTATTTACTTTCTAGTTAAATATTTCAGTTCAATTAAAATATATACAAACAGTAATCTTTAATCAATATCGAGTTTTGCAATTCTGACTATTTTCAACGAGTTTTCCATAACTCGGATATCGATTTTGCCGGAAATTTCAGATCTCAAATAGGATGCTTTGACTTCAGTCTTGTTGGTGGATGTGTAATGATGTCGCTATATAATGGAAGTTCAGAGTTACTCATAACTTTTTTAACTACTTGTTCTGACTTCATTAAGCTCCTCAAATCTAGAGGGATTATGATCGCCAACATCGGCAACTATTGTATTTGAGTCATTCTCACAATTCTCGAGATAATTCTCATGGATTGGTTGAGCTTTATGTCTACTTTTATACAGTGTGCACTCCTAGACCCCATTGGAGAACATTATTCGTCACGCTGTAGACCAATTCCAGTGTAGATGTTCGTAAAACTTCAAAGTTGCTACCCCAGCTTGTACCTGCCAATTTCGCTATGATATTATTTCTTGATTTCAACTTGTTCTTCATTGCCTCTATGTGGTCTTTAAATGTTAAGGTTCTATCTATTTTTATCCTTAGGTAATTATGGCTTTCATTTTTAGGTACTGGAGAATCCCCGATCTTTGGTTCTAGCCTTCTACTTGCTTCCGGATTATTTTAGTGAAGAGCTAACGCTACAGTTTTGCTCGGATTTAATGTAAAGTGCCACTTTCTATAGTAGTTTTGTAGAGTAGATAAGTCTCAATTTAATACGTATTCTGTTTCGTTGAAAGAGTCGACTTGGGCTAACAATGTTATATCATTAATGTAGATGAATTTTCTCGACTCTATTATTGCTAAGTCAGCTGTATATAACATTAAAAAGCATTGGTGAGAAAATTGATCTTTGAGACATTTCGTAGATATCCATTTTGTAGACATTTATATGAGCTCGTATTACTATTTAGGTACACTTTGAACTTTCTGCACTTCACTATTTTGGCCAAATTGACTAAAAGACACCTCTTCCAAACTATATCATATGCCGAAGACAGATCCAGGAAGACTGCACCGGATTTCTTCTTGCTTTGGAAACTATTTTCTACATGCGTAATAAAGGCAAGGACCTGATCGCAACAGTTCTTGCCTGTTCTAAAACCAGCTTGTTCTATCAAAAATGTTTTTTCTTATATAGGTTGCAGTTTAATGAGAATAAGTCTCTCAAAAACTTTAAATACCGTCGATAGTAGTGAGACTGGTCTATAGTTGTTGGCGTTTTCCCCGGCTTTAATATGGCTACCACTTTAGCCTCACTCCATAGTTCAAGAAGGATTCCGGAATTTGCAGTGTTTGTAGCTAATTTAGTTTACCAGGTTCTACCTTTAAACTCTAGATTTTTTAAAAATTCTGGTAGGATGCTATCCGCTCTAGCAGCTTTGCTATTCTTAACTGTTTTGGTGCTGTGTCAACTTCGCTCTTAGTAAATATATCAATCGATGTCAGCGAGTTATTGCACAAAAAGAATTCGCCAACAAGTAGTCTCCTTACTTCAGTTTTTTCCTGTTTTTTCTGCTTGATATTTGATATCTTAAAAAATTGGCTAACTATCGTATTCACTGAAAACCCCTCCTCCTTTCGAATTGGTTGGGCCGCTCTCAGTTTCCTAAGGAATGTCCTGCTTTTTTTGCTTGGTCTTGAGTCTAAATCTTCCATTGCTGTTATTGTTGATGTTTTCTTCAGAATATTTAGAATAGCTGTCCCAGTTTGCTTCACATAAGTTCCATCTAGGTATAGCTGGCTTGATGAACTTAAGGAGACTTATTCCCATATCTACTATGGTTGAACGGTGTTGACTTTTGGGAAACTTTTTTAGTATTGTGCGTCTTATTTGTAATGGTTGGTCTAACTCATTTTTGTGACGGAACATCTGGGGACGTCATTGTTTTCTATCTGCTCGAGTTTCTCCCTATTTAACATCAACAACTAGAAAGGTATGGTTAATATTAGCCCAAATAACAAGTTTCTCGTCATTTTCGTCTTCCTCTTTATATCCCCGATCAGTGCTCTGGCTATTGAAATCCCCAACAAAAATCCCTGGATGCTAACATGTTGGTTAAGTTAATTACTTCTTCATTCATGGAGAACGTCTCGAAAACAACTCTCTTCTACAACCATTCTCTTCGATAATTTAAAAGAAGATTGTTATTTGTTCTTCTTTGTAGAAACTCCTTCAACTTTGTAGATGTTAAAGTAAAAACTGATTCTCGACTGCGGTATGTGATATTCATATCTTAGACATACTTTTATTGTATCATATAAACATGAATTTACAAAATGTGATATTTTATATTGACAACAAAGTTACATTTTACAAATTGTAGGTTAAAGCACAAGGATTAGGGCAGAGGTTCCCAAAGTAATCTATATTGACCAACAGGGACTTATTCTGACCTGTAAGGGGTCCATGTTATCAAAAAAATTGTTGGTGCATGAGATGTAAATAGGGATAATAAATGATATTAGGGGATCTATGAAAAATAGAAAAAATTAGCTAGCGGTCTGCGCGGAAAAAAGTTTGAGAACCTACAAATTAGAGTAACATTATTACGGTGTTACCACCACACAAGTTATACTTAGAGTGGCTGTAGACAGTTATTTCTATGACAATTGATAAGAATCATAATTTTCATACTCATCAAGTGTCCCGAACTTAATAAAAATAAATTTAATTTAATCTGCATTATTTTGTACTCCCGAGTGCAAATTTCACTCATCAGGGTTAATATTTATTTTAAATTACTCAAATGTATCCGTGACCTACTTTTGATTAATGGTTTTATCCATGAAATGGTTCGTTTTTTAATACCAAAAATTTAATTACACTTCAAAGCTATCTAAATACTAGTATTTTTTATTATAAGAAATACAAATTCGCTATTCATCTTTTTAGGAAAAAAACACGTTGGTACTCACTTAATACCAAAATGATGGGAGCACGTAAAAATCTGGAACGCACAAACCTTGAAAATACAAATCTGGAAAGTACAGTTCTTGAATCCAGGGTTTACGGTTATCGAAATCTAAACCGTACAAACCTGGAATGTAAAAGTCTAAAATGTGCAAATCTTGAAAAATAATTTTTTATTAATCCAGTGTTACCAACTTTTGGATCAAAAACATATACGTACGTGACCAAAACCATTCTTTTTAAAAATTATAAGAAAAACAACATATTAATCCTACCTTAATTTAGACCTGAAAATGTATTAGGTTTTATTGTTACTTTTGGGACATTAACTTCCTAGAAGTACTTATCAGTAATAGTAATATCACCGACCATTTTATTTTTTTTCGTGAATAATATATATTCTAGATAGCCATCGATAATAATAATTTTTCCTACCATTTCTATGGTTAGATACCTAGTGTCGTATCGATCACACACATAATAATTATTAGAATACCTATATGCATGTGTACTCGTTACCGCCGTCGATAGAATTAGTATAAGATCCCTTTCACATTATACGGTTTTGACCGTACAGCAAAAAATCAAACGGTAAAAATCCGTAATATCGTGTATATGTGGACACATTTAATTTAATTTTCGTAATAGGTATGTTTTTCCTAAAATCACTCCAGACCGATTTATTTGCAATCAAAGTGAGCATGTTTTACCATACTAAAAAATTGGGTGTGGGACGTCCTCTTAAAAATTATTAGTTTACTTGGATACAGATAATTCGAAATTTATAGTACTGATAAAAAGCTTACAATAAATTTAACAAAACTGCATTTTTTGTCAAAAATTCACAGACGTAAACCTAACAACCCTAACTTATAAATAACGAATATTATTTATTTTGAATTCACGTCATAAAGAAATGCAAATTAGATTCAAAATTTAAAACTAAAATAATAAATATATCGCTTGCAATTATTTTAAATTATATGGTTTAGTCTCACAACCCGGTACCTAGTTATTTCCATACATGCGTGAAAAACGAATAAACCATGCTAGTGTTTTATACATTTACAGTTATGTGCCTGTTCGTGTCCGGGGTCGTGACCGCCGCGCTGTACTTTGTCAAAAATGCTATGCAAAATCTCATATTGTCGTGCCTGTTTGAAGCATTTAGCGGCTTGGGAATCAGCGTATTATTGTGCATAATGGTCGATTTGTTTCCTACCAATATGAGGTAATTATACCATTTATATCTATTATAAAGATTTTAGGCTTATTTTTAGAAAACTAAGATACCTAATCAAAAATCTCACTTACCTATTTATATGAAACTCATATTTTCAATTCTGCAGACCTTACCATGGTTTGTAAAAACCCAGAATAGTCGAGGATTATTATTTTAAACTCCTATTATTATTTTCTGTAAAATTGATACAATTAATTTTTTTTAATTGATTTATTATTTGCCTAGGTATCCTAAGAGACTAAATGAAAATATACCTATGTATGCTACTATTAATATAAAAATATAACTATAAAATCTATTTAGATACCAAATTGCATTTGCACAGTTTTTATTTTCAATAATTTATTTATTTCTTAAAAAGGTCTTACCTGATTCTTATATAAGCACACAATAGTTAATAATAATAGTACTAATAATAAGCTAATAATAAAGTTTTTTACAGATTAAAAATAAATCATTGTTAAAACCAATACAAATATGTAATTTATAGAGTAATGGCAGCTGCTGCATCAGCTACATTCGCCCGTGTTGGAGCGTTGGCTGCTAACATCATATTTGGATTGCTCATAGACTCACATTGCATTTTGCTTATCATCATATTCAGTTCATCATTAATAAGTATGTATCTATACAAAAGCTCAAAAGTTGTAATTCAGTAGTATAATTAAGGCATACCATTTTCTCTTTTTTGTACAGTAAGCGGTCTTTTATCTTTGGCTCTTCCCAGCAACAACAGCAAGAACTTAGATTGAAAGTCGTACTCCACCTAAATATATACTGTATAAAAGAAATAATTCATTAAAACAAAAAACTGGTGAAAAAGTATACTTGATGTACTTAAGGTCATCAAGGTGTACCTATTATACACAACAATATACAATTTAGGTTAGTAGAAATTGTAATAATAAGCGGAAAACCAAATGTAGAAATGTCACGAATACAGAACTGTTTTTGAAATATTATATTATTTATTGTAAGTTTATAACTTAAATATAATGAGACAACTTTTTTTTATTATTACTATCATTGTAAATAAATAAGTAGGTAATTAGTATTACAACTGTTTTACATTTTTTGATTTTTTTTTTTTAGTAATTTTTATTCAAATACTAACTTATATATTTTTATTAAGTGTTTTAAATTTCTGTCAACTTTAAAAATATTGTCTAGTTGTAATTTTTACGACCCTACATTATATTTTATATTTATATTATAATAATAATCAAGTAAAATGTTTGTTATTTCTTCTTAAATAAATCACACAGACAATAATTGAGCTTAAGAAGTGTGATCTGTCAAACTTAGTAATAATAATATAACTAGTTCTGATTATTTGAAATGTGAAATAGTCAACATTCATTGTAGTTTGTGGGGGCTTGGCAAAACCTTCACGCGGTGCCCCTGTTAATGCTGTTTTCTCACAGCTAACTGATTCCGCCAACACCAGTGCTAAAAAATCTAGACTCAACAAAAAGAAGATTGCAGTTTGTGATTTGTATTATGAACTTAAGTTTAAGAAAAAACCGTTTACCAACTAAAAAATTTAATTATTTTCGAATACACTACATAAAGATGCGTAGAAGTTTTTTGTATCCTGTAGATCACCAGAACATGGTAAACTTGCCAGTAGACCACAGGACATACCAATGCTAATATGTGCAAACTATATTATATTTTGTTAAATCATATACTTAGGTAAGTTTTTTTTTTAAATTTAGTCAAAATAACAATATTATTCTCCTTCAACCCAAACTATTTGGAGTCGGCCACTCTCGTTCTAAACTTCCACTTGACCTGATCTCCTACCTTGAATACACCAGTTGTCCTCATATAATTTTCAATTGCATATAACTAATTCTTTTTTAGTTTTCCTCTCGACCTCTTTCCTCCTACGTTTATTTTCATTACAATTCTTACTGTTTCTAATTCATCTCTCCTGCAACATGCCCAAAAATTCTCAGTCTATTTTATCTTATTTTGTCTCCTATCTATACTACACCCAAAAATTACGATTTCTTAATTCGTGGCCACGCCTAATCTACCTTTAATGTTCTAATGTACGCATCTCTTATTTTTTCTCGTCATTTCACTCATCCACCTAACCTCTAAACTCATACTTTGTTTTTTCTACTTATTCTTAGTTCCTTTTCTTCAAGTACTACTTTTCATTTTTAGGCCTATTGTTAACTTCTTTCAGATTATTGTATCAAAGCTATATCATCTGCAAACATCATGCACCATGGTACTTTCTCTCACTTATTGTTCCTGCACACACCCGCAAGTGTTTTTTATAACTTCTCATACTGTCTGATAGAATCTTACACCGGCTGTAGACCTGACACAACCACATTTGTCGCCTATTACAGGTAGAAGTACTATGGGTGTATTGTGATCAATGTTGGGATAGTTCCTCTTAAATAGGGATTTGTTTCCGTTCTTTGTTCCTACTGCAAAAAAAGAACTGGATTTGGAGTCGATCTGCTCAAAATTCTTCCTGTAAAGTCAGTTTCGGTGGTTGCCGATTTCATGCACGGCCGTCACAATAACGTAAGTCTATTTCTAGGTTATCGACATTCAAAGGTTGTGCAGCCGTTGTGATCTCGCTATTAACCGTTCCGATGAGATACGATCCGCTTCACACTCGCGTATACACCGCGTACACAGTTATATCATCTTCGGTCGTATATTCACCATATGGTAGTGATTGTCTTACGTTCTAATATACCTAATAATTATTAATTTTTAATATTTTTGTTTTAACCGTTACATTATCGCCAACTTATGTTTAGCAGCATTATCCACTCTTAAGATTTCATAAAAATTTCTTCTAATAGTATTATACTTTAAGTACACTTATACAATAAGTCAGAATTCGTCTATAACTGACAAGCAAATTATAACCCGATCAATTTCTTCCTCCTCTTCAGTGAATACTACAAATGTACCGGATGCCTCAACTGTCTCTTTCTCTTCTACTAAGTTTTGTAAAGTCATTGCAGGACTCGAAATGAGACTCTTTCTCACTTCAAGTCTGAGTTGATCTCTCAGCTCTAAATTTGAAGAATTGAAAGCAAGTGTTGATTCATTAATCTCAGATTGTGGAGCTTAAATCTGAAAATGTCTTTCATTGTCTTGATATCACTACTCTAAAAAATAAAGTACTTGTCTTTGAGTCTTGTGTTGCAAAAAGTCTGTTCCTGCAACTGAACAATTGCTTCAATTATTACAGTAACTTCCTGATTGTGAAAAGTGTTCATGGACTCTTGGATTCAGCTGCTGTCTTGCCTGTTAACGATGTTAAACTCCTATCTGATGCTACTTAACTATTATTCATACCCATGCTTTCCAACATTAAACTATATACATTAGGTAATACAATAGCAAGAACCCACGACCAGTTAAAGCTATTTTCAATTCTAAAGAGTAGCCTTTACAGTACATTAATTACTTAAATTTTAATAAGCATATACATGATACTAGCTAAGCTATCTCCATTTCTGTCACGAGAGACCGTACAATAATAGGGGCAGGAAATTTGACGTGTTTACTTGGAGCTGGAGGACATTAAGAAATCAGGTGAACATGATATTATAGTTAAATACAGAAAAGGGATTCCATCTATTGTTTCCAGTACTTATGTGATTCACACAGGCATTCAATCCACTTGTCGTCAAGTCATGCTATCAAAAAACTAATTTTGTCGTAGTGTCCATTCATCAATGTAAGCCTCCAACACAATTCTTTCTATTTAGGTTTGCATGAGAATGTACCCTTTTATGACAATTGTTTTTTTCTGTACTAGTGCCAAGTTTATTCTTAATTGTTTTACATCAGCTTTTAATGATTTTTTTAGGTAAATTTTCTCTTTCTTCTGAATTACCTTTAGGTAACCATTATCTGCCTAGTAATATTAAATCTACACATGAACGTAATGGCAAAGATAAAATACTTGGCTGTTTAAATTATAATTTATTTCCTAACGTTCCGATTGGTCCTAAAACAAAATTGTTAAATGCAATTTGAAAAATGTTTAATTATGGATTTATTATGTTAACAAAAACTTGGCGTAGAGCTGGTATTTTTGATTCTAAATTAGGCTTAAATAATAATAATTATTATAATTATTACAGCCATACCTACATTATAGGTATGACCATAATAGTTCAACAAGTACTTATTCTAGGTGGTAGTGTCTTCATTGTTGTACATAAAGATTTTTCTTTAAAAGTTATTCCCATTTATAATCTGAGTATTGATCAATTGTTCATAAGTCTTAGTTATATAACAATGATAAGTTTATAGTTGGTAGTGTCTATATACCGCCTAGCTCTCTTGTTCAATCCTCTGATATTCATGCTAGCACAGTTGATCATCTAGTTAATGCCTGTGAAACTTATAATTTTATTCTTTGTGGAGACTTTCACTTATCTAGTTTACCAAGGTCTGATTATGATGGTGTTTCTTATTCAATAACTACTAGTGACAGAGTACATCCTATCCTTGAAACATTTACATTCCTCAATTTCTATCAAATCAATAGTATTATTAACAAATTTTCTTTGTTATTAGACCATGCATTTGTAAATATTAATCAATTCAAGGTTAGCAAGATACATGATTCAGTAGTCCTTGAAGATTGGTATCATCTTGCATTGGCTATTAATTACCTCCCAATTAAAATAGTCCTGGCATTTCACCCGACAGTAATATTTTAATTTTTAAAAAACGAATTATCCACATATATCTGATTTCTTCCTAAACCTAGGTAGACAAATTTTTTCACCTAGATCAGTGGTTCTCAAAGAGGGCGATATCGCCCTCCGGGGGGGGGGGAGGTGATGATTTTTTTTTTAAATGTTTAATTTAATAAATTTACTGGCACTATAATTAATAAAAAAATATGAAATACAAAACAAATAAAAACATGAGTTATTAGATCATTTAAATTTTTTTTAAAATTTTCTAAATCAACTCCCTTTCTATATCTATATAGAGAGCTCCCCATACCTTTAATTATAAAATTCTCACATGTGGGGGGGGGGGCATTAAAAAATTGATTGCTACTCAAAAGGGCGGTAACTTAAATAAGGTTGAGAAACATTTACATAGATATTAATTCTTCTACTATGATGTACGTGTTGCACTTTTCCATCCTAAGATGGGTTCAATATATTAAGGATAACAATTTGCGTGGTTTTTGAAGGATTTAATTGACACACTGCTATGTGCAAAATATAAATTTTTGTCAAAACAATTTTATAGAAGTTAAATCGAATATACTTAATCTAACCTTTGTTCTGATCCAAAAGTTTTAGAAATTTGTTAGGAATAATAAGTCTCACCAGTCTATTTCTAGAAAATAGTATATCTGAATGGGGTTACCAGCACCAACAATCAAAAAATGATTTATTTCTTTGCTAAGCATTTTAGTTCAGTTTATTCTAAGCCCAGAGTTGTGAATAATCCACTAGTTTCACCACACTTACTTTATGATCTTCTATCCAATTGTTTTTTAATGTTAGCGAAGTAAAATTGGGTCCATCCAAATTACATGGTAACAAATCGGAGGATCCTGATTCATCTTTGATGAATACCTATGCATGATATGATCATTATTATAGTTCCCTCTATGGCTTATTTTGTTATAAATCATTGAATGAAGGTATATATATCCTGATCTGTTTAAGCTTAGTGCAGTTACGCTAGTAATTGAGTCTGGTGATAGCTCTAATGTTACCAATTATAAACCTATATCGATGTTAAGTAATATAACTAAGCTCTTTGAATTGTTAGCCTTTTTTCCTATTAAGTCAGCTGTTTAATTTGATTTTAATTGATGAATATGGTTTCAACACTAGTAATTCAACTACCACTAGCCATTTAGTTTTTAATAATTATATAATTGATGCTTTTACTAGCCATTCACAAATTAATGTAATTTATACAGACTTCACCAAGGCCTTCAATCGTATCGATGAATATTTTATTTGACTCTGGTATGGTGCATAATTTTTATTATGGTTTAGCTCTTATTTTTGTAACCCTGAGCAATTTGTGCACTGGCTTGGCCTGAATATTTTAGCTGATAGATGACTTGAGGTTAATTTATCTTTTCTATGATGCCTTATTGTTGGTGTTATTAATTCTTCCTAACTATTAAAACAAATCAACTTTAAAGTTCCAAACTTCTATGCCCGTCACATGTATTTGTTTTCTGTATCTATATGCAACAATTATTCAAAAACTCACATCATTAAAAATAGAATGATGAGTATAGCAAATAAGGATTCATCAATTGAACTAAATGTTCTTGTATGTGTTATGCATAATGTTTTGTTTGTATTAAAACTTGGAATTTGATAAATCCAGTATGAAATAAATAAATAAATAAATACTTGTTTAAAAATTGGTTTAATTTATATATAAATGTAAAATAAGTACTTGTATTTATAAATGTAAGCAAATATTATACATAAATATATTTCTTAAAAATATAAAAAATACTTGGGTTAACAGGTATGGAGACTTACGACTTAGGAATATGCATTATTATATTATGTATTTAATAAAAATCACAATTCATAGATTTTAAAAATTCTAAATTACAAAAAAAAATTAGCCTTAAACAACATTGTAATTAAATTTCAAAATAAAATACCAATCAAAAATAATGCTATATACATGATTGAATTTTTAATAACCCTGTGTTCCATTTGATTAGTGCTTTAATTTAATTTTTTAAACAAATAATAGTAAATGTAATAGTATAAATTAACAATATTCTATAATTAAGCGTCTTCTAGTTGAAACATAAATCCATTCAAATCTGAACTTTCTATCAAAGCATTACTTAGTTTCATAACCTGGTATTGAGGTTCAAAAGGTACAAATTTAAATCTAAATAAACACTCCAAAAACCAGTTTATGTAGATAGTTACTGCTTTATATTTAGTCAGCCATTCTAGATAAATAAAAAATAAAACAAACCTAATGTATATGATATAAATGTAACATATACATAGTGATTTATTTAAAATAAGACACTTATTATTTTGCAAATTTTTGAATTTTTTTCTAAAACAATTTCTTTTTACAATTTAATAAACAAGCAGCTCTAAAATGTTGGGGTGAAATGACTACCTACTTTTGAGAGCTTCTTGTCTCTTAAATATTTTCAAAATAATCAATATTTTGCGAAATAATAAGTGTTTTATGTTAAATAAATTACCCTATACATGATATAGATTTCTATATATTACATAAGCGTCAAAAGCAGTAAAAGCCAGTAATCAGTTAAAATTCAAATTTAATAGTAAAACTAATTTTATCAAAGCATTTTCATAAAAATGTATTATTACTAGTCACTACAAGTTTTATTAAAGGTTATATAAAGTAAAATAAACTAAACCCTAGTGAGTAGTCAAAATGCATTTAAACAAGTGTCCTTTTACTAAAAAAAATTGTTTTCCCGGGTAACCGACAGCAGTGGTGGATCCGTGTTAACATTGCTACCCCATTTCTGCCCTTATTTATTATACAATAAATGTTCCACCCTCTTAAAAATTGAGTAATACAACTTGTATATATGTATTATAATCAATGTATAAAAGTTTCAACTTTGTTAAAAAAATATATATATATATATATATATATTATATTATAGTAGTGTATTTCAATTAGTAAAATAAATAATACTTAAAACAAATATTACCTACATTGCTCTAAATACAATGGGCCTATGATTTACTAAATTAAATGTTTCTTCTTCTTTTCCTTTGCCTTCATCCTAACTATTTGAGGTCAACCATCTTTGTCTGAAACTTCCACTTGTCCTGATCCCTAAATCACTTTCGCATACACCCCTCCCCTATTCTTATATCATTCTTAATGCATTCAATTACCTCTTCCTCTTCCACCCTTTCCTTAGACGACTATTTTCATTGCAATTCTTACTGCTTCTAATTCATCTATCCTCGTAACATGCCAAAATTATCCCAGTCTATTTTTTCTTAATTTGTCCATTAACGAAGCTACACATAAGCTGTCTCTTATGTATTCATTCTTCATCATATCTTCTCTCGTCACTCCATTCATCCACCTAAGCATTCTCATCTCAATACTCTTATACTATTTTTTTTTTTTTTTTAATATTTACTGTCTAACACTCTGAATAACACAACATAATCAGTTCCATCACACTTTTGTAAAAGTTACCTTTAAATCTCATTAGAATTGCCTTGTCACATAAATAAAACTGATGCTTCACTCTACTCTTTATCCAACCACATTTAAACCTATATTTCACATACTCGTTAAAGCCACCTGCTAACTTTACTTTTCTTACCACCCTTTTAACTTCCTAGCACAGTCTTTTATACTCTACCTAATTATCTCACTCTTTCTGCTGTCATAGCTTAATTTTTTTTACTTACTAGTATAATTCTTTGAACTTCTTCATCCGACCACCAAGTTTCCTTGTTCTCTAGTATACTATTCATATTCTCACAAACTATCTCATTTGCGGTACTTTTAATATTAGTTGAAATCCTTTCCCACACCTTGTTTATATTTCCTTCAAGATTCCATTTCATTGTCTTTCATTAATTTTTACTTCTAAATCCTCTACTTGTTTCTTTCTATGTTATTTTATTTAACTAAATTAAATGTTCAGAAAAAAATACCATTGAGCAGCAAAGTTTTAGTACATGAGCTTGGACCATCATTAGAGTAAAATAGTTCACACTAAAAAAAGTGAAATTGTCTCCAATAATATAATGAAATGCATATTATTACTCAATAATTAATTTTATAGTGATATTTAAAAAAAATATTTTCTCACCCATAATTTGCACTTGGTTAGGATAAAACATATTATATCTCATGTCCGTTTCTGGTGAGTTAACTAAAATAACTCGCATGCTATATTTTTCATCATTAAGTTCTTCTAATTCACTTGCTAACACAAAACCAGCTTTCATTGCCCAAACCTAACAAAAAAAATGTAAGCATTTCAATTTAACAATACAATATAATATTTTATAGTATAATACACAACATTATCTTACTTGGGATTTAGAATATGACAAATGATACTTTGAACTTTTATGAAAATATATAATGCAATTTTTAGCCCAATCCATAGGAGAATCAATTATACCTCGTCTGACACGCCAAGCAGTCAAAGGAGATGGTTCACCAGTTATATCAAAAGGCATAAAATCATTCTTAAACAAATTAGACAGCATTAAAAATATTGTTTAAAATAGCAAAATTATGTAGTATATAGATACCTCTGGAAGTAATGTCTTTGAATTTAAAGACTGTTGTACCCATTCTAAATTAACAATAAAACAACCGGACAATAGAGCGTGCAAAAACTTGTGTGTGCGGTGATTACACAGATTATCAGTTTGAGTTTTTATAATGAAATGTGTGATCCTGGTATCCCATTTAAAGTTTACGCCGAATGTTAGTGTTTTAAACATACAAGTAAATTGTCTTATAATTAGCAGGTCATCATCAGACATCTTCGCGAATGCTATAACTAATTGTTTACTTTCTTTTATATGTGAACTGCCAGGATCACTGAGCATTTGAACAAAAACAATATAATAGGTAGTATTAATAAGTAGTAAATATACATTGCATACATTCGAGATGGTCAAAGAGGGGAAAGGGAGGTACATTTTTGCGAGTCACGGCAAAACAGTGAAAAATTGCTGATTTGTATTTAAAACTAAAAATTTTCAATAGGGCTTTTAAACCAGATTTTAAATAAACCATAAAGTAATGTAATTTTTAATTATTATTATTATTAAAAATATAATAATATAATATACCTCATCTTCTCCAATAACAAAATCATTTGACCACCACTATACATTAACATATTATTAATTATAATGTCACCTTTTAATAATATACTTACGAAACATGTTTTTCTAGTGGCATGTTTATTCCATCTTCATCAGACTTGTCTTTATCGCTACTTCTGTTGCTTACAGTAATTGATATTACTTTTACTTCATCACTCATATTGTGCACTTAAGGTAAACTAGATACAGATGAATATTATTTAAAGATTGATGGTGATGATTCTCTATTTCCTAATAGCTTAGCAACATCAAATATTGGTTTGTCTATAAATATTGTAAATTACATTAATTTTAATTTTATTTTTTAAATAAATACACATCATAAGTTATAACTTACATTTAAAAACAAATGTTATAGGTTAAAACACAAACCAGCAATAATAATTAATACCTAATACCTTTTAGAGACGTGGAACTTTTCATTAAAATAAACCCTACTTTTTTTAAATTGTAAATGTTATAATGAACATACAATCATTTAACATATTAATAATTATTTTGTTAGTTATTTATAATACAAAACACAAATAGGTCAAAAAAACCCAGAGCAAATAACGTAAATAAAAACACAGTACCTAAGAAGCTCGATGAATAATGAGAATAATGATGCCATGTCGCCACGATGATCAACACTTTTAACCCACAATCAGTGTTGATACAAAAGGAAAATTTACATTCCCCTTTGCAATATTATTCTTACTAATAAATCGGCAAATTTTATTTTCATAGTACTACAACGGATTATATAAAACCCATAGATATTGTGGCGGGTTTCGCGCCACATTTCTTCTTCCCGCTGCGCGTCGCTCGCGGCGGACGTCGGCCACGCCCCTCGCCATCGGCGTTCAACGGTCATCGTCCACAGCTCCGCTCGACTCGACGTCACGACCACTCGGCTCGCTCTCTTCGCACCGACGCCGTTCGGGAGACATTGTTTTCCGACTCCGAATAATTATTATGTATAATTGTTTTTCTTAACTAATGTTGTTTTAATTGTTGCGTGCTCGCCTTTACTTCCGTCAAAAGCCGTCAGCTGGCGATCACTTGTTTTATGTTTTTATGTTGTAAATAAACGTTTCTTTTTACCTTATCATAAACCTCGTGTCTTGGTGTAACCCACCAAATATATATATAATAAACTAGATTGCTAACTAGTGATAACATGAGAAGTTTCATTCCGCCAATAAATTTGAGATTGGAACTATATTATCAATTGATAATTTATAATCACACTATCATAATATTATTCACGAATACCTATTGGTTTTTGATTTTTTTTTTCACTTTTTTGAAATTTATCCTTGTTTTTTACATTTTGACTGTGATATTCCTGATGATGAATTTTTAATTCGAAACCAGTTGTATAATACACTTATCGTAATATTTCAGGCGATGCATTTATTAATTTTTCAATTTCTATATTTATAACTACACTAAATAATATTGTGATCTTAGTATAAATAGGATGAGAATTATGGAGATGTATGGTTACCATGGATTATGAATATAAAAAAAAATGTGTATATGTTAATATAACAAAAATTAACAAATAAATAATACATGATATATTAATTGGTGTACAATGTTGTTTTATTAAAATTAACAAGCAAGCAAACGACATAAACTTACAAAAATAACTTTGTTTTATAACATGTGATTTATTTTATTATTTTTACAATTATTAATCATTATTTTAATCATATTATTATTATAAAAGTACCTACTGATAATGAACGGTTTTTTTAAAAATATTTTTTGATTATTATTTACTGATGTAAAAAAAAAATTACCGTTTTAATAAAATGTAAAACAACTATATTTAAGATGTAAAACTAAAAATTGTTGAATTGACATTATGATTAACATTACAATTGACAATATAAAACAAATTTGTTATCATTATAAATAATAACTGATAAGACGTTCGGCCTCGATTTAAATGGTGGATGTTGATTTCAACGAAATATATAGGCTAGCTAGCAATCTAGTTTATTATATATATATATATATACATCTATGATAAAACCAGACCAGACAGTAAAAAAAAGGTTTATATTTCTAATGAAATACACGGTTCTTATCAGTAATTGCTTACCTGGAACAAACTACACAGTTACCTTATTATTATTATTAGAGATGGCTATTTTAAAATATATATACCTATTCTCTTTTTCAAATAAGAACGCACCGGGCGGCAGACGAGAACTGGTCGAAACTCGCGCACGTCCACCCCACTCCCGACAGTTTCAGCCATATTATATACGTAATGATTTGTATTCACACAACATTTATTGGCCGTTATTACGTGTAAAACGTTATCTGCTGGTTTTTTACATGCACTCGGTATAATGCGGTAGATAATTCAACTCTCTGTTTGCACGGCGACGTCGATAGTAGCCTACCGATGGCAACCAATCAGAAAATAATTACTTATTAGTACAGCCACCGTTTTATAAATAATTTAATATATACTTGTAAGCAACTATTGCTTATGAAAAAACGATTCCGAGCGGAGTTTATTTGATAGAGATGCTTTATCAATAATATATTAAAAGTAATTTTTCAATTTTCTCAAGTTTTCTTCACAAATATGGATAACCAAAAAATAAACAGGAAATATAAGAAATGTAGCTATTAATTATCATATATTACGGCTTTCTTTTTTTCTGTGAACAATTTTTCTACCAGAAATTTCGCTCCAACTTTTAATAATAGCAATTTTTCTGAAAAGAAATTTCACTAAGGAGGTACTTTAGAGAGGTCATTTTTCGATTTTATCAGGAGTTTTCCCAGCAAATGTGTAAAACTGGAAAAAACGTAGAAAAATTGGTACAACATTAAAATAATATTATAAAAGAAAATATATAATGCCTATTTAATTATTTTATTATAATATGACATATATATATTGTTGACAAAGTATTACTATCAATTAAAATGCGTTCAAAATCGTTTTTTCGTTAGCAATGGTTTATCGTTGATTACTAATATACATTAAATTACCTTTAACAGTTGCTGCACCCATCTCTATTATCCTAAGACGGTTTTTTTATACTGTGTACAAAAATTCTACTAGAAATCTTGTTTCTATTTACAATAATAGCAATATTTCTGAAAGGAAATCTGTTTGGGATGGTACGTTAATAAGGAAGTAATTTTTTGATTTTATAATAAAATTTATTTTCCAATAAATGGAAAAAATATGGTAAAAACCGCTAAAAACGGGAAAACAAGTACAATATTAAACAAACATTATTATACAAAATATATAATACACATATATATTGTTGATTAAGTACCCGCTATGTAGGTTACAAAACATTGTAGCGATGTACAATTTAAGTTTCAATGGTAACATCGCACTGCAACATTTCCAAAACATCGTGTTTAACAGTTTAATTTTACCACTATGTGAAGTTTATTTATGAACATCCCAAAACCGTTGACATATAATAATATGTCAATATCTTTCAAACATGTTTTTGTAACATTACAACAGCGTAGTGATATGATGGAAAACGAATTATATTTTTAATAATAATATAGTAACAAATGAATTAAATTATTATTTATAAATAGACAAAGATAATGGTTTTTATATTTTATATATATCTCACGACTGTCGCTAAAATTACTTCGGTTCGCTAACCCACTAGTTCACCACAGATAATATTTTTAACATAATATTGCATTTTGAATTACAATAGAAGCGCATACTTATGTTTGCAATAAATCACTATTGTAAATTATTGTTTGTGTTTTATCCGTCCGTACGTTGAATTTTTTTTTTTTGTCATTGTTACTTGTTAGATAATCTTGTTAAAGTATAATATTAATAGTTTATATATTATACGATTATATATTTAAAAGTAATAAGTAATAGGTAAATATTTACCTACCTACACTTATAATAGGTATATATAGATGTTGTGTATTGTAGGAGAGGTGTTGACAACATATTGTTAATTATTTGTACGTACCTACCTAAGTACCTATAGTATTTTAAAAACTTAAATTGGTTAGTAGTGTATTTTATAAATAAGAAAATTATTTTATTTAGATAATATGTATAGATAGGTATTATAGGTATCTACTAATACAACTCGCTTTAATTAAATAAGTATTAAAAAAATAAAAATAAATAGCCAATAGGTAGGAATTATCTGCTATTCAGAATTAATTCAGTTTGAAGTTTAAAGTCCCCAAAACAAGTTAGCAATTTTGTGGGGTAACTATATATTATGCATAATATTTTAAAATTAAATTGAAAACTTAAATACCAATAAAACGATCATAATTTTTAATATTTAGGTAGTCTAGTGGTTAGAGAGTTAGGCAGTTAGGTAGTTAGGTTAAAGGATCTCAGGTTCGAAATCTTGCGGCGACTTCTGTAGCATGTCCGTTTTTTACATGTTTATTTCTCGTATTTTTTATTATTGTTATACATTTATGTTGAAAATGACGTCTATGTAACATCTAGTATTAGTAAGATACATGTTACTAGGAAGTTATTTATAACATCAGATAGCAGTTGTTACGATGTTATTGAGGTGTTAGAAAACGTTACATTTACGCTAATGAAACATAAATGCGACGTTAGCGGTACCGATTACATTACTTTAACGTAAAAACAAAAATAAATGCAATATTACATGTTGATTTGAAACTTCCCTGAAATGTTTCTGTAACATATTATTGCATAGTGGGTAACACTATCAACTGAACTTCGTTCAGAATCGTTTTTTACGTTAGTATTTGTTAATCATTGCGTACAGATATAATCTAACATAAGTACATTAAATTTCCTCTCCGCTACCTTCCCACTTCTCATTTACAACAGTAGCTCACCCACGTGCAAAATATGTCCTTCTTTTAGATTCTGAGTGAAGTAAAGAAGCTTATGGTTTTACTAAAATATTTTTTTTACTGTGAACAACTTTTCTACCAGAGATCTTGTTCCGATTTTTAAGTGTAGCACCTTTTCTGAAAGGGCATCTGTGTATAAAGAGGTTATTTTTTCCTGGGAGTTTTCATAGAAAATGTGAAAAAACCGTAGGAAAAACAGGAAAATCGGTGCAATAAACAAATATTATTACAGTATATATGTTATGTCTATTTAATCATTTAACCATAATATGACATATATATTGTTGACAAAACATCACTGTCAACTGAACTTCCCTCAGAATCTTTTTTTTTTTTTTAGCTTTTATAGCATTTAGGGCTTTCGCTGCTTCTCTTATTTGATGCCATCTATCCTTATCTACATTTTTCTAATTTTGATTCTGGTGCAAATTTTTGAGGTCTAATTTGACTATGCCTATCCATTTCTCGTGATCGTCCTCTAGGTCTTTTCCCATTATTAGTGCTCGTCATTATATTTTTTATTATACCAGTAGATTTCCATGCATTCTCGTCTATTTCAAATGTTTGCCTCTCATAAATTACTTGATATTGGGCTTTGGGTATACATTTGGTAAACTTTTTCATTGGTTCTCATTCTGTGTTCCCTATTTCCTACAACAGGGCCATAGATATGTCTTAGAATTTTCCTTTCGAATATAAACAACTTCTCTTCATTGCCCTAAGTAACGTTAGATCACTTTTCGCACCCATAGAATAGAACTGGTCGTAGATAGTTTGAGTAAAGGGTGGATTTTATTTTATATATAGTAACTTTAATTTAAATAATTTTCCAAGCGCAAAATAACCCTTATTAGCGGCTGAAATCCTTAGCTTTATTTCATTATGCATATTATTTGCATTTTTTAAATTAGTTCCCAAATATTTAAAGTCGGTTACATGCTGAAAATTGTAATTGCCGATTTTTAGGTCCTGTACAATTCCAGCTCTTCTGTCTATGACCATATACTTGGTTTTAATTTGGTTAATTTTGAATCCCATTAGTTTAGCCGCCATGATAAGTTTAGCCGTTTCAGTGATAATTTCTTCACGTGAGCACCCAATCACCATGATATCATCCACACAGGCAAGTATCGTTTTATTTCTAAACAACTCCATTCCTCGATGACCTGGTAAAGATCTTATTACTTTCTCTAGAGCTACGTTGTGTGGAGTTGGAAACAGTGTACCACCTTATCTAAGCCCTGTTCCTATTTCAAAATTCAATGAAATTGTTTTTCTAAATTAAACTTTGCAAATGCTATTAGAATTACATACTTTTACCAGTTGAATTAATTTAACTGGAACTTCAAATTCTTTTAGAACCTTCCATAACTTTTCCCTTATAATACTATCATAATATACTTGTCTGAAGTCTACAAAACATATGTGTAATTCTTTTCCGAATTCGTAATATTTTTCCAATATCTGTCTAATTAGTAAATATGTTGTCTGTTGTCGATTTATCTCTTATGAACTGGGTCTAATATTTTCCTATTATGACAATTAGTATATTTCTGTAGTCTATGTAGGACAAAAATTGAAAAAATTGTATAACACGTGGTAGGGAGTGCTATCCCACTATTGTTTTTAATGTCCATTGAGTCTCCTTTTTTATAAATCGAATTTGTTCGGAGTGATGTTTCCAGCTTCTTGAGCTCTATTTTTTTTGGGAGGGGGGCAGTCCTAGCCTTAGTATTGTCGTAGGGCCCATTTTCTATACTAAATGCGATGTAGAAATGATCACTCAATGAGACTTCATCAAGTACTCTCCATCCTTTAATTCTCTGAGGCAATGCTGCTGTCGCTATTGTAAGGTCAATAATTGATCCTGAGCGAAAAGTGTCTGTTTTTCCTTGGTTGCATAGAACGAGGCTAGTAAAATTAATTAGGTCTACCAGTGCTTTACCTTTCTTATCGTTTTGGAGAGTCCCAGTCTGTGTGTTTCGCATTGAAGTCTTCGAGTTCCTCATGCTAACTCAGAGTCTTTGTAGAAAATGTACGTAGTCCTGATGTGTTGAGTTCGGTGACCAATAGTTTGAGTACGTCCTTACTTATCTACAATCTAACATTTTTTTTTTTTCAATATGAATCGAGAGTGAAGAGTGGTACAGATCTTCCAATCATTTCAACCTCACCCCCACGCCACCCAATCTAACTTTTTTTTTATATGAAATCAAGGATGAGGGTGGAACCGACGTTAGTCTTTTCACCCCCCCCCCACCAACCTCATCGTTTATACATTTTCATAACACAGTATATATGGTGGTCGCGCACTGGGACAGTCCTCCAGTTTGCGTACCTCGTATCAACAATTGTACAGTTACGAGGAGCACTCCTCAGTTTTTGCCTACAATATACCTTAACTACGATATTTAGAAGCTGTTGTCTTCTTGTGCTCCGTTTTGCGGGCCGTCCATGACCGCCACCTTGGACATCTCATGCTGAGTTCCTCTTCTTGGGCCGGCTCTGCCTGCCATCTTGGATATCTCATGTAGATTGATGACGTTTTTATTGTTGAGGCCGTTGTCGTTCACGCTCCTTCTCTTCCTTGCGCTTCAGGAACGCCGTTATGAAGTTGGTGATAGCTTCCAAGTTGGCCTTTGAGTGCGGCATAACCTCCACTAAACTTTCCGGAGTTCAGTCCTCACCAATGGTTATACCTATATTCCATCGTTGTGTGTGAAAAGCGTCACACACAAACAATGTGTTCTCAGCGTCGTCCGATGTGGTATTCACAGAATGTGCATGTTGGAGATGCTAGTTTTACAAACCTGTGCAGGTAGGACGAGAAGCATCCATGCCCTGTGAGGGTCTGTACTAGGTGAAATTCTATCATACTGTGGTTTCTTTTATACCATTTATTGATGTCTGGAATCAACCGGTACGCCCATTTTCCGTTATCGGTCTGATCCCATCTCAATTGCCATGCCAGTATCAGTCTATCGTAAATGTCCAGCATGAGCCCTGATCTTAATTTGGCAACTTCTCTTAAGATTTTATTCAATACTCCATTTATCCCTGGCACTTTGTTCGCCTTTAATGAACTCACGGATTGTCTCAATTCCATATCTGTTGTAAGTGAGGGGCTTTCTCCTACTAGCCGGATCGTTGCGTCTCTCGGCTGATGTGTGGGACATAGGTGTTCTATTATACGAGGTGTGGCTATTAAATAACGAGACTGGTTACGAAAAAGTGTTTTATTATAAAAGTTATTCTACATTAAAATGCTCCCCTTCAATATACTCCCCCCCCTCACCACACACCGTTTCATTCGTTTCTTCCATTGCTCGAGGCAGTGCTGGAAGTCTGTTTTCGTAAGACCATTCAGGAGTTTCGCCGATTTTTGTTTCACCTCTTCCATCGACTCAAACCAGATTCCTTTTAAGACAGACTTTATCTTCGGAAACAAGTAAAAGTCGCAGGGTGCCAAGTCGGGTGAGTAAGACGCATGTTCGAGTACTGGAGTGTCTTAAGCGGCCAAATAACGCTTCACGCTTTATCCTGGTGCAAGATCCACGACTTGTTTTTCCATAATATCGACTGTTTCTTACGAACTCATTCACGCAATGTTACCAAAACTGTCAAATAGTAATGTTGGTTCACAGTTTAACCCTCTGGAACCCATTCAGTCATCACGATGCCGTTGATATCGAAGAAAACGGTTTTGAATTTGGATTACGACTGAATTGGATTCCGGTGCACTCTCGACCTTCAGAAAATAATTTATGCCACTCAAAAACATACGCCCGTGTTATAGCACTCAGTTGGAGTTTTTTTAGTTTAACGAGAAAATTTTACGTTAATCCGTTGCTCATGTTTTTCGTCACACATGGTTTTCGGCACGAGCAAAAAACACGTTCGTTTCAAACCACTACTGCACAAATACTATAATAATGACGAAAACGTGTTTTGGTACGTGCATAGATAAGATATCTAGATACCTAACGCATTATTCGTTTTTTTAACTACCTATCTAGGGCGCCCTCTAGGCGAGCAGTCTCGTTATTTAATAGCCACACCTCGTATTCTCTATCTTACCTGGTATATTTATACCTGATATAGTGGCATTCTTGCACAGCTTTCCTCTTACTAGTTTATATGGTTTACCCCACGGATCGGACTCCACAATGCGACAGAGCTCATGCTACGCGTTTTTTTTTGATTTTTTTATGGCTTTTGTCAGCTCAAGTTTTGCTAGTTTCAAGGCTTCTTTCTCTAGCACGCATGCGTCTCTACCTGTGCGCGTTCATCTTGGCGTATTCAAAGTTTACCCCCTTATTTAAAAATATTTTTATTACATAAAAACATGGATTTCGCCTTAATAAATCCACCCTTTCTAATTTAATTTCCATTAAACATTTTATTTTAGTGTATTTTTCAAAGGGTGAACAAACTGATGTTGTTTATACAGACTTTGAAAAAGCCTTCGATAGGATCAATCATAATATACTTAACCTCAAACTTAATAAAATTAGTTTTGCAGACTCTCTATTATCCTGGATCAATTCATTCTTATCCCAAAGAACTCAACTAGTCAAAATAAAAAACTACATATCTAATTCTATAATAGTCACTTCTGAAGTTTCTCAATGTGAACTCCACTCTTATTTAATCTGTTTATCAATGATATTGTTTTCTCCATCAATTACTCATATATATTATATATTTATCTGTGGATTGCCAGGTCTTGAGTGGCACTCTTTCCTGTCAGGTTTATTTGCAGGAATCTAATCATTGTGTATTTACTGTTGAGCCCTTCCTCGGTCCAGCTGCTTCAGCAGCCAATTCCGCATTGAACATGTCTACTTCTTCTTTGTTAACCTTGCATTCACGAGCGAAATGACCTTTGTCGCACTTATTGCATCTTCCTTTCCTGTCACTTCCGTTACAGTTTCGGGCCTCACGACCTTATCTCAAGCATCTATAGTAGTGTTTCTCAACCTTATTTAAGTTACCGCCCTTTTGAGTAGCAATCAATTTTTAATGCCGCTCTCCCCCTATGTGAGAATTCTATAATTAAAGGTATGGGGACCTCTTTATATAGATATAGAAAAGGAGTTATCCTTCACCCCCTGCGGGGGGGCGATATCGCCCCCGATGAGAACCACTGATCTACATCATCTCACTCGTCTTTTACGTAATCTGACCCTGCAATATACAACTTTTACTCGGACCCTGTTCCTCTTCTCCGCTTCGACCGTAGCGTGTATAGGGATTAGGACTATACCGGCCTAGATCCCACCAAAAGTGCTTCTCAGGTTAATAATATTTACCTCGTTCACGTTGAGCACTATTTCCTTGGCGATGTCTTCAGCTAATTCCTCTTTGGTCGTCTATATTATAATATATATGAACGCTCATATTGTAAATATCATTACACATTGTATATATAATAATAAACGTTAAAAAAACAATATTGTGTTTTATTGTTCTCTGATGATGGGTTTCCGTACTTATTGTTGACTTAATAATACTCTTAGATAATTTTTCAATATGAACCAAGAAAAAATGTACAAAATTTTATTTTCAATTAAAGAAATAAAATCAAAGCAAAGTAAAATGATCAACATAGTACTCTCAAAACCGATTTTGTCAAACAATTATTTTGAGTATATTAATTCAATTTTTGTTAAATATCCTATTGTAATTTTTATTTTCCGTCGACCAAGTTATAAAATTCTTCTTGTTGTCTAAATAATCAATTATTAGATAGGTACCTACCTAAACTTTTTTCAGCTCAATAACTTCAAAAATGCAATTATTGACCTTGTTATTTCTAATTTTTGTCTTGTTAAGGTTGATGAAATAGATAGCCCTATTGTCCCTGTTGATTTGTTACATATTAATTTAAATATGTTGTAAATACCTATTCGTATAATGATAATCTAATACCTCATATTGAATATCTAAATTAGAAAGCTGTAGCTATATTTCAATTTTTAACTACCTTTTTTTTTTTCATGGCGTGGCAGAGGGGGCACATCACCCGATGGAGCTGTCCTTCCCTCTACCTCCACATCGTTTATTGAAAAACAGCATACATACAATATAACAAACGTACAATACTTAGACAGACACAATTTCGATGCTACAATTTATCGACTTCAGCGTACACTAAAAATGCTTAATTAGGTCGACTTGGTCCTCACGGGTATACGTTGCTTAAGTCTCGGTGGGGAAGGACCCTGCTCGTCGCTCTGGATACTTCTTACCAATCAGTGAATCCTCTTACATGCCAGTGACGACAGGTAAAAGTTACCTGTCGTCATTGGCTGTTCGCCCACCCTGTGTCGCAATAATATGAATGGTGTCGGTGCCCGGTGGCACCTCTAACGACCTCAAGTTTGAAGCGCTAACATTCACATGTAAGTCTTTTCGAATTCGAGGGTCAAAGATTTAACCGTTTCAAGCCATAGCTTCAGACAAGAATACTAGTTACTCCTTATTGGACTAGTTTAGGCATTGCCTAGCGTCCGCCTTTCGTCCAATCATCTGTCGCAATCGAAGAATGCATGCTCTGCGTCATCTATTTCTGTCTGATAGTCAATACAAATAGGTTCCTCAATTTTATGAAATCTATGTAGGTACTCGCCGAAGCAGCCGTGGCCGGTAAGAGCCTGTGTAAGGTGGAAATACACGTAGCCAAACCTATTTCATGTCCATCTCCTTATGTCCCTGATTAGCATCTAGGGCTTCAGGACGAGACGCCTCGTACGTTGCCTCCTATTTCCATTTGGAGTAAGTCGTTGTACATCAGGTTCCAAAGGAGTGGTCCGAGCATCGACCCCTGAGGAACGCCGCATGATATGGCCTTGCATTCGTTGGTCCTGTACAAAAGCGTTATTTGACTTAGGTAACTAAGTATCATTTCTATTAATTATTCCGGTAAGCCTTTAGTACATGCTTCAATCGTATATTACTTTGCCGTATTGAAAGTGTTGGCAGCGTCCAGGGCTACCACCATGTAAAGTTCCCTCCTGTAGTATAGTCCGGTTGACGCCACTTCCACCACCTCCATGACTTCCTGAATCGCTTCCTCCGTTGACCGTCCTTTCCTGAACCAAAACTGCTTAGCGCTAAGGCTGTTCTTGCCTGCAAGTGGTGTTTAATACACAACTTGATTACGCGCTCGAACAGTTTTCCAATTGTATTTAATAGACATATTGGTCTATAAGCCGAAGTACTTTCCAGCAGCTTGTCGCCTTTGCGTAATAGTACCAGTTTAGCCACTTTCCACGGCTTCGGAAACGTGCTCTGTCAGAGACACGTATTAAATAGGTCTATAAATACCTCAGTCCTGTACGCTGCAATATATATGATTACCCTGTCCAGGATCCCATCGGGACCGGATGCCTAGTCAATTGGTAATTTCTGGCTGATCTCCAATCAGCCGGAAATCAGCCTAATTTTCGTGGTCGATATCCCCGGGAACTAGAGTTCCGTGGGTCCTAGCGGCCATGTTAATCCTGCTACCAATTGATGGAAATAATTTTAAACTACATAGGTTCTATAAATTAGTTTACTATATTTCAATGCAACAATATTAATGATAATTTAAATTTATTTTACTCATAATCAGTTAATTAATTATATTCCTAAGTTATTAAATTTACAAGCAAAATTTTCCGTTTAGTTTAGTAGTGTTAAAGTTAGCAATAAAAAGGAAAAATTGTGCGCATCTTAAAATTATAAAATATATAACTTACCTACTAATAATTGATTTCATTAAGAAATACTAATGCTTAATAATAAATAATTATAAATGTTATACTGATTATGTTCAACTTTCATTTAAAAATAATCCAAACATTTTTTATAAGTTTTATAACTCACAAAAATTAATTAATAAATTACAATAAAAAATGTCATATTTTAATACCAATGATAATATTATTGATTTATTTAAATCATATTTTTCGTCTGTGAAATAAATATTTTCAAACGTTTAACTCTTTCACTAGTCTTATGGACCCAATTAGTGAAGTCTTTTTCATTAATATTGGTATAATTAGTGAACTATGATCTATTAATTTATACTCTTCACCTGGTAGGTGCTGACGGTATTTCAAGGAATGTTTTTGTATTAAACCCGGTGATTTAGATTTTGTTTTAACTATCATTACAATTTGGAGTATTCCCTGATAAATGGAAAACTTTGTCTATATATAAGCTTTTTCAACAATGTGCGTTTTTACAATAACTAAAGAACCAATTTTTCCTCATTATCTTAAATATTAATGCAATATCAAAAATGACTTTTCTCAAGTATCAAATAAAAGCAAAATGCAAAAAAAAAAAAAAAAAGAAATGTCACTTGTTAGTTTTGATTGAAGCAAGATTTTTCGGAAAAAAAATCAGACAGAAAAAAATAAAAATTGACATACTTCACATAATGGATGGCTCACTGATGTATGCCCATCTATTTTTTCAGTGAACCATTTTCTACCAAAAATTTTATTCTTGCTTTTATGTGTAACACTCTTTCTGAAGGGGAATTTTTCTGAGATGGTAACATTAGGGAGGCAATTTTTTTTTATTAATTATCTTAACATTTTTGACAAGATTGCTATTGTTAAGGATATAAGGAAAATAAAAATTATCTTTTCATAATAATCATCATTATTAATTTATTATTATATACTATTACTACAATATTTTTATTAAAATAAATAATACTAAGCCTTAATGAAAGTAGAGGTGTGAAAACCTAATAACTTATATTTATCACATCTAACAAAAAAATTAGAATAATTAAGACAATTAAAAGGTTTAAAAGCAAAAATTGTTTTAAATTTTAATAGATAAGATTATCTTAATTATAATATAATAATTAATTATTTGTTTTACATAATATTATAAATGTATAAACACACTTTATACAATTATATTGAGAAATTCTGTGATTAGACATTCGTACACTTATTTCAACAAGATTAGGTCATATATTTAGTTAAATTTATTTGGTTACAAAAAAAAAAAAAAAAATCATAGTACCCGAAAAAGACTAATTTAAAATAATATTAAATGATTGTTATCACTCTATATTACATTTTCGAATGACCCTCCCATTTTAATTGTGAGACTTTAAAGACAATACAGGTATCAAAAAGTTGCAATTTTTATGATATAGATGTCATGTTCCATACAAATTCTGCAACCTTTCGAGTGGTATAATAATTGAATAGCAGTTTTTTTTTTATAGTTGTATTATTTAGTAAGGTTAAACAATATTTGTAAAACATGTAATAATATAAAGTTGACATATTATTTTGAAATAAATAAGCTAATACCTAATTTGGATAACAAGTTATCTACTATGCTACTAATAATAAATCGAAAAATTGTTATAAATGATATAAATATTATTACATCAACTTAAATTAAATATGTAAGGACATGTTCTAATCATGTACTCAATATGCATATTAAATTATATAGGTAGGTACATTTAAATTATATTTATAAATTATTATTCTCAAATTAATAATTTTTTATTTTCACAAAGTTGAAAAAAAAAAACATGATAAGATAGCAAAATAATTAAAATAAATTGTACAATAAGGATTAAAAAACTTGTTTGAAAAAAAAATTTCTTACATTTTCTAGGTTCTTGTAAAAATTATTATTATTATTTTTACTTAAACTAATAGATTCAAAATTTCAATATCTTTTGAAGTTTTATGATTTATGAATGGCTGAAATCATGAACATAGGTATATTCCTATAATTTAGCAATATTTTTATTTAAACTTATTAAATAAATGTATAATTATTTTACTAATACTTAGGTACCTAAACATATACGTTTATAAAATATTTTATCTAGCTAAATATTTAAATTTCATAATTTATTAATTGAGAATTTTAAAAAAAATAAAATAAAAAAATCTAATCTAATATGGTTATGTGAGACACCTAGATACAGTATATTGAACCAATATTATATTTTTATAAATTACTAATATATTATAACTAATATTACTTCTTAATGTCGATCTCGCCTTTTTTTATTTTTATTATTTTTTTTTTTCCATAATTCCTCAAACATGCTTATTGTAAAAAGTATTTACAGATTGTATGTGTTATAATTAAAATTTAAAAAAAAAAAAAAAAAAATATTATTATACAATTTAGTAAAGCTAAGTAATAAGTATTAGAATATATGGAGCAACAATATGTATATTCTTCCATTCATCCACACTAAATATTTAAAAAAATTTTAAACTACATTTTTTTTTAATATCGAAGGTAGTTAATATACATTTTGTTTAATATTAATTATTATAAAATTGATGAAATAAATTAAATTAACTTAACTTAAAATTTGTTCTACAATCTAAAAAAAAAATGAACACTTAATTAACAACTATGTGACGATATTAAAAGATAAGAAAAAAAAACGTGCATATTTAAAAAATAAATAGTTATAATTAGTATATATGTTAAAATTAAGGCTAAGACCTTATTAATATTCTTTAATAATATAGTAGTTTTAATGAACCATTTATTTTTAAAAAACACATTTTTAAGACATATTTAATGGTTATATGCTAGATACATTATTAATACCAATGTTATTTTCTGTTTATTTTAATCATTATGGACTTAAATACTTGAGAATTTAAAGAGTTATGAATATTCTATTACATTACTGTTTGTGTAGAACTGCAGGACCTATTTCTTAATGTATCAATAATATTTGATGAATATTAATTAATCATCTAACTGAAACAAAGAGGCTTCCATATCTGTATTAGCTAGCAAAGTTCTATTTAATTTTAAAACTTGGTATTTAGATTCAAATAATACAAACCCATATCTAAACAAACACTCTAAAAACCAGTCTATATAAATAGTAACAGCTTTATATTCAGTCAGCCATTCTAAATAATAAAAAAAAAAAGTTAAAATAAATAACTTGAATAAAATAATAATTTATCTCATAAAGAAATTAAACCTATATTAAATAACTCTGGTATTGATATTTACACACTATTTAGTATTTAGTATTTTAAGCATACAATTCCAATTTTTCTTGTGTTATACACAAAAAACCAACAAATATATACTATATTTTTTGTATGACAAAATTCATTTGAAAAAAAAAAACAAACAAACGAAATACAAATTTGAATCCACTTATGCAATTAGGAGTAACATGTTAACTGTAAAAGTCATTAAAAGTATCATAAAAAGATTCTTTTTTTTTTTTTTTTTAATCAGTAAATTATAATATTTTAGTGCTCGTGATTTTATATTATTTAAAATATTGATTGTACTGTTTACTTAGTAAATAGTAAGTATAATAGATGTCTACATCAAAATTGTTTTTATACATCGTGGAAAATGGTCAGTGGACTGACATATATACAGAAGTTCCCAAAGTATAGGTCGGGAAAGTTCAAAAGTGGGTCTTGATTATATTTTTAGTGGGTGGCATTATATATTTAAATAATACATTTTTTAGATTTTGAGTGGAGTGAAGAATGTATTGGTTTAACAATTGTTTTTATTTTTTATCCATGAACAACTTTTTACTAGGAATTTTGCTCCGATTTACAAGCACTTTATAGCACTTTATCTGAAAGGAAATCGGACTGAAGAGGTACATTAGAAAGGTTTTTTTGGGATTTTCCAAGAGTTTTCTCAATATATGATAAAACAGGAAAAACTAATAAAAACGGGAAAATGTATGAAACGTAGGTATTATTTTAAAAAAAAAATATTATGGTATTTTTTTACATGAAAACAACTTTTAGACCAGCAAATTGGACTATACTTGTAAATGAGAATATGCCAATGAACAAATTTCATGAATCATCCAAAAATGAAAAATAAACCAAAAAAAAAGGGTCATTGATATTATTGTGGGTTGCCAAAATTTAAATTATTTCCAAAATGGATTATATCATAAAAAGTTTGGGAACCTCTGAGCTAAAGAATTTCTATATTTTAATACAATTTTAATTCATAATTAGTTAAATTATTTTGTCTTTATTTAGAAGAAATTATTTTTAAAATATATTATTTTTTATGATGCCAAATCTTATAACATATAACCTTCTAATACTTGACCTAGATTCAAATTAAGTATGTATTAACGTTGGAGTTATTTTAATAAGTAAATTCTCATTATTAAACTGCTCAGTAGTTAATTTATTTACTACATAATAATTAGAAACGTAATGAACTGTTCGATTTCGAATCGAACAATGATGTTCGATTCGGTTCAAAAATCTAACTGAAAATCGCAAATAATCAAACCGAACCAAATATCCAATAATTCAGTTTGAATATCATTTGATGCCTATTCAGCAGTCACCAAGATGATGTTCTGTGTGGTGGATAGAGCGGCCTTGTTACAAAAAAGAAAAATTCTATTTTTTTCACATTAATGAGTCTCATAATTGGTAAAGGTTGACCTTTTTAGTTTTTTGATGTTCAAGTTTGATAAAATATTTTAATATTTCAGTTCAGGTTTGAAAATTTTAGGGAAAGTTTGGTTGGGTTCGACTTAAAAAATCATGGTTCATAACATTTCTAATAATAATATACTATTTATAAATATTTTCTCACCAAACATTTGCGGTCTTTCAGGAAATATATATTCAACATCTTTTGATTCAGGTATATCAACTAAAATAACTTGCATTTTAAACTTCTTACTTTTAAAATCTGCCATATCATTAGCTAACATAAAACCAGCTTTCATTGCCCATACCTAACAAAAGAATTTAAACATTTCAATTTATCAATAAAATTATATATATTAATATTTGATAGAATACTTAAATTATCTTACAGGAGATTTTGAATACCCCACATCAAATTCTGTACTTCTGTGGAAATACAAAATACAATTTTTAGTCCAAATCATTGGCGATTCAATAATTCCTTGATTAAATCGCCAAACATTCAATGGAGATGGAACACCAGAAGTATCAAAAGGCATAAAATCATTCTTAAACAAATTAGATTATATTAATACAAATATTATTTTCAATAATAAAATGATGTACTATATAGGTTACCTCTGGAAGTATACGCTTTGTTCTCAAACACCCCAAAACCCATTCAAAATTAACAACATGACAACCTGACAATAGAGCGTACATAAACTTTAATGTACGGGGACAAACATTATTATCTAAAGTTTTTACAACTAGATGTGTTATACTGTCATCCCACTTTGTTTGTATATTAAGCGAACATACATTGAACAACCTACTCCACTTTCTTAAAGTAATTATATCATTTTCGGAAGATATATTTGAATAAGTCATTATAATTTTGTTATTTCCAGTACTAAAATAAAAATAAAATGTACATACATGAGGGTATCTACTAAACATTGCATTTGATTTAATTAAAAAATATATATAAAAATACACTTACTAAACATGTTTATCCGGAGTCCCATATATTACATCTTCATTAGATGTGTTATTTTTATCATTAACCTTGTTAATTTCAGTTAATGTTATTTCTTCATCACTGATGTAATCGCAGTACATACTAGATACAGAAGAATTATTTGAATAAATATCATTTGATGATAATTCTATATTTTTTAATTGCTCTGTAGTATAAAATATTGGTTTGGCCTGTAATTCATAATATACTAAATTAATATATTAATTTTTCTTATAACCATAGTGTTTTTTGTTGTTGAAGGTTTTGCTAATATCCATAATTCCTATATAAAATGTATGTTATAATTACAAATAAAAAAACATTATAAAATAGATTTTTTTCCCTGTGAATGAATAGTCATCTCTTATTATGTTGAATTAAAAACTTGTATTCCCTATATAATATATTATATGTTAATACAAAAAAACTTAATGTGCCTCAACCCCATTTAATTTAGTAGCAATAAGAATATTTTTCTCTAAATACAAGTTAAAAATTCATAATTATTTGAAAAATGTGTATAATTATAGTTTAATATAATAAGTATAACTAGAAATGATTATTGTTGTATATCAATTTTCATTTGAGTTTATATTAAAAAAAAATACCATTTTTTTGAATTTTTTTGAAGTTAATCCATTAGAACTTTCACATTTTGCTTTTTTATTTTTTTTGGCTCTATCCAATGTTATTCTTATTGGCGGTTTTTTAGAAGATCCAACTGTTGGCTCTTCAACTCTGTAATAAATAAGGCTAAATATGTTAATATGGGAACATAATTTCTTCATCCCAATATAATTAATACTTAAAACATGGCGCTTTATATTTTTATTTATTTATTTCATATGGTAAAATAAATATGTATGAGCATAAAGATACCATAAAATATAATATTAAAAAATCATATAAGATGACATATTTCACATGAAAAACTAAAATATTTTACCAGGATAAGCAAAAGCAGTTGGTAGTCAGAAAGTGAAGTCACCAAAACATGGGGAAGGGAGCAACAGTAATCACACAGCCAGATAACCAGCTTCTGAACTCCTAATGCTATTTTCTGATTTAATTGAGCAGTTTTTTTTTTTTTTATAGCTGAATTATTGTACAAGGAATTCATGATTGGCTTCAACATCAGAACTATTAAACCTCTGATACCACTTTATTAATTTAAAAATCCATTACAAAAATAAAATATTTAAGAACTGATACCATATGGTCTTTATTTTTCCATTATTGAAATTTGTTCAGTCAATCCCTTTAAATAAATTCCAATATACATAATTTTAAGTCAATTGGTTAAGTTTAACCCATGTCCCAAATTTTAAAAATAGGTTTTTTCAAAACATAATTTTTAAATTCGGAGTGAAGTGAAGAAGCTTATAGTTTTACAATAATGTTTATTATTTTTTTATCTATGAAAAAACTAGTTTACCAAAAGACTTCTTCAGAATTTTAAGTTTAGCACTTTTTCTAAAAAGAAAAATTGGTGTGTGGAGGTACTATAGGGAGGTAATTTTTCGATTTTCTCATCAAATATTAAAAACCAAAACAAAAATCAGGAAAATTTAAGAAATTTAGATATTAGTTAAAATATATTACAGCATTCTTTTTTCCTGTGAACAAATTTTTTACCAGCAATTTTGCTCCAATTTACAATGACAACAATTTTTCTGAAAGGAAATTTGATTAGGAAGGTAATTTTCTTTTTTCGTTTCTTTTTCTTAAGTTTTTCCAGCAAATGTGAAAAACATAGGAAAACTGGAAAAACCGGTACTACATTAAACAAATATAATTAAAGAAAATATTTAAAGACTATTTAATTATTTTACTATAAAATGACATATTGTTGACAAAGCATCATTATTAACTCCGCTCAGAATCGTTTTTTTCGTTGCTAACAGGCATACATTAAATTATTTATAACAGTGGATGCACCTGTTCCTATTATCCTAGGACTTTTTTTTGATATTAAATTGATATTTAATTATTTAAAAAAATTCCAAGTCTTAAAAGAAATAAAATCTTCTTTAGCTTTACCTAAAATATTTAATACTTCACAAACTTTTAAGTTTAAATGTTTTTTTACAATGCCATAATCTTCATTTATATAAATATTCCTATTTCAAATTTGTCTTAGTATTTAGTTTTTTTGCTTGAAGCCATTTTATTTTTTGTGCCTTTAGATATATTGTTGTAAAAAAATGTTAATCCAATTGTTTCAGTTGTCAAATATCAAAGATGATTGACAAATTTTTTTTAATGTTATTTCTGGCGATTTTGTTTATCTGCATTTGTAAATATTTTTCGCCAATTTCAAAATCCTGACAGGGAGTAAAATTGACTTTTGGAGAATTGAACTATGCTTTAACATATATGCGAATATTAAAAATACATACATTGATTACTAATGTTTTCTATTCTAATTTGTTTAAATTCAATTCTTCGTAAAAAATGAATGTCTTTAAATAATAAATTGCCTTTACCATTTAACAAGCATGATGAATTGGTCCTGGTGTTTAAAATAATATTTATCTATATGGTGTTCCACTCAAAAAAATTACAGTTAGTTCGAGTAATACATGATAATCTTTTCTATATTGTGTTTTAAAGAACTCATACAAAATGTTAAAACATATTAAAATTGTATTATTTAATTGTTCACTAACTTGACTATCATTATGTCTAAAGAGTTTTTAAAATCAAATGCCACACTCTGTGGCAAACCTAATAGGAAAAGCAAATGGAAAACAAATTCAAAAAAATAAAACTATCAACCGAAAAATGGGTAGACCCTCTAATGAATTTTACCCAACATGAGATCATGGTCACCAAAATACATATTGATCACACAAGACTTACCCATTCACACCTAATGTACAGGCAACCAGAACCCACGTGCGAAACCTGTTTCTGAGTACTCTCCGTGGAATATATTTTCTTAGAATGTCCCACTCATCAATCCGCTCGAACAAAATAAAAAATAAACCTCTCATCAATCAAAGAAACATTCAAACCCAAACAAGAATTAAGAATATTAAATTTCCTCAAAATAGAATACCTCACAGCATATATATAACTATGTATTTAATGTAATTTATGTATTTCATGTATTTAATAACACTCTAAATGTATAAAATCTAAATTATTGTAGGCTAATAAACTTCATATATGAAGCCTTCGTTTAAATTAAAAATAATAATAATAGTAATAATTTACTAAATTGCAGTAAAAGATTAAAAAAAATGTCTAATAACTATTTACCATTTACTATCAAAAGTAAATCATTGTAAAGCAGTAATAAAAAAAAAAAATGATTATTTCAAGAAAAACATGATTTTTTACTTTGTGGTATTTTGGACATGGATTAAACTTAACCAATTGATATAAAATTGTGTATACATATTAGAACAAACTTAGAGGGATCCAACTTGTAAAAAAAAAAAAATTGCCTATATGACTAGGGACCACCTTAATATAAAGGTAATCTACAATTTAAATCTCGAGTACAATACTTATTATTTAATTATCTCAAACAAAATAAAATTCTAATTGGCGTTTGGTATATTTCTTATATCAATAGATTATAGATGCATACCAGTGCATCTAGCACTGGACTTAAAAATTTAATCATTGATAATTAGTTAAATTAAACTTTATTTCTAAAATACAATACTGATCAATACCAATTTTTTGCCAAAAATATACCGCGAGACAATTGTGCGTGTGGATAATTCAAAGAAAATATTGAGTTATTGATTGTCAAAATATTATAGGCATATATCATATTGTTTATAATAGATCCCTGAAATTTAAATTTTCTAATACTTATTTTGTTTTTTTAATTAATTATAGACTTTTAAATTTAAGTTGGTTTATACATTTATGAATATTATTAGGTTAAGTATAATTATTTATTTTATTTTTATTAATTTTGTAAATAAAATATTTTAATATAACCTTGCAAATAAAACATTAATATTTATATAGAAATTAATTAATTGACTAATTAATTTCTTAAAACAGAGGGTGTAATTTTAGATAAAATCTATAAAATGAAATATATACAGAATGGTTCACAAAGCATGCCAAATTCATTTTTTTTTTTTGGTTAAATTTTGCAATAAATTCAAATTCTGATTTTTGAAATTTTTAAGTGTAGTTAAAGCTGATATTTTTGAATACCTAGATTTTTCACAATATTTAAGCAGGATCCTGTGGCGATATCAACTTTGGTTTTTCAAATGAGGACCTATATTAAAAATTCCATAAATAGATGTAGTATTACTTTAAATACATTTTGGTGTTAAAATTTTTTATTTTCGTTAACCAGACTATAAAATATTTCACTTTTAAGTTTAGGTAGCGAGAGAGTAATGGTTTATCATTTGTGTTTTGGCACCACGAGGCATTTTATTACTGCTCTACAATTCTCCTCCTATATAAACTTAAAAGTGAAATATCTTATTAACGCAACGGGTTGATGAAAATAAAAATTTTAACACCAAAATTTAATTAATATAATATTACATCTAGTTATGGAATATTTAATATAGGTTCTCATTAGAAAAATCAAAGTTGGTATCGCCACAGAATACTCATTCAATGTTGTGAAAAAACTAAGAATTCGAAAATATTAACTAAAATTAAAAATTTCAAAAATTAGAATTTAAATTTATGCAAAATTAAAAAAAAAAAAAAAAAAAAAATGGGGTGAGCACGCTTAGTGAATCACCCCATATCTATATAAGACATCTTATATTTTTACATAAAAATTGACATTGATGAACTATCGGTAAACAATGTATAGCCACAAACTATTATCATATACAATAAATTTGTACATAAACAGTTCACACAAAATATTTTTCACAAAAAAGTGTGATACTATTATATACTATCCAACTTAATACTATCAATCTTATTATGCAACAAATTATAACTAAATAATTACCGTTCTGTATTAAAATTCTCTTCCAACAATCCATACCTATTGAATTATAGATAAATTAAAAAATATTGTTAACAAAAAAATGTAATAAATAACTTACACGTTGGCATGTACTGCCCAAAGAAAATCTTCTATTTCAGTTATAATGCTTTTAATTTCAACCTTATGCATTATGCTTGTTGTTGAATTGTATAAAATATTACATGTTGGACAGAAGGGTTTCACTTTCTTAGAAACTTTACTAGTGGATGGTGTATTTCTAGTTGCCACCTCAATGCACATTTGACAGATTATATGATGACAAACAGAAATCACAACCCAATCTTTAGAAGGCTTGTTACTGAAATGTAAGAAATAAGATAAACAATATATTTTGGAATATATTCCATAACATAGAAACATATAAAATGGGATATAAAATTCTCAATTTATGCTATAATATTATCAAAACGACATCATTTTTATCCTGTTATGAATTGAAAAAGAATTTTAATTTCATTGAATACACTAAGTATTACCTTTATAGTTATTAAAAACATATTAGACATTTGTGTGTTTTTTTTTTTAATAGTATTTACTCTGCTAATTGAAAATTTAAAACTGAACTTTCTGTTTGGACTTAAGTACCTAATCGACTTTATTACTCAATTTTAAAAATCTTCATTAACATATTATTTCATAATATAGACTATTTATTAATTCAATATACGAGGGCTAATCAAAAAGTATCAAGACCGGTAGTATTATTCGGAAAAGGAGCATCGAAGAGCAGTAGGATTGGTATCACTTGCTTCTATGACTTTTTCTGAGTACATTTTTTTATTGCTTCTCTATAAAATTCTTTGGTTTGATTTCACTGATATTTTTATAAAATATATTTTTCGAGTTTGGCGGTTTCGTAATAAACCCAAAAGAAGAGTAACTCGACAGATTTGGAGATTTTAGAAAATTAGTCTGCATTTTTTTCCAGTTTCAGAGGGATGCAACATTTCATGGTTTTTGCCATTAAATATCAATTAAAAAACTGAAAATGTGCCCTCGAGTGGCAGCGAGTTCCGCTTCTTTTGGATTCATTACGAAATCGCCAAACGTGAAAAACAAATTTTAGAAAAATATCGTGAAATCAAAACGAAGAAGTTTATAGAGATTTTATACGAATAGATGTGCTCAGTATAAGTCATAGAAGCTAGGTTTACAAATCATTTTGCTCTTCAACGCTCAGTTTCCGAGTAATATTATCAGTCTCGATACTTTTTGATTAGCCCTCGTACATACCAACACATTCATACTCATAGTTATTACAGATCTTACACAAGGTCCAAAATGTTAGACCTTTACCTAAATTGTGTATCTACCTGCAACTTATTACAAACCAATATTTGTTGAAAGAACATAATGTAATATTAAAGTGATCAGGTAAATGATGAGGTAAATCATGTAGGTGAATTGCGTAATACTATTGCACCCTAAGTTAACGGGCCAATATATACTTTATAGTAGATATTTACTCCGCCAAAGAAAATAATAAATATATATATATACATCAAAATAAAACGTAATTTACAATTTTAAACCTAGGTATTTGTGTAATATAGGTACCTACCTATATCATTGTGTATAGGTATTCATAAAAACACTTAAATTTAAATTAAACACATTTACCTAATTACAATGTCATAAGGGATACATACCAATTTGAACATAACAGATCACTTATTAAAATCTTTTTCTTCAATGCTATAATGTTAAAGAAAACATCATCTTCCGCCTTCTCAAGAACGTGATCAGACATGTTTACTAGAATTGAATTCAAGGTAATATGTTAAAACCGACGGAGAACTGCAATATTAAATTCGGCTAGAAAAACAAACATTTAATATTTAAGTTTTAACATTTTTCATCTTCAAAAACTTACAGAAATCACTTGGAGAGAAACCAATGACTGTTGTGAAATGAACGAACACGTGAAGAATGAACAAAACCCGTTCCGATCTGATCGAATATCAGGGACTCAGAACAATAGTTCGTAAGTAGAAGCCATTGAAACATTGTGTTTGGCGCGCTACGTGCGGCAGCCGATTTCTGTCTAATCTTCTTATCAATGACGCTCAAGCCGCCATTTGGTAACGTTGGTACATTACATGGTACGTTGATATTCGCGAAAACATATTTTGCAACAGCGCAGTCTGTTGTATACGATAATATAGTTCTCAGAATGGCGGTTTATTTATAATAAATAGCATTTACAAAAGTTAACGTAACGGATTTTCAATTAAATGAAACATTCAATTTAATATTACAGACATATAATAAGTCTAATATTACCATTGATTTTACATCAGTGCTTATTGCTATTATTATTCAATATCCATATATTTAATAACGTAGAAATTTTATTGAGTTTTTTGTAGTAACGTTTTATGCTTTTTAATGTCTACGATTATTGTCAAACTGTTGCGGATGGCTGTTTTATTATTATTATTTATTATTTCTTTTAGTATTATAACATTATAATGAACATATCATCAATAATTATGATGATGTTAATCGTTTGAAACAAGAATACGTTTTTGGAGTCTCAGATCTATTTTCTAATCGCAATGGCTAAGTTTGTTGTAAGTATCAATGTACAATGTTAATTTGTTCGAAATTGTATTACCTATAAGTTTCCACATACCTACATCATTTTTATAAGATATAATTAAATTTAATACTAGGTCAAAATTAAATACTTATGTGTTTTGGTAGTTAATAATAAATTAAATGAATACTATTAATACCCACCTGTTGTATATAGACATATTATCGTATTCAAAATCACTGGTATAATGCATTATTTTAGAATTTTAATATGATTTATAATATTATTAATTATATCTTAATGTATTAAGAAGATATTACCCATACTGTCTCAGTCTAAGTAATGAACAACATAATATCTAAATTACATTATTTAAAGTATAAACTGTGGTACTTCAGCTATAATTGGTCTAAACATAAATAACAATATTTTCGACAGCTGTACATACATTTTTTTCTAAAAAATTGTCTTATGAAAATGTTATAGTTTTGTTAGTTTTCTTTTTTCTTTTTTGAATATTTGTAAATTTTTGTATGCCGATTTTTAAGAAAAAAACGATGTTCAGCCCTTGGAAATATTCCCTTCTTTAAAATTTGTTATTTGTGTTAAAACTTTAATTAAAATTCTAATTAATGTAATTTTACGAACTTTGACAGTAAATGAGGGTTAGTACTAAGGTTAGTAATACCTAGTGTACTCTTAAGTTTGTTAGATAAATTAAAAACTAAAATTCCTTATTATCTACCCAAGTAGTTTTTAGTTAATATACTAGACCCCTAAAATATTCATCTATAATATAATTATACGTTTTTAATATTAGGTAGATAAGATTAATGTGATCACAAATAATGAGTTATTAAAAATACCAATACTTGCATTAAAAGATAATTATGTTTTTTTTCTTTGTAATTGTATATATTTAATAAAAATCTTATAATTAATAGTAAAAAAATTTTTCTAGGTTGAATTTTCTCCTCCAGAAAAAATCAAATTTGAGCCAAATGATGTTATTGAGTCAGTTATCAATTATCGTATGGTATTAGCACCATTTCAAAAACAAACTCAAATAGAATTCAATAATGTCAAATTAAGGGAAATTTCTGTTAGGTTTTTAACATTTATCAATCCTCTGGATAAATTGAAACAGGTTATTCAATAGAAATACATATTTATATAATTTGGCATAGTTTTAGTTTAGTTCCCACACAATTTTTTGGGTTTTTTTTTTCAAAATGTGTGTTTTTGCGTGTTCATTAAAAATTAAAAAAAAAAATTGAATGAACTTGTTTGGAAGCTATGAGGGAAATCTTCATGAAGTTCGGATTTTTCATTTCATGTATTTCTTAGTTAAAATTTAACATTTTCAAATTTTTTTTTTTTTCAAAATTTGTATTTTTCAATACTTAATTGGTGTATTCAAAACTTACCTATCATACTAACTTTTTTAAAGTTTTTGAACATTATCCTTAAAAAATAGCATTTTTTGAGTAAATCCAAAATGTGGTCAAAAAAAGTTAATTTTTTTAATTATTATTATTATTTCTAGTTATTGATATTTTGATAAGTTTTTTTTTTTTTGGAGTTAGAATGAGTCTATCTGGTTTAGTTATAATTATAAATGTTCAAATGCGCAGTGTTTCGCTGCTCTCACTCGGATAATTTTAATTTTAATGTACACAAAAAACACCCCAGAAAATTGTATGGGAGCTAAACTAGAATTGTTCCTACAATTTAATTATATTATGATAATTTAAAATATATAATTTTTAGTTGGTTTTAACCCCTCCTGGTGATGGCTTTTGTTTTGGCGTTTACAAATTTACCGTGGAACCTTATTCACAATATGAACTCGCAATTACATGGCAGCCATCTGAATATGGGAATGTACGTAAATTAATTAAAATAGAACAAGTGGATAGTAATAGAAAGTATGATTTTGTTGTTTTGGGAAATTGCAATAGTCCTTTCTATAAACAATTTAAGGTAAATATAATTTTAAATTAATTCATCTACTTATTAATTAGTTTTTTAGATTCTGACCAGTGTAAGGAATATTAGTTTTACAATAATATTTATAATTTTTTTTTTTATCTGAAAAACTTTTCTACCAGCAATTTCGCTTTGATTTACAATGATAACACTTTTTCTGAAAGGAAATTTGACTAAGATCATACTTCTAGATAGGTCATTTTTTTGTTTTTCTCTACTATATTCATAATAAATGAAGAAAATATGAACAATATTAGACAAATATTATTAAAGACAATATATAATGCAAATACAATTATTTTACCAAAATATGACATATATATTATTGATAAAGTAACACTATTAACTGAATTCTGCTCAGAATCGTTTTTCATTAGAATTGGTTAATCATTGCGTCCAGCTATACATTAAATTTCCTCTTTACCTTCCCAATTTCTCACCTACAGCAGTGATCCACATGCAAAGTATGTCCGTTTTTTTTTTGATATTTTTATAATAATATTGATTTTGAAATATATTTATTATAAAATATACCTATTCAAATTCTCAAATATCAATTAAAAAAAATATTAATGACATGAAAAATTAAATAATTTACTTTTCCTTGGTTATATTCAATTTATATTGTGTTATTTAATAGGTTTTTAAAACCCAATCTTGTAAAACTGTAGTACTTATGCATTTTTTATACTTGATAATAATTGTCTAATACTATTAATTTTGTTTTTCTTTTCGCCTTGGCTATTATAAATATACCTAGTATTAACAAATTACTTTTTTTCAGGATGATAGCTTTACACATTCAAAATCAAAAAACACATATTTGGTTAATAAACAATTTATTTACGATAAACAAAATATATCACCAATTAAAAAAAAAGTTATTGATTGCAAGACAGAAAGAATTATTTCAGTTGAAAATCCTGAAAAAATACCAGAAACCTCTAGTACAGATACTTTGCAATCCATTAGAAGAGAAACCTTTATTGTCAGAGAAAAAGAAAATGTTCCATTAACTAAAAAAAATATATTAGGGCGAGATACTATCCTCACTAGTCCTGAACGCAGTATTAAACGTCCATATCAAACATGCCAAGATCATGTTTTTAATAATCATTTCAGCTTCAAAAGTCTAAACAAAAGTTCCAGTCCAATAAGTGACGATTCACTAGAAAAACCATTAGTAAAATTAAATGTTAACAAACCTCAACTTGATGACTTCTGCTTAACACCATTAAAAAGTACTGAAAACTTGGTTTCTCATATTGGTACTATACAGAAATCAAATAGTTTTTACGATCAGCTGAATATTGATATTACTGACGAATCATTTGCTTCATCATCATTTAAAATAGAAGATTCCTTGGTCACAGATGTAGCGTATATAACAAAAAACAGAACATCACCCGAAGTTTTTATGAATTTTTGCAGTAATTGTATAGAAACACCTGAGAATGGATTTAGTAATGCCAGTACGAATCTTGTGTTTGATACTATCAATTAAGAATCATTTGTTCCATGAGCTTCATCTAAAAATAATAATTAGCAATCTAATTTCCTACAAAGACTAAATTAACAGTGTTTAAAGCTGATGATTATCGTACAAATAAATTTATTATAATAGATGCAATACAAATGATTTTGTATTGAAAGTTTCTTGCTCAAAATTAATACTTCTAATTTTTTGTTTAAATAATAATTCATTTTTTTATTTATTTATTTGAATTATTTATATATGTGTGTGTGTATTATATTGACTATTCTTATATATTACAGCAGTTACTTTGAGTGGTACAAAATCAAGAAGACCATCATGTACCATTAAAAACTCCTATTACAAATGTAGTTCAACATTACCAACTATATCTCAGAATAAATTAAAACAATGCAGCAGTAAGTAAATTGTATACATTATGTTATGGTTCAATGATTATGGGTGTGTGATTGCTTAAATCCAATTTATAAAATGATATATTTATGTTATAGCCTATCCTTTATTGATAATATGTTTTTGCATATTTTTAAAATAAAAAACTTATTGAACTTAATTTCATATTCTGTTTAAGATTTAAGTCCACAGACAACACGCATTATTAATGCTCCAAAACTTGATAAATATGATGAATATCTTAAGAGCTTGACAAATCCAGATTTATTGTATCACAATAATGCTAAAGATCCATTTTTAAATATGTAAGTAAAAATTATTTAATATATTGTGAAAGTATCCCAATGATAAAAAAAAAATCAAATAATAAGTAGCTAAAGCAAAACAAAATAATAGAATCAATTTATTCCTTGCTGCTCTCAGAATCTAAAATTATGGTAAATTAATTTAGAAAAAGTTAAAACATACATAAATGGTTTTAGAACTAAACAATTTAGTTTTTAGTACTTACACTAAAAAGTTTTCTAACAGTCAATATATAATCATTAGGTTGAATTTAGGTAAAAAATACATTTTCTGTTCTGTACATGAACTGTTTTATATAATTCAGTTAGAACTATTATCATAATGAGTTGTTTATTTTAAGTATATTTATTTTCAATTATTAAACTCATTAATTTACATACAGGTCTCAGTACTATGAAACAGAATGGCTGAACCGCCAAGAATCTGACATGATTCGTTGGTTAAATGCATTACTCACACCAACAGACAAACTGGTCGATGAAGAACAATCAGGTGACTTGGAGCAAGCAGCCATGGCTTGGGTAGAAGTATCAAAAACTAGTCATAAAAATAAACCTATGCAATTGGCTACCCAAAAAGATCTGTTTGCAGCACAAATTTATAGACAGTCACCACAACAGTGGAGCGCATTGCGCAAAGCCACGACAAATCTTATATTATCTACAAATGTATCATCTGTTCTATCAAAATTGACTGTATCAATTGAAAAAGATCTTATATCTGTACGAGATGATCGCCAAATACATTTAGACTTGAGTAAGAATATTAATTTTAGTTAAAATTTGTGTAATCAAGCATAACATAATTTCCTTTTTAGGTTTAAAACGAAAAATTATTGATCTGTTTAAATGTTACAATTCATTATGGTTTCGAATTGGGTTGGAAGCTATATATGGTCAAATTGTACATTTGAAATCTGGAAATCTGAAATCTAATGATTTAGATGGTGTTGGCTGGTTTGTTCGGAAAAATCTGTTTAGTAATGATTATGTGAAAAAAAAGTTCATCAAGACTACTGTACTACAAGTGAACTTACCTTCCTATAATGTAAGAATTTAGAATTCATATCGGTTTAAAAATAAAAACATAGCTACCAAATTATTCTTTGGTAGGTATAATTACTATTAATTAACTTAAAATGTTTCAATAAAACTATACAATTTTGAATTTAATCCAATGCTTTTATAAAGCTCTAATTATAATTGAGAGTTGAAGAATTCCTTTACACTTAAAAATATATCCATCAATCTGATAACGGTATTATTTTTTTCACTATTTCTTACCATTCTGAGTATTAGTAAGTATAGATATTAGCCGATATTGTATATCATCGAATATTGATGATATTAGAATATTGGATATCAAGTTATTTACAAAAGCGATATTTGATCCAATGTTTTCTTATAATAAAATATCTTCTCAATATTTGGAAAAGTGTTAACCTTATCAAATTATTTTTTTGTTTTAATATATAAAGAAATAATTAATTCTAAAATTTTCTCACAAAGTCATTATTTTTGGAATGAAATGATTACCTCCTTTAACTTAAAATAGGTACCTATATTAAAAATTCCATATAGATGGAATATGAGTTTAAATATATTTTGATGACATTTTTAATTTCTGTCAAACCATTGATGAGATATCCCACTTTTAAATTTGGGTAAGGAGTAGTGGAGTATCATTTGTGTGGTGGCCTGATGTACAGCGTTTTAAATTTTTAATAGAGTTCTACTATTTTCCCCCTACCCAAACTTAAGTAAACTTAAAAGTATAATCTTGTCAATGGGTTAATGGAAATCAAAAATGTCAATGTTAAAATATATTTAATTTATACTCTGTATATTAATGGCATTTTTAATATAGGTTGCTATTTAAAATGTATAAGTAGGTTTATCCCCGATAATAAGGATTACAATAAATAATGTAACATTTTAGAGCCACTTGTTTCTTAAATTGTGAAAAAAATTAATAAATTCTAAAATGTCACAATGATTATTCAATCTTTAACCTAAAAACCATCCTTGTTAAAATTACAGTTGTCTTAAATTATATTACTTTATAAAAAGTGTGTTTTGGGTTATGTTCAGTTTTAACTTAAATGTCTGATTCGTTTAAGAAAAAGTAATATTTAAAAATTAAAAATATTATTTATTTTACATCATGTTATTTAGTTAAAAAAAATTTTTTTTATATAGATAGCAATGAAAAAGTTTATTTTGAAAAAAATATTGATGCTCATATTTTTCTTAGACCGTGCTAAAGAACAACAATTAATTAGACACAATCCATGCTTGTTTCAAACTAATTCACCATATAAAGTAAGTAATTTTCATAATCAATAAAATCAGTTGCATTAAAAATTAATATATATTTGATATAATATATGTTTACTAGGATGGACCAAAACAAACTTTTAATTTGATTTCTTCACTCGATTAGTATGTTTCTGGGGATATTTCTAGATGATATTAAAGGGTTGTGAATTTCCCTTTTATGAAAAAGGTGATGTTGCTTTGGTCTTAATTTTTTTAAAGCATAAATAATAATTTTATCAACAAGTTGTTTTCATAAAAAATAATGAGTATGATTAGATTTTTCACATACCTATATTTTTTTTATTTGTGAAAAATCACTATTGCCAAATTCTCAGGCATTAAAAACTTGAATAATTCTATATTGAAAATAGTTTTCTTCAAATAAAACGAATAAATAATATGATTAGTTGCCCTGAAATACTTTAAAACATACATTTAAAATCAATTCAAAAAATTGTCAGGAAAATAACTTGTTTTACATAAAAAAAAAAATGTAGCACATCTTACAAGTCAAATTCACCATAGAATATTCTAATATCTGCTGGTAATTATGTGGAAAATAATTGATTTTTTTTATACATCTTTAACCTTTCAGCAGGTGTGTGTCATACTTATACAACACAGATATTTTTTAAATATATTTATTATAATAAAGAATTTTTAATATAAATACTGTTTGGAAACATTTTGCTAGTTTTTATACATACTTATTTAATTGTACCTAATATAAAATATAATTATTAATAAAAACAACATGGTTTTCTTCTAATTTTATATTAAGTAGTCTATTCTGATTATCTGTCTTTATATTTCTGACAAATTATTTGAATAAGAAAACATATTATTTCACAACCAGGCACGTTATGTATTCCGTGTAATCGGACAAAGTTGACTAAGATATACATTGATAATAAATTGAAATACATATTATCAAAGATAACTATCATTAAGTATTAACAACATATACAGCATTGTAAAATAGAAAAAACCCCAATATAAACCTGGGCCACGTTAGAAAAGTTAAGACAATAAGATTTTAATTATACAAAATGCGCTTACACACCTGCTGAAAGTTAACAAAGTTTTCAGTTCAAGCTTTAAGAACTATTAAAATATAATAAAGCAATAAGAGTAAATTAATGTTTTGATAAGAGAAATATAATAAGTTATGAAAGTTTGTTATTTTTTTTTTTTTTATTTTATTTATTTTTTTTTTACTTTTTTGAATTTATGTAAATTATTATTATATTAAAATATTTAAAAACTAAAAAAAAACATCACTTTTTTCATAAAAAGGTTACTCTCGCAACCCCTAAATATCTTCTAAAAATTTCAATTTTATATATCCCCAGAAACAACACACTAGTTAAGTAAAACAATCTCTAGAAAAAAAGTTTGGTCTACTAGTGTACACCAAACAAATTCTTTATAGGTCATTTTTTTTTTTTTGAAATTACTCATTTTGACCCTGATTCTGAAAATTTATGAATTTTTGTTTTGTGTAAACCTAAATTTAAAAAATGCTGAAAATTATGATGCAATCAACATTTTTTGGAAACTATTATTTTAGAAATTTTAGTAATTTTAAGACTGCATGATTTATGAAAATCAGTGAAGATGGAATTCCATTGACCTAAATTTACAACCTGATACTTCTGCAAGTACGGTATTTTTCTAAATGTAAATATAAATTTCATTGTGTGGGATCAGGACTTCAGACTCCTACATTTGCTTCATTTATAATATAGGATACCTAACAATAACTTTATCTTTAATAATGGTTTTCACAAAAAAAAAATCCAATATTTTGAGAATCAGCATTCTAAAACATGTCAATTAAAAATTTTTTAAAAGAGGTGATCTGGTAAAGTGAACTTATATCTATATTGTCGCTTTCATGCAAAAAGTGACTAAATGATTTAAACATTTTACACTTATTTTTAAAGTTGGCTTTAATTCTTATTTTAACTAAGAATTATATATTAAGTGGTTTCTTAAATATTTTTGATATCATTTGGAGACATTTTGTATATATATATATATAGGATGAAATAAAACATTCAAACAAGTTTTTTTCTAAGCCCGGTCATTTTTTGCATGACTGCGGCTGTATGATATACTAATATATATGATTGCAGAGTAGCTATGACTTGTTGATGGCATTTTGTGCAGATACAGTAACTGCACATGGAGACATAGTTCGTCGTTTGCGTAGTATTGGTTATAATTTGACTCACAAACAAACACATTTAGATGAAGTAAATTATGCTGTTAAGTCATTAAACGACTTAAGAGATGGTACTAGAATTACTAGAGTTGTAGAAATTTTATTTAAAGGCAATCCGCTGTCGCAGAAACTTAGACTCCCAGCTATATCAAAGTTACAAAAAATTCATAATGTCAATTTGGCATTCACTCGGATAGCTCAACACATATCCATTGAAGGAAACATAACCACCCGAGATGTTGTGAATGGTCACAGAGAAAAAATATTATCATTGTTCTGGCAAATAATTTACAAGTTTTTAACTCCTCGGTATAACACTGCTGCTACTAAAATCCAAAACTGGTGGAGAAATAGTAGCCTTAAACTCGTTATATTAAAAAGGATTCGGGCAAAACAGATTGCCAAGCGTCACTTGGCTGCCACTAAAATACAGGCTTTTATTCGTGGCCATTTAATCAGAAAACAATGGCCAGTTAAACAAGAAGAATTGATTAAAAATCGTAAGATATTGCACTTGGCCTCCACTAAGATCAAACATTACCTAAAAGATAAATTAAAACATTTGACAAATGAAAGAAAACAATTTATAATTTTAAGGAGATCAGTTGTATTTGTTCAAAGAAAATTTAGAACCAAATTAGCAATGTTAAAAGAACGGCAGAAGTATTTAAAAGCCAAACAGTCGGCAGTTATAATTCAAAAAATATTTCGTGGTTTTCTACTTAGGAAAAACTGGTCTCGAATCAGGAATGATTTATCTGCTGAAAAAACTAATCTAATTTTTGCAATAGGTATTATTAAACGTGCACTGAGAAGAAATTTGCCGCCTACAAGAGATCATCTTGAATTTTTGAAATTGAAACATACCGTGTTATATATCCAGAGGCAGTATATGGCCAACAGATTAATGAAATTGCATCGAAAATATTTTATCACATTAAAGAAAACAACTATAACCATTCAACAAAGATTTAGATCTAAAATTGCACAAAGACATTATTTTAAAATAAAACAATCAATTTTGATAATCCAAAAAGTGTTTCGTGGTTTTTTAGTTCGGAAACATTGGATAGAGATTCAAAGCCATTTGATTTTAGAAAAGAAAAAAAAAATCAATGCCATAAACATAGTGAAACGAACATTAAGGAGAAATTTGCCACCTACAAAAGATCGTCTTAAATTTGTAAAGCTGAAACAAATTATCAAATATATTGAGAGTCTGTACATTGCAAATAAATCTATGAATTATCAAATGAAACAATATGCTACTCTAAAAAAATCAACTTTAATCATTCAACAAAAATTTAGGGCCAAAATCATTATGAAAATTGAACGAGGTAATTATTTAAAAATTAAACAATCAGTTTTATTGCTTCAAAAAGTATTTCGAGGATTTATAGTGAGGAAGTATTGGTTACATACTCAAAACCGTTTGATTTTGGAAAAGAAAAAAAGGATAAACGCTATAAATATAATAAAACGAGCATTAAGAAGAAACTTGCCAGAAACTCTTGATAGAACAAACTTTGTGCGATTGATGAAAGCCGTATTGTTTGTTCAACAAGTATGGAAAGCTAATTTTAAGATGAAAAAACAAAGAGAGTGCTATTTGAAATCAAGGTATACTATTATATTCATTCAGAGAAAATTTAGAGCCAAAATTGCCATGAGAACGAATCGTCAGAATTATTTAAAAATTAAGCAGTCAGTCATAATGATTCAAAAAATTTATTGTGGTTTTGATGTAAGAAAAAACTGGTTAATGGTCAAAAATAACTTAACAGTGACTAAAGCGAGACGAGTCCATTCGGCTAATGTAATTAAACACATTTTACGTAAAAATTTACCAGCTACTCTAGATCGATTATACTATGAGAAATTAAGGTATTCAGTACAAGTAGTTCAGAGAAGATTCAGGGCTAATATCACAATGAGAAAGCAACTAGAAGAATACCAAAAGTTAAAGAACAGTGTCATTGTCATACAACAAAAATTCCGAGCACAACAAATCATGAAGATTGAACGAGAACGGTATGTGATTTTCAAAACTAGTATAATCAGGCTGCAAAGCTCAGTCAGGGGTTACTTGGCAAGGAAACAATGGCCTATTCTCCACAAACAATTGTGTGATAATCAAAAGCGTTTAGCTAAGTATGCTAATTTGATCAAGAAAACTTTACGAAAGTGTCTTTTGCCAACAGAAGAGCGTAACCGTTTTTTAGAATTAAGGAGATCGGTTGTAGTGATTCAACAAAGGTTTCGGGCAAATGCCTCTGCTAGACGGCAACGTACAATTTTTATCCGTACCAAAGTCGCAGTAATCGTGTTACAAGCATACACCAGAGGGTATTTGGTACGTCGGCAATGGTCTGAAATAAAGGATGAATTACAAGCCCATCAAAATCAGTTAGTAGCGGCTAGTAATACTATAAAGAGATTCCTGCGGCGGTGCTTACCAAATAGAACTGAACGTTCAAATTTCTTGAGATTAAGACAAATTGCAATTTTAGTACAAACTCAGTACAGGACAATAGTTTCAGCAAGAATTTTAAGAACCAAATACTTACAGATGGTACAAAGTGAGATTACCTTACGAAGACAAAATAAGGAACTTTGTGTTGTCCAGGCTACAGTTATATTGCAAGCACACATCAGAGGATACTTGGCCCGTAGACAATGGCCTCTAATTAAATACCGTCTGAAAAATGAACAAAAACTCACAACTACTCTGCTTGTAAGTACCCTATTTTTGTTTATTATATTATTAGGTATGTTTTGTATTCTATTCATCAATTTTATTTGCATTTAGGATAAGAACAATGCTGTTTGCATAATACAAAGAGTCTTTAGAAGATATTTAATTCGGAAAAAACATTTTAGTCTTAATAACCAACTGCAACTAAAGAAACAATTACATGCTGCTACTTTGATACAAGTACATTTATTAAAACTCATGTGTATGATATAATTTTAGATTAAAAATTGTATTTATATGTGTAGGCTCATTGGAGAGGTTATTGTGTGCGGAAAAGATATCAATGTCGACAAGAAACTGTAAAGATACCCACAAAAAAAACATTGACTTTGGGCAGACGACACAATGACGTAGTAAATGTAATAAACAAACAAGAGAGAAATGCATATTATGTATACATAGAACTGTCTAAAGTATTTTGGAACTTGGGTTAGTATGAAAAAAAAAACTGAATACCTATCCGAATCTAACTAGTTGTGGCACATTAATTATAAACAAATTTTTTTTATATATTTCAGACACATGTACATCATTGTCTAAAGAATTGTGTATCAAAACAATTGAAGGTACTATAATAGACTATATTTTCCGTTTTCTTCAGTATTCCAACCAATCACAACCAAGTATAGAGGCCCGTGAACCAGCTATCCGAGTGCTAACCAATCTGTTAAGGTACCATGAAACATCACAACTAATATGGACAGTAAGTTATATTTCTTCAATTATTGTGTGTAAGTGAGGTGTGTTATAAATAATTTCAGAAAAACTATTTTCCATGAATTTATTACAGAAAACTGTTAACACTAACATAGTGAAAGAACTGATCAAAATGATGAAAACTTCATGTGGTAAATTTGGTGCTACTTACAAATTGTACTGTTCGATTGCCACTTGGATCTGGATAGCCTTACAGGATCCCCAAAAGAAACAAGTAATTCTACTTTTTTAGTTTATGCATATCTACAGTATAGTCATTGATTTATGTTCAAAATAGCTATTGTATCTAAAAGCATTGTACCCCAAAGATAGACTAAAAACTCATAATTAATTTGTGTATTTGTACCTTAACAGTGAGTTAAAATAAAAAATTATCCGATATATTTGATAATAAAACATTCGATAAACAATATTAAAATCTATTGTACTAATTGTTTATAAGATAACTAATTAAAATTTTACAATCGTAATATTCAATTTTGGAATATTGTAATTTCTATCTTATTTATTATCTTAAATCATTATTTGATCAGTAATAATATATGGTATAAACGCATTTAAAACGTAGATCAAGTGTTATTTATGTATCATATTTTACTTGAGTTTTTGGGTGACATTTAGCCATTTAGGTTATATCTTGTGTATATTTTGTGTTTATTATCTATGTATATTATAATCTTTATATACATATTTTTTTGCTTTATTTCAGTATATTATTAGCATTCCTAATGCTGTCATAGAATTCAAGTTTATGATGAACACACTAAAAAGAAAGTATAAAACTCATAAATTAGACAAGAAAGTCATGGTGTTACCATCTTTGCGACCTACATGGTTCATCGGCTCCAAGTGTCAAAAAGGCTTTGAATCTGATTTCTATGCTACAGTTCAGATCTGCCAAATGTTAAACATAACAAAAAAATAATTATTATGTTTTAATCTTTTATTATTATTACATTTGATACTTTTTTTTATTTTACAGATATTATTTTTAATGTTATTTTTTACTTATCACTTGTTAAATTCACTATTATAGTAATAATACGTACGAGCTCATTTATAGTTTTTATAGAAATTTTTATACTGTGATTTATTAATAATATTTAACGACATTGATGTAAAGAAAATACAAAGTTATATTGAATCGTTAGCCGATGAATGTTTTTGTTTTTAAACGTATTAAACATTGACAACAATGAATTAGGAATTACTATTATAATATTATGCAATAAAATAATTCTTTAAAAACAACAAAAATATATTTACATAAACTCTAACATATAACACATAATATATATACAAGGTGATTCTATTGTCGTTAAACACTCGTTATTTTACGAAGTAATTACTTGGTTCAAAAAAAATTTGTTTGACAATTTAAGAAACAAGCAGTTCTAAAATGTTATACTATTTTTTTTCACCCTTATTTTTGGAGATAAATTTTGATTTTCAAATGGTAAGTAAGCTACATTAAAAATTCCATAAATTGATAGAGCAACAGTTTAAATACATTGTGATTTCTGTCAACCCATTCATGAGATATTCCAAATTTAAGTTTAAATGGGGGGAAGGGAGGGTATCATTTGTATGGTAGCACAGTGTGCAGAATTTGAATAGTACTCCATTACATTCCCCTACTTAGAAGTAGAATATTTCATAAATCAAAAATGTCAACACCAAAATTTATTTAACTAATACTCTATCAATTTATGACACTAAGTAATCTAGGTTACCATTTTAAAATCTAAAGTAGGTTTCTTCCCCAAAAATAAATATAACAAAAAATAATGGCAATTTATCATTTTAGATCTGCTTGTTTCTTAAATTATCAAACAATTTTGTTTAGTATTAAGTTAGTACTAAACTTACTTAGTTCATATTTTGAGAAATAATGAATGTTCAATGATAAAAAAAAATAATCAATCTGTGTATATATAAAAAAAATTATTTGTAGTGATATATATCACTGACTACCAACAAAATTCTAACAATGGGGTTATATTAAAATTAAATTTCAATAAAGATCTTTTTCGAGTATTAATAGGAGAAGGAAATTTATTTTGGAATAAAATATAAAAATTTAAACAAGATGTTTAAAAACTTTCTTCATAACCCAGTGTCATAGTCCATAATAAAGAGGAACTGTTGGTAATTGTGACAAATGGGTCCCCATTAAATGTATTACTGCTACTGATAAGTCCTCCCATTTCCATAATTTTTCCATCTGAAATAAAACACATTGGTTTTTAAATAATCCTTTAATAGATATATTTTGATCTATTTTAGTATGAGTTATAATCTAGATCAGAAGTTCCCAAAGTGGTATATTACCCTAGGAGTTCTGATCTGCAAAAGGTCTACAAAAATGTAATAAATAAACTATATATATTAACATAGGTAGGTTAATTAAATAATTAAAATTGAATTTAAAAAGGTATGAATATAAACAAAATAAATATCTAGTTATGTCATAAGTTCTATCCCTTATTCAGTGGTATATATAAAATTAACAAAATAAGTAAATACAAATAAACCTGATTTAATTTATTCTTTATGAACATAATAACTAAAAATAAAAAAATAAACCATTGTTTACAAAAAAACCATTCTGAGCGGAATTCAGTTGATAGTGATGCTTTGTCAACAATATATGTCATTTAAAAGTAAAATAATTAAATAGGCTTTATATATTTTCTTTAATAATATTTGTTTAATGTTGTACCGATTTTCTCATTTTTCCTGTATTTTTTTCGGTTTTTCAAGTTTGATGAGAAACTCCTGAGAAAATCAAAAAATGACCTCCCTAAAGTACCTCTCTACACCTATTTCTCTCAGAAAAGGTGCTACACATAAAAATCTGAGCAGGCGTTATGGTAGAAAAGTTGCACAGAGATAAAAAAAAAATAAACATCTTTATAAAACTATAAGCTCCTTTGCTCCACTCAGAATCTAACATACTAATATTGTTCAAAATATCCACCTTTCGCCTTTACATACTTTTTTAAACAATCTGAATTCATCTACACAGTATGCACCAGTTTTAACAGTAGTGAGGCTGCTGCTTTCACCAAATCAACTTTTAATGATTTAATATTTTGATAGGGTTTAGAGCAGGCCTTTCCCTCTAAAATACTCTACAACCGGTAATCCAAAGGATTGAGGTTTGGATTTCCTGAGGTCCAATCATGAGCAGCAATGAACTCTGGTATATTTTCCTCCATCCAATGTTGTGTTGTTTTTGCCTTATGTGCAGGTGCTGAATCTTGCTGAAAGATCCAGTGCATATTTTCAGCACCTTCTTAAGATCTGTGAGCATTAACTGTATCATTTTGTCTGTTAAATTTTTCTTCTACAGTAAAAATTTATTTATCTGCAAAGACAATTTGTCGGTGGCCATTTTCTGCATACTACTGAAGTAAATTTTTTGCTCTTGTCACTCTAATTTAATATAAATTTTCTGTTCAAGACCGATACTCCTTCGATGTGCACTAAGGCTAAGGTCTTCTTTAATAATACGTGACATGGTTATTGGTGGGATTTTTATTTCTCAGACTATGATTTTTTGCTTGCGGAATGGATTTCTATGGATACTCTGCTCGACAGCTTTGACAGCTGCTTTGGTTCATGTTTTACGTGGTCGTTCAGTTCATGGTCTGTCATCTACAGTATTCATCTTGTTGAACTGTTTAACAATCCGATAAACAAATTTCTGAGTTATTTTCAGTGGTTTAAATAAGTTAAAATTCTCTAATGGGGATTTATTACTTGAAAAACGCGATCACAGAAATATCATTTTCTTTAATGTCCCTTTCCATGTTTACTGCGTGACATAAAAACTGTACTAATCAGAAATAGTAGAAATGATCACTAGGTAAAATTATAATTGAAAATAAAGTCATTAGCGTTATCGTAAAATATTTATAGAACAATTGATAAATAGAGACAGGAATTACGACACAACTAAATATATATATATATTTTAAATTTTATAATTTTTCATTCCACAGTAAACTATCCAAGTTTATGAATTTGCAAAAATCCATTGTTAGAGAGTCTACAAAAAATAGAAAAAATTAGTACATCATTGGCTTCTTGCCAAAATTCGGTAACAGAAAAATAGTAATTGTCCAGAAAACGGCTAAACTATTTACATACAATATACTGATGGAAAAAATTGTGTTGCATTAAACAATTCAACAAAAATCTAATATTTTAATGCAGTAATATAAGCCGAATTCATTAAAAAGAAAAATTATGTAAATATCTTAAAAATTAAGGATTTCGTAGGGTTGAGACCAAAAATCAAATTTTTAAAATCTTTTTCTAATCAATTGCTATTTTTCCATTACAGAGTTTTGGCAAGAATCCGATGAATGTGTACAAATAGATTAGTAATAATAATATTAATAATATTCATATTATCAATATAATTTGAATCCTCGTAACAAACTCCATTAACATGTTCCAAGTATTTCTGTAAATCTATGGATTTCAACAAATTTATTATAGTTATTTGGTAATTTTGAATTTTTTTTTTCACCGATACTGAATTTCGGCTCTCAATATATTATAATTCCTGTTTATGTAAAACTCACTAAACCATTAATGACTATTAGCTCTTTATATCTACGTCTTTATCCGTTGGTGAAAATAAGAAACTGTAAGTTTAGGTTAGGTTAGAGTGGGAAATTCACTTAATACATCTCTTGTAAATTGTTAGAAAATAATATTTTACACTAGATAGCATCATTATCACAAAATAGTAAAATTTTTTGGTGCCAAGTTTTGGCAAGAAACTGACGACATGAACTATGGGTTAAACAGTTTAGGGAACCTTTGATCTATTTTAATAAAAGTAAATATCAGTTTGTGGGATAGAGAAACAAATTTTTATTTAGTTTTTGGTAAATACTGTGCACGAAAAAGTCATATGGGATAGTTAGTCATAAAATTTAAATGAAAATAGAACATATCAATACATTTATGTAAAAATATATAATGTATTTAAATTGACTGTCTTTCAAACTGGATTATTACCATAATAAAATTTTAATAGATTGATAAATTGTTTTTTATGGGATAATAAAAGAACAAGTCAAACTTTAGCTATTTAGATATTAAATATAATTTAATGAGATATTATTAAACCAATCTTTTGCCAATTATCACTAGGAAAAGATGATTACTTTAATTCACTATTTTAATAGTCACACTAAAAAATCATCTGCAATTAGATAGCTGTAATATTTTAATAATCAAACAATTAATGATAATATATATATTACTTATAATTGCCATCAGGCATTAATATATAAAATAAAATAAAATTTTTTTATACGTATATAATTTAATATAAAAAACTAACAATATCCACAGTAAATATATATTATAATAATAAGATAGTGGATATTTAGGTTTTCTTTAGGTTTTCATATAATATATTTATTCAATTTGAGCAGGCCAAAGGGGCTAACAAATGTGAATGGTTTGTGGATTATATAATTTATAAGAAACAATGTTTTAATTTGTATATTTTTCGGTTTAAAGAAATTTAGCCTATTTTTCATATTTTATAATATATTAGCTATCAAAAAAGTATATTTTTTGTCTTAAAAAAAAAATTATGTTAATCTTTCAATAACTTGTATAAAATATTGAGATTTATTATTCAACTATTTCAATGGTTTGTACCTACTTTAGAAGTGTTTTGGCGATATAATTTTCAGTAAACAGTTTACTGCATTATTTGCTACTTTGTCAGTTACTTGCCAAAACGTTTTGTTTACTGTATAATATTTTTTGTTATATAAAATTGAATGATAGTCCTTATCAGTAAATTATTAATAACTGAAAACAGTAAACGTAACTTTCAATTGTTTGCTGATTCCAACAACCCAGTAGTCAAAAAGTGCATTCGCCTATCAAACAATTACAGTAAATTTTGTCGGCAAAACAGTTTGTTCACTAAATTAGTAACCAGGTTGCTCAAAACACTCCTATTATATGAATAAATATAATATAATATAACATGAATTTTTAGGTACAAAGAACAATATTAAACCCATTTATTACGATAGAAAGACTATACTTAGATAATTAAATAATAGAGTGACCCATTTCACAAAATAAAATGTACATGAAATCATATTTTACTAGTTTTTAATAGAAAATTAAGAAAGTATTTTAAGGGTTTTTTAGAGCATATAAATATGTATAGATTACATATGTTGTGTTATATATGCATTCCACATTTTATAATACTAATAATAAACATATTATAATATATTGAGATTTAAGAGGGTGCTTCTTACCTGATATTTAAATGATCTTTTTGAACAAATAAAAGTCAATAATCTCAAAATTATTCAAATTCAATTTCAATTAAATTTAAAAGTGGTTCTTATAAAAATAAGAATGTAAATAAATGGTTAAGTAATTAACACTAAAAATATACTAATGCAAAGAAAAACCACAATCAAACTTACTTATATTCCACTTGAGACCTGTAGTTGTACATTCATTACAGGCTGAACCGATCGGGAAAAGACCTATGAAGTTCTTCTGAGGATACAATCTGAGCGATAGGGGCACGTGGATGCGATGCATACCAGCTTGAAGCAACCAAGTCAACGAATTTCTTCCCATCAGATATATGTCACCGTCAAAATAATAGTCGCTAGACTTAAATTTATATAGAGTATTTATATTTGACAAGAAATGGTCGACTCTGTGGAACATGTTAACCATGACGATTACAGAATCTATTGATTTATGACTACCTAAACAAAATAAAAACTCACAGAATTAGGACAATGAAACGCTTAACTAAAGTGTATATATTTTTCTTTTACTTGCACAATAATTCTTGATCTCCAAAAGTGCTTTAGTAAAGTCTGTCTCATCCTGATTTGGTGTGTGAACAATTTGTGAACCTGCAGATACAAACTGCTCAACGATAACAGGATCAGCAGAATCTAAGTCACCAGTAATAAGGTCTGGGTATTTGAGATTTTCCAACGCATTTTGTTTAACAAAACTGTGCCATTTGTTTGTACCACCATCGACAGTCACTCGAAGCCAGGCTGAACGATTGAAAAATGAATATTAGGCGCCTAGTGGCATTTTAGACCAATTTTAGGCACCAATTGCTCACCATACATTCAGTATGATATTCAGTACATTCATACACTCACATTCGTTCCAAAGGCGGTGCACCAACTTTGGTGGATTTTCAATGTCTGTGTTTAATACAACCACGGCTGTTCGTTCCAAAGGCATGACCTCGAGGGCTGGACACCAGTCCCGTACCTTTGGCTCGGCGACCATGGCGATCAGACGAAACGTATCTTGAAAAAGAACGCATATTAGCAATCAAATTACCGTCGTCATGAATGATAATAATAATTAATAATACCTCTACGAGTAACCTTGCTATAAACAACGGGCCGTATTAAACTACTATCAAAATACTAGATCTTTAATTAAATAGGTAGGTAGAGGTACCTACACGGCCGTCACTCAAATTACCCGAAACACTATCTAACCTCGTAAACGACCAAAGACAGTAATCGGACGCACAGTTTTCATAACGTGAAATGTTTTCAAACGTGGTCACGTTAAAATGTTAAATTTATCATGTTGTTTTAAAGACGGCGTGCGGCGTGCGACTGTCTCATCCAATATGACGGGTTAAAAGTTAAAACCGCGGACGCACAACTACCTTCACCAACCATAATCTCCGAAGGTTTAAACCGAACGCTGAAAATCCGACACCATTAAGTATAATACTCCATCGTTTTGGTAAATTATAAATCGATGTAATTATTTCAATAATTACGACATTGTTGGCTTTCACTAGAGTGTAGTGGAGTACGTTCTCGCAAACGTGTGCGTAATCAACGTTATCACTCGTCGTCAAAGAAATTATCATATCACGGTGTAGCTGGCGTGGTGCCCAAAGTTCACGATCGTGCCCTTAGATATTACGATATCTGTATGACAAACCACCCGTCATCAATCGTCGGCCGTCAATCGTAAAATGTACAGTTGTCAACATTATTAGCATAGACCCGATAATGTAGAACACCTCGTTTGTGGGTCTATGTATATTATCTACGAAATAAAATATAAATTTATGTTTTATGCACGATTAGAGCGTATCGCGATTTTACCACGGACAGTAATATAGATACTCTGTAAGTTTTATTACAATATAATATTGTGCAAATGCCAAGATAAACATAATTCCACAAATGACCCGATTGACCGATAAGATACCATGATAACAACAACCGTGACAGATATGCAAACTTACCTATACCTATGCATCATGTATGTACGTAATATGATTATATAATTATATATTGTGAAGTACGAATTTTTTTATGAATTTTAGATTTTGAGTCGAGGTAGGGATCTTTTTGGTTTTACTGTACGTGTGCTTTTTTTTATTTTTTGCTTAGGTTTTTTCTGTCTATAAACAATTTTTCTACCAGGAATCTTACTCTGATAGGAAAACAACAAAAGACCGTTCTTGTTGCATCTTTAATTTAGTTGGTGTATGAAAACGTTGTTTTTCGATTTTCCTTGTAGTTTTTTTAATAATAAAGCAAAACCGAAAAAAAAACATACAAAGAATAGGGCAATTTACGAAAATAATGTTTTTGTTATTTTCAATTCTGTTTTTTTGTTGTAATTCAGTTTAAAACGTATAAGGGACTTGCCATTTGGACAAAAAACTTGTATTTGCCTGTTTTAGATTTGATAAAATGTTCAAAACAAAAATATTTAAAAATTTAAAAGGAAGTTCATTTAAAGTCATTAAAATTTGAGTTTAGTGTAGTATTTTTTTTAATAATTTAATTTTAATATCAAATTTTAATGAAAATCGTCGAGGAAAAAATTATATGGAACAAATCTAATTTTATGTTCCAAGCGAAGTGAGGGAGTTATTGGTATTACAATGCTGTTTATTTCTTTCTTTTTTTTCCCTTCTAGTCTGTGGACACGTTTTTTCCGAGTAAACTTACTCCGATATTTACGTGTAGCAACTTTTCTAAAAGCTCAAGTTGTCTAGGTGGTACTTTAAAGAGGCTATTTTAAAAATAAAAACACTAAGTGGAAAAAATGTATGTAGGAAAACGTACAATTTCACGATTATATTATTTTATAAAAATATGGACGACGTTTTCTATCAGAAAAAATGATTTAATCGAAAAATCACTAAATACCTTTTTTTGTTGCCTTTGGGCTTTTAAGAACTTTTAATTTTTGGGAGTTTTTTGTTACTGTAATTCGGTTATAAATACACGTAAAGACTTAAAACTTGGTAATAATATTTATATTAGATTTACCTAGACATGATACAATTTTCCTAATCATTGGACGACTTTTTTTTTTTAATAAGCATTTTGAAATCAAATTTAATCGAAACTCGCAAAAAAAAAAAAAATTATGGCACTTCAAATTATTACCGAACTGCATTCGGAATCGTCTTTCGTCAATCAATGGTTTATCGTTACTTACAAATAAAAATGAAATAACCTTATGTATCCTAACTTTCCAACTTCTCACCTATAACAGTAGCCACTCCCATCCCCAGTATCACCTCTTTTTTGTTTTGAATATAATGTGTATACGACAGATTTAAGATAGATGGTGAAGTCAGAATTGAGCGGACCGACTAAATTTCGAAATTATAGCTTTTTGAAGTTCTGATATTATATGTTACGTTAAATTACTCTATATTGTCATCTCTAGAGTATGTTTGTCGTACTCAAATGGTACGACAAATTTTATAATATTTATGTATTGTCAATGGATAATTACTATTACTGTTAGTGTAGGTACCTATTAAACATATTTGATATGTGCATGATAATAATTAACATGACTAAATATTAAAACCGACCATGTACTACCTTTTTTTTTTTTCGGAGAATTACCGAAACTACCAAGAAACTTCAAACAAATGCATAAAAATAAAAAGTTCATGGGGGGAGGATATGAAATCTTCATCCCCCCCTCCATGAGCACGCCTCTGGTTATAAATGGGAAGTCGGGAAGGTAGGATACTTTATAAAGTCATTTCATTTTTGTTTGTACGCAACGATAAACCATTGCTAACAAACGATTCGGAGCAATGTTCGATAACACATATTTTGAAATGTTTTTTCAGAAAAAAAAGTTGGACTGATTGAAAAATAAGAGAAAAGATAAAATTATCTGATGTAATGTTTCGATGGACATTATTACGATAACGTTCGGCAAAACCGATAATATTATTATATAGACGGAAAGTTTAGCATGATAAGTACAGCTAATATTGTCTGATTTTTGTTCGTTTAATAATGTTTAGACGTTTAGTGGAACTATAATAAACGATATGTGTGTAATAGTCGAAATCAAACGTTTACAATTTTAAATATTGAGAATTTTTTTTTCAATATGTATATATACACACTTTATTTTTACAATGAATGAATAAATCATATCACTGAAATGTCTATTCATTGAAATATCTGTTCGCCAAATTATCCTTTCGCCAAAAACGATTCGCCAAAATGTCTTTCGCCGAATTGCCTTTCGTCAAGATGTCCTAGATCTCTGAATTTCGGATACTAAGATTGAAGATATGTTTTATTGGATTGATTAATATTAATTTATTTTATTTTAGTAAGTTAACCGAGATATCGTCAACATCAATATGGGAAGACCCATTTTTAAGTTTGGAAATTTGGATAATGAATTTTCTAATGTTTTAAATAATATCAATTACATCTTTTACGACTTTACATGTGAAAAAGCTTTAGACAACTCCATCTTTGTACTTTGTAATACTCAGCTAAACATTTTAGTGAGAGAAAATAAGTTAGCTACAATTTCTAATGATATTAAAAATTCACTACATTTAATACGAATACTTATACTGAAACTAATTGCTTTACATGCAGTCTCAGAGTCAGGTATATTTTCTAATTCATCGAAAGCAATTAGAGTATTAGAGTATAAAAATTAAGTTCTCAAAAATATAGGCATTCGACATTTTCACAGTCGATTTCCACTTTCAACCACTGTTATAAACAAAATAATATAAAATTGTATAAGTGTAAATATATAAAAAATAATTAGTAATTAGTACGTAAACAGTAAGGGGGATCTTCAACCCCCATAGCCATTCTTGTATCCATCTCTGGTCACGTCTAAAAAATTCGCGAATGATGACTTGTTCTCTATAAATTATATATACGTCTTAAGTTTGATCTCTTTTTTGTATTTTCCAAATTATTCCACTGACTTTGAGAATTCGTTTGAGTATTTTATTTTTATTAAAAATTATTCATTGTTTTCAAATAAAGCGAATTGTAACTTATTGTTTATACAGTAATTTTTAATCATAAAATACCTATCAATTTAGTACCAACGCATATTATATTTAATGGCTAAAAATAAAAAATCCTAAAATCATGACTAAATTATATTCTCTATTTTTAATAAATTGTTCGTAACTATATATACTACATAGTAGGTAATTTTATTCAGTCATTATTTTGACTGACATATTTGTTTAATATGTTATACGATTATATTATTATAATATAATGTATATTCGATTTTACCGATAAGTAACATTTTTATTCAGTCCAGTATCCTGCTGAAAACCGTTTGTTTTGGAAAACTAAACTATTTTGAATAGTCATATAGTTGGTTTTTCTATATTCACAAATGACTAATAATGTGTAATATTAGTTACCTATTTACTAAAACGTGAACTATATAAACCAAATTCATGTTAGGTACGTAGATACTAATATTAACAACCGAAAAAATAATCTTTAAATCCATTTCTCTCGTCGACAGATCTTTGGCCACGTGCCTATCGAGGTTTATAAATATCCATGAAAAACGTTATGGATTGTCTTTTCTAGGCCAAGGTATGGTGAAAGTCAACAACAATTAGATTCCAATCACGACAATAACACGGTCTTGGTAGGGGGTTAGTGGGTATTCTCCACTTAGGCCTGTCGTCCTACCTTTATACAGGGTCTTCCCAGAGATGTATTTCAAGTTTTTTTGGCCCAGGATTAATAATTTTTGACATCCCCATCTCTGCAGTATCAATCTATTGCAGCATTAGTTATTAAAATATAAGTATATAATATACAAAAACAATACAATAACATTTAAAATAAATAATATGCTTTATTAAAAAAAAAAAAAAAAAAAACAAGTACTCATAATAAAAATATCCGAAATATTTGATTTATAACTTTAACAACATTAAAATTTACAAAAATTGAACTATAAAATCAATAAGTATGTAGTAATTAAACATTTGTACGAATGGGTTTTGTACAAGCGATTTTTTAATTATATCCTTATAATCAATTTTTCTGCGTACATTAGTCAAATAAATTAAGCCCGACTTCTTTACAGCTAAATTTTCATAATATATATCAAATATTATGTCTCACTTCTTTAACATACTGGTGAAATTAATTATACAAACAAATTATAGATTCAATAACAAATTCTACTGTTTGAAGTTTTTTATTTGTACCCTTATAGCATTCCGAGACTTTGTTTCAAAATCAATCTATTGTATGGTATAAAAAAAAAAAATGGTCAAATTAATTTTTTTTTAAATCATTAAATTACTCAAAATTTGTCTGCCTTTCAAAATTTGCCGCCTAGGGCTATAACCCTGGTTAGCCCTAGAGTAAATACGTCCCTAGGTCTTCCAAATCTCATGCTACAGACAAATTTGGTAATGAACCTGTGTATACGACTATACGAGTTTTACATTAAAATTAATATTTAGGTATACCCTTACTATTTGAATTGTAAAGTAAAAAAACCCTAGGATAATGGAGACGATATAGCCACTGTTATAGGTAAAGAGTTGGGAAGGTAGTATAGAGAAAATTGAATGTATACCTGTAAGCAACAATAAACCAATGCTAAATAAAATACAATTCTGAGCGGAGTTCGGTTAATAGTGTTGCTTTGTTAACACTATAAATGTAATATTATGGTAAAATAATTATATATATGCATTATATATTTTCTTTAATAATATTTGTTTAATTTTGTACCTATTTTCCCTGGTTTTTCCAATTTATTGGGAAAACTCCTGGGAAAATCGAAAAATGACCATTTTAAAGTACCTCTCCAGTCCGATTTACTGTCAGAAAAGGTGTCATGCTTATAAATCGGAGCAAGATTTCTGGTGGAAAATTTGTCCACAGAAAAAAATAAAATAAAAAATAAACATCTTTGTAAAACCATAATAAGCTTCTTCATTCCACTCAGAATCTAAAATAAAATTTGCATGTATATGCCATGTTTAGTGTTAAAACATTTAAATGACTTTATGTATATTTGGCTGTCATGGTAAATTAATTCAACAAAGCGTTACAGACAAAAGACAGATTACGGTTTTTATGTATAGGTAATATAAGGTATAATATCACATTATATCAACAGTGAGCTATTCAAGGGATTAAAGGGTTTATTGAGGATTAATAAGGATAATGGTATTTTTAAATTCAGTTTCGATTATAATATCAAGACGAAATTTAATTTAATTTAATTTAATTTCTGTTTAATATTACATATAAGTCGTTATAGTTTGTAGTAATTTATGTTTTTTTTTTTTTATATAATTAATACTACGTATAATAACATGCGTACACCTACCACCTACTCATATTGTAATAAACATGACGATTCTGTTACAAATATCGAGATGATTAATTTTTAAAAATGTGGATAATAATTCGACATATTAATTTGTGCGCCTAGCCGCTTCTCAATCTTGCCTAGACAGTTTTTTGCGCCTTTTGTAAAATTAAGTTTTTAAACATGTCCTCTTTTTGAAATTAGTGATTTATATATTCTCTTACAAGGTTACAGACTCTGTTTTAACTTTAAGTTGAAAAACTAAGGGAGTATTAATAATAAGTGCTAAAGAAATAAAGGAGTCATAAAATAATAGGTGATAATTATTCTAGCTTAACAAAATCTAAATAAAAAATATTACATCGTTCTTTCGTTTTTCAAAGATTTGTAAATAAATACCAAAAAGTAGACGGGTTATAGGCACAACAATAAAACTAACATGATTTCACAACATTCAAGAAATTATATTTAAGTATATTATTGTAATGCATTATGATTACTATATTCGTAAAAAGTGATAACCCGGTTTAGGTCAAATTAAAAACGTTATGCTTACCGACGCAGGTAAATATTCTGTATAAGATAATATTTCTGTTAAACACAATATTAAACAATATTATTGGAATGACGCACAATTAACGCAACGTAAATATGCATAGATATTTATATACGTACAGTTTTTTTTTTTTAAATATTTATACATTTTCAAAAAGAACAAAGTATCCAAATGAAAAAAAAAAACATTAAAACAAAACATCATGCTATTATATCATTTATAATCTTAAATACAGAAAGATAAACACATAATATAAGGAATAAGAGGAATCGATTGTCTCTATACTGTAGGTAGTCGGCGGTCCACGGTTTCCGTTGTCGTTGGTATGTCCGAGTATATTAGTTTCGTGCCGGGTCGGGGTAAACTTCCATCCGTAAGATACCTGTAGAGACGAGCTTCTGAACTAAACGATAATTCTACAAAAGCCCGGATCTACAGGGTAGATCACGGATGCGTTACACTGTAGTCGCTAATAATTGGTAGAATGGAGATGATGATGGATCGCCATTGTTGTACATACCAGCTATATTACCTAAATAGGTATATACATAAAGATTCACAAGCTGTTATAAAAAAAAACCGAAAAATATCGATTACATTCTGTCATCAAGGTACGCGGATATTATTAATTTTACAGACACCGTAAAAATTAAAAAGAAAACAAATATTGTAAACGGTTCGGCTGCCAGAACTCAAATGAACGTATGGGTTCGACGGGTGGCGTCGTATGCGTCCGGGACGCTGTGCGAGATGATGCCGCCCGTCCATTCCAGTGGGCGGGTTCGGACCGTTTGCGAATTTCGACGGCGGTGGCGGTATTGATCAAGACTGCTGATGCTGCTGCTGGTATTACAACCCCCAGTCGGTATACGAGGGGGAGGTCGGTGCACGAGAGGGGAGAATAGACAAGAAGTACATAGTGTACGAGGACGGAAACGGCCGACGGTTGCTGCTGTGGTACGCTAGAGGGCGGGAGAGCGAGAATGAGGACGGAAACGGCCGACGCAAGAAACGAGAATTTATACGTTGAGTTTGCTCGAAAATGTTCGAGAAAAACGCGTCTGTGTGTATGTATGAAAAGGCGGGGACGATCCCGAAAAATAATAATATCCTATTACCTCTGCTTACCATTCCTTCCGTCTCTTAGAGGTCGATCACCCCATATGTAATGGCGGTTTACCGCATCTCTCTAATCGCTGCACCTGTACCGCAATCGTGCTCGAATCTTTCGTTCCGAATTCGTGTGTACCTTTACCACACCAGCAATTACATTATACATCACTTTGCGAGTAAACGGTTTGCATGCATATAGATGCAGGACTGTGTTTTTAGGAGGAAGGAACAGGGCTCAAGCTTTTGGCCCCGCGCTTTTTACTTAAATTTGGAGAGCATTAAGTTCGGGGGAAAAAAAAATAAAAAAATACGAGTTATAATATACAACGCAGTATGAAAATATTAAAAATTTCGCTTTGGGCCTGACGAATCCCATAAACGACGACGACTGCTCGAATGCACGATACAAGTGTTATTACCAATTGTGTATATATATATATATATTAACGCGTTAGAAAAAAAATGCGAATAATAATCACGCGGCGCGGTATAAATATACGATACCAAATATTATTATACTTACTGCGGCGTTTCGTCGGCGTTTACATCGGACGGGGGCGGATAGTGGTGCGGTTGAGGCGTCCGGCTGCGGCGTACGTGACGGCGAGCGATCGATGCTGTCTGCAGGGTCCGGGAGACGCGGCGCTTCTGCCGGGGGTTTGCGAGGCTGCAAGTACCGCGAGGGATGCTGCTGGCACGGAGCTAAAACTGGGCGCGGCGCCACCCCCCAGGGCACGCGAACGCGCGCATATACACGCAACACATATATACGTAAGTCCTGCCGCAGCCACCGCCCGTTAAATCCATAAAATGCAAAAGTCCCGGCCGGAGCAGAGTGGCTGTATTATATATAGGTTTTCTCCCCTATTCATATACAGGGTCTCCCGAATTGCATATACGCAGTAGATATTTCACTGCGAAATATTTGTTTAGTACCTATATATATATATATATGTCATTATTGTTAAACAAGAAAGTATCGATAAAAAAAATAACCGAATCATACTTTGTACCACGGGAAGGCTACGGATAGGTGGAAATTATGGAAAGTGTACCATGTGGGATACAGGGTATGATAATAACTAGCTGGTTTAAACACTGAAAGCGAAGATATAGGCAATTCCAACAAAACCCCGATTCTGTCAGGAGCTCAGGGAACTGGTGATGTATTGTATGGCGTTGATATCGTTTTTTTTTTCCCCGTTTAAGACCGAGATAAACCAATGTATCGACACTATTAATTGTTGTCAGTTTTTTTTTTTTTTAAATATTTTAGAAAAACCGTTGGTACCCAAACACTGTCTTCAAATAAATTATCACCGGGCGATAAATTCACATATTTATACATGATAAGGTGTGTATGTGTAATTTTGAGCATTTTTACTAACCGAAAAAAAATGCTTTATAGTGGCGAGGAGGTTCATCACTCTTCGCTATTATACACTTAGAATAGCAAATCGTAGACTCCAATAAAACAGAGTTCCAATCCACAATGTAAATATTTTTACAAATAATATAAAATATTCAAATTGCTATAATTCAGCCATTTTTTAACTTAGAAAAGAAATTCAACAACTAAAATATATTTAAAAATAAAAATTATTCATGAACAAAAAGAGTTCATGCCATTTAGAACAAAAAGAGTGGTTGTGTGCATTTGCAAAATAAATTGAGACAAAAATGGACTAATTAATTTAAAAGGTGTATAATTATTAGTGGTGTGCTGATATGATTTTTTTCCGATATCCGATATTGAAATATATCTAATATTTGAAATGAAAAACTGTGTCGATATTGAGATTAACCGAATTATCAAAAAAAAAAAAGACGTTCTGGGATAATGGGGACGGGTGCAGCCACTGTTATAGATAATTTAATACAATTTAAGTATCCCCCTAGTGAAATTTATTTTTAGAAATATTGCTATCATTCAAATTTGATTGTTGGAGTAAAATTGCTAATAGAAAAGTTGTGCACAGAAAAAAAAAAAAGCCGTAATGTATTTTAATTAATATCTACATTTCTTATATTTTCCCATTTGTTTTGGTTTTTCAAACTTGTGAGAAAATCGAAAAATTATCTGCTTAAAGTATCTCTCCACATTGATTTCCTTTCAGAAAAAGTGCTATACTTAAAAATTTGAACAAGTCTTCTGGTAAAAAAGTTGCGCACATATAAAAAAAAAAAAAAATAAAATAAATCTTTATAAAACCATAAGCTTCTTCGCTCCACTCAGAATCTAAAGCAAAACTTAATATTTACCAACATTGTTCATGTTAATGATAAAAAAAGTGCCATTCACTGGCTACTAATGTGCTAACAATCAATCTGATTGGGCCGTGTCACTTTCTGCAGGACAGCAGATAACATTTAATATTTGAATTTTGAAACGGTGTTTTTATATTGTAATAATATTATTAAAATTAAACGCGTATTCAAAAAAAAATTATTTCGAAAATATCGGGACCAATATAGATTTTTTTTCAAAACCGATATCCGATACTCTGCAAATATCCTCAATATTGGCCAATATACGATTTCGGTTAATGCTGATACTTACCAATAATAATTGTGTTTTTAGTTGACCAAAAAAAACAGAATTAAAATATATTAAGTTTGCGCGTAGTCATTGAATGGTTCTACTTATCGTGATCACGCTGTATATTATGTATATTGTATATATGTGTGTGTATGTGTGAGCACGCGCGCGAGTGTGCAGCATGCGATCGGCTGTTTACGCTGCTGGTCGTATAGAGGGTGCTTCCTGCTTCGTGCAGGGGGAGGACTCATAGGGTATAATCGTAAGAGAGGGTGACGGATATGAGCTTTGTTATTATTTTATTTTTTTTTGCCGGAAGATCATATCGATTTTATCACCCCGGGATGATGACGAAGACTATTTTATAATTTTTTCCCCTCAAAACACTCCGTAGCGCTCATAAGCATAAATTCAGGGAGCGAGAAGAACCACAATTTTCTTTAAGAACCAAAAGCATTAAACCATTAATTATATTTATATACATAAATATGTACACATAAGTCGAAAATATTATAAACAATTACTCTTTTTTTGAAAAACTGATCACAAATTTCGATATATCGGTTTTGTTTTTGTTGATTACTGGATTAAAATTTGACTACTAAGAGAAAAACACGGCTAATACATACTAATAAGTATTGTTTACTAATACTACTAAATAAATTTATCAAGTTTTGCCCAAAATCACTTTTCGATTATAATGGTTTATCGTTACTTTTAGTATTTTATAAACTAAATAAACTTATATTATCCAATAATTTCGCAGACTTCCCATTTATCAGCAGTTACCTTTGGTTAAAAGTATATTCGATTTTTTTAAAAATATTTCTAATTTTAATTTTCAGGGAAAATTTTCCCCCTTACGGGTTATACTGTATGTAATATAATATAAAATTATCATACGCACATCATATTATACACGATTCCGGCATAATAGTTTTTAGTGTAGTATAATAAAAGCGACCGGCACGATCGTTATGCAAAAAACCGTAAAAAGGGTTGTCGACATTGTATACGTACCTAACTATATATCATGTGTACTTGGGGTCGTTACAATAATATATGTATATGTCGTAAAGGGTCGCGACCGGTTTTTAAAATTTTTTTTTATCTCGAACAGGGTCAACGTATCCCGTCAATGCGCCCGTGTACAAAATATGCATATATTACTTGCGCGAATATTTTAGAATGGTTGCACTATCAATATTTAAGTGACACGTATACACAATTCAAAATATAATTTTTAAACAAATTAAAATGTATAGGCACACAAATATTCAAGTTTACTTTCGTAAAGAAATTAAAAAATTGCCAAGAAAAAAATACTCTTAAATTGATTTCAGTTGCATGTCAGACATGTATAGAGAAAACGAAGTACGGTGAATATAATTTTTCAGGAAAACTCAAAAACATCGAAAATGAGGTAGTTATTTTTCCCCAATTACATATTGGTAGAATCTTGCGGAAAATCGTGACAAACAAAGACAGATTTTGTTTGGATGTTGATCCAGAAAATTAAAAAAAAAATAACAATAATAGTACAACTAAAGACAACATTATCTGTGACATATTACAATTAAGTTAAAATCAAAACTTACACATTCTAAAAAATAGAAAAATAAATAAGTGATACTTTTTATAGGATATTTTAAGATAAATCCCGATTCAGTTATCAGTTTGTTGTAAAACGTACAAGAAGAGGTCTAAATTTAAACGGAAATAAGTGGTTAGTGTAAAACTAATAAGTTCCACTGATCTTGTGAATTTTTATACTAAAACCTGTTTAACCTGTGTAAAAAAAAACATTATCCACAGTATGAAAACTCACATATTCCAATTCAACCATCATCAAAACTTATTACAAAGGGTACCGGTTAAAAGAATCGCTTTAGGACCAGCACAAAATGAGTCTTAAAACCGAATGAACCTTATAGGCGAAGTGGAGAAGGATAAAATGTTTTTGGATGGCTGAATCGTTCCAAGTGATTTTGAGTCTTATAAGTGACTGAATCTAATATCCGTGAGTGTTATAAGCAGCGTCAACTGTATATTGCTTAACTGTTTACTTGAATTGTAATGGTAGATAAATTCAATATTTATAAACTAATATTTAACTAAACGGATTTCCTAGTTAAAGCAGCGCTCTTTCATTTTTATTATGAGCTGTTTTCACTAAATTATACTACGTAATTTCAAAATAAAATGATTTTTCAACACGAGGTTTAATTTTCAAAAACTCTTACGTCTTACAGCTTACATACATTTTACCTTTAACCAACAAGAGGCAAGATTGGTAAATCTCAATTTAAATAAATAATGACTATTGTTATTGAATGGTAAAATAAATGTATAATGGCCCTGCGTAATAAATAAGACAGCTTTTGTTATTAAAATACGAGATGAATATGAAAACGATTCTATAGTAATAATGTTAATGAAAGAGAAATGGCTGTAATATTAGGTATATTAGTACCAAACACGAGATATGGGAGAGAAAACTAGACTTTGATTGCCATAATTATTTATTTATTATTTATTATAAGTACAATTATGAAATTTGAAATCCATATTTATTATAATCATTATAGTGGCGGTTACGAAATAATAATCACGTAGATTGATGATTCATTCATTCATTCATTAAATGTATAATTATTTTTTATTCATTACTACGGAACATTAAACATAGACTGGAATCGTTATTATAGCTTATAATTATATTTAATTTTTAAATTTGAAATTAGTTATATGATAAAATTCGTATAGAAAAAAAACCCTCACATGTACTTTCTTTTTTTGTTTCGATTCAGAAGAACTTGTTGAAAGCTCATAGTAATTTAATTTTCATTTTTTAACTGTTGACGCAGATATTGTCTCTGTTTTTTCTTGACTTTTTGTTCAACCATTTGTCCATAGTTGTAAAAAAGTACAAAGAAAACGAATTTATTTGAGAAAAAATAATATTAAATATACAACTGCGTACGTGTATCGTATTCGATGTACTGCGTGTAATTGAAAATAATCAAAAGTTTTAAATGTCGTGCAGGTACCTACTAATTTGTGTGTTCTGATGAATCATTATCTCTTCAATAACTATTAATCTAATTGCGTCATTTTGACTAGGTCACTGCAAACTCGTAATCGTCATACTTACGGATAACGATTGACGATAAAACTGAATTTGAACAACGAAAAGTAATAGATATTTAAAAATATAATGCGACACACCAAAAATATAATCGCGACCCACAGTTTGGGAACCTCTGACATAGATAATGTTAATAACATTGAAATATTAGCGTTGGTCGCAAGATTAGGGGATGAAGCGGCCTGTTATCAATGTTATCATGTCAGTTGTTACAAAACAAAATATAAAAAGACGTCCTAGGATAATGGGGTTGGGTGGAGCCGCTGTTATAGATAATTTATGTGTATCTGTAAGCAACGATAAACCATTGCTAACGAAAAAACGATTCTGAGCGCAGTTTAGTTTATAGTGATGCTTCGTCAACAATATATATTTCATATTATGATAAAATAATTAATTTATATATTATATATTTTCTTTAATAATATTTGTTTAATATTATACCGATTTCCCCGTTTTTTCCGGTTTTCCCATGTTTTTCCTGGTTCATGACATTTGCTGGGAAAAATCTTAGGAAAATCGAAAAATGGCCTCTTTAAACTACTTTCCCAGTTAGATTTAATTTTAGATAAAGTGCTATCATTATAAATCGGAGCAAAAATGCTGATAGAAAAGTTGTCTACGAAAAAAGAAAATCGTAATATTTTACTAATATATTTTGTACATTTTCACGATTTTTCCCATTTATTGTAAAACGTCTGAGAAAATCAAAAAATTACCTCCTCAAGTTACCATGGAGATCAAATTTCTAGAGTTTCAGAAAATAAGCTACACTTAAATACATCGGAGCAAGATTTTTAGTAGAAAAGTTTGCACAATAAATCGAGGGGTATTTAGCGATTAAAATAGTCCGAGTAAGCGATGGATTGGGTCTCTTAGGTACACTCAAAATGCAATAGTTCTTTTCTTGTTTAGATAAAAGAGAAAAAAAATAAAAATAATTCTTTTTGGAACCCGGGACCCGTGAGGACGATACTAGACATGTATAACCATTCGGCTATAACAAACATACTATAATAATGACAATATTTAGTTATTTAACATAAAATGTAATATCCGCATAATATCAGAACTTCAAAAAGCTATAATTTCGAAACTTAGTCAATTCGCTCAATTCTGACTTCACCATCGTACTTAAATCGTCAATATACACGCGTTCAAAAAAAAAAAACTTGAAAATTAGATTTGATTCATATAATTGTTTACTCAACGATTTTCGTCAATATTTGATATTAAAATTCCTTTATCAAAAAAAATATTACATTGAACTCAAATTTTCTATTTTTGACCACAAAGTAAAACTCTTAATGAACTTCCTGTTAAATTTTCAAGCATTTCTGTAAAGTCTAACAATTTTACCACAATTTTACCGAATAAAAATTACGTACAAAACTCGCAAAATTAAAATGTCTAGAAAAACCCTAAAAATGGCTTAAACTTTATGAAAATTTTACCACGTCTAAAAAAGGCAAATTTTTTTAGGTATCAAAATGATAGTTTGCACACCAGCCCCATAATGCCTAATTTCGGCACTGCATACGAGTGGTGTTTACCAGTGGCGTATATCTATGGTCTCAAGTAATGCAACTGCATAGGTTGTCACAACTTGGGATGGTTGGATAACAATGTGTTGTTTTTGATATTCGAATTTAAATTTATACTAATTATACTTTATATTTTCATAAAATTAAACTACTAGAGTAGGACACTACATAAAGTATGAAACATCCATTGTTCATACAGAACAAGAAAATCTAGAAATCCACGCCTACATATTATTACAAGTTTGGTATGATGATACGATATTAACTTATTATGATCACGGTAATTGTAAAAAAAAAATAAGACGTCCTAGGATAATGGGGTCAGGTGCAGTCACAGTTATAATTTATAAGTAATTTAATATATATACCTGAACGATTAAACATTGCTAATGAAAAAACGATTCTGAGCAGAGTTTAGTTGATAGTGATGTTTTTTCAACAATATTTGTTTAATGTACCAATTTTCTCGTTTTTCCTGATTTTTCCATGTTTTTTTCTGATTTTTCACATTTGCTGGGAAAACTCTTGAGAAAATCTAAAAATTATTCCTGAAGTATCTGTCCAGTCAAATGTCCTTTACAAACTTTGCTATTGTTAAAAATTAGAGCAAAATTACTGGTAGAAAAGTTATCCACAGAAAAAAAAAATAAACATCTTTGTAAACCATTAGCTTCTTCGCTCCACTCAGAATCTAAAATATGTGTACAAATCATTCTATCGTTGAAGTCGTAATTATGTATTGTTATAAGTATAACTGTTTAGCACCGGTAGAATGCTTTGTTTACAGTGTTGAGCCACACTGTACAGTTTAGATAAATTATCTAGATAAATAATTAATTATCCTTTATCTTATCTAGATAATAAACAAAATAATTTATCTGATTAATTATCTTAGATGAATAATTGAGTTATCCAACGTAATTCATCTAAATAAATAAATATATAAACCTATCCGAGAAATTCGAAAAATTGAACTTGAAAGTTAAAACCTATGTCTTATTAATAAACCAACCTTGTACAAATACAGAACAAAATAAAATAAAATAAAGGTAAAGTAACATAAAGTAATAGATATTAATATTATCTGGGTCGCTTATTTATGTTATTTTTAAATTAAAACCATTTTATCTTTTATCTCTATTTAGATAAATTTTTATTTATATTTGCGCAACATTGTTTGTTTAATTTAGCTTACACAACGTGCATCCCTGTCATTCATTCAAAATTATTACATCAGTAGAAATTATTTGTAAGTCATCTGTTTCCATCTAGTGCAGTATACTACGTTTAATTTGTGTCCTTTCCTGATGACGAGAGTCGTGATATATCAAGCTGGGATGCAGATTTTTTGAAAGTGGACCTAGGCAGTGGTGTAGCCAGAATTTCTCAATTGTGGAGGGAGGGGGCAATAATACAAAATTAATTTGTATTGTTTTCACTAATTTGTATACTTATTATATGACCAGATAAAATATTAAATACATCCTGCTGAAATTAATAAAATATTTAACAATACTTCATTTATAATAATTTATTACTAACAACTTAAATTATTATAAGGTAAATATAACTCAATAAGAATATTTACCTAATGCTTATGGTTTATAATATAACATTATTATTGTGTCCTATCAGTAACTTTCATCCTTCTAGGCGATTTTTTAATAAAAGCATTCAATATTTCTTTTTCGATGTTTTCATATTCTAATTAGTTTTTATTTATTGTTACTAATGTCAAACCATTCAACCTTTGTTCATTCATTGTAGCTCGTAAGTATGTTTTTAGTCTTTTTAGAATAGAACGTCTACTTTCCGGGGTAGCGGATGTTTCGGGCAGAATAGCATATAAATGAAGAATCTTCTGTGTTGATTTTCTGCTACAGCAGTCTCTGATAAATTTTCTTTTAATTGTCATTGCCATTGCTCCATATGAATAACTCTGCTTTCAAACATAAATTCATACTAATTAAAAAGTCATTTCGTAAATAGAAGCAGCTAAGATTGATTGGTCATCATAATGTGTCAAATTAGACGATATGATTCCTTCTAGTGGTATAATTGTTTCTAGTCTTTTATAAAATCTTGAATATAATTGAGTAATTAGATAATCAAAAAAAGGGTCTAAATATTTCTATTTTATAATATTTCTCTGCGTCTTTGGCATTCAAATTGTTTCGAGTAGTTTGTCTCCCACAGGTTCGAGGCATGAGTATTTCAACATTTAGTTCAGAAGTTATTGTGGTAACATTTTTCATTATTTCCTTAAAACATTTGTGAGCATCTGATCAAATGAATTTTAGAGCTTCTTTAACAATCATTACATCATTTAAAGCTTTCAATAACTCTTGATGTTTGCTTTGTAGTACTTAATTTAATTGTTTAGTATATAAGAAGCAAGTAACAGTTATTTTAAGAAAGATAAGAAAATCACTCTGAATTATAGGACACATAAAACGATGCTTTGGTTGAGGTTTCAGGATTTGTATCATATTTTTGAAGATGTTCTAGAGTAGCAATTATATAAATTTAAATTTCTTTAAAAGTAATAATTGAATCATGTTGATCGATCCATCATGTTTCACAGTGTTTTTTAAATTCAGTTTTTGATCACTTTTATTGGAAATACTATTTTTTATCGAAATCACCTTAATGTAACCTTATGGCACGGCTATAGATAATAAATTTATATCGCTGTAATATTATATTAATTATAAATTATATAATATATATATACATATTACCATAGGTATTTACGTACTCATAGGTATAATATTATATACTTATATATGTATGTACTGATATAAAATCAATAAAATAAAAAAAATACGTCCGATGAGGGTCATAGCTCCTCTGCCCTCCCCTGGCAACGCCACTAGACCTAGGTACACTATTTTAACTTTTAAGAGCAGTTCAATATTTGGATATCAAAGGCTTAACGAGTGTTATACTGTTACCTCTAAAACTATTGCTAATATGATCGAAGATAAAATATCCGAGGAGATCAGAAAGACATTTAAACTAGAAAACGATTTTACTGCTGCTGATGAAGAATTGAAGAAGAGATGCGTAAAAACCCGATTGAGGTTTGGTGTGAAGAAAAGTTAACTATTTCTATTCATAAATTTAAATATTTTCTTTCAATCTTATAACAATTCTAAACAATTCTTCAATTGTTCTTATAAACAATTTTACATTTTTAATCATCAATATTTTTATTTTTATTTATTGATCCCATGGAAATAAACTTTGTTTTAGTTAAATTCGTTCTGTTAGGATTTAAATAACAATCTCAAAAATCTTTGTATTTCCTTTGACGTACAATTATGTATTATTGTATTTTATTCTTTCATTAATAAGTTTATAATTTAAATTCTATTATTTCTTGGCTAACAATACAAATAAGTAATATTTTCTGATTTAATTCTGTATGGAATATGATATAAAATCATAACAAATATGTGAGTAATAATAATGCAAATATCTATTTAAAAAACGGGTGTGAAGCTAGGAAGTGATAAGAGAAAATATTAATACGTGTACAATTAGTTGTCTATATAAAAAATTATTAAGGAGCAGCTAAACAATAATAATTAGTGACTAGATATTTTGGAAGTACTAGATCCTACTATGATCTTACAATCTTACTATTTTTCTAAGATATATTCAAATATATATAAAAAAAGAATCATATATAATATATTCTAAGCTTACCTTTGCAATTATTATAAAGGTAAAAATTGTTTATTTTGATCTATAAGAAGTCCAAATTTTTGTTTTGAGAAAACTTGCTTTTTCATCGGGCTTAAGCCATCTTCCTACAGTTAATATAATTTTAGTTCCAAGTTCATTAGATAAATTTTAGTTTAAAAAAACATTTGTCATGCTTGGTACTTCAGCTCCACATAAAATTAGTTATTTTGCCCACTGTAAATATTGATTATATTAAATTTGTATCATAAGGTAAATTTAAAATGTATCTAGCATATCCATATTAAAATAACTTACCAATACTTCAGATATTTGTTAAACTATTTATTAAATGAAATAAAATTATGTAAAATATATATTAAACAATAATAATACAATGATTTACAAGTATAAAAAAAAAGAGCTGATATTGAGGATGGGAGCAGCTACTGTTGTAGGTGAGAAGTTGGAAAGATAGGATATATATGGTTATTTAATTTATATCTGTAAGCAATGGTAAACTATTACTGACGAAAGACGAATAATACGAAAAGACAATAAAGACAAAAGCTAATACATAATTTGAAGTGCCGTAATTTTTTATTTAATCGCTAGAACAAAACTTTACTAATCAAACAAATGCTGTTATGATTTTTATCAACAACAGTATAATCATTAAGCTGATTTAATATTTCCTTGATTATAAATTGCCGGCAATTATAGCTGAAATTATCAAAATTTTGTTATTATTATTATTATTTCGTATGGCTTAGATAAATATTACATTCAATTCACAGTTTAACATAGGTAACATAGTATAAAATAGATATAAATATAAAATAAGAAAGATAAAAATATAAATAAATAAATAAAAGTTGGCTAAATGATAACTAATTATATATGTAATATGTTGACTAGTAATGGATGTGTGAGATACATAAGTCTTCTATTAGATTTGTATGTCCAAGGAGTTCAACCATTGCACTGCGCCTATTGTGGCTCTGTGTAGCTCTTTCATTCCTCCTTGTAGTCGTTGAGTATTACAGTCATCAGTAATGTGTATAGCAGTTTGCTTTTCATAGCCGCAGTCACATCCTGGTGTAGGCCTGAGTCCCCATTTATGGAGCATGTGTCCTTTTTTCCAAAATTTTGTTAAATTATTGATATACAGTATGCACTGGTCTATTTAAACAACGAATGTGAGCATTCTGTCCATTTTTTGTCACTACAAATAAGAATCAAGATGTATAATGAAACAAAAAAGGTTTCTTGTCGTTTTTCAATTAAAGCACTTTTCCTAAAAATAAACGTTTTTCGTATTAATGTAAAATAATGATATGAAATTGTAAGTTTTCCTACGTTTTTTTCCACGGTATATTTAAAAAAAATTGATTATTTAAGCATATTTCAAAAAAAAGTTAAAAAGTATATTTTTTCTTTTATAAAATTAAAACTCCTAAAACAAATGATAAACTGTACTTTTAAATTCTTCGGGCCTAAATAAAATAACACCTATGAGTTTTGAAAATATTGATTATAGTACTCCAATTCTCAAAAATTTGAAATTTGCTATGCCAATGAAGGGGATCAGTAAAAAATATAATCCAGTGGAAAGTCCATTAAAACAGAAGCTTTAACAAAAAAACTTCAGTAAAGGCTGGTGTTGTCTTGCAAGCTGGTGCTGAAATAAATGTTCAGATAGTTTAAGTTATAGAAAAATTTTAAAATTATTTCTGGTTGTATGTATAAAGGTATAAATTTACAAAGGTCATGTTCGTTTGAAAAATCTGTATGTCCATTCATGTTCAGGAAACGTATGATCAGTTAATAATACCTGTTGTTAACGTAAAGTCGGCCTACTACCCAAAAAATCAGTTATGTATATATGATTTGCAGTCACCCAGATGTAAGAGTTTTAGGGTTACCAATGAACCTCAAACAGAAATATTCTTAACTGTATGAAGTTCAAATTTATATTACCATCATGATTGGGGTTAATTTAAACTGTTTTAATCTCTTGTTTTGTTGTTTAACATTAAACAAAAGTGAATGATGTTTATGGCAAACATAATTCTATTATTTATTCAATACAAAAAAAAAAAAATGCTCATTCATTGGATCAAGTTCAAAATGATAACTGTACCATTTGGGAGGCACGTCAGATTCGGTTGATACTTAGTTTGTATACAAACGTTTGGTAAAAAATTTTTTGAGCACTATTTGAGCTTTTTAGAAAAATTTTCGTTTTGTAGCGAGGTTTAATTTTCCATTTAAAATGCATTAATTTTTTGTTTATTCTGAATTTTGTTTACATAAGACATAAAAAATGCATGTAAAATTTCTTTCTTGCATAGAAATTAATGAGAAGATATTTTACAAAAGAATAAAAATATAACAATAATTAAAGTATATCAAGCATCATATGCCACTTTATTTCTGTTAATTATTAATTTTTGCTCGATTACCTTAAATTTAGTCAAAATGTACGGAAATTCTATGATTTCTAGAATAGTGAATCTTTGAAAATTGAATATAGGTTATTTTGTAACAGCTATTAATGTAAACAATATTAATAATAATTTAACTAACAAAAATGTATTATATAATTAATGATAATAAATTAATATTAAAATTATTTAGGTTTACAATAACTACAGTTATTGTAAACTAAAGTTTAAAGTCTAAACTAAAGTTATTGTATGCCTTATTTATAATAAGTATGCTACATCAACCAAAAACGGGTGGCAAATGTGATTACACTAATTTATCGATGGGAACAATTTTGGAATTGATTTTTTTATTTATAGTCTATCAGTTTCAAAATTGTTACTCTCGATAATTGAAATTAGTGTAATCATGTGTTTTCTTGAAATTAATTATTGAATCATTCTTTTTTTTTTTAGAACAATAATAATTAAAGATTTTTTAAAATCAAAAATCAAAATCCTTTTTAGATTTTGAAAATCAACCCCAATTCTGTTAATGAACTAAAAGTCTTAATCTTATTGTCTTTACTTTGTATTAATTTTAAAACCATTAATCTAATTTGTTTTTTGAAGATTGAGTCGTAAAACCTTCCTTGGAAGTTTGACTCTGGCCACTCTGACTATACATAAATTAGTCATAATTGTTTTCCATGAGAATATCTCCATCAATACTGCTTCATTTTTTGTTATCATTCAACATGTTAGCACTATTAATGTGTGCAATTTCATCAACTTCATTCTTCTGATAAAGAAAACAAATTTTGGAGTGTTGTTCTATTAATATATTAATATGCAATAAGTTAGGTAATTAAAGTGTCAACATGATTAAACATTTTATATTACATACTTCCCCTTTTTCATTTAGTGTTTTTTTCATGTATAGGATCTTCAAATATATTTTTGGGTCTCAAACTTTTAAGTGACTATTTAAATTGCTTGTCTCCTACCTTTATTTCATATTCACGATGACAGATGATATGTTTTACACTTGCTGGTACTTTTACCCAATAAAGTTTCAAATGAGCAATATTTATCCATTATTTAATTTAAATAAGAAATAACATAGCCAATTAAAATTGATAGCTTACCAGTTAACACTTTTTAATAATATAATATTTGAAATATTATTAAAAACTGTAGATACTAGGTAGATTAAAGGTGGTATATCTTGTCACTGAATTTAGTACATTATTGCTAAATAAACTATTTTAGCTAATACTGCATCTATGTATGGAATTTTTAATATTAGTGCCATTTGAAAATCAAAAGTATGTAGTATATTTATACCTAAAAAATAAAATGGAGTAGAGATATTTTGTAACAAGATTTTGATATTACGAATAATACCCATGTATGTGAAAAACATTTCAATGAACATAAAATTCTTAGATATTGGATATCTGGATCAGTAAAAGTAAATACCTACTTATTACATACATATTTATATTTAATATATATACAAGCTATCCCTTGAAGATATACCCCTTAAATATCTTCGGATATAATAAAGATGATCAAATTCTGGTTTTTTTTTTTATATTTCTCACAAGAATGAAGATTAAAAATATTTATATTTAAATTAATTTTTTTTTTAAAAAAAAATAAATTTGTTTTATTATTTTTGGAAAATTTGAAAATAACTCTTCTGTAGAGATTATTTGTCTGCAAATTATAATGTATGACAAATTTATACCCGATGAATAGTTTCTATTTAACAACTGTTTTAAACTCTACTAATCCGTGTAAAAACTAATGTTATCTAGAGAATAACTTAACTGCTTAACGCAATAACATCGGTTTTCACACAGATTAGTAGAATTTAAAACGGCTGTTACTTAGAAACTATTCATCGGATATAAATGTGTGATACATTAAAAAATTCAGAAAAAAAAAAAATGATTGAAATATTACTATATGTAGTACTTATTCTTGTAATATAAAAAAATATAATATGATTATTTCTATTTTCTCCGGAGATATTCAAGGGATATATTCGTGGAACAGCCTGTATAGTATATATATATTATTACTTTTTTTTTTTATAACAGATATAGGTCTAAATTTATTGAAAAATCATATAATAATGAACACTTTGGTAGTACCATAAAATTAGGTAATAACTATAAAGAATATAAACAAATTACATTTAAGTTACTTGTAATTCACATTATTAATTAGGTTTTCCATTATATAAATTAGTAAATAACCGTATAAATAAAGGAAATAAACAAAACACTACCTTAGCAATATGTAAATAATTTATCATTAGAGAATATATTACTAACAGATTGTATTAAATTAATAGAAGAACATACTAAATATTGTTTAGACTACTGTGGGATATAAAAGAGGTTCTTGTCACGTATATTGTAATGATTTGTTTTAAAGTTTATTAAACTTGAAAGGAAGGAATCATTAATCTCATTATTTAAATTTTTCCAGAAACATGGTGTAATAATTAAATCTTCTATCTTTCAAGGTTTTTAAATTTAATAATTGAAGAATACTTTCATACGCAGAATGCGGTTGTCTGGTAATATTTCATTTATAAGTTATATAGCAAAGAACTTTATTTTTAATAGATTCAATTTGGTTGCTATGGCTTAGAGTATTGGTTTCCCAAATTAGACTAGGGTACTCCAGATGTTATTTGAATGTGATAGGATTATTAAACTGAAAACAGTTCCGGTTAATTTTACCAAAAACCAATAGAGCTTTTTTTGGTAATTTCTAATAAATGTTAATTAAATAAACCTTTAGAATCAAAACTGATACCAGTCTATTATCTGAAGAACTTGATAAAAATTACAAGAATCTAAATTATAGTTAAATGTTATAAGATAATGTATTTTGGAGAAAGATATAATGTTACATTTATTTATGTTTAGGGTCATTTTGTTAGAATTGCACCAATTATAAATATTATTCAAATTAATTTATAATAGTTCCGCATCTTCCAGGGAACTAATTACTTTGAAAATGTTTGTATCACCAGCAAAAAGCAAAATGTTAGAATTATTTAAAGTAAATATAATATATTAATAAATAAATTAAAAAGAAGAGTAGAAAGGTAGTCTCCTAGGGGGATACCAGAAATTACAGATATAGGTATTGAAATTAAATTTTTATATTTAACAAACTGCAATCTATTAAATAAAAATGAAACAAATTAAGAAAGAAGTAGGTCCACAAACCCAATTTTTGCGAGTTTTGTGATTAAATGAAAGTGATTGAAGCCAAAAACAGTATAAATAACATTCATTTGTTTATTTAAGGAAAAATAAATTGTTTGAAAGTGCTTAAATTTGTAGCTGAAGATTTTTTGCTACGAAAACAATGTTATTGAAATATTATAAATAGAAAAGCTGATTTTTTTTGTCATGGAAGCGCCATTCCTACAATCTTTCCTGTGCTCGAGTATTTGTCAAAAGTACCTAGAATACCTAGAAAACCTCTACAGTTAAAATCTTCTATAGTTGAAGTAAAAGATTTTAAGTCGAAAAATACTTTAATAAGTTATGATATGACAATAGTTAATGTGAGAAATAGTCGAAATTCATCAGTAAATGATGGTAAATTGTAGTTTTATTATACAAAATTATATGGGTATTAATATGGTATTATTATTTTAAAACATTAGGTAGAATAGTTGGGTGCACATGAATTACCTCCCGTGATTTTTTTTTAAAAAGGTTACTTGAATTGCCTCCTATTTTAGGTAGTGACCTTCTTATATCAAATTGATATCTATTTCAATTTTTTTTAAATTATTATACATAGGTATTAGGTACACAGTATTAGGTAATAAGTCGATGTCAAAAAAGCAAATAGGTATATGTATTGTATCAAAATTTCACGTATTTAAAATCAATACAAAAAATAATTTAGATGAAAAAGGATTATGTTTTACAGTACCAATACAACAGTAATGAATAATAATAAAAAATAGTCAACAACCAATAAATAAATATCATTATGTTTTATAGTCAAAAATTTAAATTTAAATTAGTTATGTTGTATGTATCTGAGGTTAAAATTTATTTGCTAATACTTTTAAATATTAAAATCTGGAAATTTCATTTCTGTTTAATTTATCAATTAAGTTATTAGTAAAATTTATTTTATTTTCAGTAGTTGCCCTAACTTTTTTGGTCTCTATTTTGGAAGATCTAATTAATATTACCGTATCTAACTGCACTGATTTTAGTACATTCAAAAGTTTATAAATATGAGGGTGAGTGGATGAAAAATTAGAATTAAATTTCCTGTCGATTGATTGACAAGTGTTAGTAGATCTTTGTGTACTGGATGCCATTGCTGCCCATATTCTTGAAGGGAAAGATGAATCTTTATCAATATAATTTTCAACCAAATAATCGGAAAATTTAGTTATTTTGACATTATTAGGTTTTAGCTCACCAATATCCATAGCAAAAACGTCACCTTCCTGAAAACAAATAGTTGTTTAGTTAAAAATTACAATAATATTAGTAATAAATGTATTTAAAAATTAAAATATTAGGTACTTGTTCTGGATGTGAATATGGAAGGCCAAATATGGATGTGAGGCATTTTTCAATTTTCGTTGTCTTTTGAATATTCTCTAGCTAAACCAATTTGTTTTATTTAACGCCACCAAGATTGGCATAAATGAAATACACAACCCATAACTTCAATTTGTGGCCAAACCTCACATAATGCATTATATATTGATTTTTAAAATCAACAAATCACAATTTTGGTTCAAATATTTTTACGGACTTCAAAAATTAGTTACATAATTCCACAAAAGCTCATTTGTATGATACTTGGTCTTTTATCCTTCAGCAAAAAATATTCTAAGGGTATATAATAATTATTATAAAATCCATGTATTGTAAACAATTGACAAAAATATCAAACACAATAGTCAAAAGTTCCATTCACATATAATGTATTTAGCGTGCTTAGAAACTTGATATTTTCATCGCATAAAAATATTATCAAACCATTTAATAGGTTATTTACTATTAAAAAGTTTTCATCTATTGAGGTTTTTAACCTCAGTGGACGATAAAACCGTATGGACTTTGTTGTCATTTTGTGGCAATTTTGGATACCTATATAGAATTTCCAGCATGGCTTATGTTATTTTTAATGTAAATTACGTCTAAGGTTGTTAATGTACTTACATTAATATTTTTCAACTCGTCGTGAAATAATTTTATTAGTCGTTCAGAGAGCTATTCCAAAGCTTTTCATTTTAGATTGTTGCTGAGTATCTGTCTGTTGATCTTTTGCTCCGAGTCTTTCGCACAATTGTAAATAACTTTGCAATTTTCGAACTGGATTTTATTTAGTTGATTGGTTTTTAAATAAGCTGAACATATTTTTTTTGTACACGTCATGGTTTAATGTCGTAAACCAAGTTTTTTTAAAACCCAAACTAAAATTGTTTTGCCTTTTTCACTAATAAATAATAACGTTTATTTTTCAATATTATCATCTTACATAGGTACGTAACGGTTGCGCCAATGAATCATGTTGAACTAGTGGTAACCGGTAATGAATGCGATAGTCAACTAATCTGATAATCAGTTATCGATAAGATTATCGCGTTCGACCCGTTGAACTGTAAGATAACTGGAACGCTCACCACGCAGTGTTGCCCGAGCGAGCATGTTAAACCGAGATGGTGAATACTTCTAGTATGTCTATCTTTGTTTAACATACGGCGCCAATGTATAATTATATTTTATACCGTTACGTGTCTAGTAATAACTAATTGTATTTACTATATACTTATGCGGCTTGCATGATAATAAATGAACTACGAGATATTTATTTATAATATTTATAATATAAATGCATACATTATGTATATTATATTATTTTACTATAATATTAGAAATGTGAAAGTTTGTGAGGATGTACGGATGTTTATTGCTCTTCACACAAAACCTACTGGACCAATTGAGCAGAAACTACAGTATTATTGTTTATACATCAGAATAACTCAATAACATAAAGGCTATTTCAGATTCTGAGTGGAGCGAAGAAGCTTATGGTTTTACAAAGATGTTTATTTTTTATATGTGCGCAACTTATCTACCAGAAGACTTGCTCGAATTTCTCCGTGTAACACCTTTTCTGAAAAAAATTTGGCATGGGGAGGTACTTTAAAGAGGTCATTTTTCGATTTTCTCAGGAGTTTTCTTGTCAAATGCCCAGTAGCAGTATATTGGACGAATATTTAAACGTTAACAAGTCCTAAATAAATTATTCAAATTAATAAAATTACTGCAGTAAACGTTAAAATTATATTTTCCAATATGTTTATAGGTTTTCGTTGCCTATAGAAATTAGATGTGGCCATTTGAAAATAAAAAGTAGAAAGTGTTTTATCTTATCAAATAAAGGAGGCAGTTAACATTTTTAAATTTATACCACAGTGTAGAATAGGAAAAACAAGAAAGTTAAAAAAATTTTTTTTTTAAATTCCTAATATTTACCGAGATATTGACTGTTTCATGATAAAAAAATCACCTTGTATATTTGTATGTTGTCGATTACTTCCCCCACTAAATATATTAGTGAGGATTTTATCTTATTCTTATTATTGCTTTTATTTAAACTTTTGTACATTTATCATTAACAATTTACTTTTGTTGCTTTCTGTATTACAAATTGTTTTCTGTTTATATTTTCCATTTTTTATGCTGAAAGTCCAGTGACCTCTCTTTGACTCCTGGTACCATTGGGTAAATTAATTATTGTAATTTAAATATGAATACCTACTACATGTTATAATACTATGTTTGAAATATACCTCTACAATTAATATTTGTATTTGCATGCCTTTATATGTACCTTTATCCATACAAAATTGTTATGGGCTGGTGAACTCAACATTTGTCCAGGATAGGTAAGTGTTTAGTTTAGCTACCTATCCAATCTTACTCCACGATTAAAAAATGTATTCGAGTTATTATTTATCATAAATCATCAATAATGATTTTTAAAATCATTCAATTACTGTTTTCTGTATAATTTAAACACTAACCTTCAAATATTTTATACATCTTATATATAATTGCTTCTTTTATAAGCGTTCATCATTTTACTAATAACAGTTACCTACTTATTATTAAATTTAGAGCAAGTGCCCTCTACCATGCCATATGTACATTTCCAAAAGAAATGATTGAACTCTCAAAAGCCAAAGAAGAAAAAAATTATTTTAAAGTGAGCAATACCATGGACTCCAAGGTTAACAATTTTAGCGTTTCAATAATGTACCTAGCTATAATTAATAAATTTGTGAAAATATTTTTTGGAGGAGAGAGAGATAGGGGTGAAGTGTCCCATGGGTCTGTGCATTAAAATTTGTTGGTGGGTATAAAAAAATAAATAATTTTGCAACACGATTTGGAATAAATCTCGGTGCCAATGACCTATGTAAAGTAATGCAGTAACTATTTTTTTTATCTAAGGAACAATAGGAACATAGGAACACCTTAGTTTTTCCCCCATGACACGCATGCAGGGGAAAAGCTCACCTCCCCTATTTGTGTTTTGTGGTGCTAGAGGTGGGTGAAATAAATGTTTCCCATGTTTATAATCACCACAAAAAGTGCTTGTGTTCTTATCATGATTGTGTACAATTGTATAGGTTCTGATAACCGTTGGTCGTAATCGGCTAGTCTTTTAGATTGGCTACCGAAGTTTATATGATACACTAGTGATAGGCATCTAGATGTAATAGGTGTAATTTATTATATTATAGTAAACCGAGCCATCCATCAAAATCAATTTATCGTGGGACACTATAAATCGCCACGATTAGGTACAAAACGTTTGTCGGCGTATCCTTTGGGTCCCCTAATACACACGCACATTGCACTGAATATTGATACTATCTTACCCTATAGTAATATTTATAATTCGTTTACACGTCACCCTGTGCCGACAATTCGATCGAAGCGATGAGCTTCCGGCCGCCACCACAGTTTTGCACGACTCTTACGTAGTAACGCACCTATTCGGAGATATATACATTTTTTTTTCACTCGTCGAGGTTGAAGAAAAGAGAGAGAGAGAGCGAGAAAGAGAGAGAGAGAACGTCATCAATCATCCCTCTATGGGTCGAGTGACTGATCGAGGTGCCGCGGTGGTCTGGGAAAACAAGTATATTATACAGGATGATTCATTTAACGTAAACTACTCCTTATTTCGCTTAGTTATGACGTATAAAAAAAAAAAAAATGTTTTTAACAATTCAAGAAACAGGCAGCTCTAAAATGTAACATTATCATTATTTTTGGAGTGAAACAAATATCGACTTCTGATTTTTAAATGGCAACCTATATTAAAAGTTCTATAAATAAATGGGGTATTAATTTAAATACATTTTGGTGTTGAAATTTTAACTTCTATTAACCCGTTGATGAGATATTTTAGTTTTAAGTTTAAGTAGGGAGAAAGTAGTAGAGCATAATTTGCAGAAGTGTTTTTGAGGGGGAGCGATAGGTGCATTTGACCCCGAGTTTTATTTGCAAATCATATTTTATGTTTGCTGAAATTATAAGAGTTTCTAAATTGAATCAATAAATAAATAATTTTTTTTCTTATTTTAGTTTTTGTAATAATAGTTATGTTCTCTCCTATTTTTTTTTTTTTTACTGCTTTCCTAACATTCCCTTTTTAATTTAAAATTTCCTTATTATTTATATCCTTAAATTAGCCATAACTGCTACTTTTGTTATTTAGTTAATAGGTTAAAAATTCGGGTAAAATTACAAATGGGACAGGATTTGGCATTGCTTAATATTTATAAATGTCAATGATAAATTTACAAATATTAAAAAAATAACTATAGATTTTGTTTTGTAAATAAAAATGTTTGTTCTGTTAAATTTCTAAAAATTTTTTTGAGAGAGGAGGTTGAACTCCCTTAATATTGTCTCTCCTAAGGTGAAGTCGCAAATACGCCCATAATCATTTGTGTGGTGAAAGGCTCGAATAATACCCCCTACTCTTTCCCTACCCAAACTATGTGCCAACAACAACATTTATTTAAACAAATACTCCATCTATTTTTAGAACTTTTTAAAATTAAAATTAGGTAGTAGTTTCACCCCCAAAAATAAAATTGATAAAAAAACAATGACACTGTAACATTTTAAAGTCGCTTGTTTCTTGAATTGTCAAATTTTTTTTTTTTAAAAGTCAATATTTTACGAAATAATGAATATTTTACGTTAAATGAATCACTCTGTATATAGATATACAGGACGAAGGAGCATATTATCACACACTATACTAAATGTGACTCAACATTCCTTCTTCCTCAGGTCCAGACATCTGCAATATTTTCGGATTCGTACCATCGTCAACCAAGGAATATTATGCATACCTATATAAAGATTTATATTTGCTGTAGTACGGATAATTTTGTTTCAATTTTTATATTGTTTGATTTATTGTATATACTTAGGTACTTGTGACATATATTATTATACGTATATTTTCGCTTGTCTTTGACGAATATCAGGAATTGCAAAAGTAGCAAAACCTTTGAGACATCTTGTTATGTATTCATGGTCCACGTTATAATTTTTCATCGTCGACAAATAATTTAAACGTTTATTATAAGTTAAACAAATTTAATGGTATCCGGCCAACCCCGAAAAGCTGGGATGAAGACTAAGGGAAAGAATACAAATTGAATGGCAATTATAGATATAATAGTATAATCTAATAATACTGGTATAAGTTTAAGTGCATAGTTTATTTAATAGTCTTACAATTTTTCGTAAAGATTAACACAAATACTAGTTGATTTCCAAGTCTAAATTTTAATTTTTTTTTTTAGTGTGATGAAAAACGTTAATAGCGCTGGCGGAAAAATAGACTATATAGAGAAGACTAGACATTTATTGTCCATGGGCTCCCTCTAAAGGAGAATATTTTTAGGTTTTAGCCACAATGTATAGATAGTCATAATTTGATTTTAAATCTACATTCAAGAATATTACATCTTACATTTTGTATTATTATTATTTTAAAGGCGTAGTAATACGCTGTCTCTGTCTTACAAATTAGCTAATTTGCGTTCATCAGGGATCACTTTGTGACGTTAGTTTTAATATTACAGTGAATTGACTTCCAATCAAACTTAAAGATAAGAACATTATTCGTGTCGTGTCGGTGTTTTTTTTATCGTTATTTAAATTTTTAAGAGAAGATATTTTTAAATCATGATATTTCACACATTCATATCTTGCTCAAAAACTAAAACTGCGAATAAAACCGACGACACGACATTAATAATGTTCTTATCTTTATGTTTGATAATTGGTCAATTCACTGAAATGTTAAAACTAATGGCACATAGTTATCCTTGCCGAACACAAAAATGATGTGTCGTACGTCTGTAAGAGAGCGCATATGCGGATATAACGTCCTTTTAATACACGTACACGAATACTGTCACCACAATATTATACCTACTTTAAGAAATAACGTTCCTACAGATAGGTATTTTGTATTTCAAAACTTCCAATAGATAATTGTA